TAATTGCCTTGACAAGCTCCTGCAAGATTGGTTCGACAATCTAATCAGGGTCCTTTCGGAGCGGCATCAAAGCAACTCTATGTTTTTGGTTGTTTTGAACGAGGTGCAGGATATGGGGAGGGGAGGCTAAATACCAGTTTATTAATAACGACGACACTATGCGACCAATATTATCAGCATTCTTTCATGGATTGGAGGGCTTATCAGAGGATTTACCACGAATTTGCATAGTTCCTTGCGGGATAGGCTTTTGTATTTATGATCCTGCTTGGGTTAAGGGAACTGGCAAAGCTTCAAGGAATATCGAGAAGTTCTCGATGACTCGAGGTTCAAGAGTGCAGTATCGTTTCCTAGATGGGATAATCAAGCAAAAGTCCGGACATACTTCAAGACACTTGTGCGATATTTGGAGAAATAAAGTTACTCAAGCTCTGCATCAAAGCGGAGAGGCCATTTTAATGATCAAGCAATCGAGATGCTATATGCTTGGTCCTGTGGTCGTCTCCGTCCAATGATCACTATAATAGAGAACGTCATTGGACGTGCCGATGCAGGCCTTTGGAAGCAAGAAATCAAGGGCCTGGTGTGGTCGCTCACTGATCCGGGATATAAAGAATCTGGTAACCTATGCCATGAGTAATCTAGAATTCTGAAGCGTATTAACAAAGGGGATGCAGGAATTAAAACCAGTGTCGACATCAGGGAAACCTTCGGTCGAGCCGTAAAGAATGAATAGATTACTATATAGTAAAGACTTGATATTGGAGTACAATGAGCCTGTTCCGGTCGAGGTTTCGTTTGCTCGAATTGTCGTTAATCAAAGGAAGAAGGAGTTTACAATTATCGTTGAGCCAATATCATTTATAGCAGCAATTAACTTGTTTGAAGTGGATGACTCTTGATTGGCTAAATTGGTTAATAGTGTGTTGCTAGACACCCCTACGTCTCGCACAAAGGGCACACACATTTTGAGTATTTCAGTCCCGCTTTGTTTAATTTCAATCTTCCAGAATTATAACAATGAACGAATTCTTAGATACTCACTGTAACAAAGACTCCATACATGAATCCAAGTTAATCTCGCTTTTTTTTTTTTGTTTTGTTTCCAAAAGAGAACCCATCTGGACCAGATATCGTCTTTGTATTAGAATCGGAGGGTAAATATTATCCTGGTTCCGTACAGTCAAAAATCGGCGATAAGGTCAAGAATTAAGGATGCCCACAATACAACTTGCCATAATTGCATCAAAGAACACCTCTCATCACCGTCTTCTCTCGGCTTTTGCTCGAATGGCATATCCTTGTTGCTGTTGTTTAGGCCTTACTTATCATGTTGCCTTATCACGAACAGGGTGATTATTCGCTAGCTAAAGTCAAAGAAGTTCCTGCCATCAAAGACAAACGAATAGAAACGACGTACTCAATATTAGCTTGTTGAACTTCCTTGAAAGTGCAAGGGAGTCCCTCAAGAAGTCAGAATTGACTCGAGCTGTGGAGGATGAGGGAGAAGGAAGCAAGCCCAAAGAACCACAGGCAAGGAGGACATCAAAGAGAATTGCCGATAAAGCTCAAGCTATGGAGCATCGCCCTAGCTCATGGGATATGAGTCCAACGTTTTCAAGAAGTTTGGGGCTCCTCTTCCAGTTTATGTTTGCGTAGTCTTCATCAGTCAGGTCTTCACCGGCTGCCTTTAAAACACGCCGTGTTAAGGAACCCTTGTGAAAGTTTCAATCCCTGGCTGAGATCTTCTTCATCTACGTCAGACTGCTGCTGTCTCTTCGTCTGGATTGTGCCATAGGCAAGTGGATTCAGAACAAGGCCATTGGTAAAATCGTCCCTTTGAGTTTGAACCGAGTTATACCTTTGTCTTGTGCCTGTAGGGGTACCTTGTCTCGATAGCCATGAAACATGCGATCTCCTTCAATGTCACAAAGAGAGCCTGTATCTAGACCTCTTTTGTTCCCTGTACACATTCAAACACTGCAGCCTTGGGAGGATTGTCGAGAGGATGTCAGTTAGAACGTGTTCAGACAGATACACATACCGAGGGGGGACGTAAGGAAGTCTGTTTTTTTTTTTTTTTTTTTTTTTTTTTTCACTCCATTGTTCTCTGGCAAGAAAAGCTCATCGAACAATAAAAAAATAGAGAGCTTTAATAGAGAGCAATCGACTGCAGAATATGCATGAGGATACTCTACACAAAGTTATATCTTTGTGCTCCTGTGGTGAATACATGGGTAGATTTGACTCGGTCTGTAGGAACTGATTTGAAACAAGTGGCTACATCCTTGTCAAAGGTAACAACAAAAGAAAAGAAGTCTTCTTTCTTCTTTTTATCAGAGAATGGCCTCATATGATGCTCTTTGCTCCAACAGCTCCAGCACTTTTGCGTTAAAGCAGAGATATTCGTTGGCTCTCGGGTTCCGGCATCATTGGTGGAGATAGGAGTGATGTAGTTGCATGCGCTTATTGCTTGTAGTAAGAACTATCTTAGTACCCTTCCTTACTAGACGACGCCCTGTTAATGGTGATATTGTGCAGCGCCTTGTGGAAGGAGGGAGAGCAGAAGCGAGATTAATACCGATGCGTTTGATCCTCTCCTAGGAGTATTTTTGATTATGGAGTGATCGCCAAAATAAAGTTTGTTCATTTCTTCTGCTTGTGTTTTAGCAAAATGTGTTTATGCATGTGCTACTCATGCTCTCTTGCCAAGGACTTGAACAGGCATACCAACCCCTTCTTCCTTGCTCTCATAACCGCTCACATCCTTTCGATGCATTCTTTCGCCGTTTATGTCCACTACATCTGAACCACACACAGTTCACCACTCACTCCAACAGAGATATTTGTATCACCTTGGGTATGATATGTTGCTGTGGTTCCCTCTGGTTTCAACAGGCCCAACAAACTCTATTAGCAGTGTTTATCAACCCAAATACATCAAGGGAACGCAAGAAGACGAGTAGGCAAATGATGCGACAAATCAAGTCTCGTCGAGCTGTACAGAAAAAGATCAAGTTAGTCAGGCTGTAGAACGAATCAACTCAGATTGCCTCAATCATACGACGAATATTATCATCACTATATCACATCAATCAATCAATAAACGATACAATGAGGCCCCCCAAGCGGACAATGGAGTCATGCGAAAGTCTTCGTGAGTATTATGGTCTAACCCAACAGTTCGAGAGGAAATAGTCCAATTGTTGGAACTAAACATGAGTACCAAGGGGGCTGCAGAGGACAAGATCCTTAACCACAAGGGGATATTGTTGCAGGAGCTGTTTTCCTTGAAAGGATACAAGGACGTTGGACTGCAATCTGATGATGGCCCTAGAAGGAAACTACGGACATCGTTCTTTACAAACGGCCTTACCCTAACACTTCTTGCCTATGACACATCGAAGCAAAAAAGAGGAAGAGGTTCGCAAGCTGCCCAACCTTCGGATACTCAAAGATCTCAAGCAGTCCAGGCTTCTTCAAGTGCTCAGCAGGGATCCTCGTCTTCAGGCCATGGTGCAGGCGATGGTGGTGATGATGGAGACGACGACGGAAATGAAGATGACGATATCTTGCTGGGTATCAGCGATATTGACTTGCTGGAAGTTGATGAACCATTCTTAGATGGCAATGAGGGAGAAGAAGCAGCTGAAGAAGGTACATCGAGCACAAATCCACTGTCCCCGGCGAGTCCCAGTCCCCGGCGTGAGATCAACTGGAAGCAGAGATCCCGTCTCCTCGAGAATGTAGAAGTTAAATATGACACCCAGGCAGCATGGGACCAGTGACGACAATAAGGAGACTATATATAGGGCGCTTGTCGATTTCTATAATGACGGGTGGTTTGTTCGGAATAGCTGGGATAATAGAAAAGCACAGAACGGATGGGTTGATTATGTGATCAAGGCAATTCTGAAGCTTGCGGGCGGAAGCAATGGAAGAAGAAGAGATGCCAATACGAATGCGATGATCTGTATTGGACTAGGATCATTCAAGACAAACCGAGGACAAGTATCGAAGCATGGGATATTGATGAAGAAGCTTGTTGAAAAGGTAAAAAAAAAATCCTTTGATCAATGACATTTAATTTTTGAGTCTTTTTTTTAACGAGTATTAAATCTGGCTCGAACAGGCAAAATCTCTAGACTACCCCATTGCAGGTTGTCATGAATACTACACATCTGCCAAGTGTCCACGGCCTCACTGCGACAGTATATTGGAGAATGTTCCTTTTCGATCCAAGTACTGTCGAAATTGTAAAGCATACTTTGATCGAGATGCTGTTGGTGCTGAGAACATCGCAAGGGTCTGTGAGTCGCAGACAAGAGAGCAAAAACGACCTGCAAAGTATATGCCGCCGGACGGAGGAACTCAAGGCCAAGCTTCTAGCGGTAGTGGCGACGGTGGAGGTAGTGGTGGCAGTGGTGGCAGTGGTGGTGGTAGTAGCAGACCCACAAAAAGGAAATTTTCAGATGAAGGAGGAGGAGGAGTAGGGGGATCAAGACCACCGAAAGGACCTTTGCTGGGTCCAGGAGGAGGGGGAGAGACAAGCCGGCAACAACAGTAGGACACAATCTACTACAAACATGACTAGGTCCAGAAAGGCCTTCGTCTTAAAAAAATTGTAAGTATTGGCTTGATAGTACTTTTTTTTCTTGGTTAATTTATTTATTTATTTATTTATTTCTGTCTCTTTTTGAATAATGCAAAACAGCAAATAATAAATGCATGATACATGAAAAATGTAATTATATAGATCAAACATAAATGAATGAAAGGATGAATGTGGGACACACATCCTTGGGTGTATATCGATCTATATCAATATTTTTTTGTCAATCAATGTCACTATGTCTATACATATCACATCACGTCAATCAAGATGTATTATTTACGTTTTAGTGTAACAATGCTTTTTTTATTATTTTTATCTCGATCCCTCCATCTCAAATGGATATAAATACTGTATATATATATATATATATATATATGTGTGTATATATATATTATATGTAAATGTATAAATATATATTGTGTGTGGTGTGCAACCAGTCAAGGTTTGCTTTTTACAAAGGTGCACGAGGTCCAGTGACATGAAGATCCACTATAACAAGGAAAAAAAAAAGAAAAAAAAAAAATTAGAATTAATTATAAAGATTCAATTCCATAACGCTTGATGAAGAAAGAGAAAAAAAAAAAAAAAAAAAAAAAGGAGAGAGAGGAAGATGCAAACAGAAAAAAAGGGACAAGACAAAAAAAAAAAAGCAAAAAACTCTTGCTTGATTGGCTGGCAAGTCCATTAGCTGATGTTTGTTGTTATTGTTGTTCAAAAACTTACTCTCAAGTCTAAACTCTTTGTTCACTCCAGGTGGAGTGATGTTCGCCGGAACGGCTACCTCTCCATCCTGTTGAACCAGTCCACACAGAAGAATCAATTGGAGCTTATGTCTTTTGGCAATATGCTTCGTCTCCGTAAACGTCGCTAGTTCAGCAGGACCCGGAAGTCGTATCGGGAACCGTTGTCTGCCATATTCCTCTCTCCAGATCTGAACAACGTTCCTGATGTCGACGCTCTCGAACATTTTCATCTTCATCTTCATCCTCATCTTCATCTTCATCTTCATTATCTTCTTCTTCAGACAATCCCTCTGCATGCTTTCCTTTGCCTTCATCCTTTACTGTTGCTCTGTAAAGACTGCGCTGGTATTGTTTCTCTCGCTTCTGCAGGTGCATAGTCAAATAAAGTGTCACTACATCCGTCTTAAACTTTGCCTCAATGCTATTGATAATCCGAGCATTCGAATTCGAACCCGAATGATTTTTGCTAACGTTGATACTATTGTTATTGTTTTGTCCTTCCCGAGAAGAGCGCTCATACTTTTGTTGAAGAGTAAAGTCTACGCTATGTCGCTTTGGCTTGAAAAAAAAGTTGCGTCTAGTTTCCAGAGATTCATTCTGCCGAGACTGCTGCTGCTGTTGTTGTTGTTGTTGTTCCTGTTGGTGTTGCGTCGTCAACTCCTTGCTTGAAAGATACCTGGAGTGTTGTTGATGAGGTTGACGGGCCTCATCCTGTAAGAGATCATACAGATGAGAATGGCTTCCATTATACGTCTTCTCCTGATACATCTGTGGTAGACTCGACTTCTTATTCAACCCCGCTTTCGTCCGCAATTTATTGGCCCCTCCATCCTCAGCCGTTGTCGTTGTCGTCGGTTGCTCATAAGTAACGGATTGTCCATCTTGTTGATTATGTAGCTGTCCTGGTTGCTCCTGCTGCTGCTGTTGATGTCGCTGCTTTTTCGTGCCAACGGACTCTTGACTCATCCTAGGAGACCTTAATGAGCTCGTGGACTTTGGCGATGACAACTTCTTCAGCTTGGGTGTCGTCGGCAACACCGTGACCTCCCGAAGTAACGTGTGCTCAACCACCCTCACAATCCCCTTCTTAACCACAAACCGCGGTCCTTGGGGGAACGTCGAATCATTCGATGGTAGAGCCGAACCATTGCCACTGCTCTCCTGATCCGCTGTCGATCCAGATCCAAACTTGTTAGACTTCCCATCATGTCTCCTTCGATGATTACGCCTATTTGGCTTGAACCGGATCGTCAGAGGAACGGTCTGTCCAAGATGCACTGTTTCTGAAGGGATCGAGCAAGAGTAAGCCATCCCAAAGGGCTCCCACACTCCTGTATAGTTGGCCGAATTCTCATCATCCGACATCGAATCCTCAGACTCGGGTTCGTCATATCGTGATGATGACGACGAAACAGATGTGCTAGGGGACAATGGTAGTACAGAGTTTTGGGGTCGTGACACCTCTGCAGTCGGAGATGCAACCAAACTACTAGCCTTTGCATCACCATTCGAGCCTTCGGTCGAGGCCTTTTCTCTGTCCGTTTCGGGAGGAGAAGGTGGCGGGTTAGGTTTGGGCGACAATGGGGGGATCGAGAAGCTCAGCAGTTGTTTTGGACGCGAGAGATCAATAGTCGGGAGCATATTGAGGGCCGATTTGATAGCCTTCGTAGGCACGGTCAGAGAATTGAATGGGGATGTCAGGACAGATGAGGCTGGGGATGATTGTTTCGATGATTGTGTCTGGAGATCGGGTGATGGTGATGGTTGATCAGTAGCCTTCTCAATCCCATTGTTTCTTTCCTCCTTGTTAGGATAGTGTGGCGAACGAGGTGATGCAGGGGAATGCAAGGGGGATTTTGGCGGAGATGGTGGTGAAGCAGGGGCTAAGCAGGATTGTAATACCCAAACTTCCTGCGAGGCTTCAATGTCACTGATACAGGGGAATGGTCTGTGAAGGATGGCACGGATGGTGTATTTTATCTTTGCATTAGGACTATAACTGCTGGATGGTAGCAACAGAGCTGGGGATTGAGGAACAGGTGCTATATGTGTTGCGGTAGAGCCGAATGGTGCCTTGACAGAACCAGGCAGTAATGGGGCTGATGGTCTGGTCAGGGCCAAAGGGTGGATCAGAGGGACTTCAAACTCTTTTTCATAATCACCAGCAATTACTGTAAATCCTCCAGGCTTGGTATGCTCAAGTGGGAAATGCCAGATTTGGTGACCTAGAATCTCTTCCGTATGATGGTTAACAACTTTTTTGTTTTCTAATGCTATTAAAAGTGATGAGGGAAACAAACAAATCGGAGAAAATGCAACAAGCATGCGCGTTGCGCAGAGTGTGGATGAAAGTCAAAAAAGTAGAAATGAATATTAGTAAATAAGAGAAGAATCAAGTGATATATACGAAAGAGAGAGAAAGAGAGAGAAGAGAGAAAGAGAGAGCAGTATCATGGGGCATCATCTAATACCCGTGGATAAAAAGCAGGCCCGATTTTTTTTTTTTTTTTGTAATTCAAAGTGCCCAACCTGTTTTTTATTTTTTTTATTTTTTTCGTCATTTTTTTTATACTTTATTTTATTTCCTCCTTTACCTGTCCATTGGGCCTCTGCTTTTGCTTCGTACATGATGACAATATCACGACCACGACAATCATAGTTGGTTGCGAACTTGACTGTGCCCTTGATAACTCCAACCTTGTCTGGTGTAGAGCCATAGACAAGAGGCATGCCATGGGGGCCAACATGATCCGTGGCAATATGGATTGTAAGTGATTTGAATTTTGGATCGGAGGAGGAAGGAGTATTCTTATGAGCAGACATTGTAAATGTGTATATGTATAGATGTATATATTATGGTTGTATGTATTTTATCGTTTTTTTGTTCATAAAGTGATAAATCCAGGGCGAGCATATTTCCCGAGTCTAACCAGAGTAACAATCCCCGGTACTTGTCTGCAACTTCCTTGATGATCCCAGCCTTCCAACCGTACTCTCCACGGGCAACGTTGATGTCCCAAAAGGCTGGGTATTGATCGTAATCGAAATCCTTGTACTCATCAATATATTGGTTGTCTTTGAGGTACTGTAGTTGAGCCAGCTGTTCGTTGGTCATCCCGCCCAAGTTATAGACGACTAGGGTTGGTCTCGTTTCAGTCCGTTCCAGTCCTTCGAATACCTCTGATAATGAATAGAGAAAACTCTCCAGGGCACAAAAATGGTTGGCGGCGGCAGTGACGATGGTAAAGTTCTTGGTTAGGTTTTCTAGAGGAGAAACGGTATGGTCGATAACATAGGGCAGATCTCTTTCCGGATCGGGCAATCCATCCATGGTACTGTCATCAATAAAATCGGGATCGAACTCCATCTCTGGACCTGTACCATAATCGCTGTATGGGTTGTATGGAGTATTGCTGTGTAATGGTATTTTGTCCTCTATTAGATAAGTAAAGTTCAAGAAGAAAGAATGTTAGATAATGAAAACCGACGATTTCTTTTTTTTTTTTTTTTTTTTTTTTGCTGTCCTGTCCTGTCCGACATGGCAGAGAAGAAGAGAAAAGAGTCTTCTTCCAATTTGTCTTATTTAATTTGGGAAATGGGAAATGGAAAAAAAAAAAAAAGGAGGGGGGGAAAGAATAACGGAACTTTTTTTTTTTTTTTACAAATATCGATTTTAGTATATACTATGACAAAGCAGTGACAAGCAAATCATGTCATACATACTTATTTCCAAAACATCTGGAAAAAAAGGTTGAAGACCTTACAGAACCAAGCCAAGATTAGCATACGAATTAATTTAGATGTCTCATACTCCAGAGCTCCTTGACATGCCCGATGCAAATGTTATTTAGGGACATCTGAATATGGCCGTCAATTTCAACGGCACATGTCTCATTAGCCTGCAGCTGCCTAGCACTTTTTGTTACTTGGAGGGGTGGGTCTCACGCAAGATGCAAGCAATGTCTGTTTGGCAATGGATGTGCATGTCTCACAATCAAGGTAATTCGTTTCCTTTGGTACAAGAATAGGAAGACACATAGCACGACATAATTAAGCAAAGCAGCACCTTCGATTATTTCTGTCGATCCTCCCTTCTCTACTCCTCTCTTCTCTTTGATCAGACTTTCGGGATCCGGGTTGCTGTGGTTGTAGTAGCAATAAAGTCAAATATCCAATAACTTTAAATCTCGCTCGAACAACCGTCAAATGTCCGTGCACATGCAGATTTTAAGATTTTGATATTTCACAAGGTTGAAATTGAGGGGGAAAGAAATAGGGGTGAGTAGAAAAGTAGTTTATGACAATTGAGAAGGAAGGAAGTAGCGGCGCGTCTGTGTTTCCCCTATGATTTTTTTTTTTTTTTTTTTTTCTGATGTGAAAGAGCATGTTTCGGATGGACTTGAAGAAATAATAGCGAAAGCATCCCTTTTTATAGTCTATTACCCAAAGACAAAAGAAAAGAAAAAAGTTCAAGGAGGTGAAAGAGATGGCATAAATATTATGCAGAACATATAAATCTGCGCCCCTGCGTTTTGCTCTTTGCTATTCTGCAATCCAACCCCGGTTGGTGATCTTGCTTTCAACTTCCTCATAGCTATGGTATATAGACCTTTTTTTTTTTTTTTTTTTTTTTTTTTTTTTTTTTTTTAATTTTATTTTTTTACTTCGATTATCATTAAAATAAAAGATTTGTTATACTCTTATCAACAAAACGTACATGACCCGAAGCTGTGTACTGTATCAAGTAGATATTATATGTGTCTTAGGTTGCAGGGGTGGTCGTAAAAAGAAGGTGGTACAAAAAAAAGTTAAAGTTCAACGACAACAACGCTGAACCATGTATTTCGTCATCAGGGTTTTGACCTGGACGTGTTCCAACTAAGATATTCCTTTTATTTCCTTTATAGTGGATCAGTAGTAACTTATATCATCTCCATCTACAGATCTTTATGTAAAATGAGCATTAACATGTACGAGAAAGTTGCGTAGACGGACAACGACAAGGAGACGCGGATGAGACAAACAGTCAAAGTAAGCCTTATTATCCTTTTACTTCAGTAAGAGACAAAAATTTATTCTTTTTTTGAAGTGGTTTCGCTCCACATACCGAGTTCTTATCCCCTTTGGTATTGGCCTTGCAACCGTCATTTCCTTCCTAGGAGGTGTCAGTATATTATGTCGTAGAATAGGATATCAATAGTCCCATAAAGGGTTCTAATATGTTCTTACGACAGGCAAAAATGACACTAACGTTTCACCTCGCATGGCATGATATATGTTACCTATCGAACTTGGAACCGTCAATATCGACATGCTTACATCCAACATATATATATTTACTTCAAACCATATGTAGATGTAATATACGCTGGTCATGCTATGATGACGCATAGCATAAGTATTATTAAGAAGTAACATATGCGCGTATGTGTGCTGATGTATTCTGATACAGCAAGTATTAAGAGTATGAACATTTTTTATTCATTCATAGATATATTTATTGTTCGTTTTCCTCCCTTCCCCTTTCAATTAGTCTACAGATTGAATGAGTGTATCAATTCCCTCTTTCTCTTATCCTTATTATCACTCTACCCTGAAGTACGCCTTCTAAATTACTTTAAATATCTCCTTCTTCCCGCTTTCCCCAGTGTCCACGTTCCGGATTAAAGACAATCCACCTTTCCTGTCTCTAGTTGTCGTCGGTTTCTTGAGAAGTATTCGCGTAAGCATCGGCGATTTTGAGCTCCTTTTTTTAACACCCATGAATTGGTACCCTCCTTTTTTTTTTTATTATTTTTTTTTATTGCTGCTGCCCAACCTTGCTATATTTGTGCATTTGAAACTTCTTTTTTACTAGCCCTTCTTGGATATGGAAGCGGGCTCCCTTCTACCTCCGTTTCGCTCAGATCAGCTTCCTCCTTATCATTATTCCCAATTGTTTTTTTAGAGTCTTTTTGATGACGATCGGATATAAATTTTCAATATTCTCGAGTGTATTGGCTGCCACCAAATTTAATTCAATGGTCGTTTTTAGATTTAAAAATATATTCTATGACCAAAAAAAGAAATGGACGACATCTTCCTATGCAATGTTGCAATGCCTTGGCTAGCGTTTTTTTAAAATTCAAGTGATACATGTATAAATATTCATGCTTGCAGAAGATGGGAGCGCTGTATGATCTGGCTCCTCGTTTAATTCCCCCCTATTTACTACTACAGGACTAAAAAAAGAGGCTATTTTATTTTATTTTTATTTTTAACATTTACACTCTGTAGACCTCTAAACCAGAGAGTTTGTAGACGTTGACTTGAATATTTTTGGATATCGTGTCCTGCTGGATCGTTTTCTGCTCACTTTCTTGCATTTCTAGTCCACTGCATGGCGAATGCAGCACACACTTTTTTTTTTTTTTTTTTTTTTTATTGTTATATATTATTATTACAAGAATGCTTTCTCTATTTCCATCCCTTTTCATCCTCCGCCTCACTTTGCTCTGAAGCGACAATGCAACTAGCCAATTCCCGTCTGCGTGTTGGTTTTGCGACTAAAACTATGGCCAATCTATCTCCTCTCCACAACCCACCTGTTGTCCTACTCCTTTATCCTACATAGTGCTCATAATCCCCTTCCTAAATGCTCAAATGCTTCGAAACCAGGCCTTGGAATATTCAGATTAAAAAGAATTTGAAAGCTGTGTAGTAGATAAAGGGCGGGTCCCTTCTCATTTCAAGCTCCCATTTTTTTATTAATATGCATACATATTTTAAACTAACCTCCACTATCACCTTATCCATTATGCAAAAAAACTGGTGATGTGAGTTCCTGTCAGATCTTCACAGTTGTTGCTCATTATCATTTCCTTGTCTTCTCACCCCATATTTGTTTTTTCCCTTACTCTATTATTCTCCTACTCTCCTACTCTCCTACTTTCGTACTCTCCTTCTCTCTTTCTTCCTCTCTTCTTCTTTTCTATTCTCTTCCTCCCTTTTTTATCCCCATTTTTTTTCCTCTTTTTCATTTGTTTGTTTCCTTAGACACGTCTATATACTTATTTTAATTTTTATATCTTTCTTAATTTTTTATTTTTTATATCCACTAATAATCTTAATACATTCCCCAGGCATTTGTATAACATCATTTCTGGTAATACTTCACCCCTTCCTCCCCCTCACCTATACAATCCCAAGACCAACAACCATATAGAGCCTCATGAACCCTTCCTTGGGCATCAATCCATGATTTTCTTTCCCTATTTGATCCCATTTCAGTTTATGTCTTTAAATCTATATCATTTCAGCCCAGCTTCACGACATATACCATCTATAACTTTTTCTAGCTTTTTCTAGACTATACATGTCTTTGTTTTTCTTCTTTGTTTTCTTGCGATTCTTCAGGACGTAAGGATGGAATAATTGACGGCGTAGTTCGGGTTTACACCAATCAACATCCAACATTTTTTTTTGTTCATTACCCAACTTACTGTCTTTTACTTGGGTATGCTCAGGGAATATCATCAAACTATAATCCTTGATATACACAAACGCATCATTAGGCCCTATCTACACTATTCCATCCTATTATGTTCATTTCCCATACCTTGTATTTTCTTTCTTCTCTTTCTGTGAAAAGAAAAGAATAAAAAAAAAAAAAAGCTGGCCTTTACTTTTTGGTGTAACAGGTCTTGGAGCACATGGACGCACGGACATAAACATTAAGAATTTTTACACTTTATTTATCTGTTTGTTTGTTTTGCATTGACCATTGGAAAAGGGTTCTTCCGCTAATTCTGATATTCGCTGATCGTCCTTGTTCCATTATTTTGAATCCAACCTTCAATAAGCATTTTGGATCAGCGCATTACTACTTCTTTTCTTGGCGACAAGCAGACTAGGGAAAGAAAAAGAAAAAAAGAAACTAATATTTTTTTTTCTTTTTTTTTTTTCTTCCAAATAGATACCAGCTGGACAACACAACCCAAAAGGATCCTCGACATTTTCTTTTAATGACCCATCACTTACCCCAGTTTTTACCTGATTAATTTTTTATCTTTAAAAGAAATATGGCCTCAAAATATCAAGAACGTTCCTTCTCATTCTCATCCTTTTCAACATCCATTTCAACTGCTGCGGGTCAGCGACTCTCCTCATCACAATCCTTCTCTACATCAACTTGTTCTTCAAATGGCCTACAACAGCAAGTATCACAAGCACCCGAACGGACAATGGGTCTCATGAGTGCAATTCTGATGGTAATGACAGGGTATGGTGACTATTTCCCTACTTCTTATTTTCCTTTTTCTTCTCCTTTCCTTTCCTTTCCTTCACCCTCTGCTTGTTTCCTGTTCAACATACAAAATGATGGAACAATCCATAGACTAACATCACCTTGACTTTTTTTTTTTACCTTTTTCTCCCTCCCTGGCCAAACCTTCAGATCATTGGAACTCTCATCGGCACTGGTATCTTTGCATCTCCAGGGCCTTTGTTCGATTCCGTAAACTGTACCCAAACAAGCTTCATGATCTGGGCATTCGCAGGTATTATTTGCACAATCGGTGCATTTGCCTATGCTGAGCTGGGGACCATGTTTCCAGAGTCAGGTGGGGACTATCAATACCTGGCTCGAGCCTATGGCAAAAAGATGGCATTGGTCTTCGGATGGTCTTTTATTACCATCTTGAACCCAATTGGCACTGCAGGGATTTCTGGCGTCCTAGGACGGTACGCAGTTGATATGATTATATATTTCAAGACAGGGACCAGTTCAGGTGCGGGTCCTGCTGTTGCAGCTGTTGGCGCTGCAATGGTGACCGGTGCAGGAAGTGTTTTGAATGGGACAAATTACGTCGCTCCACAGGTACATTCACCCTTTGCACCAGGGACGCCTTCTTATGCATCGTTCCCTAATGACCCTTTAGCCCAGAACCAGACAGGCGCGGTCTTGCCTAGTTCAGGTCATTCGGATGATATGCCATGGGTCGTACGCTCCTTTTCGATCGGTTCCATCTTAGTGATGGGAATGATCAACATATTTTTCTTGGAGGGAGGCAAATATGCGAGCAACATCCTGGCTATGTTCAAAATCGGCGGCATGTGTATGTTAATCGTCATTGGGAGTATGCAAGCTGCGAAAAACCATGCACAAAGTGAAGCCTTTAGTATCCCGATCGAACAATCCAGCCACAATATTTCCGATTATGTGAGCGCGTTGTGTTTCGCATTTTTCGCTGTAAGTTATGCAAAAAAAAAAAAAAAGATTTCTCCCATTACTTTCTCTTCCTCACAGCTTCTTTTTCTAATCTTTTTCCAATCTTTTTTTTTTTTTTTTTTATTCCTCTTCATTAGTATAATGGATTCAATAACATCAATCTCGGTCTGGGAGAGCTTCGTGACCCTGAAAGGAATCTCAAGCGTGCCGTCTGGATAGCAATGCCCTTCGTCACTATCCTGTTCTTACTCGCCAATTTTGCATTCTTTTCCATCCTATCTTCTCACGACCTACGTCATGTCCATTCTTTATCTCTCCATGCGGGTCACACAGTCTTGGGTCAACCTGGAGGGTTTATGATGGCAGGCACAGTCGTCGCATCAGCTCTTGGATCTATCAACGCTAATATCTGGGCTGGATCTCGGTTGTTAGTTATTATGGCCAAAGATAATGCCATCATCCCCTACCCCATCGGTAAAGTCTGGGCACGAACTGGCACGCAAGCCACTGCAATGGGTATCTTGGTTGTCCAAGCTTCGATCCATGCATTGATCAGTTTAGATTTCAAGACGTTTTCTAAAATCTATTCAGCAGTCGGATGGACTTGGTATGGCCTTTCTATCCTAGGCCTCCTGTACTTGCGCAAGAAGAAGCCAACATTCCCAAGGCCTGTAAAAGTGTTTTGGCCTCTAGCGCTCGTGTTCGTGATGGTGGCATTCTTCCTGGTGTTTGGGTCCTTGACATTGGCATTTATGAGCACTGGTATTAGCCCGGAGCTACAACAGTCGGAGGGTAGCAAGGGAGAGCCAGATGATGCCGAGTCCGGAAGATACACACCTGTGATTATGTTTGGTATGGCTATTTTGTTCATGACAGGCGTTGTTCCCGCGTTCTATCTGACAAAGTGCTTCAATCGACGACAGCAACGCAAGCGTGCAACCAAATATGGGCAATCTGAAGAAACCCTTAACCCATACAACAATACCGATGGTCAGAGCAAAGACCCAAATGGACATGCTGGTGCTCTTGGGTGCCCTCAGCCCGACTTCGAACGCAAAAAGCTATCGAGACGGTTTTCAAGTTCATCCTCTATCACCTTGGTCATCGAACAAAAGAAGATTAAGAAGAGGCAGTACCAACAACATCAACAACTAGAAGGCTCTCGATGCAACAGTCCTCAACCTGCACATTTTGAAAGCGATAGTGATGATGAATATGGTGACAATGAAAAAGAGATTGCCCGCGTGCAAGAGCTTCGCTCTTCAAAACTTTCATATGACCAACGCTCTCACAATCCCCTGGATGATGTTGAGATGGGAGGTGCTCGTACAAATAATAATACCCAACATCAAAACAGCAGCAATAACAATAATGACCGGATCGATACCTACTCTCCATTTTCGGGTCCAGTAATGGCCATTACAATACCATCGCCGGAAGCTTACAGAGCCGCTGTAAACTCTCCATACAGACAGTGTCCGTCTCAGTTTTTGGACATCCATGGAAATGGTAGATCAGGTCCAAGCTGTTCCGAGATCACTTTGAGTCTCGCGGATGAGTATGTTTGCAGTACTAATGGCGAAGATGATGATGATCGCACCAAGGAAAAGGACTCCCAGAGTCAAGACAAGATGGGATGAAAGATCTTCAATTCTGTATTTATATTTCCTCTTTTTTTTTTCTTTTTTTTTCTTTATTTTTTTTCTTTCTTTTTTTTATAAAGTTGTCTTTAATTATTTCTTTTTGCATTGTAGATAGAGCATAGATAACATTCTTTATCCCGATCATTAAAAACAAAAAAGACAATAGATAAATATGGCTTGAGTATTTTTAAAAAAGTACTCCACGGGAGGAGAAGGTCTTTTTATTTATATGGTACAAGTTGATAAAAAAAAGTATAGGGTGGAAGCGCCCTACACCAATATCCAGTTTTTCGTCCTTAATTTTTTTTTTTTTTTTTTTTTTTTTTTGGAATATCCGTAGTAATCTGTCACTCAGTCTTCGTCCAACTCATCAACTTCTTCTTCGTCATCATTCCTATGCCGCGAAGGAGCTTCTATATCTTCGTCTTCTTCTTCCAACTCATCCTCATCTTCTTCCTCTTGGCCGTCATGGTCATTATCATTGCCTCCTCCGTCCACATCTTCCTCTTCTTCGTCCCCGTCTCCGCCTCCATCATCATCCTCATCTTCATCTTCATCCTCATCTTCATCTGTATCTTCTCCAAGGCTTTCTTCCTCCAAATCCTCTTCATCATCCTCTTCAACTACTTGCTGTTTCTTAGATTTTTTCTTATTTGTGGTACTAACATCTTCACCATTTTCATTATCACTGTCACTGCCCTCTGCATCCGAATCATATTCTTCCATAATTTCATCTTCGCTTTCCGGTGCAAAATCCTCATCATCTTCATCATCGTCATCGTCATCCAGAGGGTTAGCCGAGATTGTCGCTCCTGCTGCTGCCCCCGCTCCTGCCCCTGCAGCTATTCCACGTTGCTTTTTCTTCGTGTTCGCTTCACTCTGTTGTGATGATTGACTAGCGCTTTCAGACATTAAATCATCATCATCTGCAGCTCGTTCTCTCTTCTTGGAACTTGCAGAAGAAGATGCAGTCGTGGGTCCTTTATCCTTCGCTTTTAGATCTGCACTCAAGCTTCTGTCTCGAATCCCAGCCTTCTTGATCCATTCTTCAACTTGACCGAATTCCTTAGTATCAATCATACTAAAGCCTACTACTCGACGGTTATCACCCTTAGTCTCTTGTGGGACGCCCTCAAGATCTTCTGTTGTAGCGTTTCCGCTGGTATTGTCCATCACAATCTCCATATCAAATGTTCTTGACGTGACAGAATGAAAACCAATTGCTTCTATCACAGCTGATCGCATGAAGAGAATAGGCTTCCGGAACGCAAACAGGATCCCTGTTGGGAGTAAATACATCGTTCCTTGATTTGATTTTAAATGTGCAGAGAAATTGGGGTATGCTTGTGTGCGACTTGCAATGATATCGATCGCAGAAGAGTTATAGTTGGTTGGATTGGAACGATGCAGAAAATAGGAAAGAATTGAAATTATGATGGGGTCAGGTCGTTTGGAGCCTGTAATGAAAGGGATCGGCGGAGTCTGTTTCTTTTTGTTCGTAGCAACCACAGAAGAGTCAGCTGACATTGATCGTAAATCATCCTCAAGTCCTACAAGCTGTTGATGTTGTTTATGAAACTCGAGTGTAAAATCTTTACCGTCGTCCGCCAAGGGTACGGCCCAGACGGCGTCCTTGCTGCTGCCTGTACTAATTCCAGAGTGTTTAAAAAACAAGATTAATGCTGTCTGTTTGGTGGTGCGTTCTAAAAACGGTACTGCAATGACACGATAGAGAGATTCATAGGGTGCACTACAGATAATTTCTGTATTATTTGTGTTGTTGGCAGCGGAAATGAGAGCTAGATCTCGTTGATGGAAAGAGAGGACTAGTTTCTTGCGGATAGGATGCAAAAACGATTGAGGGGAGGTGGAGTAGATAGCAGGACCAATGTCCTCAATTGTTGTATTAAGCTTTGCTGGCGCTGTTGCAACCGCAGTGGATATGTTGGACCCCGTTGTTGTGGCTTCAGAGGGAGTCCTGTTAAAGTATTGAGCGATTCCTTGTACAGGCTTGGAGGGAGATCCTGATTGCTTGATCTGAAAGTATGTGAGCAATCTTGTCATTACTCCAGCAGTGTCTGGGTAAGTCGTGACCAGGTCCTGCACTGCCTTGGCCAAATCCTTGTCATCCTGAATCGTTGCCGTGACAAGCTGCGGCGAGAGAGTCATGTTGAAGAGAGAGGGAGGGACAAGTAGTACACGGAAGAAAAAAAGAGCTAATTGTTGTGAAATGAATCAAAAGAAAATCTATTTGCCACCATGTAGGAGACGCTGGCTGCAACTTGTAAGGAACATCAGCAGCCTGAGTGGCTTATGCACAATGCACGACATTTTTTTAAGTTGATACACGCTCCAAGGATGACAATCAGAAGCAATTGTCCCTTATTAAGGTTATTTTGTTTTCTGAGCATTATTCCAAACCAGACAGTTTGATGATTTGACTTCAACGCAAGCAAAGCGCAAGGGATATCTGTTTACTTATTGAGTGATGCATCTAGAGAGGAGCCGCTGCACAGCACTACTTGGTTTTTTTTATTAAGCATATGTTTGCTATTGAGCTATCTACATCTTACCTGGCTACTATCTTAAGCTATATAAGGCCAGACTCTTAGCCACCTTGGAAAGTACTTTCCTTTGTCACTATCGAAAAGTCTCTCCAAGATGTTGTCCGGAGCACACCACGTGGAGGTGGTCTGGCATCGTGCTCCGATAGGTCAGGCCCCATGGCCTTGCAAACGCCCGCACACACACCCATTAACCCATTTACCCATTTACCCGTTTACCCATTCCCGCCCAGCCGAAGGGGCTCCACCATCGCATAGCTCATTCAAGAACCAGCGTAGGTATATGCCCATTCGGACTCTTGGATATGCATTATTGCTATATTAAAGTGTTTTGTGTTAGTAGGTTTTTTTTGTTTTGTTTTGTTTTGTTTTTTTTTTTTTTTTGTTCTCTTTTAGTTTTTCATCGTCTTTTGAACTTTTTTTTATAGACACATATCTTTTGTGTATTTTTTTATTGTCTTTTTTCTTGTTTTGTTTTCTTTACTTTTGTTTTTCTGAATATTTATGTATCTTTTTTCTTTTTTTCTTTTCTTTTCTTTTTTTTTTTGTTCTTTGTTCTTTATTCTTTGTTCTTTGTTTTTTTTTTTTGATTTTTGATTTTTGAATTTTTTTTGCTTTTTTGTTTTTTGTTTCTTTTTTTGTTTCTTTTTTTGTTTCTTTGTTTTCTTTTTTTTTTTTTGTTCTTTTTTGTTCTTTTTTTGTTCTTTTTTTTTGTTTTGTTTTCTTTTTTTTTTTTTTTTTGTGTGTTTCTTTTGGTAGGTGTTTGTTTTTGTCTTGATGGGTCTCGTTTGACTTTTCTTTAGTTTCATACTTCAGTTGGTGGCGTCAGCCTTTGGGTACCAGTGCCTCCTAGAGCACACCGTGAAGAGATGGCTCGGTCATCATGCCCTGGGGCTGCTTGAGGCTGTCAGGTTGTTCTGGGAGGGCTTTCAAGTGAAGCAGTCGGGTCGCTTTAGCGAGGCCGTTTGAGCGAGGCCGTTTGAGCGAGGCCGTTTGAGCGAGGCCGTTTGAGCGAGGCCGTTTGAGCGAGGCCGTTTGAGCGAGGCCGTTTGAGTGAGGCCGTTCGAGTGGAGTGCGACTATGCGAGTGCGACTGTTTGAGTACGGCTGTTTGAGCGAGGCCGTTCAAGTGCGGCTGTTTGAGTGGGGTCGTTTGAGTGGGGCTGTTCGAATGTGGCAGCATGGCCGTGACTTAGACTCGAGCTATGAAGCTCAAGCTGGCTTAGATGGATCTGCACCGTTTAGAGTCTAATCGTGAAATGAAAAGAGAGAGAGACAGACAGAAGAACAAAAATCAGAACAAGAACAGTGCAGCATAGACTGAGGAAGCTAAGAAACTCAGTAGGGGTGTGTGTTTAGAGAGTGTTGCTTACCTTTCATCTTGGTCAGGAGGCCGATGGTCGGGGAGACCGAGGAGAAAAGAAAAAAAAAAAGAAGAGAGTCAAAATTGGTCCTTTTATTTTCTTTTTCTTTTTTTTTAACAATAAAAAAAAAAGCTTGACATGTGCTGAGTGACTTCTGAAAGCGCAATATCAAAGTAATGGATATAATAAATATATACATGTAGCTTGCTTGTTGTACGCTCAAGAGTGACCAATAAGAATATAGAAATACAAAGAAAAAAAAGCGGCATTGCGGCTATCTACGCGTTTTTTACGTCATTCATTTTATTTCACATGAAGAATGGGAAAGCTCTCACGGCTGGAGGTGGGAAAACAACTGTCTTCAAGCTCTGCAAGCTCATGCAAGCAGCATTCGAACCCCAACTGCTCTTGAACTATTTACTCCTGTTAGTAAAGCTGGTTTTCTTTATTCCCTTCGCCTATTCTTTCTCTTCACTCCTGACAAGAGGTGGGATAGACTATTGTGGGAACTCTACCGCAGCAGGCTGCCTTTTTTCGAGAACGTGATAGAAAATAACACATGACAATCCTCAGAATACCTCTGCGCCTTTTTTTTTTTTTTTTTTTTTTCTTTTTCTTTTTCTTTTTCTTCATCCAATGCAATACAATGTAAAATAAATATACAATATAATTCAGGACATTATAGTTGATCAGGGTGTGCATTTGTGATTTCTTTATTTGAAGGTGAAACCAAGTATTAACATTTGTATGTGGACCAATAAAAAGCACACAAGTGCCGGAAATATGACATGTCTCACTTTTATCGCGTTCTGAATAGAAAAAAAAAAAAAAAAAAAAAAAAAAAAAGGGCGAGCTGAATACAGCCTGCTGAAGCACAGTTCCCACAATAGTCTATCCCACCTCTTGTCAGGAGTGAAGAGAAAGAATAGGCGAAGGGAATAAAGAAAACCAGCTTTACTAACAGGAGTAAATAGTTCAAGAGCAGTTGGGGTTCGAATGCTGCTTGCATGAGCTTGCAGAGCTTGAAGACAGTTGTTTTCCCACCTCCAGCCGTGAGAGCTTTCCCATTCTTCATGTGAAATAAAATGAATGACGTAAAAAACGCGTAGATAGCCGCAATGCCGCTTTTTTTTCTTTGTATTTCTATATTCTTATTGGTCACTCTTGAGCGTACAACAAGCAAGCTACATGTATATATTTATTATATCCATTACTTTGATATTGCGCTTTCAGAAGTCACTCAGCACATGTCAAGCTTTTTTTTTTATTGTTAAAAAAAAAGAAAAAGAAAATAAAAGGACCAATTTTGACTCTCTTCTTTTTTTTTTTCTTTTCTCCTCGGTCTCCCCGACCATCGGCCTCCTGACCAAGATGAAAGGTAAGCAACACTCTCTAAACACACACCCCTACTGAGTTTCTTAGCTTCCTCAGTCTATGCTGCACTGTTCTTGTTCTGATTTTTGTTCTTCTGTCTGTCTCTCTCTCTTTTCATTTCACGATTAGACTCTAAACGGTGCAGATCCATCTAAGCCAGCTTGAGCTTCATAGCTCGAGTCTAAGTCACGGCCATGCTGCCACATTCGAACAGCCCCACTCAAACGACCCCACTCAAACAGCCGCACTTGAACGGCCTCGCTCAAACAGCCGTACTCAAACAGTCGCACTCGCATAGTCGCACTCCACTCGAACGGCCTCACTCAAACGGCCTCGCTCAAACGGCCTCGCTCAAACGGCCTCGCTCAAACGGCCTCGCTCAAACGGCCTCGCTCAAACGGCCTCGCTCAAACGGCCTCGCTAAAGCGACCCGACTGCTTCACTTGAAAGCCCTCCCAGAACAACCTGACAGCCTCAAGCAGCCCCAGGGCATGATGACCGAGCCATCTCTTCACGGTGTGCTCTAGGAGGCACTGGTACCCAAAGGCTGACGCCACCAACTGAAGTATGAAACTAAAGAAAAGTCAAACGAGACCCATCAAGACAAAAACAAACACCTACCAAAAGAAACACACAAAAAAAAAAAAAAAAAGAAAACAAAACAAAAAAAAAGAACAAAAAAAGAACAAAAAAGAACAAAAAAAAAAAAAGAAAACAAAGAAACAAAAAAAGAAACAAAAAAAGAAACAAAAAACAAAAAAGCAAAAAAAATTCAAAAATCAAAAATCAAAAAAAAAAAACAAAGAACAAAGAATAAAGAACAAAGAACAAAAAAAAAAAGAAAAGAAAAGAAAAAAAGAAAAAAGATACATAAATATTCAGAAAAACAAAAGTAAAGAAAACAAAACAAGAAAAAAGACAATAAAAAAATACACAAAAGATATGTGTCTATAAAAAAAAGTTCAAAAGACGATGAAAAACTAAAAGAGAACAAAAAAAAAAAAAAAACAAAACAAAACAAAACAAAAAAAACCTACTAACACAAAACACTTTAATATAGCAATAATGCATATCCAAGAGTCCGAATGGGCATATACCTACGCTGGTTCTTGAATGAGCTATGCGATGGTGGAGCCCCTTCGGCTGGGCGGGAATGGGTAAACGGGTAAATGGGTAAATGGGTTAATGGGTGTGTGTGCGGGCGTTTGCAAGGCCATGGGGCCTGACCTATCGGAGCACGATGCCAGACCACCTCCACGTGGTGTGCTCCGGACAACATCTTGGAGAGACTTTTCGATAGTGACAAAGGAAAGTACTTTCCAAGGTGGCTAAGAGTCTGGCCTTATATAGCTTAAGATAGTAGCCAGGTAAGATGTAGATAGCTCAATAGCAAACATATGCTTAATAAAAAAAACCAAGTAGTGCTGTGCAGCGGCTCCTCTCTAGATGCATCACTCAATAAGTAAACAGATATCCCTTGCGCTTTGCTCGTGTCGATCGTGCTTAAGGGAAGATGCCATTCTTGGGAAAAAAGAGAGCTACACAGGCAAGGGTGTCGAATTATTATTCGGATCTCAGTGACCTTGAATGTCCTTGTCCTTATTCTCTCCAAGGACTGGGTTATCTTCGCCTATCTATTCTCCTCTCCAACAAAACACTTTCCAGAAAGACATTAATAGCGTATACGCCCTTTATGTTTTGATCAAGGCGCTGTCGACCTAATGTTTCCAGGAACACTCGCAATTGCTCACTGAATACACCTGAACCTTTAATTTCATTTCATTATTCCATTTTTGAAGCGATGGCTGCTACGTGTTCCACGCGTCTCACACCTTCATCTGTCATATACGCTTCGTCTATCAAGCACCCTCGCCCTGTTTATAGCTTTCTGAACCATCCGACACCATTTCTCAGTCGGGATCTACATCAGGCGTGCAACATATGGGCCATGCAACACACCATCCGAGTTATTGCATACCGAGGCTTGGGAGTGCGTCTCAAGGGCACTTCCATTTAAAAGATTAGAATATTGTGCGAAGGCTATGGTGGGGCTTTATAAACGGCTTCCGCCCGGTAACAATAGTAAAACAACTTCTTAGTCTCCTTGACTATCAGTCACCAAACATTTCGCGAATTACAAAACCAATGAGCGGCGGAAGATATGAGGCTGTATGACAAGATTTACAGCTCACCCCTATCGATGAGTACACTGCACCATATAGACCCATATAGCGTATACGATGAATTAATTTACCACTCACGTGGGGCAGACGATATTGTTGGTTTTAGTTTTAGTCACGTGTAGAGGGTTCGCCACCAACTATTTAACGAGCAACAGCTCAGGAAAATCTGGCTCCTTGTTCCTTATTTTTACACAAGAGCCATTTGAGTACTGACTGTTCTCGTCCAGGTAAAGAGCCCTCACAACGTTCGTCGTCAGTAGCCATAGATCATTAAAGGTTCCTTATTTTTACACAAGAGCCATTTGAGTACTGACTGTTCTCGTCCAGTCTTTGAGTAGTGTGTGTGTTCTTTTATTGTGTTAGAATTATTTATCTATCTGCAGCTGGAAGTGACCGGCTTCATAATCCACCAAAACGACCTAAATCTCCTACCACATCTGCCCCTAAATTTTGCAACAATATCTTATAGTATATAAGATGTCGTCTGTCCAGAAATAAAGACCCCTCTCTTTGTCCTATTGAACTTTGGTTCCATATACATAGTAAGCTATATCAATTAGGTTAAAACATTGCATACACTTCGATTGACTTTCTTGAACAGGAGAAGAGGAGGGAAGAAGGAAAGGCAGCAAGAACTGAGATTGCTTCCAAAGTTGGCTATACCGATTGCATGAACACAGGTTGTTTTTCTTAATGCGGGTGAATTTGTCCTACTTTAGAGGGTTACAAGCTGGAGCTGTCCCGGATACAAGAGACATTGGTCTCTCAGTTACACCAAGCTTAAATCATCAAGTTGCTGCTGAGCTCAATTTCACTACCAACCTACATTGAATCACAATCTCCTTCATAAAAAGCATGTGTACCATGCTGAAGAAGCTTTATACTTTTGCTCTGAAACCAGTTAGAGAAAGTATAAATATTGGTATGAATCTCGTGCACGAACAGGCCGCAAACCTGCTAGACCCTACTCCGATACATAGTCTCTATTTGACCCCCGTTTACTAAGAGACCGGTAATGATTAGTGACATTATCCTTCCTATGCTAGCAGCTCTCTATTATGTGTAATCAATCTTTTTATTGGTACTCGAGATTTTAGAACTAGACTAAAATAAATAAATAGCATATGATGCCGTAATCCTCATCTTTCTTTTTTGATGTGGTAGAAAAATGAATGGGTGTGGTGGGGCAAGAGAGAGTCGCTAGCTCGGATAATGGACGCAAAGACGTCCTTTGTCGTCTTAGTATTGCATGATCATACATATAATCGACTGCAGCGAGTGGAATATAGACATCAATGGTAATAGCCCAAGAGCAAGCTGAGGCTGCCTGAGATAGTGAACCTTACCAAAGATACTGAAAGCGTGTTATTTAGCAAAAGATAGGGAGCGACTAAAATATATTTAGTAGTAAATGGGTTTAAGCATATATATTTATTATGAACGTTAGAGGTTTAAACTAAGTCGCTACAAAGCTGAAGTATTGGCGTAAAGCATCCGCAAGGGTCTCGGGAAGACTGTTGATGTTCTGCAGGACCACGTAGTAGTCAAATGGGAAGGTTTCAAGATATGGGTTCAACGACAGCTTAGGCACACCATTAACGGTTGTGAAGCTAGCAGTTGTCATTTTCATAATCGACTCCTTCTCAGGCTTATTGTCCAGGATAATGAAGATCAGCATGATTTGGTGCTCAGCTGCCTGGCGGACTAACGCCTTAAGTGTGTCATCATGGTTATCGCAAATTCCATCTGAAATAATAATTTGAAGTTGCCACAGCTCTTGAGATCGTGCTGCTCCAGATTGATTCATCTTGGCATGCTGTAACAGTGCAATTGAGGCTTCCATCATCTCCTTGACTTTGGTCTTGTGTTGATCAAATCCAAATCGCTGCAGAACCTTTGCTCCGGCCTCTCCTGTGAAGGGTTGGTCAAATGGATGGAGCAATTCAACCCGCTCTCCAAAACTCATAATGCCAATCTCCCCAACTTCCAGCTGTGAAAGCGCTTTAGAGATCAAGGCTAGCGACTCGTAAGCTAGTTGAACAGAGCGAGATTCGGACATGGAGGTAGAGTCATCAATGGCAATCATGACCTGATACTGCCGCTTCGAGGGTTTTGTACGGCGAAGCCAGATCTTGTCCTTCTTGAACTGCGAAGCAATGTAGGGGATGATCTTTTTCATGTTTAGGCGCTTTCCAGTCCTATAATCGCCCTTCAGTTTGGTTGCCTGTGTAGGCTCCAGGATCAATCGTAATTGCTCACAGAGACCAAGAGCAAGATCCTGAGTCAAATTGTCGTATTTTTGCCAAAGTGCTTGAGCCTCTTTGGGATCCCGTCCTCCTGATCTCCAATCGCCAAGAGAGGTTTCCAGCTGCTGACGAAGCGCCTCAATCTCCTCAGGCTTGAGTGGTTCATGGACGGCAGCAGCCTTATCGGCTTCTTCACGCTTCCTCTGCTCCTCTTCATCGTCATCATTCTCTTGATCCTTCTTGCGCTTGTCCATGCGCTGAGAGAAAAAAGCACCTGCCGCATTCTCAGGGTTGGTCTGCTCCATGACATCCTCATCCAGCTTAGGCTTCTGCTCCTCAGGGCCTTGGTCCATGTCCACATCTTCGTCTTTAGGGTCAACATCCATATCTGCAAATTGATCCTCTTTTCCGTCGTCTTTCTTCATTTGTTCCTCATCAATGGCCCCTAAATCCTTGCGGTCTTGCATTTGCTGCTCATTTGCATTGCCCATAGTCTCCATGTCATACGCCTCATCATCATTTTGAAGGTATTCAAATGCCTGGTTTTCATCGACTTCCATCTCCTCACCTTCCTTTTCGGCATTCTCATCCTCCTTAGGCGTTTCCTCCGCTTCCCTTTCATCCTTTTCCTCCTCTTCAGGATCAGCAAGGTCTTGCAACTTTTGTTTCCAGTTTTTAAGCGCCTCAGCCAAGGATCGATGGGGATTTGTCTCCGGCTTCTTGAAGTTATCTTTTTCTTGTTCATTTGAGGGGCGATTTTTCTTTTGTGAGTTATCACCACGGTCCCGAGGCTTATTCTGTTGATCCTGTTGATCCTCCATAGTTGGATCAGTTCTAGAAGATGATGTAGGCGCACTCTCCATCGAGCGTTGGCTGTCAGCTTCAGCCTTAGGATTCTCACTTGAGTTAGCCTTGCCCTGTTCACCCTCAACTCCAAACTCTTGTTTGGCCTCAGCATCTTGATCGGGCTGTTCTTCCTGCTCTGAAGACTTCACTTCATCGCCTTCTTCATTTTCTTCGTCTTCCTCCTGCTTCTGTTCCTCCATCTTTGAGCGAGCTTGTTCGTTAGGTCGTTGACGTGAGTCATCACGGGATGCTTCATCGTCCTCTTCTTCCTGCTCTTTCTCTTCGCCATCTTCCACCTCTTCATCGTTAACAATAGGCTCTGCCATCTCTTCGTCCTCATCGTTGTCAAGACCCTTCATCTCCTCATCTTCCATCTTCTCTCCTGAAGCAGTTTCTTCATCTTCCCTACCATCATCTTCATCCTCATCCTCATCCCTACCTCCTTCATCTTTCTTGTTTTTAGGATCCTGTTGCTCTTCAACATCCATCTGGTCTTGAAAAGGCTCTTCATCAAGACCTTCATCATTGTCGTCTTCTTCTTTTTCATTACCATCCAAATTTAGATCATCAGGTAAATCCAATGTCTCTGCTTCTGGGATCTCAACTTGTTGTTGATCATCCGGTCGATGTTCGGCTGTCTCCTCCTCATTATGGTCTTCGAACTCTTCTTCTTCAGCTTCATCGTCTTCTTCTGCTTCTTGGTCCTTCCTTTCTTCATCACCACCTTCTTGGGTTTCAGCCTCTTGATTATCATCTTTACCTTTCTCCTTCTTTTCTTTCTTATTCTTTTTATCATTGATATCTTGCTTGCCAGAGTCCTCCTCATCCTTGGCAACCATATCAGATTCCTGCTCATTCTGTTCTGTTGATTTATCTTCATCAATCATCTTGTCGTTATCACGAGCATCCTCAGCTTCATCATCTCCCCACATCTTTTCATCAATGGCTTCTGGATTATCGTCGTCGACATCGCCAATAGCCTCGTCAGGCTCTTCTTTATCTTCATCGTCCTCGTCATCCTCGTTATCATCTTGATCTGAGGAAGGCTCAACGTCCTCCAAGTTGCCTTCAAAGTCGTTCTCCATTTCAATACCTTTGTCCTCTTCTTGAGTCTCTTTCTTATCCTGGTCCTCTTGCTTCTTCTCGTTCTGAGTACCAAGAACCTGCTCTTCATCCTCAATTTCATCACTAACATCCTTCCCACCTTCACCCTCACCAATACCCGTGCCTGCAACACCTGTTTCCTCTTCACCTTCTTTCATCTCTTGCTCCATCTCTGGAATACAAAAGCCCTTGCTGAAAAGAATCGAGAAGGTATTGCAAAGGACATAGGTCAATTTGTTAATAGTCTTATGGTACTGGACAAAGTGGAACAAGTGGTGTTGAGCTAGGAAGAGATATTGTTCGATAAATGGATAGAGTTCCTGGAGACGCATTGTAATGAAAGCCTCGGCCGCTGCTGCTGCTGCTGCTGCTGCTGCACCTGGAACGCGAATGGCTTGATGAATCTTTTGGCTGATCGAGCGGGTTTTCTTGATCATTGATTCCATTTGAAGGATGCGGTGCATGGTCGTCAGCTTCTTATTCTCAGACGTGATGAACTTTTCAGGCATACCGTATTGATCCTTCTCTTCCTCGTCCTCCTTTTCGCTATTTTCACTCATACCAACTGTATTATTGGAAGAGAGAGTTCCAACAGCAGCTACAGCTTTGGTCTTTTTACTAATATCTTGGACCCGTAGAAGCACGAAGGTAATACATCCATCAATCTCGTCATTGATTTCTTGAACAAGTTTTTGCATGGACACAGTACCCTGGAATGATAGATTAGAGGGATCGATGGTGGTAGTAGAGAATGACCATTGGCGAGGAAAAGATTCGGTGATCTGACACAGCAGAGGATCTAGGACACTTTGCGCTTCTGGCATCTCTTTGAGAAGGGAGACGAGAATATGCTCGATCTCGTGAACAGCATCCAAGCTTTGCGATAAGGTCTCCAGGATCAAGCCTGACAAAATTGGAGAGACCCCTCCAGTCATAACAGGGGTTAGATACCATCGGTCAACGACCTTATCTAAAGAATGTTTGAGTGACTTTGTCTTGACCAAAGCAGCTTGAGCATTGACCAAAAATTGGTTACGACCAGGAGTTGTGGAGTGACGAGCAGTTGCCTCAAGTACTAACATGGCGTCTACAAAAAGATCATAAAGCTTGTCGAGCGCAACCTTATGATAGATGAGTGTATGGGGACCATGAACATCGAGCGAGACAGTCTTGCCCTTGGGGAGAGCAAAGATACCTTGGAACTGTGAGGTTACTCCACGGAGTATGTCCATAGAGGCCTTCATGGACCGCAGCTCCTGGCGCTGTTCAATTACCAAGTTGACAAGATGCTCAGTATATCCACGACTCTTCTCGGCCTCGACAATGGTGATGTCCTTGGGGGGCTGCTGCGACAGACTACGGAGTTGCATCATGCGGCCCACAATTTTGTAAAAATAATCATCAGACCTCTTCCACAGTTGAGCCACCTGTGAACCCGCAGGGACAATTTTGTCATTTAATTTAGCTTGCGCCTCAATATCCTGGATCTCAGTGGGAGGCAAATGGAAAACATAACCCAATAGATCTTCCTCAAGACGAACCATGCGGTGACGGTTCAACCCCAAACGTTGTAGCAGTTTGAGTAGATCAACAAGTGCACGCTTGCGGATCGTCTTCATGTTTTTGAGCTGAGACTTATTCTCTTCTGTCATTTTAGATGGAGTTTCTTTTTGGAAATCTTCGATCTGTTGGATGATGTCGCCAATGAGTTCCTCTAGAGGCGCACTCTCTGAGCTTGACATTACTACATTTTTGGCCATGATTTTCTTCAAGCGATTAAAAGTAGAAGGTAAGTTGAGAAGCGCCTCACTGGGACTTAGTGTAATTGACTGCTGAAGCAGTTGTCGAATAGGCTCTGAGATATCTGTTACCATAGTTGTTTGTGTGATCCAAACATCTATGTTTGGCTGATTGACCTCAGGAGCCTGCTTCTTGTTGGCGCGGACAACAGGTGCTTCCATCTGGTAGGCTGTGATGATATCTGTGAGGGGTTTGCGGAGAATATCTCTGTACTTTCGGAGCAGCTTGTTGAGACGACGATGGGTCTTTAGAGCACTTGCCTTGAGTGCATGAATGTTTGTGTCCTTCCAGCTGGCAATTTTGACATGTTCCTTCATCTCCTTCTCAATGGGTTTCCTTGAGGTGGAGACATAGGTCTGAATGCTCTCAATAAACTGACTGTAATACTGATGAACATTCCAAATAGCGTCTGCAACCTTGGAAGCGACTGCGACGGCTGCTGTCGCGGTAACATTGTTGATGCTGCTCTCATCTTGGCTCTCCTTGAGACGCTTCTGACGCTCTGCAAATGTGAGTTCGCCTCGGATTTTAAGATGACGGTGGAAGGATTTGAGGAGATCCATACGAGGCAAGAAGTCCCCAACGCTGGAAGCCTGTAAGAACTGGTCCAAAACACCGAGAAGCGCTTTAACATGAGCAAGGACATCGACTTCGATCCCTTCATCCACCGCTAAATCCATATCTCTAGTAGGCTTTATAATCGATCCATAGAAATGGAACCACCATGAAAAGACGCTCTCAGCCTGGCTCTTGTCCTGGATTTCAAGCAACTTGGGCCAACAAGTCAACTCAAGCTGTCTCCACGAGATGATCAATGTCTTAAGTTCTTCTTGATTTTCAAGAATAGAGTATTCGCGACTAGCATTCATCTGCCAGTCCTCGGTTTTAAGCAAGAGAACTTCAATACCTGCAAGTATTTTGGCAACAGGGGAGTCTAGCGGGAAAGCCAGTAACTTGTCGCAGAATTCAATCAGAGATTCGAGGATCGCGTGTTCCGACCAGATAGAGTGGATGCTCTGGAGACGATAGCGGAGCTTCGTTAAAATAGGAATAATCCTGACAACTTCCGCCACACGCTGATCCTTGTAGAAATCATACGTGGGGTCTGACGACCAATAGTTGTTATCTTTTCCTGTCAACCATTCCTCCGTCAGAACACTCGAGAGCAGGTGTGCGCCTTGAGAAGCTGTATCGAGTTGGTGCCCAAATGAGCATTCGCTGACATCTGACAGCTCGGAAGCACGATTGTACCAAGACCAAATTAGAAATTTGCGTTCCTGGATCGTCATAGTCGGAGTGTCTGAGCATTTGTCGAGTTCAGCTGCACTGAACAAGATCTTGTGAAGGTTGCCAATTGAGATTACATCGTGCTCATCAAACGTCTTTTCCTCAACAGCAGGTGCTTCTTTTTGTTGATGTTTGTTCTGATCTTCATCATCTGGAATAGTCATATTCTCATCAGGAGCTTTGAAATCATCTGCAAAGTCCGGAAACATCTCCTTAAATGTAGCCTCGTCGATCGCATCATCGTCCATACCCTCATACTTATTGACTCGCTGCTTGTAGAGTGATTCTTGCTCGATCTTCATCTTGGCTGCATGCTCTTCACCTTTAGTCCAAATATCCGTTACTTCTGTAAACAGGTCATCCAAAGTATCAATTGAAGGCTTATCAAGAATACCTGTTGCAGCAATTGCACGACGTTGACGCTGAAGTGCAGTGATCAGATACTTTAAGTAGAATGACCAAGGCTTCGTGACAATGCTCTTGCCAAACACAGTGCGTTTAACAACTTGAAGAGTTGCGGGCTGAGTGACCACGTGGAGCGAGTCAAACTTGTCGTTGTTGTTATGACCCAAGCTTTCCAAGCGATGGTAGTCTGGAACTCGGATAAGGCAAGTGACAATTGACTCTAGTGCCTCGCGATCTCGAATATAGCTTAACGCTGACGCTGAAGCCACCAATCGCATACCAAATTTGATTTGATAGATTGAAACAATGAGTGGCTGCAAAATATCTCTATAGGCTCTAAACTTTAGCCCATTACGGCGGATAAATTCGGAAGTCACATCTTGGAACAGCTTTTCTTGATCCAGCTGCGATCCATCTTTGTTGGCACCTTCGATTTTGTCTATAACTCCCGAGATGGTCTCCTTATTAATCGCAGCCTTTTGAATCTGCCAAATTTGCTTGAATAATTCTTCGAGCTGAGAATTTGAGGGACGCAAGGCCACATCTATCGCAAAATGTTCAATCTCGTCTTCGATTCGACGCAATTCAGCCAGTTTTTCCAAGATTATGGCGTTCTCATGAGACCCTGTGAAGGAAATCTCTATTTCTTGACGGACCTTGATCTCTGTCTGAAGAGAGTCTTGCTTCGTTCGAAGAGCATGAAGCATCAAACGAGGTTTTGCAGTTGGGTCAAGAGAATAATCAGGAATATATAATGCAATGAAAGCGAGACCTATGTTGACCCAGGATTTGCCGTGAAGATTCTGGAGTTGAGTATCGATGCTGTTGTTGCTGCTATCGTTACTTACTCCAGATTGATAAAATCGAATGCATTGTATCAATTGAGAAATAGCAAGCGCAAGATGACGACCCACTGAAGACGGTTTAAGTGTGATATCCGTAGATTTGAAGTGGGACAAGGTTGAAAGAGAAGACTCGTAGGCTTCGCTCTGATGGGCTTCACTGTCCAATGAACTGGCAATGGTATCCAACGCTACGCGGTATTGTGTAAAATCTAACTCTGTGTGCACTTGAACTATCACATCGATAATCTATTGATATAAAAGAAAAAATGACTCTAATGTTAAAGAATTGTTACTTGAGAAACAGAAATAGCCACAATCCCATGAAAATTAGAGTGACACGTTACCAAGTTGATAGATGAGATCAGGCTGATTAAGGAAGCAGCAACGCGGTTAATATGCTTGGAAATACGAGCCTGATGGGCCACTAAGGAACGTGTTTGCTCCAATTGAGTATCCATCGTGCTGATAGCTGCCTTCGGTAGAGTGGTTCTAAAGGAATGATGATACATTAACATAGTGAAAAAAAAAAAAAAAAAAAAAAAAGTTAATAGGCTTATCCAAGTGACTAAACATAATAGGAACCAATGAATCTATGGACTTCTTTGATTATACTTACAGATAATTGAAGTAAGCAGCAGTGTTCACACTTTGGAATAACTTGGCGGGACCTTGAAGTGCAAATAACTCACGCACATCCTCATTTAAAATTTTCCCGCCAAAAGAGTCAAACTTGGTATCCTTGAATGCATTATTCCAGAGACGCGCATGCCAGTTGTGAAGAACATCCTGAATCAACCGATTAAAAAGTGCCTGAGTGTTTTCATTCAAACCTTTATAGTAGCGGCGTATAAAAACAAATTTTTTTATATTAGTAAGCCATTTAATGCTAATACACAAAAAAAAATTTTTTTGTGTTTACCTTTAGCATCAGAGTCAAAGACCCATATCAAGCGCTTATGTGGCACAAAGTCGATTGCAGAGCGAGTTGTAGATTTCAACGAGAACTCATACAGGGTCCTAATCTCTTCTAAGGTCTTCCTGGATAAACGATCGTTTTGTGGTAATTGTTGTTGCAGTTTTGAAAGCAAGCCCATCTCTGCCACTGTGCTTGAAAAATCCATAATGGGGTGCATGAAATTCTCTGTATCCTGAATATTTTTAGATTTGATCTTGGGATATCCTTCAAGTTGCTTTTGAACACCTTCGATTTGCTTTTGCAAGTGCTATTTTTTTTAGGGAAAAAAGAAAAAGATAAAGAAAATTAGTCTATAGGAGGATATCCATTTCTTCTTAATCTGAAATATATCATCACTTACAGCTGGGACATGTTTGATCGTTTTAAGCAAAACTGCTCCATTCTCAGGGCTCTGGTCCACAAAGTAAAGTGTCGCAATGGCATCGATCAATGTGTCCTTGAATTCGGGAATATTGGCAATCGCCCTAGCTTTTGCCAATACATCTTGGTCTAGGATGGCTTCATCAGACCAGACATCGACCGTATGGGCAATCTTGAGTAATTCATGCTCTATAGCGACCAATTCTTCAGATGCCAAAACCGAGGGGTGTAAGCGTCTCCACAAATTCTTCATTAATGTTCCTGTGGTCAATACCATGGCTTCAGTCATCACACTGAGACTATGAAATAATGGACCAAAGAATTCTGGAGACAACAATAATAAGAAATCACCGGATTCTGACATCAATTTAACCAGAATCATAAGTTCGCCCACGTTGATAGTTGATTCCTGAACAGCATCCCAGATCATGTCACGCTTATCAAGGAACAGATGGAGTTTCGTAGCCTGGATATATATAACAACATCAACGATCACCGAACGAATGTTAGCTTAACGGTGAAATAGTCATCAATGGTTTCAAAAAAAAGGGGGGGAAGAGGTTTGACGCAAACTTACATTCTCATCGCTTGCTCCATTCAACGCTTCAATCCATCGCAAGATGATCATGCGAACAGCCGTGAGACAAGGGCTGATCTGTGCCACTACCTGATGCTGCAGCGGCTTGTCCCAAAGTTGTTGCTGGTACAAATATGAGATTTGCACAGTGTTTGGCTTTTTGCCCCTCGCTTGTGCATAGACTTTAGCTTCAATGTACTCCATCTTCTTGACTCGGATAAAGAGCGCGATCAGACGAGCTACAGACTGATACTCAATCCATACATTCTTCGCTTCCGTATTAGTCTCACAAAGTCTGTCGATCGCCCAGAACAAATTCGGGTTCCGACGCATATCAACAGGCTAGGCAAAATTTCCATAAATAAAGTCATTTTGCACATTAGGATACTTTTGCTCATTCCACTAAAATGAAAGCTTGCCCACTTTTTTTTTGTCTCACCTGAAATTCCAAAAACTTCTTATTGAGGGCTAGTTTGGATGCCAATGCTTCTTTCAGCTCTACAAGACGAGGCATCATAGGACTTTGTGACAATTGATCCAAGATATGATCAGCCATCAGTGCCTGTGCTCTGTTTGTCTCATTCAAATCATTATTCTTTAACAGATTTTGAAGCCAGGTCTTTCGTAAACAGGCGTCAAAGAGAGAGCTTGTCTCTAAAAAGTAATGAGCTGCAGTCCAAATCATGGTCGCTGTCGTAATTCCATTAGACTCATCATCCAAGAGTAAGAGATACATCAAGTAGGATCCATCCAATGACACAGTTGCCAATTTTGATTCCTGAGAAAACATGCGGCCTTCGAGCAAGTGAGGGCAGTTCGTAACTGACAATGTACTCCTAATGCTCATTGATTCCACATCAAATGAAGGCGACGCCTCCAGAGCATCAACTTTGGGCAGCTCGAACCAGTGATGGGATTCATCATTCTGTTGCTGCATCGCTGCCTTGGGGACACCCTCAAATGTATATACTTGCTGGACACCGTTTCGAAGCGCCATCTCAAGATATTCTCCACGTTGTAGTCTCTCGACCACAAAACGTGTGTAGAGTAACATATCCTTAGCATGAACTGTCTTCCATGGCATGGTCAATTTGAAGTAGTCGTGAATGTAACGATGGATTTGGCTGATCTTAGACGGAACACCGGATCCTCGAATGCCGAGCGAGTTTGCAATCTTTACTGAATCTTGTATACTGTTGATCCACTCTGCATCCACTAGCGTAATCTCGACTCCACGGTTTCGCATGGCTCTCGAAAGCTCGCCATACCGAGGATCAACCGTCATAAATATCCTAAAATTGGGATGCGGACGGATAATCTTAACTTCGCCATCGATTAATCCACGCTCGTTCACCATTAAAGTGCCATTGGGCTCCATTAATGAATTGAGCCGGTCCAAGACAGAAGGGTTACTCAGGTTGGCATTGTCGATCAACAACCAATATCCATGCTCTAGCGCGTTAATCAACGATCCATCAATCCATTCAAATCGTCCGCTAACAGAAGTCAATTCCAAGTTACGCAGAAGCTTGAACTTTTCATCTAACTCTTGAGCATCCTTTTCGAACTCACTCAGCTTGAACTCTCGGACTAGATACCACAATTGATTCAACAAGGACTCGATTGCATTGTTACGCATCACACGTTCATCTGCAACATGACGTGCCAAAGAAGTTGAGGTACGTTTTGAGAATTTATCTTGTGAATGAAGCAAGTAAAGACTCTGGCTGACCTCGCGAGCGTAAGCAAGTGTGCTATGCTGACCTGGGATTAACAGCATCTCGCGAGAAATACGGCTTGCGAGGCGAGATAGTCCGAAGAGGATATGCTCTTGATGCCGCGCAACATCAACTTGCTCAAACCCACCTAAAAGCTCCATAGTGTCGACTCCAGAATTCATCGAAAACTCCTCCAGCTTGTTTCCAGTTAGGTTGGCTAGGAGTCGGACAATCGAGGTTTTACCACTCGAAGCTGGGCCTGTCAAGATGGCCATCCAATTGACTTCCACACATTTCATTATACCCTCCAATGGTCCAAGGAGCGACTGAAGTAGGTGTAAATCCTTCCCAAGAACATTACTTGTATCTCCATGTCGACGGGGAAGAAGCGAATGCCCAACTTGTAAGTGCATTTCGTCCACGTGGAAGTAAGGGGATTTAGTGCGAGTGTAAGGTTGGTCAAAGATCTTCTCAAACAATGCAACTGTTGCAGCACGATCCTCCTCAGTTCTCATACGCTGTAAGTAGATCAAGTCCAGATGTTCTGCAGGGTCATGATTGTATCCAAGACCATGGTTAGACATAGTCATCAGCTCCATCCAGCGGAAAACATCGCGCAGGTTGAACTCCCATGGACTGCCCTTACGGCCAAAACTAAGCTTGACCATCGTCTCTTCAAACATCTGGTAATTGAACTCAATCATTTTCCGCAACATCGAGTCTTCAACTTGAGGAAACAGGTGCTTACAGATAAAGAGGATGTCGCTATCCAAGAGTTGCTCCACGAAGACCTGTGTGAAGCGGTTTACGAATGACTTGGGCAGCCCTTTACGACCGCCTCCTTGTTGCAGAGGGTTCTGCGCTGCAAAGACTCGGAAATTCATGTTACACTCGAATGTTCTGTCTAGCTCTGGGATATAAACCGACCCACGATGGTCTAGACAGGAATTCAAGCCCTCGAGCACACTCTGACTTGCCAAATTGATTTCATCGAGCAGCACCCAGTCACCACTCTTCATTGCTTGCAAGAACGGTGCGTCTCTCCAGGCAAACTCGCCACTATTTCCACCTTCGACTGGTAGATCAGATCCAAACAAATCCATTAAATCAGTCTGCTCTGACAAGTTAATCCTAACCAAGTTGTGCGCAGAAGCTGTCGCAAGAGCAGAGATGAGTGATGTCTTCCCTACACCAGGTGAACCCTCCAAAAGGATGGGTTTCTTAAGCTGCATCGCACGAAGGACTCGCATGGCATTGTCGGTTGTAGTGGGTGCCAGCAGCGTAAACTTGATTTTTTGGTCTTGTAGGTTTCCCTTCTTAATGTAAAACGGGGTGATTCCAAAGAGTCCACTGTCATTCTTAACTGTGCCAAAGCCCTCTGTAAAGATTGCAGCCTCACCCTGTTGCAAGACCTGTTCATTCTTACTCAATGCCATTAAACACTTGAGACGGAACTCTCTCAAAAGAGCTCCTGTCATGGATGCACCTCCAGCAGAAGCATTCGATCCAAGGCCATCCAAGAGGACCAAGCTTCCTCCATGAACGAATGCCTCCTCAGCTGTCAATTGGCCCTTAGCCATCAATGCGTTCATAAAGCGAACCCAAGCCAGGATATCTCTCAAGCTGACCACAATATGACTCTTACCCAACTCATGTGTGAACCAAGTAACAAAGTCAAGAATCCTTTCTGCAAAGCCCGCCATCTCAGCCTTGTATTGGATTTGCTCCTCAATGATCTTGACCAAATCTTCGCGGTCTGTAACAGCGGGGACCCAGATCTCCGTGAAACGGTTTCGGAGGGCAGGCGACAGTTCTTTCTTACCATAGTCTCCACCAGGGTTCATGGTAGCCAGAAACTGGAAGCCAGGGACTCCATTCATGACCTCAACTGTCTTACCTCCCTTCTCTGCCAAAACCAGCAAACGTTGTGGTTCTAGAACACTGTTCAGACGCTCCAGTACCGAATCGTCTGCCAACGAAATCTCATCCAGCAAGAACAAATGACCGTCCTTCATTGACTGAACCAAAGGACCGTCATGCCACTCAAACAGTGTAGTTGCTTGGCGGTACATGCGACGGAGCTCTGCTATGACTGCAATGACTTCAGCTCCATCTTCTGTAGTTCGACTCTCAAGTTGATTAACTTTGACAAATTTCTCAAATGCAGTGACTACCACATCCAAGTCTGCTTCATCCAGCACAAATGTTACTTCGCCTCCCATCTTGACAATAAAGTTGACAAGCTCATTCTTAGTAGACACAACCATACCCTGATTATTTCGAACTGGGCGTTGGCCTCCTAAAAGGTCCGCAGTTTCTGTGTTCTGATGACAGTTGACGATCACCAGTTCGCGGCCCAGATACTCGGACAACATCTGACAAACTGTGGTCTTACCACATCCAGTCTCTCCAACAAGCAACACGGGCTCATTATTCTTGAGGCAATGGCTCACCAACGTGAAGAGACGCTTCATGGCTTTGGTCCAAACCACATTCTCGCGTCCACCATGGAATCTCTGCATATAATCCAAGACCTCGGGGCAGTTATACATGCGATCCAAATTAATTGTGCTTCGCATCACTTCCTCCAAGACCTCCTTGACCACAGCTCGCTCTTCATCTTTACGACATCTTTCTGCCAAAATCATGTATCCATCCTGAGCTAGTTCCTCATAGCTGCCTGCACCTCGTCCTGCCCATCGGAACAAATCTCGTAGTGTGATAAATCCATGTCCCTGTTCAAACAGTCGGGTGGTCTGGCGACGAGCCATCAGTTTCTTGTAAACTTCTACGAGGCGTTTACAATATGAAGGAGCCATCGTACAACGACGAGACAGGATAGTTTCCAGCTCGGCCTCTGGGATCTCATCAAAAAATAGTTCCAGAAATCGGTTCCTAAAGGCTCTTGAGAGTTGCTTGCGTCCCCCATACAATCCCGCTGGGTTCTGAGTCGCAAACAGTATAAAATCCTGATGAGGCTTCACAATCTCACCTGTTTCAGGGATCACTAACTCTCGATTATCATCCAACAATCGATTCAGAGCCTCAAGAACATCACTAGGAGCCAAATTGAGCTCGTCCAATACAATCCAGTATCCATTTTTAAGTGCTTCCACTAAAACACCTTCTTGAAAAACGAGCTGTCCCTCCGAATTAGAGATATAAGTCCCAATGTACTCTTGCAAATCCGTATGCTCATGATTGTTAATTCGAACAAACTTGTGGCCCAACCGATGTGCCAGATATTCAATCATAGAGGTCTTTCCTGCAGAAGTAGGACCTTGAATCAAGATTGGGAATCGACGTGTCATGACCACACGAGACAAATTATTGAGGTTGTGCTCCACAGATGGCGTCAAAATATACTGCCCATCATCTCGAATCGGATGAGAGCCGCATTGGAGCCAGAAATGACCAAATTGGATCATCTCTCTTCCTTCTTGAAGAGGATAATCTGGCTTGCGTGGGATCTGAGTGATGACTTGACGTGGGTTCTTGACACCGTTCAACAAATACTTCTCGACCAATGCTCGGACAGTTCGCTCACTTTCTCTGCTCAGCTGAGTCAAAAAGGTCATACTGAAAGCTTCATACATCGATCGACGCAATCCATATGTGGCCACGATCTCACGAACAAACTGTAAGGCCCTTGTTAATGTTCTCATTGAGAAATGAGGCCGTTGATTAGCACCATCTACCAACTTGTGTGCATAACTTAAAGCCTTGACTGCCAAATAAAAATCCGCAATGTCGGGGATGGCTCTTGAATCGCTCAGTGTACAGGATTCGAGATATTTTTTGATGATTTCCAACAGATCCTCACGTCTAGCATCTGGTGGATGGACATAAAACTCTGTGAACCGATTCCGTAAACCTGGAGGCAAATCCCGTTTGCCTACATCTGTTGCAGGATTCATACAGGCAAACACACGGAAGTTCTTGTGACGGACTACCGGTTCAGAATCTCCTCGTTCTGCCAAGAGAATGCTGCCATGTTCGTCCTGAAGCAATCCACTAAGACATTCTAGCGTTTCGGTCGTCGCCAAGTTGATCTCATCCAACAAAATCCAGTCTCCACGACGGACTGCCTTGACAAGTGCACCCTCCAAGAATGAGAACACGAATTTTGCAGACGACACAGAATAAGTTTCTTTGAGAATCGCGAGCTGATCTGCAAATGTTTGCCATTCTCTTTGAAGTTTGGGTGAAAGCTTCTTTGATGCTGTGCTCGCTGCTGTTGTCGCTCCTACTGCTGCCGTACTGTCGACATTTGTATCAACATCTCTTTGTTGTTTCCTACTCGTGTCTAGTTTACTCTCTGCCATCTGAATCGACTGTGACCAAGCCTTGATCAATGCATCCCATTTGCTGTGCATATAGAGCTTATCGACTAGGTTTATGAACTGCTGATTTTTCTTTCTTGAAAACGTTCTCGAAAAGAGATCATCAAACATGTTCTTCAATGGTACTGCAAGGACCTTCACATCCACAGGTTTAAATCCTCCCAATAGATCTGAAGAATCTGATTGTTGAGATAAATTAATGACTGTAAGGTTATGGTTCAACAAACTGGCTAGATGTTGAACTACAGTTGTTTTTCCCGTTCCAGTTTCACCAACCAATAACACTGGTTCGTTTAAATGGACCGAAACTGCAATCCGCTCCATTAGTTTTGCAGCATGTGCAGTCTTCGCGAAATCTGATTTTCTTATTCCTTTCTTGACTTTACGATGACTTCCCCCTTGATCAATACCCAAGATTGGAAGTGTCACGCGGCCGATCGTAATATTGTCTGGGTCGCGATCATTGAGTTCTGGTGTATAGCTGTTGATATAATGTCGAACCATTTGCTCTGGAATCGTCAAAGCAGCACCTAATCGGACCAAGACTCGCTCCCAAACATCATATTCTGCAATCATGGAACAGAAACAGTCCACGGCTTCTGAGAACAGATCTTGAAGAATCTTTTCATCCACTCCTCTCTTAGTACTGATCAGGTTCCCTAACGCCATGAACCCCCCTTTCGCCTTGATTAAAGTATCTATACGAGTACACCACTTCATCAAATCACGAGGCGAAATAACGCGAGAAACCATGGATTGAGAGGATGAGAACTCTGATGATGCAAAGGTAGCGGAGATGGCTTCAAAGACATGCATGATCAAGTTGGGCAGAATTTGATCAGGTCCTAGCTCCTGGAACCGTTCATGGATAATTTGAGATAACTCCTGATGCGAAAGCGAGTTGACCTGAACGCGTGTCCAGAGGTTGGCTCCAATACTAGCATCAGCCCCGCCGACATTACGTGCCATTAATCGCCCACCACCCGAACGAGATGGAATCATGGATTGAGTCGCGAATAGCTGAAATCCCTCATGAGCAGGGATCTTTTCGCCACGACTAGGGATAAAAAGTGTCCTGGATTCCAGTAATGGAAGGAGAACTGATAGAACTTCCATGGGGGCTAAATCGATGTCCTCGATCAACAGCCACTTTCCTTCCCTGACAGCCGTCGTAAGCACGCCTGCTTGCCATTTAAACGATCCTGGTTTTGAAGTGGAGACATATGTACCCAATAGTACTTTTGAATCTGTTTGATCGCCCAAATGGATCTTGACAAGATCTTTGAAGAAAAAAAAAAATTAAAAAAATTAAAAATAAAAAGAAAAAGAAAATAAGTAATACTGAAATATCATTAATCCACTGCAACTTATAAAAAAGGACAGAAGTAACTTTTTATACCATCACGACCGGTCACTCTGGCAACTTCTTCTACTAGTGCAGTCTTTCCAGCACCTGTGACACCCTCTAATAAGACGGGTGCGCCAATTGAGAGCGCGAGTCCGATAGAATGTAGATTATGTTTTGTGGTTTCTGTCAAGACTAGTTTATGGCCCGACAATAATGATTGTTGAGGATGTGGATTGTTGGATCTTGGCAGGAGTACACCACAGAGGTTGACTGTCAATGGTGAAAGATCTTCAACCATGATACGTCGATCCGCTAATGATGCAGTGGATGATGATAATGATGTCGACGTTGGTGGATTCTTGAATAATGCAAGTTGAGCCGCTGAAATCCGATCCTGCTCCAGTAGACTGAACAATTTCAAGTCATAACGAGTAATATAAAAGTAAAAAGAACATTCAAGTTAGATACCTCTCTTCCTTCTTCCATCCCTGTGAGCAATGACAAGCAATAATAACTATACATCAATCCTCTTCCTCTCCCTCTTTAATTCAGACATAGACACTTACGACAACAGATCCGCGCGATACTTTTGGAATCCGACGCTCCATTCAATACTGTCCTTGATATTCAAGTGGACCTTTAGGGCTTCCGATATCTGATCGTCCCGAATATCAAGCACAACTGCTAAACATTGGATCGCCAAATATTTTAATGGCTCATCACTGAATCCCAAACAGCTATAAACCGGTGTCCAATCCCACAACGTCGAAAATGTTGACGATGAGAATTTCAAAAGTCGATAACAAGTCATCAATGTATCGTGAGCTCTTTTTATTTCATCCTATATACAAGGAGAGGACAAGACAATGATTATTAATAATTTGTGCGATCCATAGAGTATCCGTTTGAGAAACATGAAAACACTGGATTTTTTTTTCTTTACATAATAATAATAACTATAACAATATACCTGTTGAGGATCCTGAATGTGTTTGTCTGTAAGTGTATTGAGCCATTCCAGTGGCGATGGATATTGTAAAAATATACGAACTGCAAAGCTATTCATTTTGGAAACAAGAGGGCAATGGAATGAAGTGGACCATGGTTTAGTAATTAAAGTTGTTTTTCACCCAAAACCCAAATCTTTCTTAGTTTCTTTTCTTTCTTTCTTTCTTTTTTTCCTTTTCTTTTTTTCCAATACCTCTTAACTTGTGGAACTATAGGAAGGATCAGCCCAAAGACCTGTGCAATCCTTTGTAGGTCCTGCTGTAATGAAAAATTTGTAGGAAATGAATCAATGTCTGTGATTGAGTCTATGTTATCAGTGTCCATATTCATCTTGGGTGATGATGCTGCTGAAACTGATGCTGAAACTGATGCTGATGCTGATACTGATGCTGATGCTGATGTTGATGTTGAAACAGAGTCTGGAATCATCCATCGAGCGACCAGATCAAGGACAATAGGTCGATACAATTCTACGATCTTTATTGCCAAATGCTGGTTCTTAAGCAGGTTCGACAAAATGTTGAGCACTTGTGAAATCTCTGAACGTTGAAAAGGGTTTGATCGATCAGCCAAAGCATGCAGTAATTGGAGTTGCGATGCAGTCATAACTTTGTTATTGTATGAGGCCATTTCTTTGCCCTTCTCCTTGAAGGTATCCAAAAACTCAAGAAAGTTTGTGGTTGCAGCCGCGAGATCCATGCTGAGTGGATCATGGATAGTTGACACTGAGGTGAAAGGGCCAGAAGATGCCATGATTTAATAAAGATGAAGTGAAAAGTAAAAGTTTTTTTTTATAGTGTGTGTGAAGAGATTAAAAGATGAATGCTATGAATAGTAAATGATATGCAGATGATAGTGTGATAAAAATGAAATGAAATATGAAGGGTCTTTTTCCTGCTTATACTATTGCTCTTATTCTTCCTTTCTAGTTTTTCTAGTCTTTGTGCGCAGACGAAGAAAAAAAAAAAAAAAAAAAAATGAGAAGGAAGGAAAGAAGGAAGGAAGCATAAAAAAGCAAGGTGCAAAGTTCAAGGGAACCTTTCTAAATAATTAGACCAAGTGATTTTTTTTTTTTTTTTTTTTATTGTGGCGCATGCTGAAATAAAAACATAAGAGTGACTGGTTTATTAAAACACATAAAAAAACTACTGAAAAAAAAAAGTAATTAGGCTTCACTGCGCCTTTGCCTTCGATACACCACTGGCAGTGCTACTACTTGGCCTGTACTTGGGAAGCAAATAGAACTTGTAGATGGGATACACAGTGAGTAGTGTCAGGAACACCATCCAAAAATAAATAACCGGCTTGGGTGCAGGATCAGGAAACTCTCCTTGGCCAAACTTGAAAACGATTAACACTTCGGTTGCAATATTGGCGATCAACAACCAAGCCTGTGGCCCAATGCGCTTGCAATTGCTATTACACAAAGCGAAAGGAAATAAACCAATAGAGTATGAGTAATGGCATATCCTAGATTAGATATGTAATCACAGATCTCAAATACAAGACGCTACTTACGCATCGTGGAAGTACTGATAAGCCTCGCGCACACCAGGGATCCCGAACATAAAGAAGGCAAAGATTCGAATCACATTGATGATATGTGCGGGAGGAATCCACAGTAACGTCTTAAGGTAGAATGCGTTCAACTCGCAAATTAAGAACTTGAGAATGAGAGTTGTAGAAAGGAAAAGAGGTCTCTGTGAGTACGATACAAGAAAAGCACAATGTACAGACTAGCAAGAGTTCCGGGTGAGGATCCTGATTGATCTCTTTACCATAGTGAGTAGAAAGATAACAGTACAATAACTCTTAAAGTTCTTGGTGGAATTCCATTCAAACTTCGTCCAGGACTTTGGTGTGAACTGCTGCATCGTGCGCTTCATCTTTCCCTTGATGGTTGGGATATCTGACCATCCTTGCCAAGAATACTGCTTCATCTCAAAGTACTCACAGGTCTTGACACCCAAGTACATGCCCAACCAGTTGCAAAGTAAAACATCCAGAATCCACTAGCAAAAGCAAACAAACAAGGTAAAAATAGCTCTGCTTAATTAAAATGATGGGTCAGGGACAATTAGCAAGAATGAGATCGTAGAGCAGCAACAAAAAAAAACCTACATGGTCCCACCAGCACTCGTCAAAGTTGTTGAGCTGGTGCGAGAGCGAATATTCCATGACTTCGAACATGATTGACAAAATCCAACAGAAAGTGTAGTCACGTATGATCAACGCCTTACAGAACCATCCGATAGCATGAGCAAGGACAAACTCATCAAATACTTGACCCTACATTAAGAAGTAATATAATAAAGGATCCCAGATGGCGGGAAGAGACAAGAAAAGGATATATCAAAAAGATACGAGATGAATGAATTCTCCTCACATAACATTCAGAATGGAAGAAATGCTCTCTGACCAACTGAAAAGGCCATAAATCAAGATGCTAAAAAAAAAAAAAAAAAAAAAAAAAACGGGGGAAGGGGAGGGCCAATGAGGGCCTTGCACCTACCACAACGTTGTCCCAAGTCAATTCACAGGCGTCGCCATATGATTTTTCGGGCAATGGAACACCAAGAGACGGATCAAGATACTTGAAGAACATTCTCGCATCATGCTTGTTCTAGTAGGTGTAACAATGTTTAAGTCTGTTTAAGTTTGTGTTCCCTCGTTTGATCATCGACAACATAAACAAATGATGCGAGAGTGAGAGTGGGAAAGTTGTAAACTACAGATGACGAAAAATATAGAATGGTCCAGCAACTTCTTATCTTTCTAGCCTTTTTTTTTTTTTTTTTTTTTTTTTTTTTCCACTGTTTTACCTGGAAAAGTAGAAAGACGAGAAAGAGCTGATACACGACACCTAAAGCCAAGACAACTCGCCAGAGAGCAGGATGGGGTCTCAGTAGTAAACTGTCTCGGAATTGAAGCATACCGAAGACGCAAAAGGATCCAATTGCTGCTGTCACACCACTAATTTGGCAAGGATGAATCGGAAAAGAAGGGGAAGACCTCTGTCATCAGTATATTAAATGTATTAAGTAAGCACTTTATGAAAGCTTTTATGAGAAAAAGGACTCGTACAGCTTCACGTTTGCACTTGTATCATCAATATCGGGAGTCATCGCCACGTAGACAAGACCGAGCAACATGGCTCCGAGGATGGTAAGAGTTCTTGGCGTATCTATTAGTCAATAATAGCACCGTAAGGTATGTTAGATTCCCTAGTTCCTGGATCTGATATCACTGGAATTTGTTTTGCCATACTAAGTGTCCTTTTTTTTATTAGCATAATAATCATTACAGAAGAATCCTACGGCAGGGTCCTGCTCCGTATGTGTTTTTTGAAACTGAACCGAAGTGTCTTTAGTGAACCATTCAGGCTTATCGTCAAGTGAAGAGGATGCATCCGAAAGAGTAGACAATGCAGACGAACTGGATGCCTGGCGTGACTTGAGGAGAGTAGACCGAAAAGTCATCTCTGCATGAACATGGTCATGCTCTTCACTTGTGGAAGCATTCGAGAGGTGATCCTGTGAGATGGTCATTGTATAAAAACTCTCTCTCTCACACCCTTTTTTGTTGTTGTTGTTCTGCTGTTCTGCTGTTCTTCCGAATAAAAAAAAAAAAAAAAAAAAAAAAAAAAAAAAGTGGAATTGTTCTTCCTGTGAATCCAACAATTAACGAATGAGAAAAGAAATAGACGAGTGAGAAGTTGATTGAATCAATATAAAAAAAAAAAAAAAAAAAAAAAAAAAGAAGCAAAAGGACGAAATATTACTGAACAAAATAAGCATTTTTTTGATCTTCCTCCCAGGTGTCCAGTCATCTGCTTCTTCCCTGTTTCTGCTTCTGCTTCTATTTCGGCTTCTGAATCTGAATCTGAGACTGGTACCAGCAACCGTTGATTGGCGGTGATGACTCTTCTCGAACTTCCTTGGCAAGGCCACGTTGCTTGGCTTTCTTTTTTTATTATTATTATTTTCCTTTCACGGGTTGCTGTTACAAAGGATTGAACCACAGATCCGGACATTGTAAGCTTTGAATATCATGAGTCGTGCCAGTACTTCACTCGGACAATATTAATGATTTGTACAGTAATATATCTCTTACTTGGATGTATCACCAACCTGTAGTGTAATCACTACACGCCAAGATCATATTAAAGCCCTATACGATGCAAGCTGTTTCATTTCGCCACCAGAACAATAACATACTATCACAGATGGCAAATCTGGATACAATAAATATTAAATATGGTAAGAGAGACAACAAAGATAGTCCGAAAAAAAAAAAAAAAAAAAAAAAAAGATAGAGAGCCATGCTTGGCAAGATTAAACTGATTCATCAAGACCAAACCCAGATGTCAGAGGCTACCTGCTATATCAAGACTTCTACAATAGGAAAGCTTAACTGTTCACTCATTTGATTTTGCTCAGTGTCCCTTGATCCACGTTCTTATGAAAGGTCGGTCATTCTTAGAAAAAGTTCTGAATGTGGACAAGAGGATAATCAAAACAAATGGGTAGATTGGCAGAATAAAATTAATGCCCATCAAATTGAACGCGTTCATCCGGTCATTTCAACTCGGGTATTTTTTAGTAGTAACAAAAGCTACTTCACTTTTTGAAAGAAAATACCAGAAAATACCACAAAGAAATGAACCACTTCTTCTACCAGAAAAGTTCTTCCTCACCCTCCAGCAGTAACAGTCGGGATATTTTGGTCATACTTCATTATGTCATAGTTAGTGGATTTGACTGGTTATCTCTTAGATTTGCACTCTGTCACGCACTGTTTCTCGGCTCCCTTGTAGAAGTAACATTGGAGCGACCTGGAGGTAGGATCACTTTACTGTTGAAAACAATAAAAAAACGATATGGATAAAAGGTATGACAGCTCCTCTTCTCTGGCAAACAAGCAACATCGATTTCACTTCAGAGGAAGTAATGTTTCCAGCACTCTAGTACGTTTGTATGGATTGATACAGAGGACACACCGTGGGCGATTCATATCATTAGTTCTGTTGAGACATTCTTGGTGAAAGCAAGTAGGATCAAGAATTGAAGAAAGTGAAAGGATGAGTATGACTTTTGCTTCTTAAGCATGGTCTTTCCCATCCAAATCTAATATTTGCCACCAATACACATCATTTTAAATGTAAACGGGAATGTCCATGCATGCTGCTAGGAAAGGGGAAAGAAACCCAGGCCACTGTGTCTGTGCCTGCCTGAAACAGAAAAGGTGGTATACAAAAGTTTGTCGCCATTTGCCCTGGAAAGACTTCTGTTTTCTCTCAACAAAGCTCACGTGCTCTGGTGCCAAAGTGCACTGGTGCATCGGTTGCTTGGATATAACAGCACTATTCTATGATAAGCAGATGACAGACTGCACCGGCTGTTTCATGAACTATAGACAAAAGGATATGCAAACACAGACGCAACGACAGAAATTGTGCATTAAACATGGATAGTTGTGTTGTCTGACCATCTCTTTTCAACGTCTCTCTCATTCATCCTTTTCTTTTTCGTTCGTTCACCCCCTTTTGGAGGGTTCTCTTGTTGTTGGTACCCTACACATTATCTGTCAAGCGACCCGTATACCATCACTATCGATCCCCACTTTTCGCTGCTTCAACGGCTAGAACTGCCATTACCGTTTGCTTTCTGTTGTTCAGTCAGTTTGTTTTCATTAATTGTAAGTGTTTAATCAGAATTTTTAACAATACTTGACATGCCTAACCCCTTATGAATAGTAAACAAAGGAAAACTTCCCCCTGTGTTCCCCCTGTGTCATTCACGGGACCCCCGGCGGTGAAGAATAAAAAAGAAATGTTCTACGAAAATGTTGTTGAATGTTTGAATGTCTGCCAAATACAAAAAAGGCTGAGAAACGGATGACATCCTTATTCACCCCTTTATTCCAGCGTATGTTGTATTACATATGTCATGATGTCGCTGTTGAAGCTTGTTTGTTTGTTTATGTACACTACTCCGCTCAGGGACACAGACAGGGCACGCGCACGCGTGGGCGCATTTTTGGGAAAAGAAGAGAAAACAATGATTATAATATAGCCATTAACATCAAGAAGCATCTCTTTTTCCTTCTTCTTCCTTTCCCTTTTCTTTTTCTTTTCTCATTCCACTCTTCGTTTCAACGCGTTCTCATCTATTTGTACATAGTCTTTATTCGATTACCCTCTAATCAACCTTTTTAGAATCCATCTTAAGAAAACGCCTTTTTTTTTTATCCGTTGATTACACCTATTTATCAAGACAGATATACCTCTTTTATTTTTTCTTGTTGTTGTTAATCATCATCACTGACCTTTGTTTAATTCATTCTCTTCCTTATTGATGTCTTCAGCGCAGGCCAATTGAGGACAAAAACAAAAACAACAACAATAAGGAAAAAAGAAAAGCAAAGCAAAAGCACCACACTTTACAATATACCACAAAAGAGGATAGCAGGAGTCCCCGCTTTCATTTGTACAACCCACTCCCCCTTCCTTCACTCCTATTCCTTCCTCTCTCAAAAGCTGTTACAAAAGCATCAAGATATTAAACCATGTTGTCCAATGCAAGACCCATGTCGGCACTGATCTCAGTCTCGTCATTAGGCGACCTGACCATGAATGGAGATACCGAAGATGTCACAGGTAAGAAAAAAAAAGTGAACAGATAACAAGATGACAATATACATGTGTCTGCATCACCATTCGTTCTGTCAGGAAAGGAAAAATAGGGAAGACCTTGACAGTACACAAGGAAAAGCTAGTCTAACCACCAAGGACACAGAAATGAGAGAGATGAAGTGCAGTTATTTTTTATTTTTTCATCATAACCAACGCACTATACGCACAAACCATGTCTTTGTTGTTGATGGTGCTGGACAGGTTTGGTTTAGTGCCTTTTCTGTGTATTGTGAACTTTATTGAAAATAATCATTGCAGTTGGAAATGTCCCGACCGATGATCGATGTGTGATGCCATTACACCCTTATTTTGGTAAATGATTAAACGGGCGAAAGAAGACTAGTGGTCAGGTCCATACAATTTATGAACAGATGGCCCAAAACGACACTTTTCCTCCTGAAATTTCCCGGCATATGGCTTCAGTAACAGCGGTTGTGCCTAAGGGAATTCACCACGACAACAGAGACAACAACAGCAAAAGATAGGAAAGTTTTTTTGCTTACAAAGGGGCTCCTCCAATGTGGGGTGTGTGAAAGTGGATGGATCGGATGAACACATGATTTTATTACTATTCCAAACCTGTGTAGGTGATGCTTTCACAATTCAAGAAACCCAAAGTGGATTCAAAAGAAGGGATGGAAAGAGCAACTATACGATGCTGGGATACATTGCTGAACATGGCTCATTCAGATGATGACATTACTCATTCATTCGGTATATACAATTCATTACTAACACTATCTTTGCCCTTGTAAAATACTTTTACTTAGGCATGAGAGGTCGTATTCGACTGACACGCGAAGACGGGGCAAGAGGAGGCCGCTGGATGGATCAGTCTCGCAAGCAAGTGCAAGCATACGACTACCTGTGCCATATTGGAGAAGCCAAAGAGTAAGCACATTTCATCCATTATACTTTTATATATATAACAAGAAATGCCATCTAATGGACCCTAATTATTTATCGATACATCCTTATTGTAAATTAAAGGTGGATTGAGGCCTGTATTAATGAAGAGATCGACCCAATTATCACATTGGAAGAGGGTCTTCGGAATGGCGTTGCATTAGCAAAGCTGGCACGGTTCTTTGATCCATCTTCAGTAAAAAAAATCTTTGAGCATCCAGTTCTTCAGTATAAGCATTCCGATAATATCAACTGTCTCTTTAAGGCTATGCGCAACATCAAACTACCAGAGGTAACCACAACAACAGCAAATTATGATTTCTGCATTTTATGACATCTGTGCTCTCAAAATTTTTCCCTCTGACATCATTTTTTTTTTTTTTTTCAGATTTTTATTTTTGAGTTGACAGATCTATACGACAAGAAAAACATCCCCAAGGTCATCTACTGCATCCATGCACTCTCACACATGCTTGCTCAAAAGGGAATGGCTCCCAACATTAAGAATCTTGTAGGAGAACTTCAATTCACAGACGCAGAAATTCATGCAACCCGTCAGGGTTTAGATGCAGCAGGCGTATCTCTTCCTAGTTTCGGTAATGTTGGATCAGCACTAGCGAGGGAATTAAAAGGACCCGAGTTTGCAATTGCAGAAGCAATCCCTGAAGAAATAGAAGAAGAAGAACCAGAACCGGAGACTTTACTATCAAATCAGGAACTACGGGATCTTTTCTGGGCCAACAATACAGATTCAATTGTAAGGTGTCAAGCCATATGGAGGGGTGCTTTAGAGAGGAAACGATTCTTGGCACGGAGAAATATGCTTATGGAGGCCGAAGAGTTCTTTATTAAGCTTCAGGCCCAGACACGTGGTTTGCTTGTGAGGCGGAAATTCCATAACCGACTACAAGAGCTACATACGTTTGAGCCGCAAGCGATAACAGTAAGTCTTGCTTCTTTTTTTCACTCCTTTTCCAGCTCTAGGCCCTTGGGCTTAAAATTGGGGATATATAAAGAGGAAATGTGATCTAACATTCCTTTATCATAACAAACTGTAGATCCAAAAACATGTTCGTGGCTATCTACAACGCAAAAAATACCAGGGCCGTCAACAACATTTTAAGAACCATGTTGACAGCGTTATTAAGATGCAAAGTCTTTTCCGTGCCAAAGCTGCCAAAGACGCCTATCGCAGTTTGAGTAGGTTTTTTTTTCTCTTTAATTGAGATTATTGAGAAGCGTTGAGGTCTCATCTGAAAGTGCTTTTCCTTTTGTAGCTACCTTACGGATGCTGATTTCAATCTTTTTTTTTTTTTTTTTTTTTTTTTTTAAGCTTCGGGCATCAACCCCCCTATCTCGACGCTCAAGTCTTTCTTGCATCTCTTGAATGACAGCGATTTTGATTTCGAAGAAGAACTAGAACTTGAAAACTTACGTCAGCTGGTGGTTCGCCGTATTCGCGAGAACACTCAGTCAGATGCTCAATTAAACGAGTTGGATATTAAGATTGCATTGCTGGTTCAGAACCACATTACACTGGATGAAGTGATCAAGACCACAACTTCGTTGACGAAAAAGAAACAACAGCGTCGCATGTCAATGCCAGTCTCCGCTACCAGCAACCCTTATACGCTAAAGTCGTTGGACCGTGAGAGTCGTGACCGATTAGTGTTGTATCAGCAGCTCTTCTATTTACTACAGACTCAGCCCACGTACTTTAGCAGGCTGTTCTTTATGATGTCTAAGACTGGATTGTTCACAGACAGAATCAAGAAGCAGATTGAGAGCATTGTCCTCACGCTTTTCGGATATGCACAAAACTCACGAGAGGAGTACTTGTTGCTCAAGTTGTTCAAGGTAAAAAAAAAAAAAGCACATTACACACGCTTTGGCTTAACAATGCCAAGCACATCCGTGAAGCGAATGATGAATCCTAATTGAACTTTTTTTTTTTTTTTTTTTTTTTTGTAGCAATCTATCTTTGAGGAAGTAGGAGAAATTCTGAATGTCAATGACTTCATGCGTGGCAACTTTATGTTCGTGAAAATGGTCATGGTCTACGTCCGCGGAGCCAAAGAACGTCGTTACTTGCGTGATCTTCTTGGCCCCCTGGTTCGCCAAGTCCTTGAAGATGACTTTTTGGACCTCGAAAGTGATCCACTCATGGTAAAAAAAAAAAAAAAAAAAAAAAAAAAAAAAAGCTAATGTGTTGATGCTCTTAACGCTTCCTTGCCCATTAATACGTCAACCTCTGCTTCCCGAATAAAAACGTAGATCTACAAAGCCAGTATCAACAATGAAGAATTGCGCACGGGTCGACCTTCAGAGCGTCCACTCCATATTGATCACACCGAGGCATTGGCTGACCCAGAGACCCGCACAACATTCATTCATCATTTGCAAGAATTACGCCTGCGCACTGAGATGTTTTTGAATGCAATTCTGGAAAGCTTACCAAGGATGCCTTATGGTATCCGTTACATTGCCAAGGAGGTTGGAAACGCTCTTCGCTTAAAATTCCCTGAGGAACCTGAGGAAAACATCATGAAGGCTGTCGGCAATTTGATCTACTACCGATACCTCAACCCTGCGATTGTGTACGTTTGACTACTTTTTGAAAAAGAGGAAAAACGTATGCCATGAATGAAAAGACATTCTAAGCGTATCTCGCTTTCTTAATTTCTCATTTGCACTTTTTTTTTTTTTTTTTTTTTTTTTTTTTTCTCTCTCGCCATGTTATAGTGCGCCAGAAGGTTTTGATGTCATTGAGGGAGTTGTCAATCCTATGCAACGTAAGAATTTGGCCGAAATCTCCAAGATGCTCAACCAGATTTCAGTCGGAAAGTTATTCTCGGACGACAATGTGTACCTCAAGCCTCTAAACGAGTATGTAGGCTATGCAGGAGCACGTTTCGCCACATACTTTAAGAATGGTAAGGCTTACAAGCAGGAAAGAATCACCTAACGGAGGATTAGAAAACCCGAATGCTCCTTGCTTTCTTACTGACCCTTTCAATTATTTTATTTTGTTTTTATGCTTCTCCCAATAGTTGTGGAAGTCGAGGAGCCTGAGATGCAATTCCAGATTAACGAGTATGTTGATCAGGTGAACACAATCCGTCCCACTGTCTATATCTCGCCCTATGAAATCTTCAACATGCATGCTATGCTTATCGATAAGATTGATTTCCTTGCACCAGAGATGGAGGACCCTCTTCGTGTCATTCTTTCAGAGCTTGGTAATCCTCCAGCTGGTTATGAGGAACATTCTCAGGGTCATGGTGAAGTCTGTTTAACGTTGCAGAATCGGTTTACAGCCAATTTGGATGACCCTGATATGGATCTGAAACATTTGTTTGTGGAGACCAAGCGTTATATCCTGGCCATCATTCGCATTCAGTCTGGTCAGAACTTGATGGAAATTTTAGAGCGTCGTGTGACAATTCATGAGGAGCAAGCTTGGGAGGAACTGAAAGCCACAGAACTGAACCGTCAACAACATCATCAACGGAGAATAGAAAACGTGTCGGAGTCTTCGTTAAATGACCATTTCCGTGCTGCAGCGAATAATATGATGGCGGACATGAATGCGATGAGATTCATTGAGTTGAAGCAGCATGCAATTGACGGTATCTTGCAGCTCGAGTCAACGGGCAAGGTGACACGAAAGAATGGGTACCAGGATATGATCAATGCAATTGCACTTGATATCCGAACTAAGCACCGTCGTCGTCTCCAGCGTGCAGCAGAATTGAACCAGGTGAAGCAGACGTTGAGCAACTTGAATGAGAAGAGACAATACTTGGAGAGTCAGATTAAGTCGTACCATGATTATGTCGAGTCATGTATGAACAATATTACGACCAAGAAGGGCAAGAAGCAACGCTATGTGATGCCCTTCACGAAGCAATATTTCCATATCCGCAACTTGCAGCGACATGGCAAGGTGCCTCAGTTTGGATCGTTCAAGTACACGGCTCAAAAGTTGTTTGAGAAGGGAGTGTTAATTAAGCTTGAAGGAGTGTCTCCTAAGCAGTACTCACAGATTTCGTTGACAATTTCATGTGACGAACCAGGATTGTTCCAGATTGAGGCCGAGACCTCGATTCTGATGATGAAGATGCCAGTGACGAGTATGGAGTTGAGGTTAGAAGATCTATTGCAATGCCAGTTCAACAACATCCAGATCATGAGTCTGTTTGATGATATGGCAAAGGTCAATGTGAATCTTTTGCTTTTCTTGGTTAACAAAAAGTAAGTTTTTGGTGCTCTTTTTCTCTTTCTCTCTGTGTGCTTGTGTGTGTATGTGGCCATCAAGCCCATCAGTTTATGCAACTTTACTAACGTATGATTGGACAATTGTTATTGTTACAGGTTCTACATCTAGACATACACACGCGGTCCATATTCACACACAGCAGGAAGATGACAGGTGTAATAGACGTGCCGCTGCATTTCTCCCCTTTCCTCGCCTCACCCCTAATGTTAATAATCATTGTGACCAAATAAATTTTTTTTATCTATTCACCACACGCGTCCAAATCTTTGACACGTCACAGGAGACGAATTTTTTTTTTTTTTTTTGCATCTCTTTCCTTCCCTTTTTTGTTTTCTTTTTTTTTTTTTTGCTCCCATTGCCATTTGACCTTGGCCTTCATTGGCCAAGGCACTGGTTTTTGTAATGTCGACCTTCTGATGCGTCGGGTTTATACATTTACTTTTCCAGGATAAAAAAAAAAAAAAAAAAAAAAAAGTAAGAACATTGAATTCAATTATGAACATGTACAGAAAAAAACTTGGAATGAATGCTGACTCGACAATATCTTTGATGCAGTTAGATGCTCCGCTCGAGTTTTCTTGAGCGTTAACATGAAGTTGGTGGGAGTGTCTTCAGGGAGCACAGCTGGTATTACCACTATGTGCTCCACCTACAAAGTAAGAACAATTGATGATACTGGATGGTTCTGCCGTTTTTTTTTCCTTTTTCCTTTTTTCCTTTTATAATGATACTTACTACCCGGATGCTGTCTTTGTTTTAATAACATCAATTAGAATAAAAAACGAGATTCAAAAGAGACACGGGTATGGATCTGTTATCCTTGATTCATCAATTTTGCATAATTGACTCGTCCTATTAACTTTTCTTTTTTCTTTTTTCTTCCAACAGCTACAGAAACGGTCTTTCGATCCGTTTCTTAGCCGGCGGCGGGCGGGGAGAGGGAAGTGAATCGGAGATTGTTGGATGGAAACCAATTTCATCCAAAATCCAAGAAATCAGCCAGTCCCCGCATAGGGGTTGGTTAATCGGGCGGCGCCCCCCCTCCCCCTTATTATACCCTGCTGTGTCTTGTAATCAGTTTTTTTTTTTTTTTCTTTTATTGCGCTGGAGCGCCGGATGATGGCTTAATTTTAATCAACATACCTGCCTCATTCGGAGTGAACTCCATGTACATTAATAAAATAGATTTTTTTTAAAAAAAAAAAAAAAAAAAAAAAAAAAAGAGTATCGCGTATGATGTCGAGAAAGAAAAATGGAATAACTCATTCACTAATATTCAAAGGAACTGTTTAGTAAAAAACATTACAGAATACAGAGCGAGTAGTTGGATAAAAGAAAGAGGACTACAAGAGAAGAATGAATTCCCCCCTGATTCCCCCTGTCCGTTCAACAGCTCTGATTGGATGTGTGAAATAATTGCTAAGGATCTGATCTTTGTGTTCAAACTGCAGTGTTCATGCAGCTCCAACTATTGTTCCAATTGTTCTGGGACGATCTTGATTAATAACCACATGCTTTCTCCCTCTATCCCTGTACCCACCTGCTCCAATCTTTTCTAAACATCAGGAGGCGAGATATCTCTTTGGACGGAGGATATTCCATGGATTCTTTCAGTCTGAATCACAGATCCACTCATAAATCTTTGGGAGAGATGGGCTCAGAACCCGTTATTTTTGTCGGAGTACCTAGTCTGGTCACTTCGTTCGAAATAATTTTTAAATACATCCGCGGAAACTGTTATCCATATTCTCTCCTTCAATAGAGCGCCTATCCCAAACCTGTTCTTCCTACCGCACCTGTTATGACCACACAATCGTCGTGTAGACTTGTTGATCTTTTTGAATCTCATTTCTGACGACATGCTCCCGATTGTTGGTTTGCTACTCTTTTGTACTCCTGTTGCCATTTGAGTGTTATGTGTAGAATTTTATTACAGACATGCTTTTTTCATTCAATAGCCTGCCTGATACATCTAGGCAATCCTCCTACTACTCATCCTTTTGATAGCCATATCGTGGAAAAATTATTCATCATCATATCATTTGTATATGCATCATGCCCCATGGGGCTATTGGGGTGTTTTTTTTTTTTTTTTTTTTTTTTTTTTTTTGGAAAAAATGCTAATAGTATTTTGTTTAGCCAGTACGACCACCTCGGTTACCCCACCCTTTAGGATTATCGTCTTTAAAATCGTCCCAGGCTCTAGCCTTTAACGTCTCTGCTTCTAGACCTGCTTCGTCATTATCATCAACTTCCTTCTTCGTTGGCTCTTCAGTTCCTCCAGACAAAATGTTACCACGCTCCATCTCTTGATCCAGATATTGCTCAATGGTCATAGTCGGCAAACTATGGCCTGGCCGGAAGACACCTCTCATCATTTCAGTTTTCTTGCTGGTAATCACAAATGGTCTCAAGGGTCGCCCTTGAGGGTCCATTAATGGTCCTGTAGCATTCCTAATTCGACTGTCCACTCGTGTACCATCTTCGCCCCCATTTTCATTACTACTACCCTGTGCCGCTCTATGATCATTGGATCCTTGCGCTGCTTTCCGTGCTTGCATTTCTTTAAGCATTGGTAACTCTTCTTGAATCCCTACTAATTGCTCCATACTTTGGAAGATTGAGTATTGTAAATGCAACAAAACAAAATCACGGTATTGATCTTCCAACTCTGGGCTTAATTCGCCCTCATATCCACTGCTGGTAGTCCCTAACGCCTTGTGGAATTCCTTATGATATACCAAACAATATATAAATATAATATATAAAATTGAATAAAATCAGAGTGTCAGAACTTTGTCTAGTAAGGCTGAGTTATCATTGTCTGAGATTGGTGTTTTTTTTTTTTTTTTTTAAAAAAAAAAAAATAAAAAAAAAAAAAAAAGCGTTACTTCGATCCGATTCCTCATTTCCTTTTCACGTTTGAATCGTGCAATCTTTTCGCCTCGTCGGGTAGCTGCATCCCGAGGGGTATTTGCTGTGAGTTGTTCCAGGTATTTCTTATCCTGAGCAGTCAGAATCTCGTGTGTCTCGCATTGAAGAAGAAAATGATCAAAATGGTCCTATAAAATGAAAAAGGAAGCTCAGTAAAGGAAAATCAAGGTCGTTTCCTCTCTATCAATGCTACAGCAATAAATGAGATCGCTATAGGCGCCTGTTGACGCGCTTTTTCGTGCAAAAAAAATAAATAAATAAATGCGGAATCAATTTTTTTTTTATTCTACCTTAGAGGTGTTCAGAGCAGAAAGGCGATCCTGACTAACGCGCTTGAGAAACAATTCGCCAAGATAATATTTAGTCAAAAGGAATCTAAACCAAAGAAAAAAAGAAAAAAAAAGTCAGATCTCAAGCAAAAGGTTTTCATTCTTAACTATCCACCCCACAACTGTGTGTTACCTAAGATCCTTAGTGCTGATATCCTCCATAAACTCGTTCTCGCTAAACAGGCTCAATTGCTGCACCATCGCCTCAGCCCTTTCGAAACCTTTGATAGACTCATTGACTTTTGACTAATTTAGAAGAAAAAAAATACAAAAGAAAGAGTTTGTAAATGTATGTATGCATAAAGAGATAAAGTCCTTTTGTTTGTTTCAAAAGTCAACCTTGGGCTCCCAAAAGTGGAGTATCCGTGTGTTATTAATACATATACAATATATACAATTGCATTGTTTCTCCTTCTTCCAAGGTTGTCTAAAAACAAAGGTTTTAGCTGTTTTACCTGATATTCCTCCGAAGTTGAAGAGAGAGTAGTTTTCTGCAGGTCTAGATAGAGGGTCTCTGCTTTTTGGAAGACCTGGGCAAGAGATGCGTCATTTTCAGCCATGGAAAGGGCAGTTGACTGAGGAAAAGCGGAAGAATTAAATGTTGAATGGTAAATAAAGAAAAGGTTTTCTACGAATGCCAATTACACATGCTCAATTGCCTCTCATTTAATGCAAGTGAGAATTGCCATTCACACTGTGGCTTACACGTGTAAATCGTGTCATACAAGGAATTATTTTTTTTTCTCGGAGAGACTTTAGGTACTCTTTAGAAAAAGCATAGTCTAGTCGAACTTTTTTTTTCTTCTTCACTCTTCAACACGCATTCGTCTAGGCTTTCGGCTTCCGGGCAAGGACATAAATATCACACGTCCTCCCCCATTGCATAATTTACAAAGCAATGGCATTTCAAGCTCATCGAGTGATCTCTGGACGTGGACTGATCAGATCCGAGTGTAGTCGAGGCAGAGTCCACACGCATTATTTCACACGAACCTATATCCATACAACTGGCAGCCGGCTGCAAAATAGGCACCCTATTGCCATTTTCCACTCTATCCCTTCAACTACTTCTAATCATCAAATATCTCTTAAGAGATCCCGCATTATCATTACTCGCACATCATCCTCGGCACCCGTACGCTCTGCAGCTGCTCTTCCAACAGGGGCTCAAAATATTTTCACAAAACATGATCAGGACCAGGATTTTAAAGAAGGCTTCTTTACAAGCCAATCCATAGCTTCATTATCATCAATTCCATTGTCACCATCAACATCAACAGCAATAGTAGCAGCATCAATACCCTCATCTACATCTACAAGCGCTTCCACGAATCTTGCTCCCGAGGGGTTCCAAGATTATGATATTCGATGGAAGGAGATCAAAAAACCAACTTTGACAGGATTAGTTCCTATATACATGGATCTGGCCAAGGCACGTCTCGGAGCCTTGGTAACACTGACGACGATGGCAGGATATGCCATGACACCAACTGCTGCTAGCTTACCCACCCTGTTCTCCTTGACAGTCGGAACAGCACTCTGTATTACCTCCGCTAACGCCTATAATCAATTTGTGGAACCACCCTATGATGCTCAAATGTCCAGGACAAGGAACAGGATTTTGGTCCGCAAGGCAGTCTCACCTTTACATGCATGGTCTTTTGCCACGGTTACGGGAATTGGAGGTGTCAGTCTATTGGCTACGGCTGTTAACCCATTGACGGCTGCTTTGGGAGCTGCCAACTTATTTCTTTATGCATCTGTTTATACGCCTATGAAGCGCATGTCCATTGCTAATACGTGGGTGGGAGCCATTGTAGGGGCTATCCCTCCAATGATGGGTTGGGCTGCGTGTACGAATTCACTAGACCCAGAGGCTTGGCTTTTAGGAGGATTACTCTATGCATGGCAATTCCCACACTTTAATTCGTTGGCCTGGAATTTGAGGGCAGATTACTCCAAGGCGGGATATCGTATGATGGCAGTGACGGATCCAAAACTGAATGCTCGTGTTAGTCTTCGGTATACATTAGCGTTGGTTCCTTTGGTGACCTTGGCACCCTATCTAGATATGACGACTTGGTGGTTTGCGATTGATGGTAACATTGTGAATGCGGTCATATTGGCAGGTGCAACCAACTTTTGGCGCAAGAGAGATGACAAAAGTGCTCGGCAGTTGTTCTTTGGAAGTTTGATTTATCTACCAATAATTTTAGCATTGATGATGATTCATAAGAAGGGGCACCAGAGTATTGAGGCTGAACCTGTGTTACCCTCACAGCACGCTTTAGAGGACGATGATGATGAGTATGAATATGTGGATGAGGATGAGGATGATGGGGAGGAAGAAGAAGAAGCACAGCTTAGTAGTTCAAAAGTCAACACAGCCAATAGAACATAGTCCTCATCAAAGTAATGAACTTTTTTGCATTGACACCTTGGTTATCCTTGTTTCTTTTTTGAAATTAACGTTGGACAAGCTTTTTTTTTTTTTTTTTTTTTTTTTTTCTTTTATCCTTCAGTTGTCCATACATACCATGGTAGAGCATCAACTGCAACAAAGAACAGCATCGTACCTGAGACAGAATCAGAAATGGCATTCATTTTAATGTTGCTAACATGCTACAACATCCTTTTTTTTTTTTTTTTTTTTTTTTTTTTTGAATCCTTTCTGCCTACAAGCCTATTCTTGCTCTTCAGATCAAAGCCGAGCTCGAGAACATCACCGAGCTGATTCCTGCTGATGCAGATCACACCTGGCACTTCAAGGTGCAATGTACCAAGTGTCGCGAGATTGACCCTAACGTCATTACCATGAACGCCATTGTAAGAAAAACACATTCATGTGCTATATATTAAACATTAATTAATACAAAGAGAGGATACAGCCTGATACTTTTGTTTCGCGGCATTTTTTTTTTTTTTTTTTTTAACTTCAAATAATAGGAGAGAGCCGAAATGGGATCTGGACGCGGTGAAGCCAACTTGGTAATGAAGTGCAAGTTCTGCAAATGTGAAATTTCAGCTGGTAAGGATCTTATAAATCTGTGAGAGGAAAAGGTCTTTGCAACAGCATTGAAGCCATTGATGTCTTTTTTTTTTTTTTTTGACTAATAATATCTTTTTACATTAATGGATGTGTACGATAACGATAGACTTTGTATCCAAGCCTGTTCCTTATTTGATTGAGAACAACGACAAATTTGCGACAATTGCTACGATTGAATGCCGAGGATTGGAACTTGTTGGATTTGAACCTAGATCAGGATGGACAGCCAAGGGTGCAGAGTCTGGCACTGTCTTTGAGGACATTGATCTTACAGATGGCGACTGGGCTGATTATGATGAAAAGGTAAGCAAATACGTTTTTTTATTTTCTTACCTCCACCTTCTTTAAATGATCTAATTCTTTTTTTTTATTATTATTATTGCTATTCAGAGTCAAATGCCTGTTGGAATCTCCAATATCGAATCCAAGTTTATCAAGACCAAGTAAAAGAGAAGACTACAAGTGAGGGAAGCAAAACTAGGGTCGATAACAGACAACAGAATCTGTTGTTCATTAATAATAAAAGAAATCTCCCATCTCTTTCAAAGGCTATTGCAATAAGAATGACCATAAACTTCGATTACTCGCCATGATCTACTTAGTCCCTATCAATTTACTTATCCAGGTTTGGTTCATTGTGGTAAAAATGTTTAACCACATTTCGCCACATTAAATCCTGGTCAGCGTCATGGCCATTACTGCTGATAATACTTGAAGCATACTTTTCCATTGCTCTTATGACTGATAGTCACCTACCGCCACTAGTTAACTTTCTACCCACTTACAATGCATGATATTCATCAGTTTCGGCCAACGAGTATCCTTGACAATCCTTCGACTCATAAAACAGATACAGAGCCGGTACCTATGGCATCCACAGTTCCAAAAGGAGAAGAACGAACCAAACTTGCTATAGCACCTTCTCTAGGTCTCTGCGCAAAGCTTTCGCATACAATTGCGTCTTATACCGTCATTTTCCTGCTCATATCCGCTTATCGTCTCTATCAAACTCGTAGCGCTGTTGAAACTTTTGCCTTACAAGCCAAGCAGACGTTTGCAAAGGATTGCTATGCACTGGAAGATACCATTACTACATTTATATCTATGCCTCAGTTCGCCTCCCAGGCTGCTCATCGGGGTCTTGTGACAAGCCTTGATGCTATGATAAGTCAGATAGGATATGGACTTGTCATGGTTATCAATGGTATTATAGCAACACTCGAGTTTGCTGTCGGGCTCTTAACAGGTACCTGGCGTTGTTTCTTGGACAATATAGCAAAGATAGAGATACCATTGCTGACCGAGGTAGGACTGGGAGGCATTGAGGCCATAGATCAAGTGAACAAAGTATTGATCGGTCTCCTAGTTCTACCACTGAACGAGCTCCAAATCGTGATACAAGGAAAAATGGCAGATCCGCAAGTTGATTTAGTTTTACAAATGTCAAAAGCAAAAACAAGAGCAATTATTTCAACCTCCCAGAAAAAAATTATCTTTTGTGATAAAGCTTTACAAGATTTGGTTGCTGTGGACACGTTCACACAGGAGCTTCAGTATTGGATCCGTATTGGGACTTATTTAATGGTGGCTGCTGCATTGATAGTGATCATAGGTAATATGGTATGGACAATATATTCCCATAGAAGATGGAAAATGCATGTTGAACGCATCCAAGATCGACTCACTGCCTACTCGCTTTCGCAACAACAAATTGCTACGTCTGGTATTTCTGTCGATTCAAAGCCCTGTGCAATACAAATAAGTCAAATGGTCCGCAATCCACTCATGTATCGGTTCACCCACTGGTCTGCCAAGCGTATCTTTCCCAGAAACAAAGACCACCAACACCTGTACAACTGGTTTATCTCCTATATCACGCAGCCTCAAGCGGTCGTCTGTCTAGTTTTAGGGCTCATGGGCTTGATAATGATTTACAGTCAAGTTATCTTTATCAACTATATGCGGACGGCGACTCACCATTACTATTATGGCCCTATGATGAACAGGGCAGCCACTTCATTGACAGAACTCTCAATTACCGTCTCAAGGCAAGTCAACGATGCCATATCCAGCCATTCTACCTTGTTTGCAACGGGAGTCAATGACGGGCTCCTGAATATTGAGACAGAGCTAAATACACATGTATTTGATTTGATCGCTGTGGCTGCAAGAAGGATAAGTGCAGCTTTGATAGATGTGGAAAGAGTCATTGTAGACGGAGTCCGTTCAGTCTTTGGAGAGGACAATGTATTTGAGAAAGTGACTCTGACAGTTTTACAATGTCTATTGTTCAACAGAATGATGATGATTGAGTCTGGGTTATCATGGGTACAACATAATGCAAGGCTTGAGCTTCCAAGGGTCTCCGAGAACATTTTGATGGTGAACTCGACAGAGATCAACAGATTTGTGGCGGAAACCCTTCATGGCGCAGCTCTTTTTGATCGCCTTGCCAACGCTATCAATACTAACAAAGAGGACAAAGGGGCGATTAAGCTAGCTCAGATTGTGATTGAGAAAGTGCTTTTAGAGTATGAACGCAAGTTGCACCAAGACCTGCCTATCTATTATGCTTTGATGAGCGTTTGGTGTGCTATAGTGTTGATGGGTCTATTAGCCGTGATGCTGACCACTTCACAAAGTTAGAATCTTGTGTATTAAATTCACTATCTATTAGAGCATTCCTTGTGCGTCATCTTTCTTTCTTCAGTATCCCATTTCACAGATCCATTTTAGTCGCTCTTTTTTTCCAACTCCAGACAGTTTCATTAAAATGTTAAAATGCACTGGCGAAAATCACTGCTTGCTTCAAAATAATTTGGCATATTTGCCAAATTAAATATGCAAAATTAGCAACATTGAATCTACAGTTTCTCAATGTCTCCGGAAGAGGCATCATTAGTGGATCAAAGATCTTAGCTCGTCTTTCCTTTTCTTTGTGGCACAACCTTCCGCATCAATTTTATTCGTTTTACTGGTATTTCAGAGTGTCCAGGATTCATCAAATGCGCGCTACAGACTCATTAGTTTCTATAGTTATGCGGATATTAATGATCGGAGGGGTACCAAAGCCCAGCCCCCTCCCACACTGGTACATCTCTGTAACAAAGGCATGTTTTTTTCGGTAGAAGTCGATTTCATTGTCTGACATCCTGGTCACAGGTGAGGATGAAGTCCTGGTGACTTCGAATGTCTTTTCAAACACGATAGCTTCACTTTGCCTACCCTCTTTAAGATCCTCACGAGCCATCGTCGTGCCAGAGGCAGTGGAATGAGTGGATTGAGTAATTCTCGGCAAATATGGCTCCTCGGGAGACTTAGCAGTTGCAAACTCGATCCATACTTCCTGAACTTTCTTTGCAAATTCCTTCTCATCTTCATTGAGGAACTTTTGTGTATATGAGTTGTAGTTATTACTTATCTGTCTAAAATTTTTCACTGAGGGTAGAAGTGGCTCCATCGACCAGCTTTGTAGCTGTTTTCGCAACTTTACCAAAAAAAAACCGCTTTTATCAGCGGTCAAGGAAAAGTTACAATTCGATAATCCAGAGATCTTCAATGTAGGAAACGATGGAATCAATGTGAAGTACGTTGTCCGATGTTTAAATCACAGTGCCAATTCGTTCCGAGATCTACATTTTTTGTAGGACGGGATTAAGACGATTGTCTATTTCCAGAGTATCTGGGGAACAGAAAATGCAGAAAATTATCTTTGATATGTCTTCAGTAGTGTTAAAATTGCTGTCTATCACTCTGTCAAGTCGGAAGCAAAATATGGATTTTGACAAAAAATGAAATGGCGAAGACGCCAACTAATAAGTGACTTTTGTCCCCAGACTGTCCACTAGGACGTTTTTTTTGAAAACTCTCGCCGTCGATGGTTTCTGGTATGGTGCATCCAGGGTGCATCGGGATATTTTTGTATCAGACTACATTATACCCCATTGGATGAGAGCTGATGCTGCGGGATATTCAAAGGGTTTTAAAGATGGGTCCGAAAGAAGTGAATTGGGGAAGGAACAAAATCCTTTTTTAGTTGCTTTATTTCCTCACAAGAATTTTTTATTTTTTTTTATTTTTTATATTTTTTTCTTCCTTTTCTTTTATTCGCCTGCCAGCTTGGCATTGGGCGGAGTAGCAACAGATTCATGCAGAGCTAGGAACTGTGCAAGTCGTCGACAAAGGTTTTCTGCCTGTATTAATCGTGTGGTGATCTCTGTCAACATCGGACTCTCCACCTGCACAACCTTGTCCTCGATTGTTGTTGCAATCTTACCACGGTATTTACTATTTTTTTTTTTTTTTTTTTTTTTAAAAAAAAATTGTAAGCTTTTTCCTTTCAATTATTGATAATTCAACAATAACAATAAATATATATATATTTTCATATACATACTTGATGCCTCCTTTTGACGTCTGACCGACTTTACTGGATGCTGGTAAAACTACTGATTCTAATTCCATACGCATATCATTGTGATAGAACATTGTGAGCAAAAACAAGCTCAAAAAAAAAAAAAAAAAAAAAAAAAGGCAATACAAGGACTTCTACTTCTCTACTTCATACCATTCGTTGGGGGAATTAGAGATGTCGTAGCGCTGGAGTTTGGTTGGTATTCGGAACCGGCATAACGAGGCTGCTGTGACGAAGATGGCGATCTGGAAGGCGACCACGGAAGAGCCTTTGAAGCGAGCTGCTGCTGCTGATGATGATGGTTAGGTTGAGAGGATATGGTATGATGATGCGACACTGGAGAAGGTGGACGAAGTGTCGCCTGTCCTTTCTGGTTTCCACGGTCTCCTCCATCACGCCCCGCTTGCGTAGCACCCTTCTGTTGTTGTTGTTGCTGTTGATGCTGTTGCTGTGAAGTATTTGATGGTCCGTGTAGGTGCTGATGACGAAGATGATGCCCTTCCAAAGATGGTGACGAGCCAGATGAAGACTGCGTCGGTGCCCCTGTGGGGGTTTGTTGTAAATAATTGGTACGCGTGTTGCCTCCTGAATACGATCCGCTAGTATTACCACCTGTTAACTGCAAAGCATAAGCAGCACAGACCACTTGGGAATCCCGGATGAAGAACTCAATGACAAAATCTTCGCTCAACGCAGGACTAAATATCTTTATAATAGAGATAAAATAAAAAAAAGCAAAAAAAAAAAAAAAAAAAAAAAAAAAAATGCGATATGAAGGTATTAGGTAAAAGAATCAGAATTTCTGGGATCCCATGCTAGCAATAATAAATATGTATAAAACATCCTTGTTGGCTCAACGTACTTTGGGATCACAAACTCGGAAAGGATACAACTTTTCTTTTCTTGGTCGTGCCATGGCATCAATTGCTGCGCGAATATGTCTCTCCACCAGTCCCAAAAGCGTTTTCAGAGTCCGTGTTGTTTCCTGAATATCTAGCGTTAATGGGGTCTTCGATGATAACGATGATGGTGATGATGATGATGAAGAAGTGGCATTAGCTTGCTCCTGACGTTCAAGGTGGTGACTATTGCTACCAAAGCCGTTGTTGTTATTGCTGGCTATGATCATAGCCCAATAGTCTTCCAGTCGATGCATTGCCTCCATGATATGGTTCTGTACATCCTTAATCTGCTCCAACAAATACGGCTGTGTGACATGACCGGGGGTTCTATGTGAGTGAAGCAGTTGATTTGTATTTGATGGAGGTAACGGGACAACTACTGCTGGAGCTAAAAGAGACCCTGATGTCGCTGTAATCACTACCGCTGCTGTTCCGCTTGGTGGTGCACTCGACGTAGGGGTTGTAGTCCCAGTTCCAGTGCCAGATGTTGTCCCTCCTGTCGTTGCTGTTACTGTTGCTGACGAATGAGGCAAAGACCCGAGAGTCTGCTGTAGTATTAGATTAGGTCCTTGCATAGGGACAGTAACAGATTGAGGACCAGTCATTGATCCTTCATCTCCTTCCTCATCTCCTTCCCCTTCTTCTTTTTCTTCCCCTTCTTCTCTTCTAGGTGCAGAGGCAACAGTTAATGTGGATGTAGCAGGATCAGAAGCTGTTGTTGTTGCTGTTGTTGCTTCAGAACTTGTATTTTCTGTATTGGCTGTGGTAGCACCAATATCCATTTTAATAGATGATGCAGCTGATGAGACTGCCGTTGAAGAGGCATTGGAGAGTGCTGGGATAGATAATCCTGTTGCTCCAGATGAAGGCGCAGTCGCATTGATGGGAACATAGGAATGAATAGCTGTTTTGACGACTGCTAACTTTGGCAACTTGATTGTCAGTTCCTTGATGGATATCGAAAAAAATACGTGTATAAAAAAAAAAAAAAGCAGAGCATGTAAGTGTCACGTTGTAATATAGAAGTCAGTTTCGAGGTATATGTTAGATATAAATACTTTTTTAAAAAAAAAAAAAAAGCCTTACTCCTTTGACAATAAAGCTGCCCGAGAGTGTCACATATCCCTTGAGTGTATCATTGCTAAAAAAAAAAAAAAAAAAAAAAAAAAATGCACATTGTTGAGCATTCTTTTAATATGGCCAAAAATAATCTAAATGTTATCACTCAAAGGGAGGACATACTTTCCAGAGGAAATAGCAAGCGTCAATGCTCCTTTGGTATCATCCTGTAGTCGCGCTGCTTCTTGACAAGCCTATGTATGTGCATTGCATTGCACCGAATGATTTTTCCAGATAAAGAACGTTGATCACTTTGTAAGAAAAACGAGAGCGATTCATATAGAATGATGGTTGTATCCTTTTTCTTTTTCTTTTTCTTTTTCTTTTTCATTTTCTAATGACGTTTCTTTATTTCTCTACCATACCACAAGTGCCAGTTGTATAGTTCGAAGATTTGGTTCAACTTGTGTCGTCAAGAACCATTCCTGCTCTGTTCGCTGTCCATTAGAATCATGTAGAATGAGTTGATTGCCAATAAAGAAGAGTCTACAATGACTGGAGAAGAGGGAAAAGGGGACTTTATTCTTACGAGAACTCTTTCTTCTTCCGCCAGTTCTTCTTCAAGTGTTGTCAATGGTGCCATTATGTGAAAATGGGAGGTATGTGTGTATGTAATGAACTGAATGAACTGGCACAAACATGCACACGCCATTTTTTTTTTTTTTTTTTTTTTTTTTGATCCCACGTGGTGCTCATACCCATGTAGATTTTTATTCAACTGCCCTAAAATTATGATCTTATATCTTTTTCATACTACTGATGAGATGGTAGTGGAGGGACTGCAGGGATATCTGAGGCGGATGGATCCAACAATACGTTCTCAGATGCCATCATGAAAGAGGATCTAGATGCAACGGAAGCAGGCCTAGTGGCTTTCGGGACAGGAGGAGGAATTGTTGCTGTTGTAGAGGTTGTTTCTGTTAATGGAGTACTAACAACTGGCTTATTAGTTCCAGTACCCTCCAACAAACTTGAATCGTTCAACAAGTCATAAAAACCTGCAGGGGGTTGTGAAGGGCTAGGCCTTGATTGGTCCTGTTGTCCTGTCAAAGGTGGAGGAGGCATGTAGTCCTGAAAGTTATTATTGACGGGATATGTATCTGCTGTTGTTGTTGTTGACGGTGCGCCTTGATATATTACAGGAGATGGTGATACTATTGACGAGGATACAGTGGGATGAACGCGATAGGGCGAGACATTATGGTAATTATTAGTGCTATTGTTATTATTATTGTTGTTATTATTATTATTAATGTCAATTCTTTTTGAAGATAAAGGCGAGCGTGATCCAGAGGGCGAAGATGGCTGTCGATGTATTTGTGTGCTGGTTCGAGGTTGTCGGTAGTCCTGTTGGTGATAAGTCTCTGGGACAGGTGGCGACGATGGTAAGACAGAAGTGCTAGCAGGGTAAGGAGTAATAGCCTTTTCAATGGGTGGCTTTGTATTGCTCGAGGTCACATTCTTTGGTGCCATTACTGCTTCTTGCTGCGTAAACGCGTCTGAAGAGGATGCGGTTGATTTGGGGCTGTGAGTCGTGCTACCTATTTCTTGTTTCTGTTGTTGATGTTGTTGTAATTGACGATGTTCTTGGTCTTGCTGCTCCAATTGCCCCAATGGTGGAACTTGTGAATGGTACTCTAATGGCGACTTTTTAGCGAACCACGCCGGTTGCTTTGCCAGGCGTTGCTGCAGGAACGGTGGGTAGTGTCGCTGTTGCTGTTGAAAAAGTGCGACGTTACTTTCAGTACCATCATTATTAGCAAATCCATGTGGTATTGGGCTTTCGGAGTATTTGCGCATCATTGACAGTTGTTGATAAAGCTCCGTATCTCGAGCCTCCTGTTCACGCTTCCGTTTGGCCCTGAAGAGCAGTCCGGCTATCAATATTAGTAAAGCCACGGCCCCTGTAGCAATGCCAGCGATAAGGGCCACATTAGTTGTTGACTTTGGATTAGAGATGGAGCCGCTGCTTGATTCAGACTCATTTGAGGGGACAACAGTTATATCAGTCGTTAAAGATGTCTGGACTGGATCAATGGATGACGTTAAATTATCTATGGAGGTTGTTAGAGTTGATGTCATGACTGGTGCAGTGTGGGTTGTGGTAACCACAATTGGAGGTTTGGGCCTAGGCTTGCGAGAAGGTGCTGGAGCCGGGACAGCAGCAACTGGATGTGACCCGGGGTAACCCTCTGTTTGAAGAGAGGTCGCACCATAGTCATGACTCTTTAGGCTCATTTTTTTGTTTGTTTATGTTGTTTCTTTTTGACTAATGATGCCTATCAATGTTGCAATTGCTGTTACTATTGTAGTTACTTTGCCGCTATTATTGCTGTTACAACTGCTGGTGTTATTCGTGCTAGTCAAGCTGAGGAGGCGAAGAAGTGAGATAGAGAGATGAAAGGCGTGAGTGTACGGGAGGTTGATATTTCGGCGTAAATTTAATTATTTCCAAACAGAAATGGGATTAGTGTGCTTGTGTGGTAACTAGGATATTAGAAAGGAAAGGAAAGGACAAAAAAAAAAAAAAAAAAAAAAAAAGAATGAATAAATAAATGAAGATGAGAATGAAATGCGAATGCATAAAGAATGAAAAAAAAGGAGGGAAGGTGAAAGAAAAAAAAAAAAAAAAAAAAAAAAAAAAAAAAAACACAACCCCGGGCATACGTGCCGCCGAGTGAAGAGTTGTTTTGTTCAAAGCAAATAAAACAAACAAAAATTCAGGCACAAAAGTGCGAAAAAAGAGATGCATGTCAATCCAAGCTTAACAAATGATGTGACACAAGTGCCTTTTTCAACATCTCCTATGCGCAGGCGAAAATGGGCTGCTGCAGTTGCTCACTCTCACTCTCATGACTCTTGTGTAAACATGTTTGATACTAACTGGCCCAATTAGATGAGGCTATTGAAACACAATAGGTAAGCTGGATACTCTACTTGGACACTTCAATTGCACCTGAATGTTCACAAGGTGAATATATACATGTAGCATTCAACAAATAAAACAAAATGAAGGGGAGACAGCTGCAATAAAAACTTTGGGAGACTGAACAATCATATATATATAGTATTTTCTTTATTAGTTCATAATCCTTTCTCCTTTATAGCTGCAACAATTAAAGAAAAAGTAGACTTGATCGTCATTGCATTAAGCTTGATAAATTTAATAAATTACACATTCATGTACACGTACACATATACACATACACATTAACTTGTACATGCACATGTTGTAGTCTAAAGATTGGACATGCTCACTTTTTTCAAATGAAATCGCCTGTGCGCAGGGGAGGGAGGCTGTTGCTTACCTGGATCCATCCCTGTGTAATTTAATCAGCTTCATCCCCCCCCCCCCACTCCCCACAATCATGCACCGGATTGTTACAGCCAAAAAAAAAAAAAAAAAAAAAAAAAAAAAAAATCCTTAATTGGCTCTTTAATGATTTGATAATTTAAAAAGGGTTCATGTGTCAAGCAGCAAAGCACAGCCTATAGCGTATGAGAACCTTGATGGTAAGGCCACTATTAACGCTGCATCAAGATCTCAGATCGTAGTGTAAGGAAGTAAGAGTAATGTATACATTTACACGATTGACATAGCACGACGCGTCACGAACGACCAAACTTTTATTCCTATCATTGAATCTTTGAAACAAGTGCGTTTCAGTTTTAATCACATGATACATCATTGCGCCACTCATTTGAAATGGATTTCCAGGGCAGTGGTTTCAGCCTTTTTATTTTTTTTATTTTTTTTTTTAATCTGTGTAATAATGTCATGAAGCAATGCGCATCATGCTGTTACAAGAAGAGGAAATGGAAAAGAGTCGTGTTGTTTTCAAGAACGAGAATTTTTTTTTTATTTATTTTATTTTTGTTGCAGAGTATGGAATGACAGTTGGTTAAAAAAAGATTGCTTACTGTGTAATGTAAAGTTTAATACATCAAAAACTTTGGGGAGAACGCGCATTTTGTGTTAGTAACAAGAAATTCAAAAGAATGCAGCCAAACTCAAATCACTTTTTTTGCACAAAACCCAGCATTTCAGCCAATTCCGTATCCCAACCTACCTGTCTTTTGGAAGTGAGTGTGGACACATTGCTGTTCGCATGAATATGAAGAAAAGAAGAAGAGGAAAAAAAAGGCAGTAATGACACTATACATTTTTTTTACTGTTCTCGCAAATTCGCATTACTATCCTCGCAAGAAATGTTTGTCAATCATATTGATCTTATTGATCACATTGATGGATAGGAGATAAAGACGAAGAAGGAGGGGTGAATCGGGGATGAGGGGGAAGGATGCTTCGTATTCGCGATATTCCGTTTATTTTTTGAACCTATAATAAATTGGAACGAGATGACCCCGTATGCTGTGCTGTCGAATGTAAATAAGGATCCTTCTTGTAATGAGTTTCTCTTATTTGACAAGATCGTTAAGGAATTTAGGGGCCGAATATATATTTTTATACTTAAACTAACACATCTTTTTGGGGAGTTTTTTTTTTTTTTTTTTTTTTTTTCGTTCTTTTCCTACTCCTTCACTTCCTTTCTTTCTTTCTTTCTTTCTTTCTTTTCACTTTTCTTGCCTCCTCACTTGTTCTCTTTTCTCTTTGCATAGGTTGTTTTCAATCTATGCTCCTTGGATCACACATTTCCTCACCCTCTCCTTTCTCATTCACCTCCGAGGACGTGGCACGGTCAATTTGAACAACAAAAAGAATTTTCTTTACTTTTTGAGGATATCTGCTTCGCCGATTGTTTTAAATAATTTTTTTTGATATCCCCGACGACTTTCTTGATCAAAGAGATCAAAAGGAAAAAAATACACACAATGCTGAACTCGTTCTTCGATTCCCTTTCAGAGGCCGCGTCTTTCCCAGTGGACCAGGTCCGATGTTTGACAGCATTGCTGTTGGCCTATCCCTTGGCTTTTGCGTTCCGTCTGTTACCTGCCAACAACCCCAATCTCAAACATATAGCCTCAGTTCTGACCTCATTCTTCCTCATTGTTGTCATTGTCGATGATCTGGTCGGACTGATGCATTTGCTCGGATCAAGTATTGCTGTCTGGCGGATCATGGGCTCTGTCAAGGGCAAATGGGGTCCCAGGATTGTCTTTATCGGTGTAATGATCCACATGAGTGTGAGGTAAGAAAAAAAAGGAAACATTGCACCGTTACTTCGTTTATTTGTAACGATAATTAAAAAAAAAAAAAAAAAAAAAAAAACTCTTGATTGATCAATGCCATCACTTTCTTTCTTTTCTTTGTTTGTTTGTTTGTTTGTTTGTTCGTTTATAAATGGCTGTGCCTGATCAGCCATTTAATGCGACAGATTACTGACTACCGCGGCTACAAGTTGGACCATACCGGACCACAAATGATCCTTACAATGAAACTTACCTCTTGGGCTTTTAACGTCCATGATGGCCGTCGCAATCCCAAGGTAACAATCAACAGCAACAAGATGCACCTGTATTGCAACGTTGTCATTGTCATTACCATCAATCCATCCTCATCCCATCATTAACAAATATCTCTCCTTTTTTTTTCTTTTCCTTCCTTCCCTCCTCCCTTATAAGGAGTTGAGCCGATACCAGCAAGAACATGCTATAACAACATTCCCATCCCTTCTCCACTACTTGAGCTACGTTTTCTTCTTCCCCAGTGTCCTTGTCGGCCCTACATTCGAGTACATGGATTACATCCGTTTCATCGAACTCTCTCAGTTCCGGGATTCCAGGACTGGAAAGATTCATTGGCCTGCTGGCAGGGTCAAGGCCTCAATGAAATGCTTCTTGTTCGCCTTGGTTGCTCTCGCCTCTTTAGCGGTCCTTGCTCCTAAAATGGATGCCAGCTGGACGGTTGAACCCGAATGGAAGGCCTTGCCCTATCTGTTGCGTCTTGGCTATGTTCAGTTGGCTGCATTTAGCGCTCGCTTCAAATACTATGCTGTCTGGAAGATGGCAGAAGGCGCTTGTGCTTTGGCTGGATTTGGTTATAATGGTGTGGACCCAAAGACAGGAGAACAGCGATGGGATGCAACCTCCAACGTTGATGTGTGGGCATACGAGTCTGGTGAGAGTTTGAAGGAACAGCTGGATGCTTGGAACAAGGGCACGAACCTTTGGTTGAAACACTACGTGTACTTTAGAGTGATGAAACCCGGTGGAAAACCAGGGGCGTTCGAGACTTTCTCTACATTTGCTATCAGCGCATTATGGCATGGGTTCTACCCCGGCTATTACCTCACATTCATGTCCTCTGCTTTCGCATTGACAGCTGCAAAGATCTTGAGGAAACATCTTCGCCCACGTGTTATTTCAGCCACTGGACAACCTCCTGCATGGTACAACTTTATGGGAACTCTCCTGTCACAGTTCTCGATGAATTTCCTGACCATGCCATTCTTGCTCTTGACATTCAAGGACAGTATTGAGGTCTGGAAGGATTTGTATTTTATAGTTCACATCGGTTCCATTGCTGTCGTATTCCTTATCCCTGTTCTCTTCCCATCCAAGCGGAAATCCAACAAGGAACAGCAACAACAAGAAGAAAAGTCAGGGATTAATAAGATCAAGGAAGTTGCTCACCTCGTTGCCGAAGAGGCCTCAACAGAGTCCGTAGAGGCCGTGACTGAGATCCTGAGCGTTTCCAGTAGCACTAAACTCAAGACCTACTAAAAAAAGGGAAAAAAAAAAAAAAAAAAAAAAAAAAATAGTCATTGTATAAAGTATTTCATACAAAAGACATTCTAAACAGCAACATTGCATATTAAAAAGTTTATGATGTGAGTGTAAAATATATATACAGGACCTTCAAAGATGAAACAAAAAGCTAAGCTCGCCAGACAACTCCTCTTCATGTAATAATAATAACAACAATAGTAATAAATATCCAAGTCAAGAAGTGCTAAATAAAAAAATATATATATTATATTTATTATACAATTACAAAAAGAATGAAAATGAGAGACTGCAAGGATTTATACCGACAGCAGCAGTAGCAAAAAGTCAATATAGATCCTGAACGAACAAGAAACCATATGAAATCTGGCAACCTTGGCTCGGACTTTTTTTTTTTTTTTTTTTTTTTTTTTTCCTATTTTTTCAAGTAAGGTAATGAACGATGGCCCACATGGCGAGCAAGGTGATAATGACACCAGCATAAAATATCCATTTATCCTCTGCGCTCCTGCGTTCGATCAACTGTATCACATTGCGAGACAGACCAAGGGTATTGGCAGCATCCAATATCTTGCGTTGCGTTGACTATTCGATCAGTTGTAAAATAAATGAATAAGGTTCCCAATATGTCAGTTATCAATGCTTCCAAAAATAAAAAAAACTCATCAGTCATTTCTTTATGTGGATAAAAAAAAAAAGGCTTACTTTAAGCATCGGTCGCTGTTGATAGAGATCGTCAAGCACATCTTTTCCTTGTTGCAGCATGTCGTCCAAAACTGAGCTTGTCTTTTGAGCAAAATCTCGCTCTCTGATAGCATGAGCCTGCTGCAGATAAGGCGATACTGATGCTGTTTGGTATGGGTGTTCCACTGCCCGTGAGTGTCTTCTCTCCAGCAACTGCGAACGATTCCTAGCATGCGACGCCTACATATATATACATATACATGCACATAAAAAGGGTATATACAATATCAACATAACAAAATAGTCAGTCAAAATGCTCAATTTTCGACTTGGATTGTTGAAAAAAAGGCCGATGATAATGATGAGCTCAGAAAAAAGAAATAGCCTTGGACATCTCCGAACGACATATTACCTGCTCTTCTCGATTCTTTAGTTGCGCGAAGCTTTTGTTGATAGAGTCATAGTCTTCTCTAAACTTTGTAACACGTCTAAGGAAAGAGAAGAAGTAATAATAGTAATCTTCTTTTTGTTAGAATCTGATCTGATACGCCTGCAAAAAAGTTAAAAATCTGAATTATTTGAGCAAATACATACGCAAACGCTTTTTCTCGCTTGGCATCAATCATCTCCTTCTTGGCCATAGCATCATAATCATCAATCGATCGCTTGAAGGCATTGACGGTAGCAGCAATCTGGCCTAAATAAAAAAAAAAAAAAAAAAAGAAATTATTAGGATACAATAGATCTTTTTTAAGAGTAAAGTTGTCCATTTTAAATTGTGAACGGTGTGTCTATTCGTATTCGCCCAAAAGAATTATTCCAAAAATAAAAATACAAAAAAAAAACCGTCTGTCATTGTCAACGTGGCAGTAAATTCTTCCGGCTGTTAACTTCTTCCCCTCCACCCTCGATTTGGGCTGGAGCTTCTTTGATACTGGATAAACACAATGTTTGCAAGTTTTGTCAACGTGTCAAGTTCGAAACTATGTTGCCATGCCGTGCTTTTTTTTTTTTTTTTTTTTTTTTTTTTTCCTCTTAGCAAAAAGGATGTCTCGGACAAGATGGTTCCAAGCTTACTCTCCTGAGTATTTGGTGCTTAACATTCCTGATGGCGGGAGTTTTTTTTTTTTTTTTTTTTTTTTTTTTTTTTGGTGAAATAATAATACATCATTGTTGAATAATGCTTTGCTTAGCTTTGTTCTGCTTTGTCTTCGAAGGGTGTAAAAAAAAAAGGGAGTCTTTTTTTTTTCTTCTTCTTACCCTGAAGAGCTACACTGGTGTCTTCGCCAGACTGAAACTTTTCGAGGTCCCGTTGTAGAGCGTTGACCTGCTTCAATGCATGATTGTAGAGTGAATTCATTGGTGCTAAATAGTATCCTTGTAATTCCTTTCCTGACAATGAGTGTTTAATGAAAGAAAGAGAGAATGAGGTGTAAGAGCATGACACAGTTGAGGAACAATGTAATGACAGAAATGAAGACAGAAGGATGAGCAAAGTGGAGTGGGCTCGAAGCTGCTGTGGATATCAGTCACGTGTATCACGTGGAATAAGCGAACGAACATTCCTCAATGCTTTTTCTAGGACAAAGGATAAATAAATAATGTATGCTGCACGCGTATTATATTTTTTGATTACTATTATTCCTCACAATGGACATTGTCTATGAGATCAAATGACATCTAGCCTGTAGAAATATCTATGACTATCTTGAATGAAACGACGCGTCTTTAGTATATAATGTCTTTAGCTCAGGCTGTGCGAGAGAAAAATAAAAAAAATTAAAATAAAATGCCGAGAGATTTGATTTAGCCAATGGGTAAATGGTAAATGAGAAATGGGGGAAAAGGGTAACAAAAACATTACAAAAAAGTCAAAAAAAGTCGCATAACTGCTCACAGCTCTTATGCAACTGTTTAATTGTTTAATTGTTTATTAGTTCCAGTATCCAACTCTATCGTCCCAAAATGGGAATTTCTGATATTTTGTCCTCCTCCGCACATCATACTTTAAAAACGCGACCCTTTTCCCCCCTCTTCCTCCTTCTTCTCCCATCATTATCCCCTCTACATTTCAAAAAATAAATATACGTATATATATACACACGCACACACTTGCATCCATACTTTTTTTAATCCCTAATTCTTCTTTTACTTTGCCTTCTTGTTCATTAACACAAAAAAAGAAAGAAAGAAAAAGACAATGTCTGCAAGTCCAATAGCACGAATAGTCTCGATCGCAAACGCAGCTAGGTTGGCTCGCGTTCTATCCAACCGTGCTTTTACCACTGCCAGCAAAGCCAGTTTCGCGCCTTCAAGTTCCCCTCTCCGCAGAGCTATCAATGCCTCTGCTCACTCTTCGCTTCGAAATGAATCCATCAGCAACCGATTCAATTTCAATCGGTTGACTGCTCAGCAGCAGCAGAAGCAGCAAGTATCGTCCTCAAGGCTCTTCTCCTCCTATGCTTCAGCTCTTAAACACACCAGTACCACCACCAACTCAACTTTGCCATTATTCTCCACAAAGAATACTGCTATGGCATCCTCTCCATATCTTCAAGGCCAAGCCATCCGTGGGTTCTGTAAAAAAGCGTGGCGTAACGAATTCGAGTCGAAACACCAAGCTGGATATGACTATTGGAATAGCCTTTACGGCGCTCATGGCCATGATTACCGTCGTGGTCGTGGCTGGCATGGTTGGGGCCAAAACCTGCATGATTATCACAAGCACATCCGGAGGTTCCATCGTCATCATATGCACTATCATCGTCGCCGCCCTATGCGCTTCGTCTTCCGTATGATGGCCCTATCCACCTTATTCGTGGCTGTCCCTGCTATCGTCGTATTTGACGCCCCTTATAGGACCTTGGCTGTCGTTCCATTGACTGTCTTTGGTACCGGTGCAGTGCTTATACTAGCGGGTCGATTGCTTTATGTTGCACTCCCCATCTTGGCCATCGGTGGCGCCACAGCCTTTTGGGTCACCACCATGCCAGCTGCTAGCACCGTGAAGGATCTACAAAAGATCTTGAAGCGTGATGAGAAGGGAGGCCAATACTCTACTGCTTTAGGCGCTTTGGGTTCAGAGTGGGAAATCCAACGAGCTCAGCCCAACGAATGGTTCCGATGGACATTCCCTGAATCCGGTGATAAGAAGCAGCTTGATAAGGTTGATATCCGTATCGCTGTTTTTGATCCCAATGATTATAGTGACCGTAAAGCCAGGGCCATGCGTTTCTTGGACAAATTCCAGGGCCATGATGACTTGGACGCTACGGAGGATATGAGGCATCATTGGAAAAAGAATAAGAAGTACGAAGATAACTGTGAGATCCTGAAAAGCCTCCAAGTCAAGCGTGAGGGTGATCAGTTTGTGATCAAGATGGAGGAAGATGGAGAGAAAGTCATGGAACATCCGTTGGCCAAGAAGTATTTGGCACTCGGACGTATTGTTGACAGAGCCGCCAAGGAGATGGAGGCTTCCCAACCAGGTCTTAAGCTGGGTGAGCAGGTCGTCTTGGTTCACAAGAATAAGAAACATGAAGACTCGTTCTGGAACCGCTGGTCTCCCTATGGCGATCTGTCGCTCCGTATCCCTTTTAACCGTACCTGGATTAATGATCTGGATGATTTTGAGACCAAGGATTGTATGCGGTTCAAGTTAAATACATGTCAGGAATATGCAATTTATTTATTTATTTATTTTTTATTGTAGCCATGTCCAAATGTACAAGAAAGTTAAAAAGAAGGATGAGATTCTAAAGAAAAAAAAAACAAAATTGACCAATTTTTTTTTTTTTTTTTTTTTTTTTTTGCTGTTGTAGAGAAAAATGACTAGAGTAGATTATATGGATAACATCGTCATGTTGCTGAGAAACAACAAAATACCCCGTGAATCGGATGGTGGCGTCAGTATTCAATAATAACTTCCCCTCCTTCTCCCAGCTTTTTTTTTTTTTTTTTTTCCTGTTGTTACTGCTGTAGTAGCAGTCGTAGTCACTGTTGTAGTAGCAGTCGTAGTCACTGTTGTAGCTACTACTGTAGTAGTGGTAGTAGTAGTAGTGGTAGTAGTGGTTGTTGTTGTTTTAATGATAATGAGGAGGAAAGGAGTTATATCATCTGCGTATGGTAGAAAGAAAAATCTCTTTTTTTTTTTTTTTTTTTTTTTTTTTAAACATTCTTTGGTTGACTCTCCAACAATTGACGTTCCTCCTTGCGCTTCTTATCATAATACATGCCTCCACCCAAGAGTGCTGCTATCGTAAAGAACTGGAAGCCTACACGGGCCCTGAACATGTGTTGAGCAAACTCACGACGACCTGTCCTGACACCATAACTAGCTCCCAAAAACGCTGCGATGGTCAAACCAACACCTATTTGTTTTTTTTTAAAAAAAAAAGACGAGGAGAAACATTTGTCAGCCAATGTTTGGAATGGAGTTTTATGCCTCTTATGCATAGCTCTTATTATTTTTTCTTCACTCAAGTCAATAAAAAAAAAAAAAAAAAAAAAAAAAAAAAAAAAGACATTTGACTTGCCTGCACTGACAGCCTTGTTCTCACGGAACATTCGTTTGACTTTTTCCAAGGCAGTCTCGGTTTCCTCATCGTAATAATGATCGTCTGACATGGTGTTTTTATGAATGAACAGTTTGAAGACAAAGTAGAGAAAAAGAAACAAAAAAGTTATGTGTGTGGTTGCTGCGTGTGTGGAGAAAGAGATAGAGAGGGAGAGTCTTTTTCCTTCGGGAAAAATTGTATTACAAAAACACTTGCGTCCGGCACTTTTTCATTATTAAACCCTTCGCAGTCACGTGGCTGGATCCAGTTCCGCGCACACGCTTTTTCGCACGAATAAAATGATTTTTATTTCCAATGGATCAAAAGCACTTTGACATATACATCTATATACAAACTATAAACAAAAAAGCAAAAGAGTGTAGAGAAGAGGACAGAAAGGGTGCGAGAGAGAAGCCGATCTAAGGTGCCCATGTCTCACGATGGAAATCCACTGCCCACTTGGCTCTCAAGATCTGGCGTTCTACATGCTCTACAAATGCCTCAGGTCCACCCCCAAAGACTGTGATCAAGCCCCGGTCTTTGCCTGCAAGGCCTACTCCCTTCTCCATGAACCTATCAATCACTACTTTCACATTCATCCTTCCAACAGAGTACACGACATCACCTTCATCCCAATTACCATCTTCCACACTCAAGTCTTCATCTTCAAGTTCAAATTTTGGGTATGGCAAATCCGCTGAGGCTGAAGCTGAGGCTTCGTTGGTATTGGGGTTTTTTACGAAGTGTTTCCCAGTCTCGATATCCTTCAAATTGCTGGCATTCAAAGACTTGATCAAGACCTTGCGAGCGTACCAAACTGCAAAATAACCAATGATCGAAACTAGGACCGCATGACCAAATACGGGAGCAACCGAATAGAAACCATAACAGATCTTGTACTGGGTCGCTGTCATCTTTGCTCGGACATTACAATAATGCTCAGGCCCCTCCCATTTGATTGCACGGAGGATAAACCAAAACCCAAGCGGGATACAGACCATGATCGCAGTGACATGCAAATCCAGTTTAGCAAGACGAGTCGATACAGAATTCGACTGGGCATCATGGAACGTTGGCAGACGCTTGGAATCATAAGTCATGGCACATGTCGGTGACGAAGAAGTGAAAGCTGTGCCGTTCGCTCGAAAGTCCTCTTCAATCCTCATCTTCTCAGAGATAGCAGACTCATCAAATTTAGTCGAGACTGGACTACAAACCAAGGAGACTGGAGTAGAAGACGAGACACTGGACGAGTCACATCGTTCTGACTGCCTTTTATTTTCGTTGTTGTTGCCAGCCGTGGGTTTGTCAGTTGATTCAGAGTGGGTGTGGCTCTCTACATCTGTAAGGCTTACATTGCTTTGATCAGTAGCAACATCACCATTAGAAGCAGACGAAGTGGCCTTTCCATTAGCAGACTGATCCACAGGCTTTGACTCCTTATTAAGGCCACTAATCACAGTAATAGGTGGGGGCATCCCCTCAGTAACAGTACGCCCGGATAATGCACGCTTGAGCATTGTACCCGTACGTCTCAAGGACTGGAAACGCTTCCTCTTTTGTTGCTTCTTCGTCAAGGACTGTCCAGGAACTTGAATATCATTCTTGATCACATGTGCATGTGCACCCATCAATGTCTTGGCCTTGTCAGGACGAGAGACATAGACCTCTACGTGTAACCAAGTGGTGAAACGAGGGTCGCGTGTAATCTGATGTAAAAATGAGCCATAGGCATGAAGTTCACTACGGGTTCGGAACGTGCAAATCAAATAGAACTGCATTCGAAGGGGCTCTTTGGAGGATGCGATCTGTGCAGCAATAGCCTTGATCAGAGCCATGAATGTAGTGATAGCGGCACCAGCTAACATTTGTATTTTTTTTTTTAAAAAAAAATGTTGATAAATCACTCTAATATTTGCTAAAAGCTAAAGAAAAAAAAAAAAGAAAAAAAAAAAAAAAAAAAAAAAAAAAAAATGAATGGATCCAAGAGATGGCATTAGTCTTACCAACAAAGACAATGAGCACTTCAGACTTTAGGTAACCATGCTGGCGATCTCCAAAGACACCATCGACATTTGCCTTGATACGAATACGTTTATCCTCGGTTCCACAAAGTTTGGCCATGGCCCCTGTCCAACTCTTCTTGGTTTCATTGTATGTTCGGATGAATAAAACGATCGACTGTGGATCTTCTGGCCAGTAGCTGGCGATTGTGAAAGGATGATACAATATCCCCAGCTCCGGTACCTGAACTAAGATATAGTCACCGGGGTAATAGGGCTTCATGGGTTCAGGAGATCGGAGAGTCATCCGAATAATATCTGCATCTGCATTCAAAGCAATTGAGGCCTCTGGATAGAGGGTCCTAGCTTGGATCGTCTTTGGAACAAAGCGGTCGATAAAGAACAGGATGACCGAGGGTAAGACGTAGTACCAAAGCATATAGTATGGATAATGTACAACGGTAGCCACCAAGAAGATCACCGTTATAATACGGTGCACTGTCATGAAGACTGTGTAGAGTCGACGGCGGACTTGAGGGATCGAAAGAGCAGCAAGGATTAGAAGCGCAAACTATTGGCATCAATGATAAGCAGTAGTAGGGAAAAGATTATCAGGCTTTGATAACTTTTCAAACAAATGAATAAATAAACAGACGTTAACATGCAGCATGTCTTGCTTACCCAGGCAACAAAGCCCATGAGATTCATAGTTGCACGTCCCGTATCATAGAAATTAAAGTTCTCTTCCCAGGTTCCGTTTGCGATATAGTATATGCAATACCCAATCGTGTGGAGAACAGACCAGACCACAACCACCACACCAAGCCATCGATGAAGAGGTAGGAGCTCCGAGTAGGTGAACCCCAGGGAATGAAGCATCGAACGACGCAGGATCAGGAACAGAATAATGGAGCAGCTAGCGAGGGAAGCATACCCGCCGATGAAGCCAATGATCACTATACGGGGCGAGATCGATATCATATTTATAAATGCTATGTTGTCAGCTCACCTCGTAAAGAAATAATTATAAGGTCATGGCAACATATTCAACTTACAGCCAAATGCCTGTAAAAAGCCATATTTAGCAAAGTATCTCATCCCTGTTGGGATCGTAGAGAGGATCCACGAGAGTTTCAAGAGGACAATGGTTCCGACAAGACACCAATATTTGACTGTGTAGCCCCATAGGATATGGTGTTCCCACAACGAGATCTTTTGTTGCATATTTGCTGGTGTGGTCACCTTTGCGATCCCATGTTGAAACTCGCGTTCTGATCGGAAATAATGGCCCCAGACGGTGGCCATGTGGCCTATGACTGAGGGCAGGATCCAAAGTGCAGTTGTGAAATAGTCACGGTTGTTGAGATAGAAGATCCATTCACGAGTCTTAACCCAGGTTACCCAGCCATCGAGCAAGAACCAGACTACGATAATGAATAGACAGCACAAGACGATCCCTTGAAGTGGATCTATACGTAGCAGCCTCATATTTATATGGGCGTGTTCGAATGTGTATTATGAAGAGAAGAAAGCTGTCAGTTAGATGACAGTGAGAAATGAAACTAAAGGGAGAGAGAGAGAGAGAGAGAGAGAGAGAGATAGGAAAGGTATAAGAGAGGAGATAAAAGGAGGGAGAATGGAGGGGGTATGAGATTGACAGCGAAGGCGCCTCCTCAAACTGATAATTGATTTACAAGAAGGGACAAAGGATGGATAATGAAGAGGAGGAGTAGACTATCAATCCACTCCTTTTATATAAGCGAAATCTAAGGAGGACTAGAATCCAAAAAGGCTTGAAAAGTAGATCATGATCGGTTCACGGGGGCACCATGTAGTACATCCCTTCTTTGTTCTTTTCGTTGCCTTTGATCGTGTACATTACTGCAAATACCTACAGACAATGTGGTGAGTGCGAGCTGCGAGATTGTCCGGCCAAATAAGATCAGACAAGGTCGAATGAAGAAAAAACAGATCAGACTAGCCATTTTCTCACAAATCAGCGCATGTTATCGAAAAAAAAGAAAACAACAACAACAACAAAAAAAAGGTATAGTATTATAATTCAACTGATCATGATAACATTAAATAATTTAAAAAGAAAAAAAAGAAAAAAAGAAAGCTCTAGTAGCATCAGAATGGGGGCAACATGTGGCAAAACCATCCAGATCATTCAAAAAAAAAAAAAAAAGCAAAAAAGCAAAAAAAAAAAAAGCTCTACGAATAAAATGATACGTTGTGATCCCTCATGATATGTTTATCAGATCCTAGTCCATGCTCACTGTCCCTCTTCCTGCACAAAAACAAGGGACTAGGCGCTTTTAGGGAAGCGAGAAGTATAAAATGTTTATAGCAAAAGCCAAGAACTAAAAAGAAACTATGCAACAAGGGTCATTAACTTTTCTTTGAGGTAGAAAGGTGTTACTTCAGAGGGCTTTGGAGGGGACCCTGGAGGCAAGGATCAGACAAAAACAAAACAAAAACATTATATGTAAATGATGCTTGTGAATGGCGCTGCTGAGCATGAACTCTTTTTTTATATTTTTTTTTTTTTTTTTTTTTTTTGTTTCCTTTGCAACGCTTATTAGATTGAGTTAAAGTGTAATAAAGCGCGCATGAAAAAGATTGCCACAATAAAAAAATGTATAAACTTACTGAATGGTGTTGGTGCTGGTGCTGATGGTTTGCATCATACCCGTCGCAAAAGTCTGAAGCCCGATCGGGCATGGGTACATGTATATATATATTATACATTACAATATGATATAATGTACAAATGCACTCACAAATTCAGCTATAAGTCGAATGGGACGACAAGTTTGTGTTAATTGAAAGGTGTTTTGTGTATTCTTTTATCCTTTTCTGAAATTCTTGTAGATGAAGGCACTAGCCGGTATATTGCCACTTTGGGTCTAATCATCTCATCGGGCCAAGAAAAAAGCTTCAACAAAAAACACGCATGTTTATGTATCTATATAGTATAATATAATACCTTTTTTTTTTTTTTTTTTAATCTTGTTTCCTTTTCATCTTGTTTTTTTTTTTTTTTTTTTTTTTTTTCTTTGTCTTAAAAAAGATCATCTCTTTGACTCCTCTGCAGCCCGCCTATTCTGTTTATTAAGAGAAGCTTAATTTGACATGAATATGATGCGAATCACATGGATGATCGCCGAGTATATGAGTATATGCAGGTGTCCAACTATCTCCTTCTCTCGCCTATGATATGCTTTTTTTATTTTGTTTATACGTCAGTCCAGTCATCGTTTCAAGCGCCCTGCTGTATAGTTGCAAACGGAGATGCAATTAGAAAAAAAAAAAAAAAAAAAAAAAAAAAAAAAAAACGCGTCAAGGAATTTTTTTTTTTTTTTTTTTTTTGGATCTGATAAGGAATTTTAATTTGCATACGTGACCCGGGAAATACCGCTTTTGGATGTATTTGCATCTGATAACAACAATTGACTCGGACAAGAGGACAAGAGGACAAGAGTGCAAATCTTTGAGCTAATGACATCAAAACACAAATACAAACAAAAATAAGAACCGGCTCTCTTTTTTTTTTCTTTTCTTTTTTTTTTCCAAATGATGGTTGAAACTCAGTATACACTATTCCTATCCAATGCTACCAGTAAGGACAAAACTCTTCCTTTCATTCGTTCTTCAAAGATCGATATGGAATGGTTCCATTAGCTGGTGTTGACAATAACAAGTTCAGGCAGGGAAAAGAAAAATTACTATTATGAAGCTACTGTCAGTTGGTAAAGCAGCAATCATAAAGACTTTTTATATATATCTATCTTTGTTCTATAAACTTTCCTCTTCTTTTTTTCCTCTAAAAACCACAGCAGGATATCATTGTTTATGATACTCCATGGGTCCCACTCACATCGGTACATTGGACGATATATCTTTGTATTTTTGTATACTTGAATCTGAGCGTAGGATAAAGATCGTCATATTAATCCATGTATCTTTTTAAATGGTGATCTTTTGTCCATCATATGCAATTCTGATTTTGGGCAGACCCTCGCCATCCAGAGCTCGTACTCGTTCATCTTCAGTATAGTGATCAGCCGAATGACAAAACCCAACAATGAATGCACGCTCCAACTTTGGTTCAAGGCTAGCAATGTAGTCAAGCGCCTGAGGAATGCTGAAATGTGAGGGATGAGTCGATTCTTATTATTGATCAATGAAGTCACATGTTTTGTTATTGTCGTTGGGCATTCGTCATTGAAAAAGTGGGAAGGAAAAAAAAAAAAAAAAAAAAAAAGATTAGGATTAAGTTCAGCGACAATGACATTATAAGAGCGTTCTCTCATGCCTGTCGCCTCGCTCAATTAATGTTTTACGTATTCTATTTCCCTTGATAACTTTCTTGTTTTTAAAAGTTGTTTTTTACCTTTAAGTCCATCAATGACTAAAACCTTGGAGCCTCGGATTTTCTCTGTAGTACTCTCAGGTATAGTGGAACAATCTGAGACCCAGCTCACGTCCTTGAATCGGAAACCAAGTGACCAAAATGGTTCGCCTGTTGCAAAGTACTTGCCATGATGCACTAAGTTTAAATCACAAACGCATATAAAGCATAAGAATTGACATGATCATTTTGCATGTTACGACCGCAGTTGAAATTGGCCATTAAAGAGTCTGTCGATATCTCCCAAAGCCATAGGGGCCTCCTTGACGGTGTCCTTCCGTTTGTCCTCTGTTTCCTTCTGGTGCGACCTCCTTTGACTTCATACAAAATATTATTTTCACTTTTTTTTTTTTTTTTTTTGGAGGAGGAGGAGGGTTAAAATAGTTTTTACCTGGCAACGGTGTGAATTTGAGTCCTTCAACCTCAAAGTCTTTATCATGTTCAATAATATGATATGTGAATGAAGGAATATCACCGCCTCCTGTAGCTTGTGAGGCATCGACCATATATGGAAAGGCGGCTGCGATGCAATTCATGGTGACTTGATCCAGATACACTGGAATACTATGTGGGGTATCCTTGTCCAATAAACACCATGACCTGAGATCATCCAGTCCAAAAAAGGCATCCGCATGTCCATGAGTGATCACCTAATGAGTTTGAGCGGAAGAAGAAAAATAAAGAAAGAAAGAAAGAAAAACCAACGGGCAGCACGGATCAAAATACTGTTATTTGAAGGCAGTCGATTCTATTTCCTCTTTTAATTTCCTTTGAACGTTTTTTTTTTTTTTTTTTTTTTCTGTGATCATTATTCCGTCCTCATATTTACCAAAGCATCAATGTGATTGATGTTGTATTTAGGAAACCATTGCCTTGCTGATTCGTAATAACTCTTCCCACAATCAATCAGGATGTTTCTATTCCAAGATCAAAAATCGAGGAAATGTCAGCCATGTTCGCTTTGATGAAACAGGATCTATATACCTCTTTTTCTATATATATACATATATATGTATTCATATATACCTTTGACGTCCATCAGCTTGGGAGAGGCGGACCATGGCACTAGTATTACGCCTAACATTCTTAGCGCCCTCTGGTGTCAACGTTGACAGACATACTTTACAAGCAGACTCTGGGTTTGAAATACATGGAACTGAAGGCTAAAAAATCCACAGATTCATTCAAGCAAAGGGTTGTTAAGATACTGTTGCATTCCAATGGATTCATATGTTACGCATAACGTTCTTCCAAAAACTAGATCCTAATGCACAGACATTGTATTTTGTTCTTTTTTTTTTTTTTTTTTTTTTTGTCTGTCATGCTATGCTTATGCCTATGCTACGTTTTTCTTTGCTTTGTTTTGCCATGCACAACTTTTTTATTGTCTACTGTTGTGTTCATTCTCATCCATTCTCATTCAAAAAAAAACGGATTCATCATTACAGTCACATTACCACGCTGCTAGAGGTTCCAGTTCCGAGAAAGATGAGTTCTGCTGATTCAATCATTGTGAGGAATTCTATGTTCAATGTTCTATGTTTACTTGTTAAAGATGATTAGATTTGGAGGAAGGGGGAAATGTATGAGAGAGAAGCGGAAAGAGAAGTTGGACAATGGGAATTCAACAAGACAAACAAACAAAAAAAAAAAAAAAAACTTTTTAAAGGCGAAGACCAAAAAAGACTGACTTGTCCGAAGAAGCCTTTTTTTTTTTTTTTTTTTTTTTGAGCTTCAAGAGTATCAGAAGTTGGAAGCAGTCATAGTCCTCACCCAAAGGATGACACACACAATGGGTCAGTGATTATATCATCAATTACACTTCATAACTTTATAATCGTTGTCAATTAGAACCGGAGAGTTATGAATACACACCATTCCTTTCATCTTCATCCAACTTCTTGACCACTCTGTCAAAACACTCTAATGTACTTGCCATATTCGGATAGCTCTGTCCCCTAAAGACGGTGATCTGCAGGCTCTCTTTTTAATGTTGCTTAATTAACAAAACAAGGGTCCATCCACTTTATTCTTTACTTGTAACCAGTTATTCTTTCTCCCACAGTGCCATGCTGCTTATTGATGTCCTCAGTCGTGAGGCTTGCATGAAATAACATGCGCAAATCTACACTCGCTGCACATACTGTATTTGAACCGGTAATCTATGATCGATCTACCTGGTGCCGTTGCTGTTATCAGCGGTATTCTTTCTCCCAAAATTGCTGTCGCTGAAGCTGTCTCTACTGATAGGACTTGATGATTATCAGCTTGAATTGAGACTGCTTTGGACTTGTGTGCCATTGACGATGCTGTCACAATCTGTTCGGACGCCTCACTTACGACCAACGGATGGGATTGCTCTTTTATTGCTCCTCGTTGCATCAGAAGCTCCCTGTTGACTGCGCCCAATCCAACTACATCTTGAATACACATGTTGCTAGCATTGAGAAATGTTTATTTGGTGCTCCATTTCAGTCAATACTGATATTGATCTCTCCCTTTCACAATCTGCCACATCCGAACAAAGGCATCCTCAGATCCTGTGACCAGAAAGCAGCCTCCTTCAAAAGTACTCCATACAAGTGTCCTAACACGTCCGACTTCAGATGGGATTACTACCAAACACTCGTCTGTCCCTGCATCCCACACTCGCACTGTCCTATCACCACTGCCTGAGGCAATATACTTTCCATCAGGTGAAAAAGCCATTTCCGTGATCCATTTAGTGTGTCCTTCAAGAGTATGCAAAACAATTCCCGTTTCCATATCCATCACATCAATTTGTCCATCGTCATAGGCACCAGTCATCCGCTGACTACATGGTGAAAATGGTCCTTTTCTTGTATAAGCTCTAGTTGTGTAACAAAGCTCCCCCCGTTTCTGTATTCCGTACTTGCAGCTCATAAGAGGGATAGCTGTGATAAACCACTATTTTTCGACCGTGTCCCAAAGCTGTACTGTGATGTCGGTACCACAAGTGGCTATTTGTTCTCCATTTGGCGAGTATTTTAGGTCCATGATATAAAGGGAACGCCCTACAAGGATATGGATGAGCTTTCCTGTTTGCGCATTCCATTGGTATACCATACTCTCGGAAAATGAAGCAGCGAGTTTTCCACTAGGAGAATACTGAATGCCGCGGACGCTATTCCTATGCTCCAACTCGTACTTTTTCTGACCAGATCTAACATCTAACATCCCATACATACAAGTAACGATCAGAAGTGCAGCGAGATATAATTTCCTCGCCATTAGGTGAATACACAATTCGTTCAATTCCATATCCATGGTCCATCTACATCATCTGCTCCCCTGATATCGCATCCCACAGTCGTACTGTCTTGTCACGGCTGCCGCTTGCAATGTGAAGTCCATCAGGAGAGTATGCCACACTTCTCACCTGGTCCGTATGACCCTCTAAGCTGTATTTGAGCATCCCCGCTTGAGTGTCCCACACCCGTACTGACCCATCATCGCTAGCTGAGACAAGATCGTTTCTACCTGGTGAGTACACTGCACTGTTTACTTGAGCTTTATGGCCCTTCAATCGGTGAATCAGTGCTCCTGAGGTTGTATTCCAAATTGAAACTGCAGTTTGGAAAGAACCCCAGATGGCGGTATATCGACTGTCTGGCGAGTATATAAACCTCGTACCAATCTCAGTACCCTCAAGAGTTGAAAGCATTTCCTATGTTGACGCATCATAGAAAGAAATTGAATATTTACGTGAATCATCTTCGATAACGGAGGCAGCGAGTGTCTTGCCATCAGGCGAGTATGATCCTTCCAATACCTCGCCACCAACTTTGAGAAGCGGTCATTCTCCAAGCTGTACACCTGCCATCTTTGCTCCGCTTAGGTCTGCTTCACGAAGCCAGCAGTTCCGTAAGTTGACCTTCCTCAGATCCGCTCCTTGTAGCTGAGCATACTCAAATATACCATGGCTGAGATCTGCTCCTGGGATCCGGATACCTCGCAAGTCTGCTTCAATAAATGACTCGCCTGCTTGGATCAAGATTGTCATCGCATTGGCTGCTGCTATCCGCCACTTGCTATTGCTCTTCGAGAGCTCCACATATGCGTACAGCTCCTGTTTGAACACCGGTTCAAGACGAACACGGTCCTCTAAGAATTGAAGGATAGATGACTCACTCACAAAGCTTCTCCATACTAAAGGTGACACCTCATCAATCTCCACTACTTCCACTTCCTGCTCTTCCTTCTTGGTGCCCATGGCTTCGAAACTATATACTGAACTGATGCTCTGCCGACGAGAAGTTGCTATCGTCGCCTTTGCTACTTCATCGATCGCGGAAGCACTCATTGATTTCTTCGGCTCAAAGATCGCTCGTACTAGACTGTACTCTAGCAGTGAGCGATGCATAAACCGGTGCTGGCTGCCTGTATGAGTAAGTGGTGAAGCCTCGCATAGAAGGTTCCTTCCATTTGCTTTGCCGAAGTACGCTTCTTTCCATGTGTCCTTGTCCTTGTATGGTGAGTAATCCACTACTGGGTTACCACCTTGATGTTTGTAGATTGCTATGGCTAGCTCGGTGAGATATCTGTGCAAACCCTTCATCTAATAGTTTGTGAAACATCCTTCTGTCTTCCAGTCCTAATGCACCGTTTAGTCGCTTCTTGCCTCGCTCGAGCCATTGCTCAACGAACTGATCATACAGTGTGACGCGTTTGATCTTGGTGTTGGAGCCTCCTTGATCTGGATCTACCATTCGTGGGAGTACTTCTAGTGACATCGATAGTATGAAAGGGCTCTTTACAAGGTCTTGTAGACTAGGGATCAGCTTGAGTGCATGTCGGTAGTCCTTCGCACGCCACATAGGATTTATGGCATCGACATACTGTTCGATGTAGTCATCGATCTGAGTCTCAGAGAATGGCATGATCACAGCCTCTTCAAACAATCCAGCGTCTGCTTGGTGATTGCGATTCGTAGGCTGGAACCGATCTTGATAGTCCAATCCGAGGTACTCGCTGCGGCAGCTAATCACCATCTGAGCCATCCACTCTCCAGGCTTATTCAGTTGATTGGCGACATACAAGTTGTTGGTCTGCATGCTCTCATCATACCCATCACAGATCAGGATGAATGACCGATTCTTCTTCAGCTCCTTGATGCGTGAGTCTGTAAAATCATAGTCTCGCAGTTGCTTTGTAACCAGATCCTTCTCTGGCTTGTCGATGGCTGGAAGATTAATAAATAGTGGAATCCGACCATGTCTCTTTTGGTATGTCTCCCAGAGTGTGCGCTCTAGAGTGCGATTGAATGTGGACTTGCCTGCTCCTGAATCTCCTTGGATAAGTAACACTTTCTGATCGCTGCCCAGGAACTCGCTCACCTTGTCCATCAGCAAGAACAGCTTATTATCGCTTGCTTGAGGACTTGCTTTAGCATATTGTTGGATGTAGAATCCATGGTTGCTTCCAATCTCCATCCGCCGTCGCTTTAGCTGCCGTAGACTGTCCTCAACACTGGGTCGGTTTTGTGCACGATCAAGCAAATGTGAAGATGTAGATGGAGGATGTGTGACGAAGAAGGGATGCTGGGTCGTTGACCCTTGAAGACAATTCTTATATAGTTCTTGTTTCTTGAGGTCTCCATATTCCTCTAGATCATTCAAGAGAGTGTCTGCAGCTGGAAAGAGAAGGAATAAGAGTATGTGTATGGAGTGAGTAGGTAAAATCATCATATACTGAGCGCCGCCAATATCCAAGTATATCCACAGAAAAAGAGAAAATATATGCACCTTGTAGGCCATTCGGTGATAATAAGGATAGCTGTCTAACGATACTTATGATCCATTGCTTGACATGTGTATGGTAAGGCCACTCTTGGTCATTCTTGTAGATCTCTCCTAGGAACGTGATGGCATCATGTCGAGTATCCATACTCCACTGTGTATCTGCTGCAATCTGTCCCAGCCTCTGACATAGTCCCCATTGGAATGCTGCATCATTTCTGCAGGGTGCTTCACACATAGGAGTCTTGAACTTGGTCAGTTCGCCTATCTGGAGTAGTGCGTCGGCTCCACGCAGTGTTGGATACCATGCTGTTTTGCGACTAAAACTGAATCCTTCCTCCATACATTGTCTGAATGCCGATCCACTCTCATATAGTGATGTTGCATTTTCATATATCCCTAAGCTCATGTAAATAGCAGCTGTCACAGAAGGAAGTCCTCTCTGGGTGTTGCTTATCTCATCCATGAAGGCATTCAGATCTAAGCCTTTGACTGCACTCACTACTCCAAACAGTCCTCGGAGCACTGCTGATGCCCGTCGAAGCATGGCTTGCATTGTTGATTCATCGTCTGGAATATACAATAGAGCTTGGAAAGCATAAGCTGCTTGGTAGACAAGGTGTGGATCTGAGCTATCTTTTAGTCCCTGGAGGTATACAGCAAGTGGCTCATGAAGTTGTTCTCGCTTCAGACCCTTGACTTGGTTGTTGACCATGACATCGAGCACATGTGAAACTGCAGCAGACAGGCGATAAAGGTGGTCTCCAGATTGGCCATGGGTACCTTGTAAGCGGGAGCTGAGAGTGTTAAGGGTTAAGACAAGGTCATCCGAGCCAAGGTATCCAGAAGGGCCATTTTGCATCAACTGGGCCAATCCCTCCAATAAATGAACCGCAAGCATGATGTTCTGACTGATCCCATTGACTAAAGTCATAAGCAGTCTCCTAAATTGGGCTTGATCCAGGATTGGAGTCAGGGCCACAACTTCAGTGACAGTGGACTCGGTCTTGATGTCCTCGTTGATGAACATGTCAATCACATCTGATGCCAGTTTATGCAGTCGCTCATGCTCATCTTGGTCGTTTGATATGGCCTGGCACCACTCTTTCTCGCGGTCATTAAGATCACTTGTTGAAACAGAACCAATAGAAAGCAGACTAAGACAATACACGAGCTGGTGGATATCGTTCAGATGGGTATTAGCATCTGGTAGGCTGTGCCTGATGATCGTTGGAGGTTCATTGTGATCAAATATGTCCTCAGGAATAGTTGTATTGGTCAGCGCTGGCACAACTTTATTGGATCTGGTGCTACTGGCTCCACTACTTCCTTGTTTAGCGCCGGTGCTGTTATCGCTGCTATCGCTATTATTGTTGCCATTGGCGCTGTTTCCCTGGACGTATCCCCATTTCTCAGCTTTCCTGGCACGTCTTTGAGCACTGTCTGAATGACCTAGTTGTTCATATAAGCGAGCAAGTTCATGGTAGGCTATGGCTATGTTTTGGCGCAGTGCTAGGTTTTCATTGGAAGCTATAGAGGCTGAAGACATTAGGATGTGGGATATTCTCGCAGGCCGCTGCATCCGAGATAACGCAGAGTCAGCATCGAGACATAGCTCCATCAGAATGTCATTATCGTCGTCTATAATGCGAGTACCCTTCATGTAGAAATCAAAGAGTCTCAGGGCCTGTGCTGGCAAGAGTGCGCGTCGTGACAGAGTTCCCATAGAGTCAAACATGGCTAAGGTAGTATAGTTTTTTTATTTTTTTATTTTTTTATTTTTTTATTTTTTATTTTTTAATTGACAATGTTTATTGAATAAAGAGAGGAAGAAAGATAGAAAGGGAAAAAAAGTTCTTCTTTCCGCACGTGGCTCTTGAAGAACTCGAGTATCTGTGAATGATGCCATGCTTTCTAATCCATCTTTTTTTTTTTTCCCTCTCCACCTTCGTTTGCATTCCACACATTGTTTGTCTCTCGGGTCTGCTTCACATTCCCTTTTCCCGCACATTCTTCTTTACTTGGGCTGTTTTGCACGAATCTTTAATCTAATTTTGAATACAAACCATCATTTGCATGTCACACAACGATGATCAGCAACCATGGAAGAGAAGGAACCCGTTATGGACAGTCATTTTCTTGTCTTGTATCGTCGCCTTTGCTGTCTTGACACCATTAGTAGAAGCTCAACCTCCTCCTAGTCCGCCTCTTCCCTCTTCTGGAGCCTCACCCCGGGCAACAAATACTGTTTCTACCTCAACAAGGACAGCAGCACCCTTACCGTCTCAGATACCTATCCCGCCACCGGATCCACCAACGCCCATTGTTAACCTTCCTCCGGGGACTCGTGAGTTACAGGATGGACAGGTTGTCGCAGACAGAGTTGGACAAGGTCAACTTCAGACCTACCATTTATCAGTTGTTCAACAACATCTTCCTGTTCGACGACAATTGGAGCGGATCATTTTTCATCCAGGCCCAAAGGAACTCTACAAACGACAAGTAACGTACTCGCCGACATCATCGGCAGGCTCTGGATCATTAATACCCACGTCAACTACTTTTGGGGTTGGAGGGCCTATACCAGCACCTACCAGAACCATTGCACCTACACTTCCTTCGCCTTTTGCAAATGGTACATATGCGGTGTACATATCGGTATCAACGTGCTCAACACCCAAATCAGGAGCCAATTTATGTCCACCGTTAATGATGTACATATCCGTTTCAGCTAGTCAACCCCTACCAGGACCAGGGCAGGACCCTAAAGTGGTGCAGGTAGTTACGAGTCAGGAGGGTTTGATCCAGTTCACAGCTTATACGAATAAGGATATTTTCTTTAGTCTCCAAGCACCGGCCTTGCAAGGTGCCTGGACAGGTGATTGGGCTGTAGAAGTAGGCGCATCAAGCCAAGGTAAGGGAGGAAAAAGTTAAAATAAAAAGCGTTCGTTGCGATAGAGTATAATGGCACAGCCCTTTTTGAGTTTTTTTTTTTTTTTTTTTTTTTTTTTTTTTTTGGTTTGTTTAGGATATGTGCAAGGATATCAGAGTTCACAAGGATTAGTTCTCGATGATTCGGATAGTACCAATGCCAGCTTCTTGACACATAATTTCACAGCAGTTCCGACGTTCAAAGTTTATTTGGTCAATTCGACTTCTTTACCTGTAGGGCTGACCCATTCGTTATGTGCGATCGAGGTCATTCAACCCATGCCTCTTACCAAAGCCAACATGGTGGTGACTCAGACGAATAGGACGAGTAATTTGGATGGGTCTCAAGGGAGGTTGATCCTTCCACCAGAGCCAACGTTTGAACAGTTTGGACAACGACGACAGGTATTGGTTCAGGGCTTGAGACCGGGAACAGAATATACTGCGTTCTTTATTACGGATGTGTTGAATCAAGCAGGAGCTGAGGTGATGTATGCGATGACACCCTTTAGGACTAAACGACGTGATAATTGTGTGTTGATCACGGATCTACAACTTTGCAGGGAGGTAGCCTATGCAGTCCCAGTCACGCCTCTCTCGACGTTACCGGGCAGCAGTAGTGGCACGACGGTCCAGCAGGATGTGAAGCATTACTATGATGATTTCACAAGTCGGTTGATGGAGACTTTTACAAAAGTGTTGAAGCAGTACGATTGTTCGAAATCACAATATTCATTTATCAGGAACTGTACAGATTGTGAGCGGGCCTATCGACGGTGGCTGTGCGGTGTTTCGATCCCTCGGTGTACGGATGTGGAGGATATTACGGATTCGAACAATTACGGATATGTGAGGCCTGAGGACATCGATCCTCATGCGGCAGAGAACCCCTATTTACTTGACCGATCGAATGGACCTGTGGTCGTTGGGAGAAATACCAGTACATCGAGAGGAGCGGTTGCTCAACTGTCTGCTGAGAATAATACGTTGATGAACCCAGGAGAGTATGGGGAGGTGTTGCCATGTGTGGATCTGTGTTATGATGTTGTGCAGAGCTGTCCAAGTTTCTTGGGATTTAATTGCCCGGTCAAGAACATGGGTGGTAATTATGCACGGATGAATGCTGGGGGATTCCAATGCAATGGATTGGGCATAGTATCGATTCCATCAGGAGCAAGGGCCTCAAGGTTGTCGATGTTGAAAAAGCAAGGGATTGTTGCGATCATGGTCATAGTGTCGATTCTCGTTTCATAAAGGGTGACAAAGAAAGAAAGGGAGAAAGAAAGTAAATGACCCTGAAAAGAAATATGGATTAAACTAGGATGAACAACAAAAAACTGTCTTTGATATCTCTTGGACATAATAGAGTTGAGCTGGTTAGTTGATTAGTTTGTTAGTTTGTTAGTGAATGTTGTGAAAAAGAACAAGGACAATTGAGTGTACAACAAACAAACAAATGACAAATGAGAGAACGTGCTAAAAGAAAAAAAAAAGGTGGCTGTGGTTTTTTATTTAAAAAAAAGGGTTAGGCCATGCAGCAGCAGCAAAGAGCTAAAAGGGAGTAAAGTAAAGCCGTAGCTAGGCATGCTATGACAGAAGTAACCTTCGAGTGAATCTCTTCACCCCCGTTCTGCCCCTAGTCCAACTCCCTTTTCTCTCTTTTCTGTATTCCCTTATTCCCTTTTCCTCTTTTTCTTTTTCTCCTTCTAATTTCTCCTTTCATTCTCCTACTCTGCATGTGTGTGTCACTGTCTAAATATGAAGAAGATGAAGATGAAGATGGATGCATGCATACCACTTTGAGAGCAGTTTTTTTTTTTTTTTTTTTTTTTTTTTTGTTCCTGGAAGCAAGAGGCGCGTGTTAATGTGTTAATCAAAGTATAATTTTTTTTTTTTTTTTTTTTTTTAGTCTAAGGGACAATCAACTCAACTTCACACCTTCTTCTCTTCATCATCATCTCTCATCCATCCCATCCATTCGTATTCATTTTCCCTTTTTTTCCTTTATTCTTTTTTTCTTTTTTCTTTTCCCTTGATCCCCAGCTTGGTTCCATCTGTTGCGTGCGTCTGTGTGTGTTGTTGTTGTCGCACGTAGCAACCCGGTTTGGACCTTCTTTCTTACCCTAAAAGAGAGAGTATTTCTTTTAATTTGTCATCTGTTCATCACCCCCAATCAATCAATCAATCAATCAATCAATCACACTCAATCAATCATTCATTCATTTAATCAATCAATCAACCCATTCAATTACATTTAATTACTTTTAATCTTTCAATCCAAATGATCTCTCCTTCCAATCTACCTTCCCCTGCTGGGTACTCCTTTGGGTCTTATGAACCCATCCATAATAACACAAACAATAGTAACCATCGAGGGAAAAGTGATAGCCACGAAGCCTTTATTCGACAGCGTCGAAAGAGTTCTGTAACACCATCACTCTCTTTGCTTCGTAATAACAACAACAACAACTCAATTCGTACACGTAGTCAAAGTCTGGATAACAACAACAACAACAGTAACAACACCATCTTCAGCCTTCACAGCTCTTCTTCTTATTCTACTTCTACTTCCACCTCTACCTCCATTGCAACTCTTGCTGGGAAAATTGCTCATTCTGCTCATTCGGCTCATATCACAAACACTGCCACTGTTGCTGCCACTGCTAATGCCTCTGGAACCACAATGTCCTCAACAACATTCCAAAAAATCAATGCCCTCTCTTCTACAACAACTACAACAACTGCAACTACAACGACTGCATCTTTATCGGTAGCACTCTGTCGCTCTTTGGTCTTGAAATACATTTACATGACCTACTTATTCTTTCTCCAGCTCTTGGTCTGGCCTACAGCCGCAGTCAAGAAATTCCTTTATCAACAACAACATAAACGGGCAGGAATGGCAATAGCTACAGGATCAGGACTAGGATTCGGAGCAGTCGACATAGGCAGAGTTGCTCAGGACTTTTTAAAACAATATACCTTGGATAACCATCTTGCACCTGTCCATGACAGTGACAAACTTAACAATAATACCGACACCAGCACTAACATTAGCATTAATAGTAATAATCATAACAGCAACAATAACAACAACAATAGCAATAATAACCAACACCAGGGTACTACAATGCTGAGAAGATCTTCTCGGTTCAAGTCACGATCAGATCTAGAAGAGATTGCTCAATCATCTACACCATCATCATCATACTCAACAACAACAACAACAACAACAACAGCAACAACAACAACAACAACAAAACGAAATAGTGGTGGTTTAGTTTCTAGATCATCTTTATTATCATCAGGATATGGAACAGATTCCATGGCCGAGGATGGAGGCTCTGGGGATAACTCGACCACCCCAACGTCCTCCATGATCCGTGGGAATCAAGGGCGGTTAAGACAACGGATGTCTCGGCCCATGTCGGGCCTTGGACATGGAGGATTCGGAGCAAGGAAAAAAACCTTAGTGTTAGATTTGGACGAGACATTGATACATTCCACATCCAGAGGATCACGCTCTCAAGGATACATGGTCGAAGTATTGGTTGATCGACATGCATGTCTATATTATGTCTATAAACGACCTCATGTGGACTACTTTCTGAAGAAGGTATTTTAAGCCATGCAGACAACTCATATTACTATTATTATTATTATTATTATTGTCACTATCATTATTTACTAATACTCATTATTATTCCATTATTCATGGAAATATAAAAAATATAGGTGTCTGAATGGTACAAGCTGGTGATTTTTACAGCTTCCATGGCAGAATATGCAGATCCTGTCATCGATTGGTTGGATCAGAACCGCACCCTGTTTGAAAAACGGTATTTTCGCCAGGTAATTATGAACACATTCAACATCATCCATGCGGGTCGGTTCACATCATGATCCTTTCTTTTCTTTTTTCTTTTTATTTTACAGAACAGAGCACTGACCTCTTTTTTTTTTTTTTTTTTTTTTTTTACGTTATTCTTCTTATTTTTACGTTTACGCCTATGTTTGTTTATGTTTACGTTCATGTTTTCGTTTACTTTTATGTTACTGTTACATTTACGTTTACTTTTTTTTATCATAGGCTTGTTTCTTCCGTAATGGTAGTTACTTGAAGGACCTTACGGTAGTAGAACAGGATTTGTCCTCTGTCTGTCTACTTGATAATTCACCTGTATCATATTCACTCAATAAAGGTAAGCAAGTAGGAAACATGTGTGTGTATGTGTGTATGTGTGGATGTGTGGATGTGTGGATGTGTGGATGTGTGTATATACAGCATGGCATGACCTATTTTTTTTTTTTTTTTATTGAATTTTTTTTTCCTTTTTCCTTCTTTTTTCTTTTTTCTTGTTTTGTTTTCTTGCTTCTTTTTGTCATGGTAACAACACATAAACACAGAAAATGGTATCCCTATCGACAGTTGGATCGATGACCCGAACGATGAGGCCCTGTTGGACCTACTTCCGTTCCTTGATGCTCTTCGATTCACAGAAGATGTGCGGTCTATCTTATCTTTGAGAACCATTTAAAAAGAAAAAAATAATAATAATAATAATAATAATCTTCCTTCAAAATCTAACAAGATTTATTAAAATTAAAATATATAATTAAAAAGTAAAAGTAGAATTAAAAATAAAATTAAAATAAAAATAAAGCAAAGTAAAAGAGGGAATGAAAATGAAACAAATGCGCTCCTCTTTCATTTTTCATTGATCATTTTCCAGATTAATTTAATTGTATTTACATGTCTATCTCCTTGTCGGATTTTATTTTTAATATCAATTTTATCGATTTGCTTATTGTATATATTGCTGACCATTCTATTGATCTATTGCTTTACTCCTTGCTTTGCAACTTACTCTGACCACACCATCGGCTCTCACCGTTCATCCTCTTCCTTAGCCAACTCAGTCTTGACTTCAGCTGCTGTCTCCTTCTCCTCCTCCTTCTCCTCCTCCTTTTCCTTCTCCTTCTCCTCTTCAATTTCTTTATTTCCTTCTTCTTCATCATCATCGTCTAGCAGCTCTTGCCAGTCATCCACTACCTCGTCTGTAAATTCCCCTTCCTTTATAACCACAAACTTTGCCAAATCATCTTTCATCTTTGAATGACGGCCGCTGCTACTGCTCTCAGCTGAGGTCGAGCTAGATCCACCAGCTGTCAGGACCGATGGTGGCAACGATGATATAGATCCAGCACCTGCTACTTCCTCATCCCATGCATCCGAACTCAATGTTCCTGCTGCCTCCTTGGCCTTCAAGATCCTCTCCTCTTCGGCCCTTTTGGCTGCCGCAATACGCTCATCATCATCCAATAATGCAAACGTATTTGCTACTTTTGCAGGCGCATGTTTCTGTTGTAACCATTGATTACCCTGGCTAGCATTGAAGAATCGTTTTTGAGATCCACCCCCAATACTTGTATGACTAACCACCTCTCCCTCCTTATTGACCCAACACAACTCAACTCGATCGCAGAGGTTATTGCTCTTGGCAGCCGCAGCCTTGATCCCTGTTCGTAAGCGGATGAGCACAGCTTCTAATTCATCCATCTGCATCGAACCAGGATGTGGTACCAATACAGCGTCATCATCTGTCAACCACCGGATGCCATACTTGATGTTCCCGAAAATGGGCGCCAATTGTGCCGCTAGCTCTGAGCGTGTAAGTCCAAAGGCCAAATCATGCAAGTAGATCGCATTCACGGGATCTTTGATCGTTGGCTTCCGAAGTTGCTCCACAGCATTGGTAGTGCCACTGCTAGAAGAGGATGCCCCAGTTGATCGTCTCTGACGACAAGCTTGAGAGACCAACAGGTCAGGCACAGATGTGTTATGTTGTCTCATGATATTGACACTTCGATAGGGCTCAACATCCACACTCTCCGAGATGACATTGTAGTGAGCAGCGAGCTCATGAACAAACTTGCGGCGATGGCCCTTCATTGGCGGGAAATAAAGGATCGGTTTCGAAGTATCTGCAACCCATTCTGCCAATTGCTTCTCAATCTTGAGCGTAAACTCCATACTAGCAGAAGCATAGTCCAAAACATAATCATCGTATTCAGGTATGCGAGGACCCCTAAAATAACAAGTAAATAAATAAATAAATAAAACGTTGATATTTAAACAACGAGTTCGTTTTCTGGGAGGAAGAAGAAGAGAAGAAAAAAAAAAAAAAAAAAACACACTTTCAGATACTTACGGTGCATGCGTTCCTTCCTCAATCTCGAGGGCAAGAGCAACTCGTCGGTTACGCTCTGCGATCAAGCAATAATCATTGCATTTGATGATTCTTGGTTTGCCATCCCATGGATTCTCTGTAGTCGCATTACAGGCCGATTCCATTGTCAAGTGTCCGCATTTGCAGCTTGAAGGTACAATCACAGAACAAGGTTGATCTTCAGGGCATGGTGTGTCACCATGACATGTCATACCACACTTGTGTCCGCAGCTCTTGCGCGGTTTGGGACAAGGCTGATGACAGACATCTGTTGGTGGTGATAGACATCCGCCAGAGTGACATGACTTGATACACGTATGCAAGTTACAATCCAGTCGCTTGCCACAGACCTTGCCACATGATGGGTTATTCTTGTGACAAGGTACATTGGGCATAAGGGTCTTTTTACACATACATTCTTTTGGTACGAGCATAATACAGGGCGGACATGGCTCACTATCGGGATGGCAAGGATGGTTGGAGAAGGAAGTGTGTCCACAAGCGCGTGGACGCGTGCAACTATACCGACACTTTGGAATAGGAGTGCCACATGGGATAGGAGCTTGCACAACAGTGCGGCCGCATGCACATGAGAGGTCTTCAAATGAAGCGCCTATTTTTAAAAACAAAATACAGATTGTTTAATCAAATCAATTCCAAAAACGTGCATACCCAAATGACCGTTGAAAGAAAAAAAGGACATTAAAAAAAACTTACGCAGGCAAGGGTTGCAATGTCCTTTGTGGCACAACATTTCACAGGTATGAACACCACATTGGAGCTTTTTGCCACACACTAACGGACAAGTATGGGCCTCCAAAGCGGCAGGATCGATCTTTCCTGTTTTCGTCTTGTTCTTACCAGGACAACATCGATTCGTGCATTCATGTTTGCCACAGGTACGAAGGCCCCTACACAGACGGTCACACGTTGGGAGCTCATCTCCATAAAGACCCAACTCTGAGCAAACTCTCTGGACCCTGGTGGATCCACAACGACAGTTCACTTCAACTTTCATCCTACATGGTGAGCATTCACCGAGATGACATTTTTGCATGCAGCGATGTCCACAGTTCAAGGGTTTTTTACAAACACCTCCACAGACAGGAATCGGGTCAGTACAGGACTCTCTTGTCTTGCCCTTCAACAAAACCTCGACGGACTTTGATCCACAGGGACATGTCTTGACTACTTCAGGTCTGGCAGGGCATTGCCCTAACTCTTTATCTAATGGATGACAGCCCTTGGTGCACTCATGATTACCACATGCAAGAGGCCTAATTTTGAGATCAAATAGATAAACAGTTAAGATCGATTGAATTGATATCTCATGAATAGAGAGAGGAAGCCCATGATCCTAAAAAAGACCTCAAACGTTCACAACATACCTATTACAGGTCTCTTCACAGCCATAAAATCCTGTCACATCCTTGCCATCTACTATAGAAGTTCTAGGCTCCCCATCGCCACAGCGCGCTTGGCGTTGATGCTTTCCACAGTAACATTGCTGCTCCTCTACTTCTTCACAGGGTGGACACAGCCCAGGGTGACAAACAGATGAACATGTGTGTTTTCCACATCCTAAAAGCTCATCACAAACTTTGTTGCATGATCTTCCTGTTTGGAATGTAAAATCTGTGTCAACACAGCGCAGTTGGAAGGTATCGTTTCCACAGTAGCATGATTGAATAGGGCCGAGACCACTGCATGGGGGACATGGCCCAGGATGGCAAGGACTATAGGAAAAAGTAAAAATAAAAGTAAAACCAATTCATGTGTGAAAAATAAATAAATAATAGATAAAATAAAATGTTTAGCGCAGCAAAGCAGAGATAGAAAGACTTACATATTACATGGATGAGGACACTCTCTAGAGCGACCGCAACGCTCCCCACAGGAATGGGGAGTGAAATAACGGTTGAACTCTGGGTTATTGACCTTTCCACAGAAACAGACATACTCCTTTGGAATCGACATCTGAGTGTTCTGGCATCCAGGGCAGCGCCATCCAGTTCCGTTATTATTGGCATCTAAGTATCAAAGAAAAAAAAAACCCCCCAATACGACACAGAGTACAGAATTAGTCGTCTCTCCTTTTCCTTTTATACACATGTTAAAATAGCAGAGCCATCCTAACCCAAAGTTTCTTTTTTTTTTTTTTTCTTTTCCTCTTTTTTACCTTCAGACGATTTCTTGGCCCATTTAGAAAGACAGTCCAGATGGAATGCAGCCCAACAGACCTGACAATTCCAAATCTTGTGGGCTGGCCGGATGACATCCCAACAAACCATACAATCATACGTCGAGTTCGTAAGGCCAGTCGTAAGCGCAGCCATCAGATCTTTATCTTCTTCCGCCTTTCGTACAGACTTCCTGGAATGAACAAACCGTTGTTGCTGTTGTCCGTTCCTTGGACCATTTCGTTGAGGCCTAGAGCTCTCTCCTGTCTGCTGCTGATGATCTGCGCCGTTGAACGATGCTACTGCTGCAGAAGGAAATGCACGACCACCCTGATCAGCTGTCTTTCGATTTCTCTGTCGTCTATTGTTATTATTGTTGCTGCTGCTACCTTCACCATCGCCTTGTTGAGAGCTACTATTATTGCTATTGTTATTGTATCGGCTATTGTTGTTAGATCTACGGGGATTAGAAGAAGATGTTTCTGCTTGTGTATTATTTGCTCCATCTTCTTTAGTTCGTCGTGATCCTCCCCTGTTTTCGCCTCTACTTTGCTGATGTGATTTTAATACGGAAGTTGATGATGGCGAGGGTGATGATGATAATGAAGATGCGGTAATGTTGGCTTCCTTGTCTTTGCCTTTGCCTTTACGACGTCTTTCACGACGACGATCTAACCCAGATCCAGATCCAGAAGCACCAGATTGATTCTTCCTGACCGATTCTCCTTCTTCTGAAGGCTCAACAGGACGCTCCATATTGATTTCAATATCATCTTCGTCGTCATCGATGCGTGCACCACCACCACCACTGAAACGATTCTCGGGGGTTTGTTTTGGCGTACGTCTGCGACGGCTCTTGCTTTTGTTGTTAGTGCTGTTGGTGGTATTGGTATTGGTATTGGTATTGGCATCGACATCGGCATTGGTATTGGAGGTGGTAGTGTCAACGGATGCAGATCCGATAGCATGATCTGAAGGTTTGTTGTCCTTTACTATCGTTCTACCGTTGGCGTTATTGTTTGATTTATGGACTGAATTACCTTGACGTCTACTTCGATTCCGTGGATTAGTGCTATTACTATTCGATCCTGATGGTTCTGCAGAGGAGCCTTCCTGAGAGACTAGAGCAGCTTGAGGGACATAATCCTTGGCAGCTGGGTTGAGCTTGCCTTTACCCTTGGCTGGCAATGATTTCTTTGAAGATCCTGACCCTTCAGTTCCAGTTCCAGTTCCAGTTCCTGATACTGCTGAGGCATTGCTCATACCAGTTCCAGCTGAGGCAGCACTGTTGTTAGTGGTGTTGTTGTTGGTAGTGTTGTTACTTGAGTGGCCATGATTGACAGTGTTAGCTGAATCACCCATGGAGATCTGAATGTGAGATTCTGGAATTGTTTTATTCTTCCTTGTTATTGTTTAATATGCGCTTTTTGTTTCTGTGAAACAAGGACACGAGTGTAAGGTGGGCAAAGAAAGAAGAAGAAGAAGAAGAAGAAGAAGAAGAAGAAGAAGAAGAAGAAGAAGAGAGAGAGAGAAAGATAGAAAGAAGGACCTAGAAGATAAAAAGTCCACTCCCTTTCCGTTTCAGTTACATGTACTGAACAAGTAAAACACTACACCGCAAATGAGGCTTCATTCCACTATTGGATAATTTCTTTTTTTGATCATTGACTCTGACAACTTCACTGCGGCAATTCAATCGCTTAATAAGCCACCCGCAGTTCTTGGCTTCTAACCTTTATTATTCCTATTCCATAGACCCTGTAAAGATGTAAAAAAAAAAAAAAAAAAAAAACTAACCCAATCTAGAAAAATAAATGTTCAAAGTGATTAGATAATGTGGTTTATTTTTATTTTTTTTTTTTTTTTGTCTGTTTAAGTTCATGATAGATCCGTAATAAATGCTATATCATAAAAGAAAAAAAGATATGAAATGAGATAAAATGATGAGAAAGGGGTATAAGGGAGATACTGGGAATATGAGAATGAAACCAGTTACTGTACAAAAAAAAAAAAATAATAAGAAATAAAAAATAAAGAGAGAGAGATATCTATAATAATATATCCTTATTTAAGGCGACATGGGCCCTTCGTTACGAGGAGCCAAGCGAATGCTGCCAGAGTGCATAGGAGTTCCGCTCGGAGGTGACATTGTTCTGTAGCCTGGACCGGGACTAGGCATTCCACCCGGGGGTGACAGTGTTCTATAGCCTAGACCAGGGCTAGGCGTTCCAGTTGGGGGCGATAACGCTCTGCAACCTGGACCAGGGCTGGGCATCGGACGCATCATAGGCGAACCAGCCATAGTGGGAGGATGTCTTGGCACAGGGGCTACCATCATAGGACCACCAGGAGGCGACATTGGATGTTGCTGTTGCTGCCAGCCCTGAGAAGGAGACATGTGTGGGCGCATATTAGGAGATCCCTGTCCCCAATGTGACGATTGTTGGTGGAAGGATGGTTGACGATGAGGTCCTGGTACAAGAGATGCAGTTGATCCATTGTTGCTTGGGGTATTGGGGCTCAAAGGTCCAAGAGGGCTTCCCATCATCATAGGTCGAGGTGGGTTACCAGCCAAGGGTGGAGTCATTGCCTGTCTGCCATTATAGTCAAAGTGATGTTGCTGTGGTCCAAGCTCGGGCGTGACCTCCGTTTTGGATTCACCATTTTCGGTGTAGATACTGGGAGAACTGCTGAGACCTCGTAAGAAGGGTGATCCATGGATACGCTGTCGCTCTGCGCGCTCAATCCGTTTAGCCTGACGAACACGAGCCTTCTCATAATCATCCCATCGCTTGAGAGGTACCTTGGATGAGTCAAAGATCCCATCTGCATTACCGTGTGCCTCTCCCTTGGCTTCTCCCTGCACCTTACGGGTCTCACCCCAGGAAAAGTCATCAAAGTGCCAGTACGCGTACAAAGGAAGGACAAAGTTCCAGACTGGGAGCGCCAGCAAGTACACAAACATCCAGGCGACGTAAATCAGCTTGCGGGTTGTGAGCAAGATCAGGATAGCGGGCATCGTCAGGACGAACACAAGCAGGATCAGAGGTGCAGCCTGAGCCAAGTTGGTAATCGTAATCAAAGACAGGTTCACGATCAAGACTACAGTCAAGAGCATGGCCACGGGCAAGACCACTGTTCCGATCAACTCCATGAAAATCACAAACTGCATTGAGAAGCAGAACGTTCCACACAAATTACGAACCAAAACCAACTCTAACAAGTTGTGAATAGTGGAGTTGATCCACCGCCTCCTCTGAGACAACAGCACGTTAAATTCATCCGGCACAACAGTCTTGCAGATAGCCTGAGGCATAAACATCATCTTACGATTGGGGAAGTTACGAAGCATCAATGTTGTCAAGAAACGATCCTCTCCCAGTAACAGCAAGTTCTTTTGATGAAGGGTGTCGACAATGTTTTGGGAGTATTCCTGAACAATTTCGGGCTTTGTAATGATCGGTACCCAATCCTCTCCCTTGCGTGCCTTGAGACGGTACATACAGAAACATCCAGGCAAACAGGTCACACCTCCAAAGACTGACTCGAATCCCTTTCCAAGATGATGTGAGATGTAGTACTCAAACACTTGAATTGCCGTGACCCAGGACTGACGTTTGTTGGCGATCTTGGTTTCCCCACAGAGTCCCATAATCAACGGATCGTTATTCATACAGTTCATCAATAACTTCAATGAGCTTGGGTATACTTTTGTGTCTGCGTCCACCATCAAAACAATCTCAAACTTGTCCGGGGTGACCTGCATCAGATGTTGGATCTTGCGGAAAAGTTCATAGTCCAGGGGAGTCATCCGATCGTTATAGGTAACACGCGAGAAAAAGTTCATCAGAATCAGCTGAGAATCACGTTTGCCACGGTTTCCGGCCTTGGGTTTATCATGCTCTGCTTCGTTTCCGCATTTGACAACAAGGACTGTTGGGACACGATGGTTTTTCCAGCGGAAGTAGCCAGCATAAACCTTGGCGCGGTTGTGCTGTTTTGATCCAGCAGCGACAGCAATGTAGGATTGAGGGGTTGGGTCCGAGTCGAAGGCGGGGTCGAGTTCCATGAGGCTAGAACAAATCTCTGGGGTGGAACGGTCATTGCCGGATCCTGTGATGATTCCATCGCAGATAATGAAGAGCAGCTTTTTGTTGTCCGGATACTCTGTGCCCGCAAGGGACTCGATCGTAGTGCGGAGTGAAGCCTCTCCTTCAGAGTAACAAGTGACAAGCATGACTGTGTGCAGATCCTCAAAGGTAGCCTCACCGCCTACTGGGGTTGTTGTGCGCGACAAGCCTTTTCCGGGTGCTGAGGCGACGATCGTTGTTCCTGAGGAGGCTGCGGAAGAGCTACTGTGGATCTTTGCCTTGGAAGGTGGTCTGGCGAGTTTAGCGGACAAGAACCAGTCAAAGATGATGGCCATTGCAAAGCGAGACATGACAATGCCGAGCACGACTGTTAACGACACAAACATGAACAGGTCCGAGGCAAAGCATCCAGGTGTGGCCTTGTCAATGAAGCCAGCGCCGAATTTCTCGACCAGGCACGAGGCTGAATTCTTGAGGGATTCGCGTTTGAAGAATGTCTTTGTAGCATCCCGTCCTCCCTCGGGCATGGGTAGATCTCTGACATAACGCAAAACTGTATCGAGCTCATCGTTGGGGATGGGTGATTTATAAAATGCAAAGTACTTGTCGAGGTTGAGCACATTGCCGTCAATGACCATATAATTCGCTAGCTCACTTCTCTCCATCTGGTTCCAGTCATATCCAGCTTTTTTTTTGGGAACCTGACGAAGTTTATATTTTGAATAAAGAGATTCTCGTGTGGCTGTGATTTCACCGGGACAGCCTCCTGGAGCCAAACAGTTGTCGAACTTTGCTGCAGCAGATTCGAGTCCGATGCAGTGAGGAGTATCCTTGGCAAAAAAATTGCTGAGGTCCTGGCCTGGGGTCAAATCATCGAGGAAAAGGTCTTTAGGGTAGGTTGCGTCACTGGCCGAGAAATCATAAATATTTCCATTAATTCCATATAGGCCTAAAGTATTCCCCCATTACGAAATGAATTGAATATTAGTCATTTAAATTAAACATGATGGTTCTCCTTCAATTGGGAGCGGCGCGAATTAAAGGTGATCAATGGTCATTGGTGTCGGAACAATAAACATGAGAAATAGAAAGAAAGAAAAATGCTCAGCTTTCCATGGCACATGGCTCATAATAATGAGAAAATCATGTCAAAGAAAGGCTCACAAAAAAAAAAAAAAACTCGATCTTCTCCCCCCCTTTTTTTTTTCTTTCTTTTAATTCATTTGTTACAATGAAGGGACAGGAAGTGGTCGTGTGTGTGTGTGTATGTAAATGTGTGTGTGTGAATGTGTATTTGTGGTTGGGATATTGATGTGTGGTGCAACACAATGTGATACAAAATGAATGTTGTAACACTTTACATGCAACAGAAATACCCAGCTTTGATTGACAAAGCAGACAACGACTCTTTTTTTTTTTTCTTTTTTCTTTTTTCTTCTTTTGCAGGGAGAAGTTAGGGCAGGGCAGGGCAGGGCAGCAAAGACAAAAGTGGACAGGGGCCCTTTTCAAAAAAATCTCTGATTTCGGACTTGTAATCCCAAGGATGATTTTTTAGTTCCTGGGCTGGATCTTTCATTGGAACGATAACTCGATATCCAATTGATGGTCAGTGTTTTTTGGATTAGTTGCAAAGTTGATTATTCTGGACCGAGCAATATAGTCCAAGAATCTGAACAATGACTGTCTGAATCTTTTTCTTTTTCCTTTGCTTTTGAGAGGCGCTATAGCAGTAGACTATCTCCTTTACTCCAAAATGAGCAAGCTTAGCATCGTTGTTCCTGAGAAATCGACTCTTTGTCTCCCCTTCTCCCATTTGTCTATTTCGCCCTGTGTCTTTTTTAACAATCCAATCCTTTCCCTTTCCCTTTCCTTCCCCATCAAGAATTACTGCTTGTCCAAATCCAATCATTATGAAATGGATAAAGGGAGGACAGTAAAAGAAGAAAAAGGATAACTAAAGTCCTTAAGACTTTTTTTTTTTTTTTTTTTTTTTTTTACCTTGGGATTGCACATCTGCATATCGAACAAATGTCTGTGCTCCTTGTCTGTCACTGCTAGGACACAACAGAAAGGAGAATCCGACTGTCAAGAAGGCAACGATACCGCCGATGAACAAGATGATCAGACATAAAGTGACCTTCTCTCGCCAGGCCTGTTGAACCTGTTTGTCGGACATGCCGCACATCTTCAAGAACGGTGGCAATGCCCAACAGGTCATGATTCGAGAACAGATCACCCAACAGGATGCTGGTTCGTCCTCCTTCCGCTTCTTGAACATCGTCTCTGGGGTCTGGAAACGATCGGGACGGGAGAGGGTCTTGCCACGATTCAGAGTGTTTCCCCGGCGGAGGGTGCCACTCCTAACAGGAGGACCTCCGCCAGGGCCATGCACAGATCGTGCGCCTGTTCCATTGGGAACCCCAGTCATACTCTTACTGTCCTGGGGAGAGCAAAGTGTGGAGTGAAAGGGATGAGACTATATCGCCCTTGGTTGATCAATTGAGCAAAGAGTTTTTTTTTTTTTGTTTTTGTTTTTTTGGTTGTTGTTGTGGTTGATGTCGTAAGAAGATGGAAGGATTGAGGGAGGATCGAGGAGGAAGGGAAGAGGAAAAAGGGAGGTAGACAGAACGGGTGTACTTTAGGTTTTTCAAACGATTTTATTTCCCCCCCTGTTGATTTAAAGTGTTTGATGAGTGGCGGGTTGTACAGTCCAAGGTTATTAGAGACGGATGATGGATCAAAAAAGAATAAAGAAAAAAGAAAAAAGAAAAAAAAAAAAAAAAGTGATGGCAAAAGGGAGTAGATAAATGTATCTTTGTGTGTATTGTTCTTCTTTGTCAATGAGAATAAAAGTGTCTCCCTTGACTGTTGATGATGTTTGTTTAGATAGAAAGAAGGAATCAATGAAGGAGAAAGAGAGAGGATGGAGGAAGGATGAAGAAAGATGATTGTCTGTTACCGAGGAATAGAGAGAGAGAGAGAGAGAGAGAGTGGAGAAGAAGAAGGGTGAGAAGGATGAAGAAGAAGAAGGGTGAGAAGGATGAAGAGGAACAAGGGTAAAAAGTAGACAAAGGAAGAGAAAAAAAAAAAAAAAAAAAAATTAATTAAACTGGGTTTAGCTTGAAGATCAAACGGGACCTGAATTTTATTGTTCCACCCATTAAATTGCAAAGACACCTAACAAAGAAAACACACCAAAAAGGACAAAGTCATGGCTGTAGCAACTGTTGACAACAAAAAGTGCAATGGATAAAGAAAAACCACCACTGCACTTACTACGTTGACGTGTGATACCTAAAGGAAGGGGAGGGAGGAGGGGGGGGGGGGGGGAGAGGGGCTAGGCTGTGTAGATTTGTATATAACTTCTGTAACTCTTCTCGATTCAATACTGCTTTATCTTTGCCTCTGTCTCTGTTATAGCCCTTTCAACTCTCCTTTATTCATTCATTCATGTTTCTTTATTCATCCCATTTCATTCCATTCCATTCACTCATCAATCCCATTGCCAACCAAGCAAGTGTGAACCAAATAAAGAAAAAGAGGGTCCCATTGGACTCTAGACTGCAGCTGGGTTACATGTACATGTAAAAAAAACTTTATACGCGTACAGTGTATTCACACTTTATCTTGTCCCACGAGCCAGGTCGGATCAAAAGTGAGCAATGGCCAAGCATTGTCTAATATGTTTAATATTAATTATATATAATTATATAAATAAATATGTAATGTTAATATTAATATTAATCTGAAAGATGGCAAAGTAACCCATGGCTGTCTTATCTAATTTCAATGTTGGAACAAAGAGACAGTAGAAACAAGGGTGTGGATGACCCTATTTTTATAAATATGTAAAACATAACATGTAGATATAATATCTTTCAGGACTCTTTTTTTATCTTTCCTTCTTTCTTTCTATCTTTTCTTATTTCTTAATCAAATTATATAAATACAAATGTGATAATTAAATCTCAAATACCCATGTGGAGAAAGTGGTAAGAGGGAATAGGGATTGAAGTGAAGGCGAGGGGATCCCAAAGGTTTCTGTCTGATCTAGGATCAAGTTCGAATCAAATGTTCAGGCACACTTTTACCCTCTTTATTTGACTGGTTTGCGCCCAAGTGATTTTAGTTTTATTTTTAGCTTTTATTTTTTTTTTTTTTTCAGAGGTGCTTCGACCAAATCGACTCTTTGAATAAAGTTTTGTCAGGGTAACATGTCCTACCTCGACCATTACCATAGACATGCATATTTTTATACAAAAAAAAAAAAAAAAAAGTGATCGTGGCGTACATGCTGCCAAAACGCATGGACTTCAATGTGTGTGACAGAGAGGTACATGAACACGTTGTGTTTGTCTACCGTACATACACATAAAACGCATTCACCCCTTCGCATAGTCTGGCTCCTAAAACACGAATAAAGTCTATTGCTGTGCACAAGCCAATGATTTATCTTACACCATTTAGACACAGCATTACTTTGCACGTGTATTAAAAACAAAACTAGAAAGCAAGCAAAACTATCTTTTGCAACCATTGTCCATTTCATTTTTTGTTTCCCTTCTCAGTAACATCCCTCGTCAGAGATAATGAAGGGGAGCGACTTGATCTTTGGCTCAAACACCGTCAGAGGCTCCACCTTCGTGCTTGGTCGGATATACACGCTCGAACCCATAGATACCGAGGAACGATCCAAGCTTTGGTCCGCACATGGTGCTGCCTCAACAATCGTGGCCTTGTTTTTAACCGAAGGTTGATAGATCGTTGACGGATTCACCTTGGTCAGAGGTTGGATACGAGTATCAGAACCCAAGTTCACGTTCGATTGACTGAGAACCCTATGTTCTGCTGAAGCAGCAATGATCTCGGGTCCTTTATCCTTTACATGTCCCTGATAAACAGTAGAAGGCAGAATCACATTCTTGGGCTTGGCAGTGACAACTGAACCCATATCCACATTGCTAGCAGGGATACTCTGCTCACAACTCTGAGTTGCAGAGGGAATACATTCGACCTTGGTTTCCTTCTCCTTCTCCTTCTTCTCTCCCTCTTTCATCTCCTCCTTCATCTCTTCCTTCTTGACAATATTGCGCTTCATTAAGCCGTGGCTCGAAGGGCTCGCATGGCCCATACGTCCAAAATCATCACCCTTGAACATTCGCATGGCAGGGCCCTCCATAGAAGGCATCTCACCACCTCCCAGGGATTGAAAGTCCATGCCTTCCGCAAGAGGGACCGGGCAGGCTGACTGGACGATGGGTGCATACGCCTTGACTATGGGTTGATATCGCGTGACCGGGATCACTTGAGTTACTGGGACGATGTTTGTAGTCGATCCAACATTCACATTCCCAGAATTAGCCCTTTGGTGGCAAACATTGCCGGGACAATCGCTTGTTCTCAATGGAATGGCTTGAACCGCATAGACAGCGATGATAGCAACGGCAGAAACGATCTTGAGCATGACAAAATCTCTCTTTTTTTTTTTTTTTTTTTTTATTGTTTGCTAGTTTTCGTTGGTGATAAATGTGTATATATGAACTTGCTGTTTTAAAGAAGGAAGAGATGCAGTAAAGGAAAGTGTCTGACGAATAATGGTGCCATCGCTCAAACTACATTTATACTTGACATCAGCAGAAGATGTTTTTCTATTTCATTAAAAGAAGCTCACAAGCAAGTGTTTAAAGGATATTAACAAATGTAGTCGAAGAGTTGATCAGCTTCAACTAGACGAACGGAGATTTAGATCCGGCAATTTTTTTTTTTTTTTTTTTTTTTTCTTTTTCTTTTTCTTTGCTCGATATCGCCTTGGCCTGTTTATACGATAAAGAAAAAAAAGGGTCCTTTTTTTCTTTAATGAACAGAACCATTAAGTGCTGATATTTTTTTTTTTTTTTTTTTTTAAGCCAAAGTAAAAGGAAGATGGAGGTCAAGTTGTCAGGATCACTACTGATGAACATTACCCCACAATGTCACTTGATCTCGTCCTAGGCTACAAATGAATGCGCGTAACCTGGAATAGAATACTGGAACACTAGAACACTAGAACACGTTTTTTGCAACGCGTCTCTCTTTCTTTTTTTCTTTTTTTTTTAAAAAAAAAAAAAAAACATCATTGGCGATTTAGCCTTTGTGCTCACTTATGGGTATTAGTTCGCTCCCAAGAAAGCGGCTACGTATTTAATTTTAGCATTGCGATCTGACAAATAAAAAATATTGAAAACGTTCCAGACTTTCAGCCCGCCAGTAGGCTGTGATGCTTAAAAGTCAAAAGAATACCACATCTCTCATTTGATTCCAAAAAGAAATCCAAACACTTTCTTTACTTGACGGCATAAAGAGAAATCTGAAAACGTGCGTGAATGGGTTCCACATTTCTTTTTTTTTTTTTTTTTTTTAAAAATAAATTTGAAATAAAAAAAAAAAAAAAAAAAAAAAGAGTTACACAGCATTGGATTGTAAGAAAAGGTGAGACACGAGATTTCGGGGGCGAGATGTAGAATGTCAAGATTCCTTTTCCTTTGTTTCGCACAGAGACACAAGACGCATGGGGTTGCATGCATGGCTTTATTGATATTGAAGCGAAGCATGTGTATTCCGAACCAAGTATTCATCTACTCTACACAACAGAATAAAAGCAAAAGTATGCAAGAGCAAAAAAAAAAAAAAAAAGTTCAGGCGGTGGATTTGGATTTGGGTAGGGGCTCAACTCAACTATTGCTCAGAATAAAAAAAAAATTGATAAAAGGATTTATAGACTTATTCAAAGACTTGACGCGTTTCTTTTGGGTGAATGTGGGATGGAGAGAAAGAAATAGAGGAACAAGCGTAGATGATGACAATACAGTAATACAACTACTATACGAAACTGAGAAATGATTGCGCGTGAAGTAAAAAAAGAATGGATTTTAGTAAAGTAATAAATGACTTGCACAAAGTCTTTCTTATCGCACGCGCGCGGCATAGACTTTCACACACCACTTGACAGTGAATGTGCTCATTTCCGCTCGACATGGTCATTCATCTCTTTTGTAGATTGGCATGTATACACTTCTATATTCCCATAGTTACTATAGCACCGTAGCTCCTTTAGCACAAGTAAAGCTTGTAGTTGTTTGTTGTTTGCAGTTGTCCAAAATGATAATAGCAATATACAGACAGGCTGACAAGTAGCAAAAGGAAAGAACCATAGTCAAAAAACAATAACACGCATTCACACACGATGAATGGCAGTGCAAGAGCCTGTAGTGAGGGCGCGCGCATTCTTGCTTGCCTTTTGCCTAAACGGCAAGGGGACAAGGGAAATACGAACTAGGAGAAGAGAAGGAGAACCTTTTTTTTTTTGCCATCATCTCGCTCCTTTCAACTCTCTCTCTCTCTTTCTCTCGTCATCGCCATTTTATTTTATCGTTCCATCCCATCCCATCCATTCTGCACTCATCTGTGCCAGCTTTTACAGCCACTTTTTTTTTTTTTTTTTACGCCTACTTCTTTTTCTCACTTACTCATTCTCACATAAACAGTCTTTCATCAACGACTCACATTCTCTCTCACTCTCACCCTCATTCTCATTCTCACTTACTTTCTCATTCTCTCACAGCGTACCATTGCTCCTGCATCTCTTGCGTAGGGTTGTGTGAAATATACAGACTTAATTGCAAGTTCCTTTTTTTTTTTTTTTTTTTTTTTTTTTTTTGTTTCAGCCGAGAGATGCATCTGTTCAAGAGCAAGAAAAAACCTGAAGATCCTCTGGCTCCACCACAACCAACCTCTCCAGGCCGTGGATCCGATCGAGGTTCATCCGTTAACGGTATGAGTATGGCACCTAGACCTGGCGGCCAACAGCAACAACAGGGGCAGCAAGCTCCCGCTCAAGGTCAAGTCCAAGGTCAAGGGCAGGGTCAGGGTCAGGGTCAGGGTCAGGGTCAGGGTCAGGGCCAGGGCCAGGGCCAGGGTCAGGGAGGATTTACAATGAGCATGAGTAACGGAAGTAACATCAGTAACATATCCAACGCTAACCTTAGTAATACTGGCTCGGGCAATAGCCCAAGGAACAACAACGCGGATCCAGTCCAACAACAACAGCAACAACAGCAGCAATACTACATGTCCCAACAGCCGCAACAACAGTTCTCTCAGCAATTGCATGCACCACCCTCTTCGCGGGAGAGCGATAATCTCTCGATCAATAACGGCATCCAGGGTGGACAACAAATACATCAACAACCATACCAGCAGCAACAGCATGGTTCTTATGGAAATGAGTCCATACTCAATTCGCAGACTGTTCAATATCCTTATCAACAACAGCAGAATGATATGCAGAGCCAAGGATATACTGTACCTAATATGGACAATGCCGGAAATGGAGGATATGGCATGGATGGTGATCAACAACATCAATATCAACAGCAGCAGCAGCAACATATGGACATGAGTGGTGGAAATGGTCAGGATGGGTACTATGGCATGAATAACAACAACAATGGAAATCCCAATCCTGGTGGTTACGACGTGAATGCATTGACAAGTGCGACATTGAACCTATCAGGCCTTGGTGGCAACGGTGGCAACTATCAGAATGGCATGGACAATAACAACATCAATAATAACAATATGAACATGAACAACAATGGTCTTGCCAACGGTAATCCTATGAACAATGGTGGTAATAGCAACAATGATAGTAACAACAACTCTGGGGAGCTGGTTCTCTCAGCAGATGTACGCAAGCTTCAAGATGAAGTCTTGAGTTGGAAAAAGTCTCAAGAATCGTCTCAGGCCAAAGTGAACCAGTTACGAACGACGTTGACACAAAAGTCTCAGGAGAACCGGGAGCTCCATCAATCGCTGACACAAGTGACGCAGGATCGACTGAGACTTCAAGAGTTAGTACATAAGCGTGAGAAGGAGATGGATGAGCTTCGATCAAAGTATTTGAATGATGTCCGCCAGATCCGTGCTACAGATGACGACCATTCCACGATTGAGAACCGAGTCCGTGTGCTCCAGGCTGCCATCCTCCAATTAACTAAATCGTCTGCAGGTGACCGAGCTGCAAACTTGAATGTGGAGGAGGTACAGTTGCTTGTCAAGAAAAAGTACAAGTTTGGAAACACTCAACCTTATATCCTCAATATGTTCTTGGAAAAATACATCATGGATACTCTATTGGAGGAGGTTTTTAATGGACCACCTTTTTATGTCGGATTTGAACTATGCAAGGAGTATGGTGCGATCCATAAGTGGATGGTGGAAAACAATTTCCATGACCAGGCAGTTCGCTTCCGACAACAGTTATGTTTCCTATCAGCCAGGGCACCGGTTGCTCAAGCATATGCAACTCAAGAGGCACAACGGATTGCTAAAGGGTTTGAAATTAAACTAGAGCGCCTGTACCATAACTGGTCTGGACATCAAAAGGTATGATGAAGAAAGAAGTAGAAGAAAAAAAAAAGCTTAATATCCAAACAGCTTGAGATGATGCTAACAAGTTCATATTTTTTTTTTTTTTTTTTTTGTAGGTGCTGGATATGGTGACGAAAGCTATTGAGCTTAGCTTGACGATGCGGAGTCAGAATGCAGAGATTGTAGCACAGGTGATTTCTAATGAGACAGACTTTGATCCTGAGCGGATGGTACCAGCACACAAGAGCAAGGAAGGTGGCAAGGTCAAGGTGTGCGTGATGCCATGCTTTGTTGACACGAATGGAGTGATCATTGGCAAGGCTAAAGTGTTTTGCGGATAAATTTTAGAAAGAAAAAAGAAGAGTGAAAGAAAGAAAGAAAGAAAGAAAAACTTCCGAGCCAAATGTGGGGCAGACAATGCAAATTGCAGGCGTTATTTATACCGTGTGAATAATAAAAAGAAGATTCCGAAAGAAAGAAAGAAAAGATATTGTCAATGGCTATTTTCTAATATGTCAATGGATATATACACATGCTCCACTGTAGGTTATTCATCTTACATTATACCACATTGTGAACGAAATATGTGTATCAAAGTAATAGCTGTGGTGCTGTAGGCTACTCTCTGTGGTATGTTTCTGCGGCTGAGATGCCATCAGAAAAGTTTAATTTTCACAGAAAAGGAAAGAACTTTTTTTTTTTTTTTTTTTTTTTTTTTTTGGCTCCTCTTCCTCATTGCTCCTCACTCACTTGTTCACACTTTTTTTTTTTTTTTTTTTTTTTTTTTTTCTTCTTCTTCTTCCCACTTTCTCTCATCTCCATCGCAACTTCATTTTTCTTCTTCATGGCAGCAAAGCAACAAGGTCAGATTCTATACCTTGGATCTACTGGATCAAAGAATGGTCCTGGAGGATCCCTAAGCACTAGGCATGTCTTTTATATATATAATTGTTTTTTATTCATGATTAGATGAAAGGATTAACAAGCAGAATGGTTGAATGAATGAGTGTTCATTGAGGTTTACTTTCGCTAACCTTTTTTTTTTTTTTTTTTTTTTGTTGCTTAAATAAAGGTTTCAAAAACTTGCTCAAGCACGCAACAGTGGTATCACGATTGTCAATCAACCTGTGGCAGGCGCAGACCCTGTCGGTGGTCGTGGACTAGGTCTTGGCTACAAAACAGGAACCTCCCCATCAGGGCTAACGGGTCAACGTATTATTACAAATAACAAGCGAGGAGGGACAGGAATAGAAGCAGGAGCAGGAGTTAAAGGACTGTCTTTAACAGCCTCTGGGAAGGGTCTTCACACCCCTGGAGGACTGGCTAGAGCCATGCAGGAACGCGGAACAGGAGTAACGGATGAATTCCTGTTGGCGCCAGCTGTTGCTCTTGGGGGCTCGCCAGGCCATGAAGGCAGAAATGGAAAGAAAGGAGGGCCTGTTTCTAGAAATATCAAGGGTACCAGCAATCACCCTAATCATACTCAATCTAATCGACACAAGGCGATGGTATTAGGAAATCGTCCTGGAAGGAAACAATCAGGAAAGAGCTCAAGTACATCGTCGTCATCATCAAGTCCACAGCTACAATCTAACAAGAAAGAAAACGGTTTACAGCAACAGAAACAAAAACAAAAAGGAGCAAATGCTAGCAAGGCAACAGCAAAAGGAGCTGGGAAGGCTAAGGGTGCAAAACCTGGAAAGCCCGATGTAAAGAGCCTGGATTCGGAATTGGATTCATATATGATGGCCAACAGCCATACAGCAGCAAGTCTACTTGACAATGATTTAGACTCTTACATGGCAGAAAGATCAGAAGATGCATCCTGGTGATTGCTTTTACTATTCTACCTATTTATCTACCTACCTACCTTCCTATCAACCAATCTATCAAGTTACCTCTCTTTTTCTTTTTGCTTTCCTTTTCTGGGACAAAGCATCGCATTACCGTCGCTAACGATTTAATATCCTCTTTTCCTGCTTGACGAAGGAAAGAGGGAGGATACATTTTTTAAAAATAAAACAATTCAAGTACGACAGATGTTCCTGAGTACAAAGACCCTTAAGCACGTTGACTCTCAATGTCTGTGCGAATCAAATTGATCCAGCAATCCCATATTCAATAAAAATAGGCTTTTTGCATGTTAAGCTCCTTCTCCCATCTCCACGTTTTTCGACTGCCTCTTTCCTCTTTTTTGTCCATTCAGCTCTTGGTTCCGCTTTAAACCATCGCCAGCACTTTCAATAAAAAAAATAGACATGGCTTACAGCACACGGCAGAGGTAAATCGTGGAGTCGAAGAAAAAAAAAACTCCATCATAGACTGCAGAGATTCCCGATTCCATGTAGACTTTTAAACCCTCCTCTTTCACCTCTTTTTTTTTTTTTTTTTTTTTTTTTTTTCCTAACGCAAACTCGTCCTTTCATGGAAATGTTTTTATAATAATTACTATATTAATAGGCAGCAAAATGCCTGGCAACGGAATCAACTTTTTGCTGAGAGCAACACACCATCATCATCAGGGCGAAGCACACCTTATGACCCAGCACGCATGTCGGACCGGGAATTACTTTCATTGGAAAGTCAAAACGATGAGGAGCTTTCCGGATTGCATTCCAAGGTAGCAATGCTAAAGAAGGTACGACATGGAGTAGCAAAATGAGGACGATGTCTTTGAAGGAATGGAAAAAAATAAGAAAAAGACGTTGGAACTATGGAGCGTGCTTTTACTGTTTTATATAATGCCCAAAGAAGAAGAAGAAAAAGGAATTAAGAAAAAAAAAAAACAACGATTTTTTATTTTTTTTTTATTATGTTTGGTAGATCACAATGGACATTGGACAAGAAGTTCGTGATTCAACGACTTTCATTAGTGAATTGGTAAGGCTTTTATTCTTCCTCTTTTATTTACTCAGGAATATATCTTTTAAGCAGAAGGGGGGTTCAATGAGCTTACGAATTCACCTTTGATCTATGTGTCTACGGGATGAATTTTCACTTTTAAAATAGGATCAAGACTTTGGACGGACAGGAGGATTATTGAACACAACGTATACACGACTAAAGGTCATGGCATCAACACAGAATGGTCGATACATGTGCTATATGGTCTCATTTTGCATTTTCGTGTTTTTCTTTGCTTATTTCTTCATATACCGCCGTTAATTGCATATACATGTCTGTTAATTTGATGAATAAATATATTATATACAGATATACAAGCGGATAATTAAAGTGCAATGAAATGAACCATGCATATGCAAGAAAATAGGATGTTCTCCTGGCTACATATTCTAAGCTTAGACCATACGCCGTAATATTACCTTGCAGAGAGCAATTGAGTCTCGCGCCACCAAATTTATAGGCTCATTCTCATTGAAAGAGGAATGAGAAAGAGAATACATACTTGAAGTCTCTAATTTTTTTTTTTTTTTCTATTTTCTTTATTTATTTTTTTTTATTTTTGCCTCCAAGTAGTTTGTTTATTATTATGGAGCAGTTCTGATATTAAACATGTTAATAAAAGAGACCTGACCACCATCAACAACTGCAAACAGAACTTTGGGCCATTCTGGTGCGATTTTCTTCTTTTTTTCTTTATCAGATTTGGATCCAGTAGTAGTAGTAGTAGTGGTGGTGGTGGTGGTAGTAGCAGTAGCTACTGTTGTAGGTGTAGTGGTGGTGGTAGTAGCGAGAGTAGTAGCAGGAGTAGTAGCAGGAGTAAGAGTAGTGGAAGTGGTAGCGGGAGTAGCTGCAGTAGTGGTAGTAGGTGTTGTAGTAGTAGATGTAACGATAGCAGTATTGCTCGCCAAAACATCTCGAGATATGACCTCTTCCTGCGCTGGATCTGGTTGACCACTCATCATACCCTTTAGTTCATCAAGAGAAGGCAAGGAAGCATCAGCGTGGACAACGACAACTCGATAATCTGGAATACCTGGTTGTCGCTTCTTAAAAGTACCCGCAGGTTTGTAAACATCAAAATCAATTCTATGATTTCCATTGATATCTATGGTGTCTTGGTTACCACTGACTGTGGAATGAGTCCGTTTTTCTGAATGAGTAGGAGCAGAAGCTGGAGCACGAGCAGGATCAAGAGCAGGATCAGAAGTAGGTGTCTGTTGGACAAGGCGCATCGTGGGTATAATCTGTAGTTTCTGTAAAATCTGATCTAGGAGTTATTTAATGAGGAAAAAACGTTAGACTTTTTTTTTTTTTTTTTTTTTTTTTTTTTAAAAAAAAAAGATAAAATAAATTAAAATAAATAAAATAAGAGGAATAATGCTTTACTGTAAGACAGCTGATCGTTGTGAGCAACAAGAGGTCGGCTAGAGGGACTATTCCAGATAGTTGGGATGGATCCCAATCTCAGCCCTAGCCCGACAATGCTTGTTATTGCTCCTCTCCATGATGCAGTAAAATAGTTCCAGAATAATGACCACCATTTCAAAACGCTTGTCCAGGGCCTTATGAGCGCTTGGCTTTGTGATTTTAGCTTATCCTGAGCTCCAGATCCACGTACATGGCTATCATAGGTCCCAGGTCTAATGACAATAAAGCCCAGTCGCTTAAGATATGCATATGTGATGTATCTATCCATTGCTATTGAGGCATTGTTCTTGCGCTCTTTCCCTGAAACAGTCTGTTGAGCTTGAGCTTGAGCTTGAGCCTGTGAGAGATAGACATTCCACATCTGCTGCACAGTCATATTATTGCCATGATAGTCAACCAAGAATGATCCACGATCGACAAGATAAAGTGCCTCTTCTGGATAGAGATAGATTTGCCCATGTAGAGTATGTCCCATGCTCACAAAATGCGTCCCTCTATTTACTGTCAACCTGAACAAACCAAGCCCCGGGTCGTAGACAGCACAGGAAAATGTCCGTCTATTTTAAAGAGAAGAGTGTTACTAAAAAAAAAAAAAAAAATAAAGATCTCAGAACGTTATTATATGGTAATATTTCGTTCCGAATCTACTTACTCAGCAGCATGACGCTCTTCAGAAAGAACTTGAAAGTAGGCGTCAAGTTTCTCTTCAAGTAAAGCTGGGTTCTGGGACTCTTTGCCTTGCTTACTTGGTAGAGCTTGTGAAGATGAAGCATCCTTGCCTCTGTTAGAAAAGAACTGTTAGACATAAACGGCTCAGAAAAAGAAAAGAAATAAAAAAATAATAAATAAATAAAATCATTTGAGTGATATGGAGATGATGTACCCTTTGGAGCCGCTCAGAAGGGTACGAAAGTCTGGATGTTGGTCATTGTCGTCCTGATCCGCTGCATCCATGCTAATGAATTATAGAATGAGCTGCGCCTTGCGGTGAGCACAGGGTTGATCAATTAATATCACGTGCAAAATTTTACCCACAGACGTTTTTTCATCATTGCATGTCTGTGCCTGAACTTTTATTTTTTAATTTGGTGGCGCACATACCGTTGGACAGGGATCTGACATTGATCATTTGGGCCAAGCAAGAGCTTTTTTTTGGAGTAACATTGGGGGAATTGTTATACTAAAGAACCTAATCTAAAGCCAAGTAGTATTTCCAACCTGTGGGATGCATGGAGATCTCCCGATCTTTCTAAGGAAAGGACTAGCAGCAGGTTCCTGGTGTAAAGTTTGCTGAACATAGCTGACTGACACTACACTATGATCGGCCTAGGAGATACGAATGAAAAGTGACTCAAAGTCTGGCAGCAATGGTCGAGGGTACGATCTTAGTTCGCTTCAAAGTGATGACAGTGACACATGTAGTCGGAATCATGATCCCTATCATACGACCCTTATGAGAAATAAAGTTACTCTCCGGTCTTAATCTCCACAAGCAAAGGCTGAATGATTTGCCCGTCATCTCTATAAAGTGCTCTTTCAGAGTATCGTATGTCATCGATCTTTTTCTCTCTCTCTCTCTCTTTTTTTTTTTTTTTTTTTTTTTTTTACATTCTCATTTCATTTTGCTCATTCAACGTTCTTTTTATTTCATCTCATTGTCTTTCGAGAGTTGTGTATAACGTCTTCACTCCGCTCTTCCTTTCCACTCTTTCACTCCTACCTTATATATATTCTCATTAAATACCTCTTATTCACTTTATCAATTGCTCGTCACCAGACAGGAATAGAGATCATGGGTAACCTTCGATCGCAGATGGTTCATGTCCGCTACATTCTCGCTTCTACTTTTTTTTTTTATGGCTTTCTAACAACCCTCTAATGTCTATTCTGATCTATTGGAACCATTAGCAAGCAGCGTTAACGATTTCATTGCAGGCAAGTGGATTGACATTCTCCTTATTCTTTTCAAAGGATTGTTGTTTTTTTTTCTATGCATGCTATGATATGCATGCTTGGATCGCTTGAAAAAAAAAAAAAAATTTTTTTTTGTCCCCCATTTTTGTCCTTTCCGGTCTAATCCGTTTCAATTGCACATGTTTTTTCTCTTTGACATGTCGCACGGAATTTGCCATGTGGAGTTTTGATCTTGATTATCATCGTTGCAAGGGATTGTCTGTTTCTCTTTACTAAATTAGCCAAGATATTATATCTCTTCTGTTTTGTTTTTCATTTTGTTACAAATAGGTTATATCAGTGGAGTAGCAGGTTTGATTGTCGGAAGTCCTCTGGATGTTCTCAAGGTAAGTAAATCGATCAAAAACTGAGCGAGTTTAGTACGGGGAGATTTGTCTTGGTTTAATCAGGAAACATATTCAATACAATTGCGATCCGACAGTGTCTTTTTTTTTGTTTTTCTTCTCAAAACCTATATGCTTTTTCTTTTTTTTTTTTTTTTCTTTTCTTTTTTGATCAACGTAGGTTCGGTTACAAGCTCAAGCCGGTTCGGACATAGCCAGAAATGCTTCTACAAACAAGAACAATTTGGTTAGCATGGTTCAAAATGAAGGAGTAAGTCTTGATAAGAAAAAAAAAAAAAAAAAAAAAAAAGAAAGTCTGGAGCTTGGCAGTAAAAGCTGATAGAAAGCATGAACAACAGTAACAACAGCAACAGTGACATGCATGATTCTGCAAAGAGGGGAAAAAAAAAAAAAAAGAAGAAAACGCTTACTCAAAGTATCATCTTTGTCTTGTGCAACGTTTCTGAAATTAAACCTGGAAAACAAAACAGTTCGGATCATTGTTCAAGGGTATCACCTCACCCATCATTGGCTTGGCGGGACTCAATTCGATCCTCTTTGCATCATACTCGGCATCCATGCGATTGTTCGAGACACTTTCACCCTCTCCTGTGTCACCGTTCTATGCCAGTAATGGTGCAGAATCATACCAGTCTTTGTCACATGTTTTTGCAGCAGGATTTGTAGCGGGCGTTGCTTGTTTCCTAGTCAGTACACCCACAGAGCTGGTCAAATGTAGAGCGCAGGTGATCGCCTCACGTCTGGATCCTACTTCCTCAGCTGCAGCACAACGTGCCATCATGAGTGAATCGAGCTCGTGGCAAGTAACGAAGGATGTTCTTCGGCGGTTTGGACTCCGAGGATTCTATCAAGGAGGTCTCGTCACCATCCTTAGAGACGCTCCTGGATACGGAGTATACTTTTGGTAATCGTTATTAATGACTCTTTATTTTAATATGTCTTGTATTTTATCAAAGCAACAACAAAAGAGTGACAATCTAACTGTCTTATTATTATTATTATTATTATTTATATATTGTTGCTGTTGCCTTAAATAGGTCTTATGAAGGGCTGAAGAGGGCATTAGAAATCCCACCAGGAGAGACAGGTGGAATCAACACATGGAAGCTGCTTCTTGCTGGAGGTGTTGCAGGAATTTGTTCTTGGGTTTCTGTATACCCATTAGGTAAAGACAACAAGGCAAAAAAAAAAAAGATCAGTTTCTTGTAACTTTGGCTAACTTTTATTTTATTTTTTTTTTTTTGTAGATGTAATCAAGACGAGACTTCAGACACAACCACACCTTGTAACTACAGACCCATACAGCAATATCCGGACACTTCCTATCACAGCGGCTGCCCGCATCCCCACTCCAACCACTAGCCTCCTCTCAAAGACCCATACAGATCAGCGTGGAGGATTGTTGCACCAGACAAGCCGTCAAGGACATTCACAAGTATCATCCTCAGTACCATACAAGGGCATGGTCGACTGCGCATTACGATCTTACAGAAGTGAGGGCTTGGGTGTATTCGTGCGTGGGATGACACCGGCAGTCCTACGTGCTTTCCCAGTCAATGCAGTGACCTTTTTCGTCTACGAGCTGGTGATGGCAGAGCTGCAAAGAAATGACTAGATTGCTTAGACATTTAAAGTGAAATATTAAAAAAACAGTGATTAGATTTGACCACTACACAGGTTTTTAGTTCATTTTTTTTTAAAAAAAAAAAAAAAAAAAAAAAAAAAAAAAAAAGGAGGATGTGTGTCAAGCCGGGATGCCTGCCACTCCTTTAAAAATGAGCCAATATGCTCCTACGCGCAGTATATAGTGAAATGGACCCTGAGGGTTACAGATTGATTGTACATTAGGATTGTAAAGAGATACTCTGTCAAACTTATCAGGAAACAGATTCTAGATCGATTTTATAGAGAATTTGCGCAGGACTTAAAAAAGCAGATTTAATTTAATATCAATGCATATCCCTCTTTTCTGCCCCTCACTTTCTGGTTCCACTCCTCTCGATCCACCCTTCCTCATCCACTCCTGATCCCACCCTTCTTATCCTCAGCCGAAATATGGCAAGTCATCCATTTTCACTTTTCAAGTCTGATTTTGACTGAGGACGAGCTCGAGAAGGGTGGAAGCAGAAAAATAGATCAAGAAGGATGGGTCAAGAAGGGAGGAATGAGAGGGGGTAGATCGAGAAGAGTAGAACCAGAAAAGTGGGAGCCAGAAAGGGGCATAGAAATAAACTTGGCTTATATCACGTGAAAATGTTTATTTATTTATTTATTTTTTTCGCGTCTTTTTTTTTTAATAGCGTATGTGTGCAAGTCCTACAAGTGTGTTTTCCCCTGTGTGCTCAGCTTTCTTACTCCAGCCTCGACTCGCCCTCACATTCATCCTTTCTTCAGAGAATTCTCTCTAGAAAAAAAAAAAAATAAAACAAGAACAATAATAATAATAGACCAAGATGAACAGAGCCAACGTCAGGGTGAAATACGCGGATGAGATTGGTAATACTCTTTCTCTTTATATTTTTTTTTTCTAAAGCCGAGGGGTAACAACAATCAACATGTCGAACTTGCCCTAAGGGCTAACAACCTCGCATTCTGTTTATTCTTAGGGCACATCAAGAACTTTCTGCAGTCCTTCAAGTCTGCAGTGACTGAGGCTGATGTCGAGGATACTGGAATGCAGGTTGATGACACCCCTCAGTTGAAGTACCTCATCCAACTGGTAAATTCAGAAAGCATAGCGTTCTCAACAAAAAGAAAAGAAAAGAAAGAAAAACCTCCGTCTTATTAGAACACCAAAAACTAATACAAATAATAATAATCAACAATTGCTAGCAAAGGATCGCCAATCGCAGACAAAAGAAACTCCTTATTCATCTTGATGATGTTATCAAGGCAAGTTGATAAGGAGATCAAAGGAACCAAAGGAAAAAAACCTCAAAGTGAAAAAGCTCACGACTAACTCGATCTTCGTTATTACGGTATCATATCATTAGCATGATCGTACATCAACATCCAACTTGGCTCAAAACATCTTATCCAACACCAAGCGTTATGTGGGATTGTTCTGCAGTGCCATCGTATGTATCTGGACGCGTTTTATCAGAATCATACGGTCTTTTTTTTTTTTTTTTTTTTTCCTTCCTTCCTTCCTTCTTTCTTTAATGAATTAATGAAATGGGTTCTTCTTTTGTGTTCATAGGATGCAATTATGCCAGCACCAACCGAGGACATGGATCATACTACCTCAGTTCTGGATGTCATTCTTAGCCAACGCAGGAGCCACAACAATAACTTCATTGCTGCTAATGGAGAGGTTCCTTTGGATCAATTGCCTTTCCCACCCGCGTTGACTAGAAGATAGTAAGTTTGGTCTGGCGAGAAGGAAAAAAAAAAAAAAAAAAAGACGTCCTGGCAGGAAGTAAATTTTTTATAATCAAGTAAATAGCCAATTAATTTTTTTTTCTTTCTTTCTTTTCCACTTTCTATGTTGTATGGGTCAGCCAAGTTGTCTTCAAACCACCTACGCAGCAAAAGGCACTATCAGTTCGTGAGATCAAAGCTGAATACTTGGGCAAATTGGTGACACTCCAAGGAATCGTCACCCGTGTCACGGCTGTGAAGCCCTTTGTTGAAGTAGCGGCTTATACCTGTGAGATCTGTGGTAACGAGAACTTCCAGGAGGTGACAGCACGTCAATTCATGCCCCTGACAGAGTGTAATTCACAGGTCTGCAAGACGAATCAGACCAAGGGCAAACTTCATGAGCAAACTCGTGCCAATAAGTTTTTGGAGTTCCAAGAAGTCAAGATTCAGGAACTTGTACGTTTACCTTTTTTTTTTTTTTTTTTTTTTTTTTTCTTCTTGTTTTCTTCATTATGATGGATGATCATATTCGTATAATCGCGACAACTATTTCGAAACAGGATGTGATCAGTACAGTTCCGTGTCAGTCATTATTTTATTATCAAATGTACCCATGGATGTCTCACCAGAAACCATTGGCCATGGCTATCTTTTTTATCTTTATCTCCTCCTTTTCCAACACCAGACACACCAAGTCCCTGTTGGACATATTCCTCGCTCAATTAAGGTGCACCTGTATGGAGTCATGACTAGGAGCATGAATCCCGGTGACACTGTTGCGGTCTCTGGTATCTATGTTCCAATCCCCTATACTGGATTCCAAGCCATGCGTGCAGGACTTTTGACGGATACGTACCTGGAGTGCCATCATGTAGAGCAGGCAAAGAAGCAGTATACAGAAATGACAATCTCAAGTGAAGTTCAGGAAGAATTAGAAGAGATGGCTCAGGATCCAGATATCTACAACAAGTTGGCTCGATCGATCGCACCAGAGATCTTTGGTCATGAGGATGTGAAAAAGGCGTTGTTGTTGCTCATGATCGGTGCGCCCACCAAGATTATGGGCGATGGCATGAAGATTCGTGGAGATATCAATGTCTGTCTGATGGGTGATCCAGGAGTGGCTAAATCGCAGTTGCTGAAATATATCTCGAAGGCTGCGCCCCGTGGTGTGTACACGACTGGTAAAGGAAGTTCAGGCGTTGGTCTCACGGCTGCAGTCATGAGAGATCCCGTCACGGACGAGATGATTCTTGGTAAGTGATTTACCTTTCAGTTACTAATTTGATAAAATAGGAAGAATGTTTTTAGGGAAGGGCGAATATTGCCAATAGTGTTCATCTAATTTTTTTTTTTTTTTTTTTTTTTTTTTACAGAGGGAGGAGCATTGGTTTTGGCAGATAATGGTATCTGCTGCATTGATGAGTTTGACAAGATGGACGAGTCAGACAGGACGGCAATTCACGAAGTGATGGAACAACAGACAATCTCAATCTCAAAGGCTGGAATCACGACTACACTCAATGCTCGCTCTTCGATCTTGGCAGCCGCTAATCCTATTTATGGTCGTTATAACCCTCGCAAGTCACCTGTCGAGAATATCAATTTGCCTGCAGCTCTGTTATCACGTTTCGATATCTTATTCTTGATTCTGGATACCGCTAATGAGGAGAATGACTCGAGATTGGCCTCTCATATTACATACGTTCATATGCACAACCAAGCACCTAGAATGGAGTTTGAGGCATACAGTGCTAGTTTGATGAGGTAAGAAAGGTTTTTTTTTTTTTTTTTTTTTTTTTTTTTTTTGAGTGTATTCACTCCATATTTCAATTAACATCTCATGGGACACTGGTTTTTTTTTCTTTTTTTCTATTACTTTTTTTTTAAAAAAAAAAAAAAAAAAAAAAAAAAAAAAACAGACACTACATCGCTGCTGCACGACAGAAGCGCCCTGTAGTCCCCAAAGCAGTTTCTGAACACATTGTGGATGCGTATGTGCAATCACGCCAAAATGGCAAGGCTGACCGCGAGAACGGACAAGAATTTACATATGTGAGCGCACGTACGCTGTTGGGAGTGTTGCGTCTTGCTCAAGCAATGGCTCGACTCCGATTCTCAGATGAGGTGTCAGTAGAAGACGTGAATGAGGCACTGCGCCTAGTCGATGTTTCAAAGGCATCGTTGTACGATCATGACGGCAGTGGACAGCATGGTGATGGAAATGGCAAGACATATTCCAGCCCTACGGATAGAATTTACAACATTATCCGTACAATGAGCAAGGATCCTGAAGATAACTGGCGTCTTGTGGAAGAATTGAGGTTACAAGATATTCGGGATCGTGTTCTTGCAAAGGGATTCAAAATTCAGGAGTTGGAGGATTGTTTGCGAGAGTATGAAGAGATGAACATTTGGTTCGTGAACGATGCACAGACCAAGTTGACCTGGATTACGAGGGACTAAAAACGAAGACAAGAACAGAAATGAAAACAAAAAAGAAAGTGAGGATGAATGAAAGCAGACCTTTTTTTTTTTTTTTTCGCATGTAGACCAAGTCCATGGACTTACGAATGAAGATGCCAAAGAGTAGCTGTTGACACAGATACCAAGTAACCGAGGACTTATAACATTTTGAAAAATAAATAAATAAATAAATAAATAATATTACATTACAATTTTTTTTTTCCTAGGCTTTAAATGTCATCGCGCGTGCTTCCTTATCTTCTCAATCTGCTCTTTTATTGAATAAATATTTAGTTAGTAAACTTTAGTAGACTGGCCACATTTGCTATCTTCGTCTATTATAAATCTCGAATGACAACCATTTCAAGATCAATATGGAGATTCGGCAACATTCCTCTAATGAAAAAAGGGTCCGGAAGAAGGCAGAAATTAATAGGGGGAGCACTTGGTGCTTTGTTTTTCTTTAGGCTATGGAGAAGAAGGAATGAAAATGGTAAGAGTAGAGGAAAGTGAATGGCAGTGCTTCGTGATGATACAGCTTGATATGGACCATGTTATATTCAGGATCACAGATACCGATCATTGAAGTTAGGATGATACACATTTACGTATGTTATACATACTTAACAAAGGAGTTTCTGTCTTTGTACTTAAACCCAGAGCTCCTATCCGATAATCGAATAGAATTCGTAAAAAAATTTCACCCCCTTTTTATATGCACTCGAATTTCATTTGATTATCGAATAGGAGCCCTGGTTTAATGTATGTTCGCATTCATTTTTCTTTTTTGGTAGGGGTTGTAGATTATCTTGCTGGATGATGATGGCGATGAAGATGATGATGACGGCCCAAAGGATGGTATTGGCTTCCTAGACAATGATGATGACGGCTCTAGGGATGATGGTGCTTTCACCGATGATGATGGCTCCACTGGTGCTTGGGGCATTCGTGATTGGAGCTGTGACCTTGCCAACAATGGTGTTGATAGTTGCTCCTGTAAATGGTCAATCCAAACCACTTCCTCTATTATTGATTCAAATCCAGGTTAGTTATTTTTTATTTTATTTTTTATTTTTGATTTTATGTTTCACTTTGGAATACTTTCCATACTTTTGACGACTGCGTTAAGTTTCTCGATCTCTTCTTGCAAGGCGACCGCATTGTTTGTGGCATTTGCATTCATCTTCTCTATCTCCTCTTCCAAGGCGGTTGCTCTGTTCGATATGGTTCAGACTATCCCCTCCATCTGGATCACTCTTTGCTCAGCACATAATTCTCTTTCCTCTGAACGCTTTTCCCTTTCCTCTAAACCTTCTTTCAAACGCGCATCCCTTTCCTCTGAACGTCTTTCCAGACGTGTGTCCCTTTCCACAAAGAACTGTTGTAATTGCGTTAATATGGCCTCCTCTTTCATCATCCTGTCATTCTCTAAATTTTGTAGGCGCTGTCGCTGCTGTGGGTGAGCTGCCTTGTTGTAGTGGACATTTATCTCCTCCTGGCTCCCTGGCTCTCGTCATCTTCATTCTCATTAGATTATTAGACTCTAGACTGTTACAACTCTCATACTCCTCTTCAACTACCTCTTTTCCCTTCCTCGGGACACATTCTCTTTTTGATGGATAAGTGTATTGTACGAGTTTGTTATACTGTTGTTGTATCAAACTTGGCTTATGGCAAAGGTGGCTATTGTTGTCTTCATTAAAGTCCTTTTCATCCTTATTTCTTTTTCGGCTCGTTTTACTGGACTGTGGCAAAAGGCTAGATTGCTCTTGAAATTGACTTTGTGATTCTTGGGCACGTGTATTTTTAGGTGGGCATCTACTATTGCCACCTTTGTCTTGGTGACAGGCCAGTGCTCCTATTCGATAATCGAATAGGAGTCCTGGTGACGGCATTAACCAACGCTTTAATAACCATACATTTTCTGGCATGGTGGCGCAGGGTATCTCCTCGTTTACAAGTCCACTTTGGTTGGCACTCGCACATAAAGTGTCTGTCGTTGGTCCGAATATATATACTCAACGCGGGCTTTGTCAACATAACATGTGTAAGACTTTCTATAATATGGAACTGGATATGCCTATCATCTGATGCGATGGTTGGGTATCCAAGCTCACACCACGAAAGAGTACATTTTGCTGGGGGCGCTTTAGGCACTTTGCTGAGATTAAGGCGGAAGAAGAAGTGTATTTTTTTTTGGATGAAGTTGATAGAAGTGTCTCTTCATGCAACCAGTTTTGTCTTTTATACGGTATAAAAACTCGGCCGATGACTTTTTTCCACAGGCGAGGTCAGATCTTGGCAGGAAACAATCATTGGGTCATGCGGTTTGATCCTTTTCTATTTTGAATCAGCACATCTCGGAAGTTGTATCACTGATCTGTCCAACGGATCAACAGTTGTCCACGATCCTTACCGGAAAAAGTAAAGAGTGCACAACTAACATAGTCTGTCATGAACTGGATACATTTTTTCATTATTTTAAGTGAGTTACCTCGTTTTTCATAATTCAGTTCATACTGAGTCTTTTAGAACACGAGCACTCTAATTCTCATTTTCTACCAAAAATAAAAGATAGGCAATGGTTTATGCAGTTTGATGCAAATCCAACAATAGTCAATGAACTCAACAAGAGGCTCAAGGTCAATCCTCGTGTTCTTCGACATGCTGTCATTCGCTTGGGATCCAAGTTGGAGGATATTGTTGCGTCTGCTGAAAAGACCGCCACGAAACTTACCATTCCTTTCTAATTTAACAATTTTCTTTTATTAGAAGAAGAAGAAAGAAAAAAAAAAAAAAAAAAAAAAAAGGAAAAGGATGAAGAACTTCTGATGGTATTAACATAAAAAAAGGAAAAAGAAAGGAATAACCGTCTAAAATTGGATCAAGTCAATTTGGATGCCTTCTCATAGAGGGATTCCACAACATTGGCCATATTCTTCATCGTATCCAATGCACTATCATATGTCTTGTCCACAGGTGTGTCCTCAAAAACAACAAGACATCCAGCTCCTTGATCTAATACTCCCAACAATGTCTTGTCCAAAATCATCTGCGAAAGTTTCACTTCCACATGCTGTGCAGGAAGTTTGATGATCTCTGCAATATGAGAGATCTCGACCCTTGAGAATGGCTCAATCACACGAATCAAGTTTTGCTCCAACAACTTGTCATACAGTGATGCAAGATGGGATTTAATGATAGGGTCGTTATCCAGCTCTGTGAAAATAAGAATAAAAACAAAAATAAAAATAAAAAGACCACTTAATCAGTTGGAGAGCTCCGAATCAGTCAATACAAACGAAAACTAATCATATACGCAACAAGAAATACTCTCACCTTCACGGTAAGTGGTCAATGCCTGTTCAAATTCCTGTAGGGAGCGATTCTGATGAGCTGCTGCAATGGCCTTCATGGCTTCGACCTCTATTCCACGGTATTTGAGTGCAACTTTGCTGTTCAAGATTGCTTGAATATCTTCAGACTGATTTTAATTGACAAAAAAAAAAAAAAAAAAAAAACATTAGGACGATAAAAACTCAACAATGGAAAAGATTCACTTAATCGTGTGACAAGTTAATAGTACTAACCAAATTGAGCATGACTTTGCAAAGAAGCATGTACTTCAACGCAGAGATGGCTCTTGGATCTTCAAGTGAAGAATATCCCTCCAATGTTTCATAAAAGTACGAGAATGCAGTCTTGTAATCCTTTTCTTCAGCATGGAGGATTCCAGATTGCATATCTAGAGCAGCCTGCAACAAGGGTGGACAATAAATAGAATTGGCAGAAGTACGTGCTGATGTGAGAGCAGCCTAATAATGATTTAAAAAAAAAAAAAAAAATCGTTACGAAATTGATCATCTTCCGCTTTTTGCAACAAGAGATGAATATTTCGTGTCATAACAGCTAGATCTTTTATTACCCTAGCCTTGGGCAAATTGCGCAAAGCATGGCAGACGCGACTCTCAAGCAATTGCACTTCAACAAGGACCATCTTGTCATCTAATTTCTTGAGCTCCTTGAGCAATGTTGCTACCAATGCCAAAGAATCACTGTACATCTTATTGTCGAGATACAATGCAATCAACCGTGTCTCCAATGCTTGTTTCAAAAAGATGCGTTTTTCCTGGATCGTCCATTCGATGGTCTGCTTACACACCTCAATTTGAAGAGGGAGGGTGTTTGGGATCTCTGAGAAATAATCGATCAATGTTCGAACTGTTTTGTAAAATAAAAGGAAAAGAAAATGGGAGAGAAAGAGAGAGAGAAAGAAATGAAAGCCCAGAAGAGCCAGCATTTGATATTAGATGAGGATTCAATTCTTGATTGCAATAAAGCCCGTCTTCATCTGATCGCCTATTTTTTTTCGATTTTTTTTTTTTCTTTTTCCATAGCGTGTCATAACGTACTGATCTTTGCAGTCTTGGCCTTGGGGATAGATGTGATCAGTGTTCGAGAGTCATGGATAAGGGCAGCGAGCTCATTTGGACGACTATATGAGGTGAGTTGAAGAAGTGTTAGTCATTGGATCTTACAGATATTTATTCTTGTACATAAAAAAAAATAACTTACTGAAGATCGCGATAGCATTGTGCAAGCTTTAACAATGCTGCCTCTTGCTCATTTCTGGCATTTGCGTCTATTATTCAGAGGAATAGGTAGGTGTTAACGATCTTTGCTCAATTCAACGCGTATTGTAAAAAAAACCCCCGTTTCACATGCCTGTTCCTGCAGCAGCCAGTATTCCCTGGTAAAGGGGAATGGCCTGTTCTGGTGAGGTCTTTTGGATTTCCTCAGCTTGAGCAATTGAGGCGATGGAAGGCATGGTTATGTCGTATATGGATGTGTGCTTGAAAGCGCGTTTTTTTAAAAAGAATGTAAGAATGTAAAAAAAAAAAAACGGACAAAAGGCAGGCGAAGCTTTACTCTCAAAACGTAAGCCTACCCTTTTTTCCTACGAGGATGACGTCACACAAATCACAGTTGGAGAAGGACGCGCGAGCAAAATGCATGCGCGTTCCCTCTCTCTCTAAAATTATTGACACGCATTTCATCCTTCTATTCTTTCATTCTTATCGACTTGCAACACTATCTCGTAGCTATTACGACAGTATCCAGCAAGGCATCTTCCTTCAAGCACTCTCTTTTATAGACCTGTCTTTTTTACCAAATAAGCGCCAAACAGCATTCATACCATGTCGTCTGAAGAAGTTCCAAAGATCCCTAGCATTGAGCTGTCTCAAAATCGCTTTTTGCTGACCAGTGGTCCAAAGGAAACCCACGCCCAAGCTCAGGAAGAAGTCATGAAGAAGATCAAAGAAGACAGTACGGCCTTTGTTTCTCTTTTTCTTTAATACTTTCAGCATTGAAAAATATTTGTTTTTTATGTCCAAGTCTGATCAATTGGATACTATGCTTTTTACATTTGAAATATAGATATGGCTCCATTCTATGAGCTGATTTGTGAAGAGCAGGGATGGGTTGTGGACCAGGCATTACTGAACCAGATGAAGAAAGCAAACGAGGAAGAACTCAAGAAGCTGGATGAGAAACTCAAGGATGCAGAGGAGAACTTGGGAGAGACTGAAATCTCAGATGCCCTTCTCGCCAGGGCAGAGCATTTTGCAAAGATTGGTGATAAGGTAAAGAACCATTCACATATATATATTAGTCAAATACGATCCTTGGCTTTATATCGTCAATGGCAAATTTCGGACCATCCGCCGCATTTATTCTAATAAAGTAATCCCTCTCGTCATTGGACTTTATAGGAGAAGAGCTTGACAGCTTACCGTGTTGCATTCGAAAAGACAGTGGCATTGGGAAGCCGTCTTGATATTCTCTTCGCTAATATTCGTTCAGGATTTTTCTATCGGGATAACGATATTGTTAGCAGAAATATCGAGAAGGCTAGAACGTAAGGACCCAGATGAGAAAAAAAAAAATACTTTTTTATTGGTGTATTTATCAAAACACAGCATAGATTATGAGATTTTTAACCTTCCAACTTTTGCTACTGGAAAACCGCTCAAAAACTAGCATGATTGAGGAAGGAGGTGATTGGGACCGTAGAAATCGTCTCAAGGTCTATGAGGGCGCTTACTTGCTGACAATCCGTAACTTTAAAGGTGCAGCAGATCTGTTCATTGCCACATTGTCAACGTTCACCTCAACAGAGCTTATGGAGTACAAGGAATTTGTTACCTACGCTGTTCTCTCTAGTGTATTGGCCTTGAAGCGTGTGGATATCAAGAACAAGGTATAGTCACCTTTCTTCCTCTTTGATATCAATGGTTATTTGTTTACCAAAACAAGGGTTTCCAACATCCTCAGACTTTTTTTTCTTTCCCTTCTCTAGGTGATTGATTCACCTGAAGTCCTGGAAGTCCTGCATGAGATTCCCCATCTTGAGGATTACTTGCGCTCACTTTATGCAGGAGACTATGCCAAATTCTTTGTTTCATTGGCGGCCTTGGAGACATCATGCATGAAGCGATCCTGGGTCCTTTTCCCTCATTACCGTTACTATATCCGTGAGATGCGCATCCGAGGATATGCTCAGCTCTTGGAGTCTTACCGATCTGTTACTATTCAGAGCATGGCACATTCCTTTGGAGTGAGCGAGGAGTTCATTGACAAGTATGTAACATCTGCCATTTTTTTTTTTTTTTTTTTAAAAAAAAAAAAAAAAAAAAAAAACTCTTGATAGTTCTTGTCCTATTCTTTTTGCATTCCACTAATAAGCCCTTTTTCTATTTTTCTTCACCTGATAACTATTATTATATAGGGATCTATCCAAGTTTATTTCAGCAGGTCGCCTCAACTGTGTGATCGACAAGGTGAACGGGATTGTTGAAACGAACAGACCTGATGCGAAGAACGCGCAATATCAACAGGCGATTAAGCAAGGAGACATTCTTTTGAATCGTGTGCAAAAGTTGAGCCGTGTAATTAATGTGTAGAAAATGAAGAGGTTGAAGCTAGAAAGAATATCCTGGATGTGCAACAGTATTTCGGAACTGAATAAAAAAAAAAAAAAAAAACTAAACACTACAAAGAAGTGCGTCCCGTGACTATTTTGGACATAATGTATAAATTAACCCACAAAGATAGGAAAAAGAATATGCCCGCTTTTATCGCAAGAAAGGTCTCATCTGTCCTTCATTACGTGCTAAAAAGGACGCTCATTTCACTTTGCACTAGACGGGCAACTCGTGAGGCTCGTTTACGCTGGAGATATCAACACCAAAGAATCAGTCCCAAATAAAAAACTAAGATCTCTCAAATATCGGTATTGTCCACCTTATCCACCTTGTCCACCTTGGTCTCCGCGTCACTGGCACGTGTGTCTGTGTCTGTCTAGTTATCTTCCATGTTTATTCACGTCTTATTTTCGTTTTCTTTAATTTTTTGTTCCTTCTGTTGTATATTCAACGGTTCGAGTAACTGTCGATACCACTATTGATTGAGGACAGTGTCTTACCTGGAAATTGTCACTGGTCAGGGCAAACATCTGGGGAATTGGACGAGGTACAGATTGCCTGCCTGGAAGCAGTAAAACATGTATTCATGGGATCACTGTGGACTGAGTAGCCATGAAGAATGCTAATATACTTTTCATACGAACAGGAGTATTTTTTAGGTTTGTTTTTACCTAAGAGAAAAGTAAATATCAGTAAAATATAGACCGATATTTTACTTTGGTAAATTTACCTCATGTTCGTTTGAAAAGTATATTGGTATGCTTCACTGCTGAGTAGACATGGCACAGATGAAATCCTTTATAATTATTTTGGGCCTGATTTCAAAACAGCCATTGGCGGAGGATACATTCAATCATCACGATTCAACTCAAGGCCTTGCAGGACAAGGCTCCGAATCTGCTGCTTGGGATAGCTTCCATATCGTACACTGAGCATTGGTGCTTGGTGGTTTACCAGCATAAATATTCAAGCACAAAAGAGGTGGGTTGGAAAGAACAGCGAAGGCGAAGAGTAAAAGATTCTCAGTGATAGCTGAAGGGAAACCAATCAGCTTGGACTTCTTTGTCTTTTATGACTGGAAATGAAGCACGAGTAGAAGGAGGGGCAGGAAGCGAGGAGAGGAGGACCTTCTCCTTCTGAGTTTGACTTTTTTTTTTTTTTTTTTTTTTTTTTGTCAAGCGGATTTTTGAAGATTGGTCCTCCAAGGCAGACTTGATGACATGACGGTTTAGGTGAAAGGAAGACAAAGACTTTATTTTATTTGGAACGCACAGCCATTTGCTTTTCAATCCATAATGTCAATTGAAGTCCATTCATAATGGAGGGGTATTAAACGCATTAACGAAAAAAAAAAAAAAACCCCCCGCTGCAGAAAATATTTACACGCATTATATATACTACATTCATGGATTATAGCATTGGTTTTTCATTATGATAAGTATGATATGTTCAAATACAACGGGAATGAATTGGGAGTTGGTTAAATACTTTTCTTCTTTTTATCATTTTTGGTCAAGTCATCCTTCATGACGTCTCTTGGTTTTCACGTCCTTGACCCTGTATATCAGTCTCTTCTTTTAGAGTCCTTGAAGATGCCATAAGACTAAACAAGAAAGCAAGGAACCCGCATTATGAATGTCAGTAACCTTAATCAAATTAAAGGATACCAAAAGGGGAGGGGGGTTTTTTTTTTTTTTTCGGTCTGTATTACAGTGAAGAGTGGATGGTCATTAGTCTCTTCATCCATTCTGCTTGCACGACTGTGTCCTCGACAGTGTCCTTCAACACCTCTAGATTCCGCTGTAGTTTCTCCAGTGACTCATTGAGAACCGTGTATTGTGTAGCACGTGAGGTTGTCGCTGCTATGGAGGAAATTCCAGAAGACATCGTTGTTGATCCCACTGAGAAAGATTAGTTGAAAGAATGCAAGCCAATGTTCAATTTCACAAAAAAAAAAAAGGCATCCTTAAGGGTGATTGCGATGTCAACTTTAAACACCCTACAACACGTATGAACCAAAACGTAGTTTGAGGAAACAGCTTAGGTGTCATCATCTTTTTGTTGCCATGTCCATGAAAACTTTTTTTTTTTCGAGTCTTTGTTTATAAAAATAAGAATAAAAACATGTCCGTGAGAATTTGCAAGAGTGATGTTCAGCAGATTCGTGTTGTGGGTTCGTGCATTCTTTTCTTTCATCAGACTGAAATTGATTTCAAAAGAACTTTTTTTAATTGCTAAAGTCAAACCTTGATTCATCTTATTCAATATATTGTTTTTTACCTACGACTTCATTTGTTGCTTCATAAAGGATACGGTGGCAGCAATGAAGTAAAGAATATGCATACTTATTGTCTGAGGATTTCCATGTTTTAACCTCAATCCCGGCTCATGGAGCGAGAACGTCCACGACGAGTAGGGCTTTTGCTTCGGTCGCGTTCAGAGCGTCCACCACGGTCACGACCACGATCTGAGCGGTTTCCACGCTCCTTGCTGCGAGAGCGGCGACGATCACGGCTGCGAGAACGTCTGCGATCACCGCTGCGGGAATGAGAGCGCTCGCGTTCTCTGCGGTCACGACCTCTGTCTCTATCGCGACGGTTATCAAAGTCACGGTCCCTACGCTCGCGTCCATCATAACGGTCACGATCACGTCCACCGCCTCCACGACCCATTTCACGAGGGACATTGTCGCGTGTAGGGTCAAACTAGAAATGATATGTAGGAGAAAAAAAAAAAAGAAAAAAAAAAAAAAAAAAAAAAAAGTTGGAAAAAACGCATCTTTTTGTCTGTCAAGTTCCTTGAAGGATAGTTCGAATGAGGACTTACCAAGCGGAGAGAGATGGGTTTGCCTTTCAGATTCTCTCCATCCAACGTTTTGAGGGCATTCTGTACATCTCGCTCGGATGAAAACTCTACAACACTACAAGAGAACCAAAAAAAAAAAAAAAAAAAAAAAAAAAAGAGATAAATCAGCAAACACAGCCTGCGTTAAAATGATTACAAACCATTTCTTCCACTAAAAAACTTACCCTTCATCATCGCGCCCCTTGCTGAGATCCGCAAAAGTGACTTCGCCTGCTCTGCGCATCAAGTCCTTGATGTCCTGTTATTGGTTCGTGAGGAGAGTTCCATAAGTCACATAGATGGATGAGAGGGCAAAACGTGTTTAGGGACCAAGTACAAGAACGCGGACTGGACATGAGAGGAAAAATGCGATGCAGGTCATCCTCAGCCCCTCCTCAGGCTGTTTCAAGGAAGGGAAAGGAAGAGCCAACCCATCCGCTATCATCTTTAAACGAGGACACGGTCATCAATGGCAAGAGAGGAGCTATATCATCGATCCTTTGGCCAGAGTTTTTGACTGCTAGCTTTTGATGACATGTTCCTTAAGGGCCTGGGTTCTCCTAGAGAGCCAGCTTGTAGCCTCGGAATATAGTCAAGTGCTGCCATGCGCTGGAGTGTCGAGCCTCTTGGTACAAGTTGATTCGAATTACCAAGGCTAATTGATTGGTCTGTGGCCCTGCACTCCATTGTCACATTGGTCACAGTTTTGAAGATAGATATCCCTCCATCTTATATGCTTATGTTGTTTCAATCTCCAGCAATCTCAGCAATCTACAGGCATCTGATCTATCCCGGACCACTGATGTGTTGCATTGTCGAACACGAACACTTCATTTGTTCTGTGATGCCCCTGGATAACCGAAACACTGCTCTTTTTTTTTTTTTTTTTTTTTTTTTTCCTCTCTCAAGTATTATCCAAATAACTCTCAGGAGCCAGATAGTCCAAAGATGATAGGGAAGAGGGGGTATGAAAAGGAGAAGGGAAAAGGGTCGAGCTGGCTCATTTGAGTCCTTCAGTTTTTCGTACCTGCCAACTGACACCATGTGCCAGATTCTCGACAATAAGACGGAACTCGGTTCGCTCAGGTGGTCCATATCTAATTAATGAGCAGTGCAAAAAATTGGTAAGAGGTGAGTCGAATGCCATTTGCTCATGTTTTTTATGTGTTCATTAATATGTAGGCGCATCAATTCTGTATTAATTATGTTTAATTTGTATGGTTTGCAGATGGCATGAATTGCGCAATCAAAAACAGAGCATTTTTGCCACGCGGTTTAGCCTTAAAAAAAATTCATTCAAATAAAGGAAATATCATTGTATAATGAGTACTCTACCTTCGTTCATCACGGTCTTCTCTTCGGCCATCGCGTCTGCGTTCCCCACGCGCAAGCTCAACCACGAGTCTAATTTTGACATAAAAAAAAAGTTCAGAAACCAGACGTTTAGTGTTCAGGAAACAGAGAGTTTGTAATGTATTTGTATTAAAAGTCAGCATGCACAGAGCAAGTATAAATGTATAAATGTAACAAAAAAAAAGAAAAAAGAAAAAACAATGTTCCTGTCTTACCTGTCACCCATGAATTCCTTGCCATTGAGATCGTACACTGCATCCTCTGCATCTTTTGTCTCTGAAAATTCTACAAAGCCAAAACCATTCTTCAAAGTCACCTCACGGATTCTACCGTAGCTCTTGAAGAGATTTTCAATGTCTCGGTCCGAAGCATCACGAGAGAGATGACCCAAGTATACACGAGATGTCATCCTTGGAAATATGAATTCAGAAAAAAAAATAAAAATAAAAGAAAGTGGACAATAGATGGAGGGAAGGATAAGGAGAGAGAATGGGTTGGAAAAGGGAAAGCCAAGAAGTTTTTTTTTTTTTTTTTTTTTTTTTTTTGGCTTGCCATTTTCGGCATCAGGTGACATTTGTGCTAAAACTTCCAATGGAGCACAGCCCAAGAAGATGGCGATCGCCTTTGAACACGTTCTAAACTTGACTACTCGACATGTTTGAAGGTTGTGTGTTTCAATGTCACTAATGTAAAATACCCGATTAAATGCTTATGTAACTCTGATATTGCATCATGCAGAACTATTTTTTTTAACGTGTCAGTAGTATATTTCTCATCTCTATCCCCCTGTGCATCTATGGCAGTTTCTTCAATTCTTTTTCTTTTTTTTTTTTTTATTCATTTCCAGTTGTGGTAGAGCCTATGAATGCTATGCAGGAGCCTACTGCTTCTCCATATTTTGCAGCTTCGTTGAAAAGTAACAGCCTCTCGTTTCATTATCTGCTTTGTTGTTTTCGTGTTTAAGCACAACCAGCAGTGCTGCCAGTCATGGCGCCAGCTTGACCACCAGTAGTCATCGCGCCAGACGATTCAAACTGACCGGGGGTAACACCCATGGGCATCCTGTTACGATGCAATGATGAGGAAGAGAAGGTAGAGCCAAAATTTTGACCAGCAAAAGCACCTCCGCGAGCATCCTGGGCTCCACTCATAGAAAAAGATCCTTCCGAGGCAGCGGATCCGAAGGGTGGCATAGGAGAGAAGCCTGATTGATCAATGCAGGGAGCCGCATGGATGATGAAAGGCAGAGATTCGATCGTGGGCTGGAAGGTCGTCAAAGGTTTAACATGGACGTTGGGTGAGATATGAACCTGTGAGCCCAAGAGGACGCTCGATTGAGGCAAAGACTGATCCTGTTGAGGAGCTGCATCAATCTGCGTGGTGAGCTGGTTAACCTCGGGCTGATATGATGTCTTGGGCAACACTTGGGTCGTAGGCTGAATAAAGACATTGGAGCCCAGGTCCACGTTTTGTTGAGGCAGGGAGCTGGATTGAGCAGGAGCAGCAGCAATGTTGGAATCCAGTGACTGGACGTGGCTTTGGTATGTGGTCGAAGGGAGGACCTTGTTCGTTGGTTGAATCAACACTTGCGAACCCATGTCGACATTCTGAGCAGGGATGCTGGCCTGGCAATCTGCAGGTGCTTGGAACTGCTTAAAGAGCAAGCTGCCAGACGAGGGACAAGTAGCGGCTTCTGATTCAGGAGCAGTTCCAGACTCAGGAACGTTTCCAGTAGGGGCTCCAGCAGTGGCTCCGATAGTAGTCTGGTTAGGATCCTGGCGTTTTACAAAGCGACGAGCATTCAAGGGATCAAGAGGAGAGTAAGTGCGTCCATAGTAACCGCGACCACAGTAACCGCGACCATAGCGACTATATGGGTAGTTGTCATAGTCATAGCCACCATATAAGCCTTTGTCATAGTAATCGCATTCCGAATCAACCAGAGGGGCAAAAGCCTTGACAATAGGCTGGTAGCGGGTGATAGGCGTGACATCTGTGATGGGCTTGATATTGGTGCTAGAGCTGACATCAACATTGCCAGAGTCGGCAACTTGGTAGCAGGCATCGCGGATAGGAACGGCCTGGACCGAGGCAGCGGCCAAGACGAGGGCAACAGTGAGCTTGAGAGAGATGGAGGCCATGGTTAATATTCTTTTAAGGAATGAGTCTTTGTTGTTTTTTATTGTGTTTTGGATATTGCTCTGAAGCTGTGAGGCTGTATGGTTCGGAGTTCTTGAAAGCTGGTAAGGCTGAAGTAGGATTTTGGAAGGTTGGGCAAGATCGGTCGCGCTTTTATACACAAGCAAAGGATGTAAGAAGAAGAGAAGTCTTTGGAACCCTCTGTAATATCATAGATAATTATCCGAGGTTGGAGCAGATACATATTCCTGATCATGATTAATGTCATTGTCTTTGATGATTCTGCAGCATCTTTTGCTGTCCAAGGCATAAGAAGGCCAACCAAAAAACTGTTTGATAGTAAGACACACATGGAACAAAAAGTTGATGGTGACTTTTGCTGAATTGTAGTCGCCGCAAATGTAGATGGTGTCTCGGCGCGTTCGGATGAAGTACTTAGACATTGATCGCAGGCCTTTTGTGTTCTAGAAAATGAATTAGACCGATGGTATGGAGTGATGGTAGGCAATATTAACTTCCTAACCTGTGAATGCATCGGACAGATCCCCAATGAACGAAATGTTTGCGGATATCCGGTCAATCACGATTACATGTAGTTTTCTTCTAAGGACTACAGTTGACCCCAAAATGCTTTCCACTTTGGCATATGAATCAGTAGAGCAAAAGAAGCAAGAAGCGGGAAGGCGTAAAGGATAGTCATGTCAATAATACTTTTCAACCATTGCTGTGGTGTGTTTAGGCTGTGTGCCAGAGAGTTCAGATTTTTATTATTGTTTCCCGCGCAATATGGACGTTCATTTTATTTTTATTATTTTATTGCATTGCCTGTTTGGACTTTGCCAAATCGACTGGCTTACACAACGATCTTGATAACCTTGTGGTGCTCTGCTGTCTCTTTGATTTTATTTCGGTTTTGCATTTGCTTGATCTCTCCTGTTGATCGCATGCAAATATAAGGTCATTCATTCTCTCTTCTAGGTGAATTGACTTTTTTGTAGGTAAAGAATAGCAATGCTCATTGTTGTCGTCTTTATATTTTATTTTTATTTTTATTCATCTTTTTTTTTTTTTTTACTCCAAACTGATCAACCAAGTAAGAGAAAAAATATTTATTTACAAGAAAAACGTATCTTCCATGACAGTGGGCAATGGAAGGATCAACAATAAAGATCATGTCCTTGAAACGAAAAGGAGCAATACTAAAAAGTATCTTTCTCTACTCTCCACTCCTTCCTCATCTTTTGCTCACCATATGATCCATATGATCCATATGATCAGAGGCAACCGAACATTGTCATCCCCATCAACAACAAGTCCTTTATTCCTCTAGGGTATTTATCTAACATCAGTGTTCCTTCTTTGACCGCATCCTTTTATATATATATATCTATCCATTGCTTTCTTTGAATGGTCTTCAATGATGGGTCTTTGGCCTATTCAGAAAGAAAAACAAAAAAAAAAAAAAAACGTTGGGGACGATATTGGATTGACGAGTGCCAGACTCAATACGGGTATGGGTTCGTCATGAAAGGAGCCTGGAAATGACTACAGATGATCAAAAGGATTTGTGTAGCCAAAGTAGAACTGTCTTTCTTCAACCGATAATAGAAAGTGGGGGAGTGAAGAGTGAGAATGAATGCATGGCGTGAATACGTTGTCGCTGGTGATCGACCAATGATTCCTTTCATCATGTCCACCCTTATCCCTGACCATCTTTGATGGAAATGCATTAATACATTGATGGCTAGATGAGCTATCTCTGAGGAGTCCCTCTGTATCATCTACGAAGCAAAGCAGTGTCAAGGATGATGATGATGGTGATGGGTATAGCATCAGCAAAAACGCTCAAGGAACACAGCAACAACATCATAAAGTGTTTTCCTTGTCTTGCTTCTTTGAAAAGCGACGCAAATTCGCACTGGCTCGTACACACTTTTTCCGAAGAAGGAAGTCAATCAGCTCCACCATCGTCCTTTTCCTTTTTTTTTTTTTTTTTTTTTTTTTTTCTGTTTTCTAATTCCTATTCTAATTGCCATTGCTCCCTCAATTACTACAGCTCCATCTCCCCTTTTACTTCTTTGGATCTTCCTTTTAGCGATTGTCTGCCACAACGAACGTGTTATTTTTACTTTATATTTCTGTGTATTCGACTATAAGATCTTTTGCCATAGCCGCGCACATACCCTTTTACACCAGCGTATCCGTAGGCCATCTTCCTAAGCGCCCCATCTTTATCTTTTTTATAATATTTATTTCTTTCCTTCTTCTTGTTCAACTTCTTCATTCTCCTCTACTCTTCACCGCTAATACAGTGTCTTGTTATTTCTTGTTTGTTGCTCTTTTCACTTTTCGCTGCTCAGTACAAGTGTGCTCTCTCCTTATCATCTCTCGCAGCATTTCCAGGCTGCAACGCTGAGCCGTACTCCGACAAAGTCCTCTCGCAATACCTGGCAACATCAATACTAATATCGCCGCCAAGGCGATTACTGCAAACCCATCCACACCAAAAAAAGGTATCTCTTGTGACAACCAACTACACTTCAACCTGACAGATATTCACGACGAGGCAGCATTGCCTCCACAAGCCCTTCGGGGAAGCCAACAAGCCATTATCGAGGCCATCAACAACAGACGTCGCGCTGAACGATCTCATGAGATGATTGCGCTTGCTAGAGGGTCACTTGCCACAGGCAGTGGTAACCATCATAACCCTTCTTCTTCAACTAAGCATTCTTCTGCATGGATGAGTCCATCTCGCCTATCTTCACAGCAAAACAATCGCTCTCTTGGTGCAGGTAAAAAAAAAAAAAAAAAAAAATATATAGAAAAAGGCTTCAAATTTAGCCAAGCAATATAGCAAAGTGAATCACATCTGCCCCAAGACATCCTAGACATCGCTGATCACTTTTTGTCTTCCTGTTATCTGCAATGAATAGTGCGCCAAGATGGTCAGCCTATAGCCATACCGTTAAGCATAGATTCAGTATCATCTGGTCTCAAGATTCGTATCCCTAGAGATTTGCCTAACTTGCCAGAAGCCTTCCGCAAGAGGGGAGCTGTTCGTTCCCAGTCATCCACAACAGCATCAACAAGCACCGGATCAGGAACACAACCTGGAATCAAGCGCAGCCATAGTACTATGGTACAAGAAGACCACCCGGAATCTAATGATTACGTTTCCTATGGTAATCCAAAATTTGACAATGTACATGTAAATAAAACGGCGGATGATGAAAAAAAAAAAAAAAAAAAAAAAAAAAAACCAATACTCAATAACAATTATCATTATCATTATTATTTTTAACTGTCATAATCTTAGCTGTACAAGGTGAAGGTCCCAGGATCAAGATTGTTAGAAGACATCCACCAGCACCAGGATCCATCTATGTGTCACCACATCTTGCTGGTGCAAAGAATTTGGCCATCCGCACCGTCCGAAACCCTACTTCAACATCTGCCTCAACCATTAATAATGCCTCCACATCATTGCTATCAGCACCTTCATCGGCTTCAGCTCCCATTCTACCTCCTTCAGTTCAAAAGCATCGCAATCACTCTAAATCAAAGTCAAACTCACCGAGCTCCACACCAGCTCGCATCCCCTCACCGGCTGCTGGCGTTTCAGAGACGACTATTGTATTACCAATATCATCACCTGCGGCTGAATCTTCAAGGAGCGCACAAACAACTGCTGGCTCACGATCAGTAGATGGGGTTCTGCAAATGGCCACTGCGGGCAGTGGCACACCAAACAATTCGGCATCAGCAGCAGCCAAGGATGAACAGAATTTGTCCTCATCAATATCCTCAACGATTCTGGACTCTGAATTTGATGCTCTAAAACCTATTGAGCTTGTGCGCGTGGGCATGGCCATCTTGGGCCTGTTGACCAGCAACACATTCTGTAAGAGCTTTATCAATAAGGTGCCGACCACACTAACTAACTACCATTTGACGATCAAGAAGCCTATGGATTTGACAACAATCGAGCACAAGCTGTACAAAACCCTGGCCCTTGCTGGAGCGGAGTCGGGTACATTTTCCAATACGCTAATTAAATCGGCTGAATGGCTTAGCTCGGGGGTCACAGAAGGATATGCGACCCTACAGGACTTTGAACGCGATCTGAGGAGGATCTCTCAGAATGCCACATATTACAATTCACCAACTCATATCATCTACAAAGATGCACAGGAGTTTCAAAACTTATTCACCAACCTATTAACTAGTTATCGTCAAGGGTAAGATCCAATATTTTAGAAACATAAGGTTCTTGTTAAAGTTTATTTGTCCTTAAGAATGCACTATCGCTATAACTGTAGTTGCTAAAAGCGAGCTTGCTTGATGGGAATAGGAAACTTATTTTGAATATTGCACTACCACAAGAAGCATATAGACCGGAAATTATATCAATATCGGAACCAGGGTTCGTAAAGAGTCGACACTTATGCTGGACGCGATGAGTATAAGACTTGTTTCTTGGGTATCAATGACTTATTTTTTTTATTTTTTATTTTTTTACTTTGAATTCAATAGTCCGCTTTATCTCTTCCGAGCTCATACCTTGCGAGAGATGGAGCGTAAAATGACTGATATTTCGACCGATCTCTACGCGAGCTTTCATCAGCCTATTTTCGACATTTGTGCAGAGCAAATTGGCCAGCTCTCTCCTGAAAAACCTCGCTTTGTTAGGATGTACATCAATAAGAATAGGAGTATTTTAGCGAAAAGTCGAGACGAGCGATTTGCCAGGATAGCCATCATCAGTGACCTTCAAGTGGGAAAACCTTACACTGTCTCCAACCCTACACCAGATAGTCCTAGCAACGCCAACTCATCTATTAGCGCCAAACCAGGTACTGGATCAAACGGTGCTGGTAATGCAGGAACGAGCATGGTGCATATGACGGCCAAAATCCTGATTGGCAAACCAATTGGTGATCGACATGACATGGTCACCGTTGGCGATTTGGACTGTCCTAACGCATGGATTACAGTTGCCTGTGTCAGAGCGTTGGAAATCGATATTGAAGTCCCCGCCAAGTTTGACAAAATCCTCGCAAAGATGCGGCATGAGGTTGTTGCGTACTCTTCGGACGCAAAGATAGGACTAGAACACCAACGGTCTTTTGCTGACGCCTTAGGGTTGCTTTTACCTTCATCTGCTAAAGGTAGTTCGATCGGACAACGGTCTTCCATTCCTGGCACGAGCCCTGCTCTTAGCAGCACAGCTACTGCACCCCAAACTATACCTCTGCCCTCATCCAATGGACTTGGACTCGGGATTAGTGTCGCTGCTCCACATCCTACGCCCACACCTGCCCCAACTATAACAACACGCGCCTCGGCATTAGGGGGCACGCTTGCCCAGAAAAACACTGCAAACGATCAAAAGACCGAGAGATTCGTTAAACACAAGTGGGTGGATCTTCATGACCAGGGACCTGACGGCCAATATCTAGTCAAACTACGGATACCCAGCCTGCAGAAGGCATCCCATCGTCCAACACCAGTCTCAGCGGTGACCTCTGTCACAGCAGCTCCACCATTGCATCCCATTGCAGACTCGACACCTTCCACGTCGCTCTTGCCCACCCGCGTCAATGTTCTGTCAAGTCAGGTGCCCGCCACTCCTTTTTCTGGAGCTTCCGAAAGAGAATCCTTATCTGCTCCTGATCGTATTATGCTAAAGGAGCAGATCACAAAGCGAGGATACAAGATGCTTCAAGACCTGAAGGCTACTGCCAATGAAAAGAATGTTCCTTATGTCCGTTGGAGCGCCATTGAGCCGACACTGACCATTGACTCTGCGCATGGACTGTTCAAACGGATCTATCACGTTCGTGGTGAAGAAGGTCTTGTGGTTCAAAATTTTAAAGAGATGGATGCAGAGTCGTTTGAGCAGAGGGTACGAGAAGTCGCATGTCTGCTCAAGCTACGAGATTTGGAGGGCGTTGGACAAATTCAGTCAATCATTGATGATGAGGATGATCGGCTCGTTGGACTTTCAATGACAAAGTATGAGTACACTCTCAAGCAATACGCAACCAATGCACGTCGTCACCCCACCCCATACCAAAAACTGTGTCTTATTCAGGAGATGGTCTCAGCCATGTGCGCTATCCATCAGGCTGGTTTAGCGCATCGGGATCTGAGCGAAGTCAATATCATGGTGAATGAAGACCCTAATAACTTGCTAGAGGACGGTTCCCCTCGACCTCATGTAAAAGTGATTGACTTTGGAAAATCTGTCTTTGTGGATCGGGATGAAGTCCAGCGTTGGAGTATGCAAGAACATATCCCAGAAGATGAATTGGCACTGCTTCCCTTTGTGGTCCTTCCTCCAGACCATGGCTATAAACTGTATAGATCTATCTTGACGCTTCCCCGAACTAAGAATGATCACACGCCGTTACCTCCTGTAGACCCTAGGTCCGAGGACGTGTACTCACTAGGCGTATTGATATGGAGGACATTCAGTGGCAAGTCACCGTGGAATGGTGCGATTGAAGATGATCTAAAGACGATTCGTTATTTGGTGTCGACTGACTCTCAAATCAAGTTTCAGCTGGAGCGAGAGATTACAGGGCCCGTCTCCCGTGAATTGTTGCTACGCTGTCTGACAGCCCAAGCCGATACTCGATACACGACGCAACAGCTCAAAGAATGGCTGGATCAGCCCAGTGTTGCTGCAGAATTACTAAAGGAATTTGAGGCGCTGGGAGGTGGCCGCAAGAAGCTAAAGAAGAATTTGGATTAACAGAGAGAATCGTTCGCCCGCATCAGATTTTGGGGAGGCTCATATTTCATGGACCATGCCTCTCCCAAGTACCCACCTATTGTTTTACCCTTAACTCTATACTTTCCGTTATTGTATTCTTTTTATTTCCTGTCTGTTATATTTATTTTTTAACCTTGTTTACTTCTGGCATTTTAATCGATCATACATGTACTCTCCAAACATTATTCCACTTATCATCTTTTTTTTTTTTTTTTTTTTTTTTTTTTACAAAAAGGAAAAGAATCATAACATCATTATTGATATCAACATTACTATTAATAAAAAGCCTTCGTGTTTATTGTATATTAGAGGACACTGAAATATAAAAGTAAAAAAAAAAAAAATAGCAAGTAGTAATAGGTTTAATTTCGTTTCGCATTAACATAAAATGGATGTAAAGACACTGATGACGATCAGGATGGTCGCTAATGAAGTGGAGACCTTTTGGATAGGGGCAGCGGACGACCCTGATCCCGATCCCCCCCTGGCTCCGGTGTGGACGCCTGCAACTACCCCGGTTTTAGGCTTACTGCTGTCTGAACTGCCGCCACGTCCACCACCACTACGTCCACCACCACCACGGCCACCACTGCTACCCTTTCTTTTGATGAGCGGATGTGTCTGGACGACTACTGACGGGAGGATATTAGGGGTCTTGGATAGTACGTCCTTGCTGTTGCTACCGTCCTTTTTGTCGTTGTCCTTGAGGTCTAAAAAATCAGATAATATCGTGTCAATGTCCTCGTGCTGGTGAAGCTCCTTGTTCTGGCTGTGGATCGCTTGTTGAGGTGCAGAAGCTAGGACGGAATTTGGATCCGAGATCTTGAAGGCAGGGATATCAACTGAGTTCTTGGGGCTGCTTAAATTTTTGTGAGCGTCTAAAAGGTGTTTTCTATTGTCCACAGGAGATGCATTGGCAAAAGTAGAGGCGAAAGTGACGGAGAGGAGAGCGATACAGGCAAGTGTGATTGTAGACCTGATTGATATTGTTTTTTTAGTTGTCATGATGCTGATGCTGGTGGTGCTGATAGTAGAAAAAGAAGGTGAAGAAAGTAAAGAAGAAGAAGAAGAAGTAGTAGTGATGATGGGAGGACGAGAAGGCATGGTATGAGGAAGTGACGAGACTGTGGACCAAGTTGAAGGATAAGGGACGACGGCCGTGTTTTTGAGCGTAGCTTTTTTTTTTTTTTTTTTTTTTTTGATGAGTGACTTTGCAAAATGGACCCCTTGTAAGGAATTTGTGGTAAAAGACTTTTTGTTTGCTTGCTCGTTTGTTGTTTGTTTGTGGATAAGCAACAAGTGATGGGGTGCGTAAGGAGAAGAGAGGGACCACGTGTACGTGAACGCGTTTTGTGACTAGAGCCCTCTTTGAATAAGAGACGAACGACGGGAAGGAAAAAAAAAAATAAGAGTCGAAAAATAAAGACGTGATTTTTTACTAGTGTTATAGTTGTTAGTTGAAGAAAGTAGAAAAGTAGGGGAGAAGAAAATAGAGAAAAAAAAAAGGGTGGGGAGCCTGAAGGTATTTATTCAATTCTTTATGGCAATAAGGTTCATCCACATGTCAAAAGATGCTTCTACTTCTCTTGACGTGCTGACTATGTCAGTCCTTCTTTACAGAGCACATGTACATGTACAGAGGGTAAATGACCGTCGTAACAACGAACAGTAGTTGTGGTGTTGAGCATGCCGCCGTCCAGAATTTCTTTTTTTTCTTTTTTCTTTTTTTTTGTACACCATTTGCCCATTTGCCCAACTGAGAGCAATGTACTGTACCAATGACACCGCCACTGGTACACAAGCACCTCTGAAATAAATTTTTTACCAGTCCTTCCTTGATGCGCCGTGAAAAAAAAAAAAAAAAAAAAAAATCCTAGCGAAGGAAAAATATAGAAAATGGGAAGATTATATGGGCAGACCGAAAGTGAGGAAAGAGAATGAAAAAGGGGGGAAAGGGGGAAAGGAGGAAAGGAATGGATATAGCCCTAAATTCTAATGCATTCTTATCGAATGACTATCACCATAATTGACAACCACACATCTACGCGAGATGATGTGGTGGCAAAGATCTCCCATTTTACGTCATCTCTTCTTTTCGCTCTCTTTCTTACAAAAACCACTATGATACCCAGGATATGTTTATGAACCTAGCCTAGAACCCTAGAGATTGATTAATATGATTTATACGTGACGCGTCTTTTATGCAACCACGGGCTAGATAACACTTTATCTTTAAAAAAAAAAAAAAAAAAAAAACTCTGTGTTCGACAGCGTACCATACGAGGCATATCAGTGCATGAGGGCCACTATATCCTCATAGTCGAGATAAAAATGGCCCTCCGTATCCTCAAACTCTTACATTCTTGAGGAAAGATGGAAACGGAAAAAAAAACACTGATTGTTGCATGTATTCCATCATATCAAGTAAACAAACAAAACGCCGTAGTAATTAATGTAACCATAAATATCGACCGCATACTGAGACATCAAATTTCTTTGTTACAGCATTTGAAAAGCATCGAGGAAGGCAGGTTTTTTCCTTGGAATAAGCAGACAAGCCCAGCTAGTAAGGAGTTGACCCAGAGAGTCTCAATATAAGATGAGCGAAAAACAAAATGAGATTGAAGCAGTTTGGTACTGGTTTACCAGCACTAGTACTATTAAAAAGATTGTAAATCGTTCATTTTGGAGCTCCTTCGCGCAGCAGGCGCAGTGTTGTTGACACAGACATCATAGAGCATTTTTTGTGATTTGTAATTCGTGTAACAGTGGCTGCGATGATCGGTGTGCACATTGTAAACTTTATTCCTCGACTTTTGCGCAGTATAGACCCTATTGTTTATCTTCAAGTGAGGAATAGAACCAAAAACGAATAATATGCTTGGTGCTAGGGCCTGATGTCAACTGATAGATGTTCCCCTTTTGACCCCTGTTCCTACTCTCTATTGTCCTCTCTGCCACAAGGGAAATGATACTCCCGTCATCCTAGCCTTGTTATCATGTGTAATTGTACATGTGGCAAATGTCGATTTTATTTTATCTTTTTTTTTCATATCTTCCTGAACTTCCTCTATTGATCTAACTTTGGTTACTAATACCCTAATACCGATATCTATTATGCCCTACTAAGCGCTTTAGGTCTTTGCAGTCTTTCATTTGTGTGTACGACTTACGCAGCAATAGTGATGCAAAGGCGTGATGAACCGGGGTCACCATAAAGAATCCATGCCATGAATTGTTGTCGCACGTCTCTTTGGATTTGGCTATACAACCCTCCGTTCATGGCATGTGCCCTTATATGGCAGGTATACGGCCGTATCGGGCCTTAACGCTTAAGATTGAGGACTGTTAACGATTATGTCTGCAGCGGATGCAGCCAGACATCTTTGTGGTTGATTCTTGTGATTATAGTGGCGTTTATAGCTATTATTTTTGTAGGGTGTTTGACCCTTTTCAAGACAAGATCTATTGCGTTTATAATTGCTCTATGGTTTCAACTTTAGGTACATCCTTTGATCTTGATGAAATATACCGGGTAATCTGATAGGCAAGATTTTTTGGAGGGAAGGGGAAGTCTGGAGGCCATACTGGCATGAATTGACGTATTGGCGCCATGTATTAAGGAGCTGGGTTAACTTTTATTTCTTTTAATAGCATATAGCCGTATAATCATTATACCAGTTGAGAAGATGCCAGTTAGGAAAGAAAATACTATACCAGAAAAGAACTCTTGTCAGACGTGAGTGCTACAGAGGTTCTAGGTTGAATGTAGTCAAAAAAAAAAAAAAAAAAAAAAAAAAAATCAAGGAGAAGAGGAGACAATCCAATCTGCTACAAAATGGTAAAAAGGGTTGTTTGGCATGGTCCATGATCAGAGCGTGATGCAAGTAAAATAACAAAGTTTTTTTGCACATGAGCAATTAATTTTTTGTAAAATAGCAATGTCTGATGAAGAGAAAGAGGAGAAGGAGACTCAATTGGGACAAAGGTCCAGGTCTATTCGTCTCCATTGGCAATCAAAGAGTTGACATGTTTGAGCGACAGGGGGTGCTGGATAATTGAATATCCTTGATGGGATGAGAGCAAAAATATATTAATAATAAATAACACGACTGCTTCTTTTTTCATTGAAACCAACGGCAATGGGTTTTCTTCAGACCCGCAACAACGTACATAAACATGGATATGAACATGAACATGCACAGACAAGTGCACAGTGTGGTGAAGCAGAGACAGGCACGGTTAGCGAAGCAGCATAAAACGATAATAGTAGTTTGATACAATTAGCAACAGGGGCAAGTGGGGGGAGTGATGGTGGATGTGAAATGCGTATGTACGAAGTATTTGTTTGCATGTGTGTAGGATGGACATGTGTGTATCACTTGTCTTTCCTTTTTCGTTTTCCGTGGTAACAAAAAAATAATTTTTAAATTATCCTGTAATTGTAATGACATTGAACACCCGCGACCTCTGATCACCTCACTCTGATCACCCTCTCTCTCTTTAAATCACTTTCTTCTCTCTATCTCTTTCTCTCTTCCTCTCTTCCCTTCTTCTCTTCCTCACCTTCTTTATCTTCTTTCAACTCTTTTATCACCATCTCTCATTTACAAAATCAAAGAACAAAAAAACAACATGCAGACCGCCGACTCGTCTACAATTGCCTCTTCAGCATCTGTACACTCAAAACATCCCTTCAAGGAACCCAAGCAGATCGAGGCCCTCAAAAACTTCCGAGCTTTGCTCGGCCCTGACAATGTCAACTTTGATGACGCTGTGAGTTTCATTTCATTTCACCTTTTTTTTTTTTCATTCTCATTCTTTTTCATTTCATTCATACAAAATTTGGAAAAAAAAAAAAAAACGCGCATGGCCGACGTGTTCAGTTTCTACAACCCATTAGATTCTGATCTATCGTTCTCTTTACTACTATTATTATTTAATTAGGAATTGATGCGATTCCTTGTGGCAAGGGGTTTTGATATTGTAAGTATTCTTCCAAGATAATTGATAGTATCATTGACGCAATGACGAGAAAAGTGAAGGAGACACTCGAACTTTATGCATCTAAAAAAGAGCGCGGATAATGAAAAAAAAATAAATTGCAAAAAATAAAACGATGACATCGATGGACATCGTTTTATTATTATCCGGCTCTTTTTTTATTTGTTTTTTTATTTGTTCGACTCGACCCAGATAAAACTGTAATCAAGAACGTTTATCACCAAGCAGTGTCAGTATTCGCCCAAGTAATAGTATATAACACATACAACAACACAAAGAATGAGGGGAACTGGGGAAGGGGAAGGAAGACAGGGATCAATGGACAAAAAAATATAAAAATGGCGGAATGTAACCGAAATTAGGATGCAATACAGAAAGGGATAGACCGAAAATAACCACAGATCTATCTGTCTGTGATATTTAACTCATTGCATCCCTGGTTTGTCGTTTTTTTTGTCCTTTACTCTTTCCGCAAACCTCCTCACCTCTTTTTTTTTTTTTTTTTTTTCTTTTGCAACATAGAACGGTGCAAAAGCTCAGTTGTTTGCTTCCTTGGAATGGCGAAAGACAAATAAGGTGGATGAGCTCCCCATCCCAGGACCTAACAATCATAACGGAGTCATGTACGCTGTTCGTGGTTGGCATTCAGTTCCCGATGCCAACGTTGAAGCTGGTCAACCTAATGTTCCAGAGCACGCTGTCCGTCTTCAAAGATATATGGGAGGCAGTTGTCTTCATAAATGGGACAAGACTGGACGACCCATCTATATTGAGCGCATGGTAAGAAAGATAACAGAGATTAACAATCGAAACTAGATTCTCTAAACATGGCTGGGTTTGACTGCGCATTGCTCTGAACTGAACGACAAATAATCGATTTAATTCATTCGAAAGCACAGCGAGCATATTGAACTGAATGCTCTTTTTTTCTTCTTCTTCTCTTCTCCTCTCCTTGATTAGGGTCAACACAATGTCAAAGGTTTGGCCAAGAATGTTACAACTGCCGAATTAACAGACTATCACATTCGTTGCTGTGAATTCGTCCACAATACTATTATGCCAGAGTGTGAAGAGCGCTTTGGGACAGATGACAAAGCCATTGACAAGGAAACCGTTATTTTCGACTGTACTGGCATGGGATTCCACCGTAAGTGAAAAAAGCATGGTTACTTTATGGTTTTTTTTTTTTTTTTTTTTTTTTTCTTTTGTATCGACATAATTTCATTGATTACTGACCATTTTAATTTGTTCAAAAACGTTTAGAATTGCATATGGAGGGCTTAAACATGCTGAGATCATTGACCGACATGGATCAGAAAGCATACCCCGAACGTCTTGGGAAGCTTTTCATTGTTAACAGTCCCATGGTCTTTGTCAAAGTATACTCTATGATCAAGAAGTGGCTTGATCCTGGTGGTAAGTCCACATGTTGAAGGTCTTAAAAAATGATCGCATGTGATAGATGTGCATTATTTTTTAGTATTGACCTAATTGCTCCATTTCTTTCTTTCTTTCTTTCTTTTTTTTTTTTTTTTTTTTTTTGTTTAATAGTCATCCAAAAGATTCATATTCTGGGCAAGGACTACAAAAAAGTATTGTTGGAACATATTGATGAAGAAAATTTGCCTGATTTCCTTGGTGGAACTTGCACCTGCAGCCATATGCCTGGCGGATGTGTACCCTCCGAGATCTTGAAAAACATCAAGCCTGTTGAAAAGTCATCCCCTACAAATAACAATGACCTCCTTGCCGTACCTTCCTATGTACGCCCTCGATCCTCGTCCATATCATCTGCAAATTCAATCATGGACATTGTGATGCCTGGTAAACCCAAGGATGGCTTTTATCAGATGGTGTCGACTATTCCTTCTGGAAATACATGTGAATATGAGATCGTAGTTGCTGATGAGGAAGTAGAACAGCAACCAGAGGTGATTATCAAATTCCGTAGTAAAGGAGTACGTGCTGCCTGCGATGGATTTCACTTCACAGTAGTGCGGTTCATGTTTGGTGAACAGGCAGATAGTGGTACTATGTAAGTTTCTTTGGCTTGATTGTTCTTTTATATATATACATGTATTTAACTATTAATATTGTCCTGTCAAATAATCGATATTTTTAATATTCATCTATATTCTAACTCTCCGTTCCGTCGCCACATTTCCCTTCTGAAATACAATAGTGTTGTCCCTACAAAGTTCTACCCGCTTACAGAGTGCCCTGATAGTGGAGAGGGGATCGAAGTCAAGTTCAGAGCAAAGGATGCAGGATTGTATGTCATGTCATGGAAGCCTGAGAGTTCTCGAGGTCTAGTTCAAATGGAGTATGGCGTCACAATCGATGGTATCCTTGGAGAGCAAGGATCTGATTCGCCTTGAACAAAGCGAATGGAATTCCTCCAGGGTGGCTGCCTTTGAAGAAACAGCTTAATGTAATATTTTTCCCTTCACTAAAGCTAAGATTAGTAGGTAGAATGCATCAATGTAAATCACAAAAAAGATGTAAAAAAAATTAAGAGCATAACAGAAATAACCAGCTTATTAAGAATGGAGACTTCAACGTTTTATTATGTTGTGTTTTGATCCGATGGATACAAGTGTAGAAGTTGACATGGAGACAGAATAACACTACTGCGCAGTTACCAGGTCTTTCTGGGCGAAATGTTGTGAACTCAGATTAAGCAGTTTCGATAATTTCTTACTTTCTCCGTCGATAGACTATGGCAATAGTTGATTTCCATTTGGAGTAATTTCAATGCCTTACCGTTTTTACTCAGCAATGACGCCAAGTTCCAGGTCGAATTTGTAAAAAAAAACCCCCGATCAGTCACGTGCAAAAGGGACAGAAAGAAATACATAGCCCGACAGACTTATTGATGGGGATCATGATCCATGTTGACTGGCTGGCTGAGTAAAAAAAAAATATAAAAAGACGTTATTCACCCACTCTCTTTCCATCTTTTTCATTCTTGCTCTAAACCTCTTTACTCTACTTCCTTACTCTCATTCTATTTTAATGTAAGCTATGCCTCCCTTTTACAGAAATACTCATTGCTGCGCTCTCATTCATTCTGGCAACACTTGTTTGTGAATCCCTTTACGACGACTTTGTAGATCTTCTCTTGTTACTTTACTTTATTTGTTTTATTTTATTTTATTATTTATTTCGCCTCTTATTTTTTTTTTTTTGTATTTCTCTTTCCATTTGGTTCCAAACTTTCATCATTCATTTTGATCATGTCCTTCGCAACCTCTGCGCTGTCTCGCATTCGACTGGCTGCAGTCTCTGGACGCACCAGACTTCTTTCCACACCATGGAATCGCTTGCCATACAGTGGTGGTGCTGCCACTTTTGGTGCGATCCCATCTGTGATTCACAGCGCAGCAGCAAAAGAAGAACCTAACCGCGACTCTACTACTGTTACTTCCACCTCCACTGACCCTTCTACTGATCATAAAGATAAAAAAAGAAGAATGTCTTCCTCTTCAACTTCAGCCATTATCGCATCTGCTTCCGCGATTCTAACTACTGCTTCCATTGCCTCTTCTTCGTCGCCTACAGATACAAGACATTTCTCGACCATGCCACCAGTTGCTCAGGAACCTCACCACTCCAAGGTCGTGATCATTGGATCGGGTCCTGCTGGACACACTGCTGCTGTGTACCTTGCTCGTGCTAACCTCAAGCCTGTCATGTTTGAGGGAATGATGGCCAATGGCTTTGCCCCTGGTGGACAGCTTACTACCACCACTGATGTTGAGAACTACCCTGGTATGTCTTATTAATTATTTATTTGGTTTTGGTTTTGGATTTGGATTTTTTTTTCTTTTCTTTTTTGAGCAGTTGGGTCAATGACGAAATTACACTTTCCCCTTTTGACCGCTGGGATCGGGATTGATCGGGATTGGGATGGGGATAAGCGTGGAAAGTGTAACCAGTCTGGCTCACTTTTTTTTTTACATATTTTAACAGAACTTTAAGAAGATGGCATGCAATGAAAAAGGAAGAGAGAGTTAAAAGTGGTCATTGTTGAGGAATCAAACTGAATGGTTAGACGGGCGATAAGGCAGGGGGCTGAATGGAACAGTAAGGAACAAAAATAAAGCTTTAATGGATAAAAACCGGGTCGTTACTAAAGAGCGTGCACGCGGAATATGAAATGGATTGGACAAATATATTTCTAGTGTGTACAACAGTATCATTGTGTAGTAATAGATAATGTTGGAATTTGTATAATTAATCTGATAACCATTTGTATTTATCTATCCTATTATATAACAATTAGGTTTCCCTGAGGGTATTATGGGTGGTGAGATGATGGACAAGTTCCGCGAGCAGTCTATTCGCTTCGGCACTGTCATCCACACTGAGACCATCGGCAAGGTTGACTTGACTTCTCAACCCTTCAAGCTCTGGCGTGAGGGTCAAGAGGGAAGTGAGCATCCTACTGACACTGCTAACTCTGTTATCATTGCCACTGGTGCCTCTGCTAAGCGTATGAACTTGCCTGGTGAGGAGACCTACTGGCAGGCTGGCATCTCCGCCTGCGCTGTCTGTGATGGTGCTGTCCCCATCTTCAGAAACAAGCCTCTTGCTGTTGTTGGTGGTGGTGATTCTGCTGCTGAGGAGGCCGTCTATTTGACCAAGTATGGTATGTATACTCACCGCACTCAACTTTTTTTTTTTTTTTTTCTCCTGACATGTGATGAGCTAAAACAAGCTCCTTTTGATCTTACTGACGAACATCACTTTTATCACTTTTTATCCCCTCTTTGAAAACAGCATCTCATGTCTATGTTCTTGTCCGTCGCGATAAGCTTCGTGCTTCCAAGGTCATGGCCAATCGTCTGTTGAGTCACCCCAAGGTTACTGTTTTGTTCAACACTGTCCCCGTTGAGGCCAAGGGCGATGGCAAACTTCTCAAGTCACTTGTCCTCCAGGACACTGTCACCAAAGAGACCCGCACAATGGATGCTAACGGTTTGTTCTATGCTATTGGTCATATCCCTGCCACCTCTCTCTTCAAGGGCCAGTTGGATTTGGATGAGGATGGCTACATCAAGACTATTCCTGGTTCGACCTTGACCAACATTCCTGGTGTCTTTGCTGCAGGAGATGTTCAAGACAAGCGTTATCGCCAGGCTGTTACCAGTGCTGGAACTGGATGCATGGCTGCTCTTGACTCTGAAAGATGGTTGGAGGAGCACTACCCTGATCAGCATTAAGCATTCGTTTTGAATAGTTTTCATTTTCCATGTAGATAGACAATAACCAATTTATCATCAATTAAAAAAGTTAAAAAAAAAGAAAAAAAAAAAAAAGACGCGTGTAGAATATACATGTAGAAGGATTGACCTTTGACTTGGCTTGGATCCGAAATTTATTTAAAGAGCTAACTGAACTAATCTTAATCGTGTGGGATGGATGCTACTGCACGTGCGCACGGTGTAACCTTGCACCATTCGTGCGCCACAAACACTGAGCATGGGATACGACAACAAATAAACAACTCCACAACTTTAGGTGGATTCAAAGAAAGACGAGAAGGAAGGAGAAAGAGGGAAGGAGAAGTGGGTGCGATGCCACTGCAAAAAAAAAAAAAAAAAAATTGTTGAAGAGTCTATGAGCCCAATTGGTCGCATAAGCAGCTTTTTCTTTTTCTTTTTCTTTTTCTTTTTCACAAGTGCTCAATGCGCGCGCGTAAAAAAGCTTCTTTTTCTCCTTCTTTCTCCTCCTTCCCCCTTCTCCTTTCCTCCTTTTTCTCTCCTTTTCTCTTTTTCATAAATTGAATTTGTTTTATTTCTCTAAACCTCCCTTACGACCTCCATCTTGTCATTTCTCATTCACTTCCTTCTCTGCTTAAACACACATTTGCATTCAACATTCAAACAAAGCTCAAAAGAGAAACCTTCAAAAAAAAAAAAAAAAAAAAAAAAATTTAAAATAAAAAAAAAAAAAAAAATGAATAGCGTCCAGCAGCCAAGTGATATCATGGCGGCCTCTTTTACGTCGCCTGTATTCGAAGTCAACGACCCCTGGGGCTCGACAGCGCCTAGAGGATTCGAGCCATTGGACGTCAGCACTGTTCTCTGTAAAAATAAATTTGTTTATTCTTTTACTTGCTTTAGTTGCCATGCTTTTAATCTTCAAGCTCTTTATTTAAACTCTGTCTGCCTTTTCCACCTTTTTTTTTTTATTTTTTTTATCATTGCGGTCGATGCTGTCCTGTCTGTGCCCTGTCTGCGTCCTGTCTGTCTAATTCATGTTTGTAATTGCATTACCGCACATCAAATATTTATCATTTCATAAAATACTTGCGAATGGTTTTTATAACATTCTTCCCCCCCCCAAAAAAATTGTGATACAATGGGATGATGGTCCTTTCAAATGGGGATTAAAAAAATGTGATGACTGCATTAGCGGGACTTCCTCTTCCAGGAATCTACACCACAGCGTTTGATCTGGCCCAGCCCGAGGGCGGGAAGATTACAATGTCGGCGTTGAATAAGATTCTAAGCGTCAGTGGTCTTCCTCATGCCACTATTGACAAGGTAATTAACACAAAAAAAAAAAAAAAAAAAAAAAAAAAAAGAGAAGAGTGAGAGGAAGCAAAATAATAGGTCGAGGACTTTTAAAAAAATGCAAACAGGAACAAATCGGCATGATTTTCATGCGAAAGAGATGAAAGAGGACAAGTGACGACAGCTTATAAAAGTAAGAGAATGGGAGAAAAAATAAAGGAAAGAAATATTCCCGTGGATATTCCGTAGATGAGGAAAAAAAAAAAAAAAAAAAAAAAAAAAAAAAGGTACAATACATTGCTATGCGTGGAAATATTTCCATTATTTAACCTCATTCCTTGGATATGCTGTTGCTCGGTCTTGCTGAACTTAGATCATGAATATTGTGGTCGCACCCACGCGATCAAGAATCACAAAAGGAGAATGCAGTGTTACACTGGCCTTAGTAGCCATGGCTCAGAAAAACATGGACCTTACCATCGAGAACTTGGCGATGCACCGGGAAGGTAAACAGGACCACTCAAAAAAAAAAAAAAAAAAAAAAAAAAAAAGAGACAGGCATGCAAGAAAGCAAAAGGAAAAATGGAGATTCATGTGCAAGCCAAGTGATGTCCTTGCCTTGTCAAGTTTTTTCTTTCTATGTTTTCCATCTGACTTTTGCCCATCTTTCTTGTTCAACTATTTTTCACCTTAACGCCCCAAGACTTGCCGATCCCTCATTTGCCAGGACTGGAACTCATTGATTTTGGGCACAATAATGATACAGATATCTATGCAACATCATCATCATTACCCCGACACCATCGTCCAATTCATGTCGGAACTAATGTGGCAGATCCTTGGAGAAATATGTCTTTTGTCTCCATATCTCCAAAGGGTAATGGAGGATACCCGCCAGCACCATCTTATCTAGCCTCACCTCCACTTCATTCGCTTGAACCTGAACCTCAAACCACATTAGATCCAGAAGTGACAAGGAAGGAAATGTACCAATGGTTCTTGAATGTTGATACTATTAGGATTAGCTTTGCACCAGAAAAAGAAGGCATATTTCTATTCAGGCACACCAATTATATTGTCGAATCGAAGGTTAGCTTGCATGGATAAATGGAGATATTGGTTTGGAGTGTGTGCCCATGAATTCCCCCGTTGACCTCATTATTACTGCTTGGCTTCAATGTAGAACCGCCAAACGACGGTCGTAAGACGGTACAGCGATTTTTGGTGGATGCTAGAAGTCCTGTCCAAGAGATTCCCATTCAGGATTTTGCCCAATCTCCCACCTAAGAGATTAGGAGGTAAATCGATAAACTTCAGCCCTCGATAGCATATGTCACTGGTTATACAAGCAGAATTACAGATACTAAACATCGGTCGGGAAACTTCAATGCATCTATAAATTGTGGACAGTAGCTGATGAGGCCTTCTTGGAGCGGAGACTACGTGGGCTCACGAGATTTATGAACGCACTAGTCAGACATCCAGTCCTGAGGAATGACCCACTTGTTGTGTCCTTCTTGACAGAGCCGGTGGTATGTAATGATAGGGAATAGACTGAACACACTCATACTGTGATGAAACATTACGTCGAATTGAATCTTTGACTTTTATTCTAAACGCCTCTTTTAAACAAATAGGAATTGGCATTATGGAGGAAGGAAGTGGTGATTTCAACAGAGGACGAGTTTACGACACGACTCCCTATCTCTCCAGCACTCGCAGAGCAAATCCCTCTGGCATTGGATCTGGAACTAGAAACCATCAAGAAGCGGCTACCTGCTTCAATAGAATACTACCGCAGCATGGTACATGTGTTTGACCGTATTCAAAAGAGAACGGAGGCCAATGCGGCCGACTATACCCGGCTCAGTCTTGCTCTGAAGTAAGCCCATTGGCCTGTAATGTTTTTGACTTTGTCAATAAGCGATATACCAATATAATCAAATATTGACATTGGCTCTTTTTACTAATTGCAGTGCGTTAGCGGATTGTGAGAGGAAATGTCATATTGATGATTGTTATAATTGTGGGCAATTAAGTCAAGGCTACAACAAGATTGGTTCTCATTTTAGTCAAACATCTGGGCTGTTGGAGGAACAGGCACATGCTACACAGCGTGGAATGGTAGAAAATCTGAAGAGACATCGTGACTTGCTGGTCTCTGTCCAAGAATTGCTACAGCGGCGGGACTATTCAAAAGAGGGTAGTCTTTCAGAGGTTTTGAGGAAGAGGATTGCCTCAAACGAAAACAAGCTCAAGTCATTAAAGAACTCGGCTGAAACTGCCGCAGCAGCTACTCCTAACTCGGGCTCTGGAAGCCCATCAGCTGTAGGTGATTCTGTGGGACTGTACGACGCACAAATCGAAAGGGTTACCAACAACATCAACTCTGTAAGTTGATTTAATACTTTTTTTTTTTTTTTTGCCTGGCCATCACTATTATTGCTGTAGTGCTTTTCCATTTTTATTAAGCATACTTTTATTATGATAATTACTATTATCATCGTTATCATTATTACTGTATCATTTTAGGATCGCGCTGAGCTTGAGATCCAAAACCAAAGAGCAATTTTGTTACAGCACACACTTTGGATGGAGATCACGTATTATCATAAGTGCCACGCACAGATCGCAACAATGTATCAGGCATTTGTTCATGGTCAAATGAAGACCTGCCAAAGTCTGTACGATAATTGGAAGGCGCTCTCACCAACTGTGCATGATCTACCTATGGAAGTCAATGGGTTCAACTAGCCCCACACTCCATGAGATGAACCAAGCGATAATTCTCTAAGATGAAAACACTCTTTCTCAATTATCTCAACCTTATCCCATTCCACCATTTGATCTGAAATAACCATTCATTCATCCTTGCACAGACCATTCACATATTTTTCACCAAAATACCATTTGTAAACGGAATACTTTGTGTATAACATTAAAAAAAGGCTCAAAATAGCATCATTTTCGAAAACTTGAAACACTATTGTTATTAATGATGGGTTATCGTCATGATTTGGGAGCCGCCTTGAAAAACCTTGAAATGCTGGTTAGACTGACTTCCTCTTTCTTGACCTTTTTGTTCTTGTCGAGCCCTGCTGTTGGCTTCCTACGCTTGGACCCATGGCTAGTGACAGAATTATCCTCAACTTGGTCACTGATATTTGTAGAGACCTTATATTTTTGAAGGAGCTGGAAAGTTTTATTAATTCCTGTGGGGATTGCTGCTGTGGCCAACTCCTCTGCTGTCAACCATGCTGTCTCAAGATTGGTGGTGACGTTGATGGGACTACTGTCATTATTACTTTTCTTGCCACCACTGTTGCCTCTGCCTTTGCTACTCGACTCTATGTTTTTGGTCCCTTTGCTTTTTTCTGCATCAGAGCTCTGGACCAGGACATGAGTTTGCATGTGAATCAAGATCCATTCTACGTGATATACTTTTCTAATATGAGAAAACAGATGTTGAACGCTCCCAAGATCACGCCTTTGAATCTCTTTGTCTGTATGATCCTCGATCCATCGTTGTTGAAGTGTCTCGATCAAATACTTGTGACTAGATTCGGAGCGTTGTTTGTAAGTGGAAAGTATTGATGTATCCGAGGGATCCTTGCTTTTACTACTGTTGTTGGCCCCATGATCCAGTTGTAATTGATCTTGCTCTACGGTTGGGAACTCCCACATCCCAGCCAGAAGGCCCTTATCAGGCCGTTTGACCAACAAAAATTCTGATATAGACTCTCCCGACTCAAGGCTGCGCACACGTTCCAAAATAGACACTGCACACTCTACAAGATTGAAAAAAAGCACTTTCATTTAATAAAGGAGACAATATGGGGGGTTTTTTTTTCTTCATCCTCAATCATCTGTGTTACCTTCATCTCTCGGGGCTTTCTTGATGGCTTTTCGTGGATATTGTGTCACTATTCCTTGATCTTTGCTCTCTACATCAGCCGCAGGCAAACATAATGTACATTCATCGCTATCGTCTTTTCCGACGATGGCTCCATCTTCTTCCTCTATCTGACGTTTCTGAGACGCGCCGATAGTTTCCTGACGATTCTTCTTCAAGTCCAGCATCTAAAACAGTAAGATATAAAGATATAGTTTCCTTTTTCTTTTTCTTTTTCCTTTTATTATCTCTGCAGTTCTTAGGCGCCCTTGCTTTATCAAAAATGAATTACCTCCGCATAAGCCCTACAACTTGTCCGCACAGGACATTTACCGCATTGAGGGTTCTGTGGCGTACAGATTACAGCACCAAGCTCCATTAGTCCTTGATTAAAACATCCCGGACGATCTTGATGCACTAATTCCTTGGCGATTTGCCTTGATATTAAAAATTAAAAAAATAAAAAAATAAAAAAAAAAAATCTCGATTTCTTTTTTTCCTTCTTCTTCCTCTTTTATCGATCTAAATATGAGGAGAAAGTATATAAACAGTCTACTTACCAGTGAAGATCAATAACCTTAGGGCTCTTTACATCTCCTCCAATGGCACGTAGCCGTGATAGCACACGTATCACATTACCATCCACGAGCTCTGCTGGTACATTGTATGCATGCGATGCGATTGCGCCTGCAGTATACCTCCCGATCCCTGGGATTTCCTTCTCTAGTACCACAGGGTCCCTATATGTGTTTTATATATATTGTGTGTCAACATCATAACAGTCAAACCATAACCCTTTAATCATAAAAGCAATCAACCTCTTTCCTTTCTTTCTTTCTTTCTTTCATTCTGTCTCTTTTTGATATAAAATCAATACCTTGGTAGTACACCGTTGAACTCTTTGACGACCTTCTGTGCTCCAGAATGCAGGCGTGAAGCACGAGAGTAATACCCCAGCCCTGTCCAAACCTTATTAACATCCTCAAGGTCTGCAGCAGCCAAATCATGTATAGTAGGCCATTTCTCCATCCATGTATTATAATATGGAATCACAGTGGCGACTTGAGTCTGCTGGCACATGATCTCCGACACCCAAACCTCATATGCGCGTTGACCAGGATGTTGCTTTTCATATTCTTGCATAGATAAAGCTTCCATTTCTGCCGCTACTGCCGCTGCTGCTGCCGGTAGTGTTGGTGTTGATGCTGCGGTAGTTGTGGTGGCTGTGGTGGTGACTGTTTTGTTTTCTGATGCTTCTGTTGGCTCTAATGTTTTAGGGGTCCAGAAATCACGCCGCCAAGGTAATTTCCGATGATAAATGTCATACCAGGCTAAGATATCATCATGAACTCGTTTCCGAGATTCATTTCCCAAAAAGCGATGATACTTGAAAGAATGTTTCCCATTAGAAAGACGGACCCGAGCAGCATCCGTTACTAGATCTTCCATGTCGGAGATATGGTCCGAGATCACTGCAGAAGAAGAAGAAGAAACTGCCGGTGATGTAAAAGTAGAGGTGGTTTTCTTCCGCGTTTTTGGCGTTGGCGTTGCTGTTGTTGATGCTGCTGTTGATGCTATTGTTGGTGCTGGCATTGTCCGTGATCGGCTAGACATTATCTCTGCAAATGCATTATGACCCTTGCTCTTCTTGTTACTATCGTTGTTGCTAATATCTTCAACCTGATTGCTGTCCTCCGCCTCAGTCTTGATAGCGAGCGCTGCTTTAGTAGCTGCTTTTCTTGCGGGCCTCATTTCGGCTTTAAATGATGTCTGATTCTTAAATTCCAACATTGTCTTTTAGCAAGATTTCTCAGGAGAGGGTTTTTATTGCGCCACTAATTTCTTTGTTTCCAAATTTGGTAAAGCAACGTCTGAAACATTTTTTTTTATCTAATGCCTTCTCTATGCTTTGGTGGAGATAAGCCCTTTCAGCATATCAAACGAATTGCCATCAGGCTGAAGTCTATGTTCTTCGTTTGGAATATCTCTACCCTGATCATCTACAGCAATTGTCCTCAACAACCCATAATCCAATGAGATACCTTGGATTCGCACTCGTTGATGAGGTGTCATTGTTGTCAGGGTCACAAACGCATTCGAGTGTAACCACCGCTTGTAATACAGCTCTTCTAGCTGTGCGAAACCCGTCCCATTGCCATGCAGGAACAAATTATACATCTCCTCCAACTTCACAAGGATATTGGCCAACAGCGATTCTTGTGTGAATAGTGCTAAATTCTTGCCTGTCACCCTATTATGATATCGAATCAGATGATTTATTGAAGTCGTTGGGTTCGGATTGGTTGTATTGACCCCACATCCTAGAATAATGCGAAAAGGATGATTAGTGGTTTGAAGTAACGTCCATTGAGCTTGGTCATGTATCTGCTAATCGACTTTATCCCTTCTTACCAATGACTAGTAAAAATTCAGATCCACTAAAGTTTGAGTTAACAAGAACTCCTCCAATCTTGACCATCTTGGGGAGGACACCCTGTTGCTGTTGCTGCTGCTCTTGTTCGTTCTCTTCTAAGGGCGCCTCTGCATAAATATCATTAGGCCACTTGAGCTTCAATGGAACACCCTCATATCCGGGCAATGAGCATACACTTTCCACAACGGCTAAAGCGACCAGATATTGCACAAAGACCGCAGAGGCATGACGTGCCTGTACAGGATGTCTTAACACCATCGAAAACTGCAGACATCCTGGTGGCGAAATCCAAGAATTACGGCCGCGTCCTCGCCCTGCTATCTGCGTCGTGGCATTACACACAAATCCATCGGGCAAGCGTTGGCAGAGCGCGAAATTCTTGTCCAGCATGGTCTGTGTAGACGTGACAACTTGGCCATACAGGAGCGAGTTGCCAAATTTGAAATTATTGAAACTACTCATTTTATTTTGCCCACGAACTGAATGCAGATGCTTAAAATAGTTGTCCATGTTGAAATAGGGCGTCAAGGAAGGCGCAGGTGGCTGCTCTGGGCAGAGAACAAGGTTCTTAATGATCTTCTCTTCACTCTCGCCTTCTGTTGCCTCTGAGAGGGTTGGTGTATGAACAGGAACTGTATGCTGTGGAGAAGCAATCAATTGAAAGGTGTCATTGGGCTCTTTAATCAATCCTTCAGGTGTAGCTAACCCTTTCAATATTTTAGTCAAATCTGCTGTATAATTTGAGTTGATTGAGGCCAGATACAACGATGACAGATCTGGGATCCCCTGGATGGCACCAGGAGGCAATACACCATTAGCGCTCGTATCGACTTGTTCGGCCATTGACGATGATGTATCCGCGGCATCTGGATGCGTTAACTTCAGCCCAAGCTTGGTAAGTAGACTCCTCAGCAGCGAGGTACGTTCTCTCTCGCTTTCAAGTAAACAGGTTACTACATTAGGCAATGGTCCATACTCGGGATTACCTGAATCCAGGTGAGCGGGATCATACTCTAGGTGAACACCAGTCAGCAGCGCCAGGCCATTCCCAACTTGACAGATAATTATTGCAGGTGCATTCACTCCATGGCTTTCCTCTCCGTTTCTCCCACTGTATCTTGCTAATACTTGTGTTCCGGGATACTTTTCGGCGTCCAAAAAACAACCTCCTCCATTAAAATATACTCGCGTACTGCTAAATCCCAACTTGTGAGTTGCAAGCAATTCTCTGTCCAATTGAATTTCTACCGCTTTGGCTCCTTGTTCCGAGTCGTAGACGAACCCAGGAACCACCACTCCGCGACACTCGCCCGCAAAGAACTTGAGCTCCCGTTCCCCTTGGACCTCAATAGGAGTACCGACCTGAAAAACGATATGATCAGATGCAAAGTATGCTCCCGCACAGATTCCACAGAATCGTCCACCACCCTGTACATATGCCTGGATCTTTTGGTTGATAGCACCATTGAGATCCTTGGTATAGGGGATATCGCGTCCTCCCGGGATAACTAGCAGTGCTGTGGACTCTTCCCAAGGCTCGGTCAGCAAACCTTTGGCATCGATCTTCATAACGTCGTAATGCTGCCCAACAAGACTGCGCAGTGAGCGAACTGTATGAGCAAGTGATATACGCGAGGTACCCTCGCCAGAGTAGACCAGGACATTCATGTTGAATTCTGATTGCAACAGATGTTTTTGTAAGATTAAACTGGGCGACCAAGAATGAGTGGAAAAAAAAAAAAAAAAAAAAAAAAGGAATTCAATGGGGATGTTGCTAGTGACTGCCTGTAAAAAACTACCACATTGCTCGTTTATGGATCAAATATCGTACAGAAAATTATATGCTCGACACTTTATCTTTTGTTCAACTTCTATAAATCTTTAAATTTTTTTTTTTTCATCTGTTGCTTGTCCTTTGGTTTAGTCAACAGACTCCTGTTCCAAAATGACATGCGATGATGATTCCTCGGTGGCATCATGCTGGAAGAAGTCTGACAGACGCAATGGGCGCACTTCATCCCGATCCAAGACTACTCCCTCAAGAGCCCCTTTCGTATCTGACCCCTTTGAACGCAGATACTCGCGCAGGGGCAGCATGGATGCATTCCTGCAAGCTTCCTTCAAATCGCTTCCTGAAAACCCAGCTGTCTTCTGTACCAGCTTTTTGAAGTCAAAGCTTGGATCGAGTTTAGTCGAAGAAAGCATCTAAAAAGCAATAATAAACATTACAAAGTATAAAAAGATCAGTAAGCCTAACTTGGACAACTCTTAATGAACCTGATCCGATAACCAATAATACGAATCATTTTACTTTTTTCCTTTCTTTTCTCTCTCTCTCTTTTTTTTTTTAAAAAAAAAAAAAAAAAAAAAAAAAAAGAGAGACGCATCAAGAAATGCTTACCAACTTTAAAATGTTCATGCGCTGCTCGTCTGAAGGCAATTTAATCGCAAACCGTTTTGGCATTCTCCTGAGAATAGCAGAGTCAATATCGTTTGGACGGTTGGTAGCTCCCAGAACAATGATCCTAGTGTCCTCGCCAGTTGTAAGACCATCCCACATGCTCATAAACTCGGCTTTCATCATGCTCGTGATTTCATGATCGTTACTCCTGCGTTCTCTCAAGAAAGAGTCGATTTCATCTATAAAGATAATGGCTGGTTGCATCTTGTGTGCAAGAGAGAACAAGGCTGCAACAAGTTTGTTGGATTCTCCAAACCACTTGTCAGTCAAAGTTGAAACGTGCATATTAATAAATGTTGCACCTGATTCCTTGGCGAGAGCCTTGGCCAGCATGGTCTTGCCACATCCCGGAGGTCCATACAACAATACTCCTTTAGGTGCGCCCAACAATCCAGAAGCGCTTGTGAACAACGCAGGGTGATTCAGGGGCAAAATAACACTCTCGCGTAGAGAACGGATAATCGGATCCAATCCACCAATCTCTATAAAAGTAAAGATCAAGTAAAAGCAGTAAAGCAGGAACAAATATTAATAAGGGAGAGGCGAGGTTACACTAAAGGTTACCCTAAACTGTGTTGATGCAACTCCCCACAGACGTAAGTCATTCCCTTTCATCCCTACATTAAAACCACAGTGCACTACTTACGATCAAAATCGACCTTGATGTCCTCTGGATGGATCACTTCTGAAGCAATCACTTGTTCATACTCATTAAGTTTAATATCGCGGTGCTTGTTGGTTTACGGCGAAATGGTGGAAATAAGAATACATGAAAATGAAAGATAGTAAGTACCAAAAGATTTTCTTTTTGATTTTTTGCTCAGACCATAATAGTATTCGTAAACTGAACTGTAGAAAAAGGATCTTCATACCCCGAGCCGATCCAGGACCTTGGCACTCTTTTCATGCGCATCCTTCTTCTTTGTCTTCAGTGGATCCATGGATGATATAATGTACTTGAACGCATAGTAAAACGCAGCCTGCGACAAGGCAAACAGTGCCACTAAATAGGTTCAAGAAGGAGACATAATTAGATTTGTGGGGGGGGGGGGGGGATTTTCTTCTCAAAGTGGCATAACGATAGACTTAGGATCCTAGAGTTTTATTGATATTTTAGGGTTTTGCCAATAGTTGAATTCAACTATGGGCGCTTTTTTACCCAAACTCAGAGGAATCCAGAATGGTAAAAAAAAAAAAAAAAGTGATGCATTTAACAAACTAGAGTTAAAACACTTCGACTGCAAGCGCTTGCGCATAAACAAGTTTGATTCCTGCGGATGCGTTGTCCGTTCCAAATGCTGATCGGACATGTTTATGTTTATAACTAAATGGGGTCGCTGTCCTGAATAGCAAACATTTATGAATCACTTACGGTCTGCAAGGTATTTTTTAGTTTGAGGCTGCATCACAATTTTTAGAAGGAAGTAAGGAACGATGCAAAGAATGTGAACAGAATGAGCAGAATGAGCAGAATGAGACAAAGACCCTTCTTATTTTTTAGCCAATTTGGGTCATTTACACGTGACAGCAACAGCAATGATGAAGGAAGGAATAAAAAGATGAACAAGTGCCTTTTTTATTGACAAATAATAAAAACAAGTGTATGTACAATCGATCGCTGCACAACACAACCAAGGGAACAAAAACCGTGTTTAAACGCTGAAGCGGTTCTTGCTCTGAACACCAGCGCGGTCAAAGGCGTTGAGATTCTTGTGGGCAACGATCTGGAAGGCGGTGGAGGATCCCTGGCGAGCGATGATGGTGGACCAAGCAAGGAAGATCTCCCAGGTGCGGAACCACCTCTTGCCATAAGTGGCAGTGATAGACTCCTGGTTAGACATCCAGTTGAGGTACCAGCGGTAGATAGTAGCAGAGTAATGGACTCCGATAGTGTCAATGTTGTTGATCTCGAAACCAGAGCACTCAAGTTGTTTGATAACCCAGTACAAGGGCATGGATGCATCGGCACCAGGGAAAACATACTTGGCCATAAAAAGACCCCAGATAAAGTCCTCGTATTGCCAGGTAGCACGAAGACCGGCGATCTGAACGAAGAAGAGACCATCATCGTGGAGCATTTCTCTGACCTGAAGCAAAAACTCGTTGAATCTGCGAATACCGACGTGCTCAGCCATTTCAAGACAGGTAATCTTGTCCCATTTTTCGTTGGGGATATCACGGTAGTCCACGCACTTGATGCGGGCTTGAGTTTCAGGGACACCAAACTCCTTGATGCGATTATTTCCGAATTCAGCCTGTTTGCGTGCGAGGGTGATTCCAGTCGAGTCAGTTCCATAGTTCTTGGCAGCATAAGCAGTGAGAGTACCCCAGCCGCATCCGATATCGAGATGGCGTTCACCCTTCTTGAGCTGCATCTTCTCGCAAACGAGCTTCATCTTGTTGTCCTGCAGTTCTTCGAGAGTTTCCTTCTTGTTAACATCAGACATGATGCCGGAGGTGTAGACCATGCGAGGACCAAGGAAAGCAGCATAGAAATCGTCACCTCTATCGTAGTGATCACGGACCTGATCCTCATCTTGCTTCTTTGAGTGCCAGATGACCTCAGGGATCCATTGGGTGACAAAGAATTTGGCCTGGCCAGCAGTCATTTTGAACACAGCCCAATCGTGGCGGTTCTCGAACAATTCGAGACAGTCCATGTTAATGTCGATCTATTGAAAAAAAGTCATTAAGGGATGTTAGAAATAACAACAAAAAAGTCCTACAGCTATGTGTACATGTAACAGGGAATACGTGCATGGGTCTGAAGAGCACAAGGTTTTCCTCAGCTGCCTCATTAGACTAGTCTAAACCGGTATTTTCAGTTTGTCGATGATCCGGTTCAGACTTTTTTGTCATGGGCGTGTGAACGAAAAGAAAAAGAGAAGGGAAGGGGAAGGGAAGGGGAAGCGAAGCGAAAAGAACACAGTCCTACACGAACTTCTTTCTCACACAGCATAAAACACCGACCGAAACAAAAACAGAGCTAAGAAAACTCTGTCTGATTCCTGCAATATTTGAATAAGCGATTGACAGTAAACACTAAAACTAAGATCGCTACAATTGCATTTCCTGCTCAGTAAGACTTGAAGTCTTCTCCCTCACTCTACTTATGATGATTGCAGTGAGCAAAGCTATGGCCAGAGCAGTAGTGACAGTATGAAAGCCCTCTATCTCAATAAGAATAAATAACAACAAAGGCCATCGCTTGGAAGCACGACAAGAAATTTCAGGAACACAAAAATAAAATAAGAGCAAGCCCGCGCGCTTTTTTACCAATGGCACGTTCCCCTCAGCGCATCGCCACGTTGTGAAATCTCAAGAAAAAGAAAATCATAACGAATAGAGAATGTAAGAGGAAAGGATGAAAATACTTTTTTTTTTTTTTTTTTTTCTTTTACCTTGCCGTCAAAGTAAGCCTCGAAGAAGGTCTCCATGGGAATTCTGTTCCTGCCCTTGTACTTCTGGAAAGCGGGGTCGATAATGGTCAAGTAGTCCTCAACCTTCTTGCCAGGGGTTTGTACGCGGTTGTTGAAGGGAAGAGCATACTTGGATCCATACACAAAGTAGGTGGCAAAGATGGGCAACGCAAGGAGAATGGTCAAAATAGGATAAGTCCAGAAAGGCAACTTTAGGATCGTGACGAGGACGAAGGGAACTCCGAAAATTGTTCCAGCAAGATAAAGGTTGTTGAATGACTCATTGCCAGCGACCTCGACAGGGTAATCTGCGTTCTTGATATTGGGGTAGTTGGTCTTTTTCCAGCTTGCGCCAGGCTTGACGGGGAGCGACATCTTTTTTTTTTTTTTTCAGATGAGAAATGAGATGAAGATTGTCACAAAAAAAAAAAAAAAAAAAAAAAAAAAAGAAAAGAAAAGAAAAGAAAAAAGAAGTGGTGAGGACAGGAAAAAAGACAAACTCCTTTTCATGTCTTCCGAACCAATTGATTTATACAGAATGCATTTGTTGAATAGATCCATCTCATCTCTTATGCCTCTTAATAACCCTCCTTTGAATGAAACCCACATCTGCAGCAAGGAATGCAACTATACGCCATTTATCACATGTTGAAACGCGCAACCTTTGGATCCATTCAAACTGGAACACCCTATAACGCGTCCTTGATGATAAAGTGCTTCCTTATGCTGATGATCACTTTCTTTTTTTTTTTTTTTTTTTTTTTTTTTTGATGTGTAACCAGCTCAAGATTAACACAGGTCTCTGTTTTCCTTCACGCTGACAGATCGATCGTTGGGTGGGACTCAAAAAAAGGAGGAATGAACAAGACAACAGAAGGTAATAAATCCTTTTTTTCGTGATAATCGACTGTTGACATGCAGCACACGTGCTAGAGTACATACCTTGTAAGAACTGAAGATGGGTTGTGACAAAGATGAAGTATAAAAAAAAAAAGAAAAGAAAAGAAAAAGAGAAAAGAAAAGAAGAAAAGGAGAGAAGAAAAGTTAGAAGAATGCAAAAAAGGAGACAGAAAAGAAAGACAGAAAAGAGAGACAAGAGTCTAGTTCCGGTCAACAGTCTCTGGACTAAACTCTGATTGATTTGTACTCAATGAAATACATCTCATCAACCAATTCTGGGCTGCCATTGCACCTGGTTAACCTTCTATTTTCCGCCTCCTTCATAGGAACAAGCGGTAAACCAAAAACCCAACTTGGACAAGTCGTCTTTTAACTGGTCAATGCCTGGACACCTTCATTTTCTTTTAATCTTTTCAAGTAGAATGCAGGTGAATCGAGACAAAACCAAAAGACTAGACAAACAAGGACGGCATATTCAAAAACCAGGTTCAATTCCTCTATCAAGTGGACACGATTGATTCGATCCACCTTATTCCTCTTCCTCTTCTTTTGTACCCCTTCATCTTTTTTTGTGTGCAAGTCGTAGTAGGACGAGAAATTAGAATAGAATCTCTATACAATCACTCTACTCTAATGCGTTCACATATTGAAAATGGGTGATTGAGACAAGGGCAAAGAGTTTTTAACCATAACGCGATCTTTTTTTTTTTTTTTTTTTTTTTTCTTTCCTCGAAAGCAAAAGTAAAAAAAAAAGAGCCCATGTTAATCAGAAATAAGCTATTCTTTGGAAAGACACAATATTTCTTGGATGATCGACCTCTTCTCCCTCTATAGCCTCCTTTTTTTTGTTTTTTTTTTTTTGCTTACCATAATTGATTAAGAGAGAAAGTCAGGGACATAAATATTCGTCACGTTTTTGAATTGAATAAAATACTTTCATTTTTAAACACAAAAAACAACACGTACAAACTCAAAATTTTAATTTTTTCGGAAGCGTTTTCTGTTATCAACAAGACGCTCCTCCTCAGACTCGCATTCCTCTTCAAAATTGAAGACGCTACCAATACCTTGACAAAGGTCCACTACCTCAGGCTCCAGGATAACAGCCTCGATGTGCTCTTGGTTAATTACTCTATCAAGTTCTGTATCCCACTCACTGCTGTCGACTATAATCATGTCGCCAAAATCCTCAGTAATCTCCTCTTCATCAAAGACCTCTTGGTAAACCTCCCCGCTCATATTCTCTTGTACGCGACCCCTGTCATTATATATATAATAGTATCTCATACCATTGTCATAGGTACCATGTCCGTATGTGTGTCACCTTTCTTCATTGAAAATCCGACGAGAAATAAAGAAATAAACTAAATAAAAGATCCCTCTGCCCTGCAACTCTGATCTACATCTACTTCTCGAGCCAAAAGGGTGGTGTGGGTGGGACATTCGTCCATGGTACTTATGACAATGTGAATAGGTCGTCCTTCGTAGACCAATTCAGTAGACCAATTTTTACAGACTAAGGGTAATCAAGACTTCAAAAAAGGAAATACAATGGACACAACATTCAAAAAATGAATTTATGGTGGAAGTGGGATTTGAACCCACGCCTCTCTCGAGACCGCAACTTGAGTGCGGCGCCTTAGACCAACTCGGCCATCCCACCGTTATACAAAATTCTCTTGAATAGATAAATTATATAAACGTATAACCATCTATGAGCTCTGTCACGTGTATACATTTAGGATTAGGTTGTAAATTGGTCAACCTGATAATAATAAGGGTGGATTAGTAACTGGACGTGATTGAGCGGCTAGGTGGAATGAAGTTTTTGATGACTATGGATAGCGAGCGGATAATTTGTCGCGCTGCGCAACAGGCCACGGCGGAAAGGTGGACTTTGAGTACCAACCACGGTGGTCAGGGTTTATGAAATCATGGATGCAGCGGCTTTCGCCGTTTGTGCAGTAATAGCTGTTTATTGACTATAGTTTCTGGAGCATTTTGTTCATAGAATGTAGAAAATAAATCCCATGACCCTGAGGGTCCTTGTTATCAAAAAAAAAAAAAAAAAAAAAAAAAGCCTAGAGGTGATCAACATCTCTCTGAGTGTCGCTCAGAACGGGCCCTGAAACAACGGCCGAACGCTAGAAGAAACTGTCATTAATCTCCACCACCTCCGTTCTCTATCGGCGATTGAGAAAGACCCTTAATGGTTAAATTTGTCAAAGACATTTCTAGTAATAATTAAGAAAAAAAGGGAGGTTTAAAAAAAAAAAAAAAAAAAAAAAAAACCAGAAGTGGTTTGTGAATAAGGATGTCGTTCAGTGACAGCACGTTGATGCGATTATTGGCACCCGCTTTTGTTACGCCCCTTGTAAAAGAGCAACTCATTTATAAAGTCCAAGTCTACGGAAAAAAAAAAAAAAAAAAAAAAAAAAAAAGCAAACCCAATCCTAGTGATTAAACCCGTCGATGGATTCTCTCCTATGATTGGCTCTTTGAGTTTTAATTTAATCCAATGTGAAGGCTTTGTTGCCTTGCGCGGATATGTAGAGCTTCAGGGTCTAGCCAATCATGCGGATCTGTTCTAACACGCTTTCGCTACCCGAGTCATCTTATTTCTGGGATGAAACGCTTTTTAAAGACTAGCATTTGTGATGGATCGATGGACAGTGGAGTCATTGCTTGATGCGCCCTCAGAGTTCGGCCAGGTTGGAGTCAGCTAAGGCATACTATTGATGCATCACCTTCAAGTCATAATCTCAAGACAAATTAGGGGAATTCTGGTACCTAGGTCGGTCAACTCAATCCTTACGATCGTAGATGGCATCATTATAAAAAAAAATAAAATAAAAAAAAAAAAGAAAGAAAGCTTGTGGCTCTGTGTAGCAGCATACAAAATGTCAGAACATGAACCTTGTACACAAAAAGTCAAATAAGAAACTTCCTATAGATCAAGGGATATGGGTCGTATGGTGACGGAACGGCGGATGCAAACAAATCCTAATGATCTCATGGGCACTCGCTACTGCAAAAAAAAAAAAAAAAAAAAAAAAAAAAACTATTCCGACACGCTTCTACATGTTTACTTTCTCTAATATATATACACACCATTCCCCGTCTTTCTTTCTTTTTCTTCTTCCTGCTCCTGCTCCTGCATCTCACTCCTACTATTCCTTTTCCCTCTTCTTTTTCTTTCAAAGAGGCACGCAAAGTAAATTAGCATGTAAGTATACATTAAACAGCTTTTCGTTGCTATCCACCCATACCTTGTCAAATCTTCACATATGCGAATCTCCACGCATTCACTGGCTCAAGCTTCACTCATAATCTGTTCCTAATCCTAATCCTACATCCAATACATTATATCTCTAAACAGCAGCCCAAGCTAAAAAAAAAGAAAAAAAGAAAAAGAAACATAATTTACGCGAGCATCTTAATTCAAAATGTTGCGATTGAATTCCCTCATTACCCTGGCGCTTGTGTGCCTTCAAGCCGCCAACTTGCACCAGATTATTGCCAGGCCTGTCACTAGTGCTGTCAGCAACCGCATTGTGGCTATTGGTGATCTCCATAGTGATTATCCTCAGACATTGAATGCTCTTCGTCTAGCTAACCTCATTGACAGCAGCAACAACTGGTCTGGAGGATCAGACACCTTGGTCCAAATAGTAAGTGATCTTGGCTTTTGTCAATAGATTGGTCCAAGACTGTAATACTGAGGTGCAACTTCTATAATGTTTTTCTAATCCTCAATATGCCATTATTGATATCACTACTCATTTCCTCAGGGCGACTTAGTTGATCGGGGCTCAGGCACAATCCCAATCTACCAACTGTTTCAGAAGCTCCGCCAGCAAGCCAAGGATGCCGGCGGTGAGGTAACCCAGTTTAATCTAATTGCAATTATCCTTTGTTTACTCTCGTACGCGCGCTTTGTTCGCGATGGCTCTAATACACTAGGCTTGTACCTGAAGACATCCAAACAATATTTGTTTACTAACCATTTGTTCCATCATGGTAAAATACGCGATCTGATAGGTTGTCAATCTCTACGGAAAGTATGTGCAGGTGCTCTGACGCGCGACTTGATTTGCTGCTCTTATATTGACTCGAGTTCACACGAAGAGCAATTTGCTCTTAGTGGCTCCTTACTAAATTTTGTGTCCCAATCTTTTCCTTGTTTTCTTCCCTTGACTAACATGCATGACAAATCGACGTCCAATCCAATGATGTTGCTTTAGCCACGAGCTCATGAACATTGCTGGGGACTGGCGCTACGTTACCCAAGAGGACATTGATTCGTTCGGAGGATCGGCCAAAAGAAAGGCAGCTTGGGACATCCGTACAGGCTGGCTTGGCCAGTTCGTCTTTAACAGCTTCAATATCTCCCACATCCAGCACGGGCACACTCTTTTCAGCCATGCTGACATGCATCCTGACTGGGCCCGTCTTGGTGTCGACACCCTGAATCAACAGGCCCATGACGCTTTGTCGAAGGGTAAATATGACGCACCCATCTTCAAGACAAACGGTAAGCTGAACTTTCATATTTGTAGATACAATTCAAGTTTGGTTTATTCACTTTCGCATAGTGCAACCAAATATGCCTCTCTATTCAAGTATCTATAACAACCGTCCATTCACGTTTGCCGCTTGTTTCCTTGTTTCATGACATGTAGGTCCTATTTGGAACCGTGAACTCGCTAAGCAAGAGGATGGCGCAGCTGCTACTTGCGAAACCATTGAGAGTATCAAGAAGACCCTAGGTGTAAGTGACCTCAAACCTACTTCTTACACCAATTGTATCACTTCTTCGAAGTGATACTAGCGATTGATCATACTAAGTTGACGGATGGATGTGCCATTAATGCATGGGTAAAATTGTATATTTTTAGGTTAACCGTCTCGTCTCTGGACACACTGTCCAAAAGACTGGCAAGATTCTCTCCCTTTGCAAGGGCTCTTACTTTGTGATTGATGTCGGCATCTCCAACTACTATGGTAAAGCTACATTTGAATAATTATCCATTAAATCGCCTATAAATGCTGTGCCATGGCCTGACTAGATCCTTTGTCCATCTTATACTATTAGACGGAAACCTGGCTGCATTGGAGATCCTTGAGCATAGCGATGGTACCCAGACTGTGAATGCTCTCTACCCTGATGGCAAGCGCCAGCTCTCTAGCTAGAGCTTTTAGTAACTAAAGCATTGCTTATCTGTTACTTTACAAGGACGAGATATTGTAATTAGGATACGAGCGTCCCATGCTTGTTAAATGGTTGTTAAATAGATTGAATATATATATGTAACAAACAAGAGTTGAAAAAATAAAAAATGCTTTCCGAGGATGGCCATGCCAAGAAAGAGTTACCTGGGGAAATAAATAAATAAATAAAAAAAAAAATCAAGCTTTTTTACTGTCTATTATATACCTTGTTCATGAGGACTTTATGAAATAATATTGCAAAATTACATCCGCTGAACACGTTGTATTTGAATTGGTAATCTTTGATCAATCTACTTGGTACTGTTGTTGTTGTCAACAGTATCCTTCTCTCTAAATCATTGCCTCTAAAGTCGTTTCTACTTTCTCTTGATGATAAATGTCTCGAGAGAGTCTTGAGTGGGGTCGCTTAGATGGCCCATGTATGATCAAAGGAAGGATTACTCGTCTATAGTACCTCATTGCTCCAACAACTTCCTGTTGGCTTCGCTCAATCCCGTTATGCCTTGAATACACATGTTGCGAGCATTAAGAGCCGTTTGTCTGGCGCTCCACTTCAGGCGGTACTCATCAAGATCGTCATCGCATTGGCTGCTCTATCCGCCACTTGCTGCTGTCCTTCGAGAGTTCTACAAATGTATGTATGCAGCTGCTGTTTGAATATCGGCCCAAGGTGAACACGATCCTCTAGGAACTGAATGATTGATGGTTCATCTACAAAGTTTCTCCATACTAGAGATACTAGAGGTGATGCCTCATCAACCTTGATTGGGTCGACCTCCCTCCCGCTTTCCTTAATATCTATGGCTCCGAAGCTATACACTGAACTTGCGCAATTTCGACAAGAAGTTAAGGTTGTCGTCTTTGCCACTTCATCCGTTGCTGAGTTGAAGCAAGTTTCCTTGTCCCTTATTTTCATCATAAAGAATGATACAAGCTGAAATTAACAAATTCATAAAGGTTTGCTGCAGAGGCAAAGCATATCATCAAGAAAATGATTGAATTCTCACGCTATGCGGTATACAGATGAACGTTTATTTAATATTTATCATTTCAAAGTTTGGATGGTGGAAATTCACAAACATCTGAATTGCATTCAGTCTGTCCTTTGGCAGCAGCAGCATCAGCACGCTCTTGCACCTGTGCCTCCTGAGCCTTTGCTCTTTGTACAGAAGCCTCAGTGAGATCCACTCCAGAAATATCGCTACAGACCTTCAAGATATCACCAATTGGTGCGATATTGCCAAGGACGGTTTCTTCAAACTTGTAGGCAATACCTTCATCGCCTTTACGAACAATATAGAGTCCTCCAAAGATACGCCCTTCACCCACTAGCAGGTTTCCGCGCACGCCTGAACGCAAGTTACGAATAGCGTTGAACCATAGACTTGGACGGATCAATTGATCTAATGATGCCCATCGAAGCTGCCCGCCACTAGTTCAAAGGAAAAGAAAAAAAAAAAAAAAAAAAAGAAAAGGTTTGTATACAGAATACATGTAAGAGATTCCATTCAAACATTCGCCCAAAAGTTGTTCATTATGTTTTTGTTTTCTTTACCCAAGTGCTTTGTAAAATCCTTTAGATTCATCCCAATAGGTCTCGCCACCATTCCAATAATCCCTTTTGAAAGTTGTTGCTCCAAGCTTCTCATGCAAAACCACGGCCATTCGGAAACCCTATTTTTTTTTTTGCAGTCATGATGAAGTTAAGAATGACGACATCGAGTTGATAGAACGAAAAAAAAAAAAAAAAGGAAACAGAATGCTTTTTTTTTTTTTTTTTTTTTTTTTTTTTCAACTCGTACCATTTGCTTCTCGATAATATTGCGATGCTCATCCAGGATGCGGACTTCTTCACGGCAGAAAGGGCAACCAGGACGACGGATAACTACGTGTAAATTATAAGTTTTTTATTTTTATTTTTTGTGTTAATGATTTTTTAGTAACTGGTTTAGTTTATTGTGGGAGTTGAGTGTGAGAGAAGATGAATGATAGCTGCCTTCTATTCCATACCAATGACTATAGCCGGCTTTTCTTTCCAAAGTTCATGCGCTTTGAATGTTGTTTCTCCGTTTTTGTCGATAAAGTCGGTCAGAACAACATCCTTGATGGCCTTGTATTGCTCGGGACTCACGTCTGTTGAAGCCATGATATATTATATATTAGTAAAAAAAAAAAAAAAAAAAAAAAGGATAAACCGAGGTTGTTGTGGGGTTGAAAGCGATATGTGAGAGAGAGAGAGAGAGAGAGAGAGAATGAGAGAGAGAGAATGAGAAAGAGAGAGAATGAGTTATGAGAGAGTAAAGAGAAAGAAAGAGAAAAGAAGAGAGAGGAAAGAGGAAAAAGATTGGTCAAAATAGGAAAATGATGATCATGACATGATGAAAGAAAAGATCAAAATGAGACCTTATTACAACCAGACAACAAAACTTTCGAGCGTTCATTAATCCCCATTAATCTTGGTTGTATCAGCGCAAAGGGGAAAAGTATTAACGCATGGACCGGAACAGCAATGCTCAACCGAAAAAACAATAAAAAAATAAAGTATAACATGATTGTCTTGTTGTGTCTTTTAATCTTTTACTTTCACGCGCCAATGATGCATGCATTAAGGCTTGATTGATCTTGTCCATTGAACAATCTGGACAACAGCAACAGCAACAACCACAATGACATGAGGTCTTTTTTTTTTTTTTTTTTTTTTTTTTTTCTGGCTTGAGCGTATTTTACGTAAGACATTTTAATGTGATGATTTCCGGTCTGCATTCTCATAGGGGGCGCATGCTGTATTTGATTATGCGATCGAGATCTGCTTTTCTTTTGATCGAACTCTAATAACAGCATTTTTCACTTCAGAACTACGAACGGACATGATTATTATTATAAAAGCGTCCTGAGCGATAACCAAGTGCAGTTTTATTTATATTTTGACGTTTTTTTTTTTTTTTTATTGTTTAATTTTGCTTTGCTTGAATAAAAAAAAAAAAAAAAAAAAAAAAACAGAGTTGCTACACTGTTAATAATCCATGCCAGTTGCAAAGGAAGAGCCCAACATGCCTTCTCTGTAAAGACCATATTCTTGGTTTTGAGCAGCTTGGTCTCCAAATGTCATGAGGCCCTGATTAAAAGCATCATCACCATACAAGCCCTGGAACTGATCTGGGCGGTAATAATAACAATCTTGACCATATTGATCAATGTCATTGGCAACACCCATATACATATCCATATCCATATTCATATCATAGACTGGTCTCTGACCATAATATGCAGCAGAGTCACTGCCATAGTCAAAGGGCTTATAAATCTCAGTCTCATCTACACATGGCTCGACTTCAATAATGAACGGCAACGATTTGACGGTTGGTTGAAAGATCGTCAAGGGTTTCACCGCCACTGTGGGTCGGATATGAACAGAACTGCCCAAGTCAACACTGGACTGGGGTAAAGACTGATCTTCTTGTGGCGTGGCTTCGATCGTCGTAGTCAATTGTTGCACTTTTGGTTGATAAGTCGTTTGGGGCAGAACTTGTGTCAGAGGTTGAATAAAAACATTTGAGCCTAAATCCACATTCTGTTGAGGCAACATGCTTGATTCAGCGGGTGCAGCCTCAATGGCTGATTCTAACGCCTGGACATGGGGTTGATAAACCGTTGAAGGGTTCACGTCCGTGGAGGGGACTGCAGAGACAAAGGAACCCATATCAACAGTGGATGGAGGCACAGTGGTACTGCAGCTTTCCACATCCACATCTCTGTTGATAGGAGGGAATTGACGACGCTTCAAGACATTGCCACGAGGAAGAGGGTCTGACTGAGAGGGGTTGTCAATGGTGCTAGCGCAGCCATAGAGGCTACCATTAAAAACGTCATCGTAGTCATCGTAGTCATCGTAGTCATCGTAGTCATCGTAGTCATCGTAGTCATCGTAGTCATCGTAGTCATCATAAACATCGGCACCATGGTTGTCAAGCCCACACGTTGACTGCACAATGGGCGCAAAGGCCTGAACAATGGGTTGGTATCGATTAACAGGTGTCACATTGGTGATAGGGACTGTGTTGACGGTCGACGCGAGCGAGACAGAACCCGAGTCAATATCTTGATTGCAAGTGGGCGCTAAATCAGGATCAGGGGCGTTTAAATCCATACTACCCAGAGCAGATGGATCTTGAGGCACTGGCACTGTTTGTGCAGCAAGGACGAAAAGAGACAGAGCGAGAGTGATGCGAATAACACTTGCGAACGTCATGATCAGGGGAAGTTGCACGTGTATCGGTATTGAGTTATCGATTGGAAAGTAGCGATGTCAAGCTTTAGAAAAAAAAAAAAAACTCTCTCTTTCCCATGGCATTTCTTTTATACAATCTCAGAATCCATGGTTGCAACCCTTTGAGACCGAGATCAATATACCCAAAGTCAATGTCAAGGAGGAGTGAAGTCAATTTCCGACATCCAGGTCGATTTTTCATGATAAATTGGTTTGGGAGTCTATAGATCAACAATAAAAAAAAAAAAAAAAAACGCGTGGGATCTTTTGCGATACCAGATTTGTATTGGACTGCATTACTTATGAAAAGAAACCAGGTCTTCGCCGATGATAAAAGATGGACTGATATTCACTGAGGGGGTTGGTTGTTTAGTTCTTTGAACTGCCATGGGTTGTTGAAACCTGAGGGTTTAAGAAGCATATTTATCAGCATGACAAGGGCCAAAAATATAAGATATTTCACACGATTTAGGGGGGTGCAAGATCCGCTCCACCCCGATTGTTCTTTTTTTTTTTTTTTATTGAGATTATATTGCTGTTAAAAAGAGTTTACTCGTAGATCAACTTCTCCATAACACGGGTGTGAGAGATGACACCGTTGGGGAACCACAAGGCGATCTCCTTCTCAGCGTTCTCAACAGAGTCAGAGCCGTGGCACAAGTTGCGGCCGACATCAATGCAGAAGTCTATATGAGCGTAAAAATAAAATAAAATAAAAAATTAGCATATAAAAATTCTTTTAAATGCGCCAGATGATTTCTCTGAGACACTGGAAAGAGACAAGTATATATAATATATATATACGTACCACCGCGGATAGTTCCGGGCAAAGAGGCCAAGGGGTTGGTCTCACCGAGGAGAACACGGCCAGACTTGACGACACCCTTGCCAGACCAGACCATGGCAACCTATAATGATATTATCAAAGGGACAAAGTGTTGCAAATTAGCAATCAAAGAGAAATAATTAAAAAAAGTTCCTCTGTATTGGGATCACATAAACAATCTTATCATCCAAAATGCATTGAATGATGCTCTTTTTGTGGTTGAATATACGTACAACAGGGCCGGAGGTCATGTAGTTCATGAGACCACCGAAGAAAGGCTTGGAGGCAAGATCAGCGTAGTGCTTCTCGAGGAGCTCACGGGTGGGCTATTGTGTGTCGTGAAGAACAGAAAAAAATATGCTTTTTTTTTTTAGTATGATTACAAAAAAAAAAAAAAAAAAAAAAAATAATAATGACAAAATCGAAGCGATCTTCATGAAGATAGGACATACAGTCTTGAGTTCAAGAGCAATGAGCTGGAAGCCCTTGTTCTCGAAACGCTTGATGATCTCACCAACGAGACCGCGCTCGACACCGTCGGGCTTGACCTATTTTCATCGATATAAAAAAGCAAATAGTACAACAGGGTGAGCGTGTGAACTGGGGGAAAAGCGTCATTATTTTCCTTTTTGCTTGGATATAAAAAAAAAAAATTTTTTTTCCACGCGCGACAAGAAAATAAGAATGTGTCCAATGTCGAATCTAATCTCGACAAGCCAAGGTTAGAATGGTACAATGAACAAATGAACACATACCATAATGTAAGTGCGCTCCAAAGTCATTTTGATTAGTTGTTGCTGTGAAAATGAATGAAAAGGGGGTAAAGAACAGAAAAGAAAAACAGAAAACTTTCTGACCTCAAAAAAAAAAGTCCTTTAGTTGTGAGATATTTTTTTTTCAGTTTCCTATATCGCAGTTCATGCGACCGTTGGCTGTTCCAACCGTCATCGCCACTATTTTTCAAGTCAGCCTTCATTAAGAACCAAATGTTGAGTATTCATCTCTATGGGTTCTCATTAATATCGATCAATTCAGCAGAAGCTTGAACATCGAACAAAAGTAAACATTTTAAAAAAGTGGGATTGGCATGTCATAAACTACAACATTGAGAGGATCTGTATTCGAACATCAACCACATATTGGTCAAAAGAGAAAAGCTTCCCGAATGTCCCTGTTGGTCAATGTTCCACGTGATATCGTCTTCAAAGCAACGCCAGATCCCTTTCTGTTGAAGGGGTCCCTTCTCATACCATTGAGCATATCAGACATAACCTTCTTCTACCCATCGGGTCTTTGACTCTTGAGAGGCGCAATTTATGCGCTCCTTGAAGCTCACGTGGGCGAGTGTACCTTCAAGAATTCTCGAACGGCTGGCTAAAGGGCTTCAAGCAACGGTATGGTCTCCGCAGGTACAATCTTAAAGAGGAAGCGGCATCAGTAAACATGGAGCTCCGGCTGCAGCTGGAAATGATTAAACATACACTCAGCCGATTTAGCCTTGACGACATCTACACTTGCGATGAGACCGGGTTATTCTTTCAGTCCACGTCCAACTGAACAATGGATTACGGCAAAGTCTCTGGCACCAAGCGGAGTACCAGGATTTCAATCCTTTTCTGTACAAATGCAACAGGGACCGATCAATGCAAGTCCTTCATGTGGAGCGAGTAATTCTTTTTTTTTTTTTTTTTTTTTGCGCCTATAATTGGTCACCAACTCGTCAGCCTCCTCATGATAGGATGGATGGCGAGGATTTCCTGCTTGGAGCGCACGAAAGATATCTTTGCCTGCGATTTGGTCATGGACCATGCTTCAGTGCTGCCTCACTGCAACACGTTGCGGAGCCAGTTCCTTTCGGGAAGAGACGAGACGATCACCGCATTATGGAACTTCTCGGAAAATTTAATTCGTTTTACCAGATGCTGAAAGAAGGAAGCTCGAACTCATTGTATTTCCATTTAGTAGATATATATAGAAAAGCTATGTGAATACTGTACAGTACAGATGAGGACGCTTCAGGAGTTAACAGCCTCCGTTCTAGTTGCAATAGATTGCCCTTGTATCATTAAGGGTGGATTGAGTGATGTTGATCTTGTGCGAGTACTCCAACACTTAATGAACTCTGCTTCAGCTTTGTTAGGAAGATCCAAGATCTAAGGATCAAAGAGCCTGATATCTTTTTTTTTTTTTTTTTTTTTTTTAAAGCTTTGTTTAACATGGTCATTTTGACCGCGGAATATTAAATAGGAATCATTATTAATACCAATTAAATGTCTGTATCATAAAGAACTTTAGACTTGAATGTATAGCATGGTACATTTACAGGGTTTATTTGTCTAGCAAGCACGGTAAAAGAATGTCGATAAAGTAAAAAAAAAAAAAAAAAAAAAAAAAGATAAAAAAGAATACAGATCGTTTATATAGGTACAGTTAAGGAGTAATAAGTGGATAGGAAGAAGGATAGAAAAGGAATTAAAAAGAGAGAAAGAATAAAAAGGTGTAATGGGTATAGTTGAAGATTGTATATAAACCCTTCAAAGCTATTATTCAATTGACCACCGTTTTCCGGATCCGTTGACGGATTCCATGGGATAGATGTTTGTTCCAGAAACCTTGCCAACTAGTAAAAGAATAAGGCGCAATGTGTCATTAGATATATCAACAACCACAAAGGCTTTTTTTAAAAAAGGAAGAAAAAAAAAAAAATTCTTCACACTTACTATGTGCGTTCAGTCCATTGTTAAAGTTCTTCATGCAAACCCATGCAAGATATATTGTAACCATTCCGAGAATCAAATTGACAATCACTAGTATGGAGATATGGAAAGGGAAACAAAAATGAAAACTATGTTAGTATACATGAACATGAACATGAACACGATCCGTTTCCATTAAAGAAAAAAAAGTGGGGCTGAAAATGATAATAAGATGGCTGTTGTTGACATTACAGAAGAATGTGAGGAACTTGTTTGCGCCAGTGAACCTATCTGGGCTGTTGAATACTTGATTAAGCTTAATAATGTTGTAGACAAGCGTTGCAAATCCACCAGCATTAAAGCAATACATCGCGATCTTGCTCTCACGTTTCAGCTAGATGTATAAAAAAAAAAAAAAAAAAAAAAGATTAATTAAACAAGGGTCAAAAAAATGTGAAGCAATGGATTTTTGGACACAGACGACCGTTGTAATCTGTGGGCTGTAACTTACTCCCCACCACGCCAAGATTGGCAAAATGATAGATGCACCCGTTGACATGATTAGGTGAAAAATTAAAATTCGCCTCATTTCCTCATCCGACAAGTTGTAGGTAGAAGACTCGGGGGACTCTGCTTGCAACACAACCACTGACAAGAATTGGGCCGAAAAGCCCAGCTGGAAAAAGATATCAAACTTGACGATCATGATGAAGATTTGATAGACCTTGTACATGTCTAAAATAAACAAACAGCCCATTTGACGCCATCATTGTGTTTTTGGAGTGAATATAACAGATTCCTCGGTTTCGTAGATCAATTGAACAGTTTAAAAAAAAAAAAAAAAAAAAAAAAGCCCTGAGGAAGACAACATACCTCGCATAGCTAGATCAGCGCCAATCTTTTTATAGATGCTCCATCCAAATTCCTTGTAGAGTTTATATGCAATAATTGCGAATCCTGAGGCGAATATGACCATGAAGCAAATGACCGCGATTTCATAAGGCAATGAAGCATGGTGAATCGTTGGGTTAGGCGTTGCCTTGAAAATGTCGAGAATTGTGTTGGAGAGTGAGTCGTTTGGTGTTTCGACGAGAATATCCGTTGCCTGCTTTATCTGAACTCCTGCGTAAGCAACCATGGCACAGTTGAATGCGACGATAGCAATGATCTGAATTGTATTTTTGTTGAACATCTAAAGTAAAATAAAATAAATAAAAAAGGGGGGGGGATTAGAAGAAATTCTCCAGCTAGATTGCTCGCATTTTTTATATTTTTTTTCCCTAGTATCCTGCATTACCGCGTCGCACAAGAGAATGAGCTGAAAGAGTTGAGCAACAATAAACAGCACATGGTATACGGACAAAACGCGAGCACTCTGGATTACTTGTGTTGGATTCGGAATATCGTGAATGTTCTTTGATTGGAGCACTACCAAGGCAGCGGGAACAACGAGCTTAATGTTGCGAGCCTCTGTCGCGTGCAGCTTAAAAATGACAGACTCGAGAGCCACGATTACCAGGGCCTGGATACCAGACCAAGCCAGTGAGTATCTGGCCCAGGTTGAGTCACCAGCCTAAGAAGATAAAAATAAACATTTTTTGACACCAGTCAAATCAGTAACGCTTTCTTTTTTTTATTTTATTTTATTTTATTTTTTTCTTAATTATTATTGTTGTTTTCATCAGTGCTTGGGATATTCCGTCATCGTGGTGTTTGTAGTGATAGTTTTACTATCCACTGGTTTATTTCGCGATTAAACTCGAGTACGTTAATGCAGCAGAGGCGGAGTATGTTGTCCTGTGTTTCCTCGCAAAGCTGTGCAACAATGATACTGAAGAAAGGAAAAAAAAAAAAAAAAAAAAAGGGGAGGGAAAAAGAAAAGGAATGACTTACAAGTCTTGAAATCATGCTTGGGGCCAGTTCTCTTTTTTTTCTTCTTTCACAATTCAGTTGAAAGGTGTTCAAAAGGAGAAGATGAATGTAAAAAAAAAAAAAAAAAAAAAAATTGTAAAAATCAAGGTGTTCAATCGGTGAGCAAGCGAGTGAATATGTGAGAGTGAAAGTTGAGAGAGAGAGAAAGTGAGAGAAAGTGAGAAGAGAATGTAATTGAGAGAGAGAAAGAGAGTTGGAGGGAAAAGGGAGACGGACAAAGGGAGACAGAAAAGAAAAAGAAGAAAGAAAAAAAGCAGCGAATATGTGTATGTGTGTATGTGTATATGTGCCTTGATGTCCTGAGAGCCAGCCAGAACACAAACAAACAAAAAAAAAAAAAAAAAAAAAAAAAAAAAAAAGTGATTTGGAGTGAAGAAAATGAGCAGTAGTTTAAAGTAATGCAATGAATGATGAAAATGAAATAATGAAATGGACTGAAATGTAATGTAATCAAGTGCAATCTAATGCAAGCCTAACATATATAAATGTATATACACAGACAGGATGGGATAAAGAGGAATGAAGAAGAAAAGAGGAGGGGGGAAAAAGAATGAGCGATGCAAAACTACTGTCAACCTTTTGGGAACACAATAAGCGAGTTAGCAAAGCATAAAATAACAGAATCGGGGTTGCTGATTTCCTATTGATTGGTTGTAAGATAAAGAGGTCAAGTGTGTTTCGAATGCATGCTTTACAAACAGAAGCATACAACATCTATACATTATGTATTTATATAACAAATATAACATGTACACATGCACTCATTGCTTCATTGCTTGATTGCTCGATCGCTTGAAAGCATCCACACATGGGCCACATGGATATTATGTTTCAAACAGTAAAGTCTTCCTTGGGCAATCAAACCCATGAACCACAGTGATTATGGCAGTTAAAAAAAAATAAAAAAATAAAAATAAAAAGACTTTCTTGATTGATCGATTAATTTGTGACAAGACTAAAAGGTGTCTGTCCTCTTTCCTTTCCATCTTGTCTGGGTCCTTTGTTATCGCATTGGGTCATCTCATAATCCTCATAATCACAAAAAGTGTAGATTGTGTCGTCAACAGAATGAGAAATAAAAAAAAAAGGGTCCAAAATAATTTATTAATCAACTAAAATAAAATAAAAAAAATCTTTCGAAACGAATGAAAGGAATGCCATAACATGTCTAGACAGGGTCATTGTACTGCAATGCTATATGATATCAGATCATACAGACAGAAAAAAAAAAAAAAAAAAAAAGGAAAATGTTAGCTGAGCGTTGAAGCATCAGCAAAAAGATGATCCTTTTACTTTTTTTTGGTTTTTTGGCCCTTCGCATTTGTACCATTTGTACCACCTTGCTTTTGAAATAAGGTGTGATTCCATCAATTCAAAGGCAACATCGCCTTGGACGACATCAAGCGGTAGTACAATAGCACAAGAATACTCATTTCTGAGAAATATTCCTAACGTCTCACAGCCCCCCACGCCACTCACAATCACACAGACCTGACAGCTGCACCCTGATTGGCTGTATCCAGTGGCCTGTTTGTTCAACTTCAAGTCTCTCTCTTTCCCAGCGGACTAGGGATCTAGCTTCACGTCCTAGGGTGAACATTCCACTCTTCTTTTTATCTACTTTTGTTTCTTCTTTTTTCTCTCTCTCTCTTTTTTTTTTTTTTTTTTTTTAATACCTCCTCGTATCATCATCATCATTAAAATGGCTTCCGCTACTATAAAGTGTCTCATTACTGGAGGAAACGGATTCCTTGGACGTTGGATCGTTGAGGAATTCATCAAACGCACTGATTACTCCCTCACCATCCTCGACATCTTCATCCCCACTAATGCTCAACCCAATGAGCGCATCTCTTACATTCAAGGCGACATCACTGACAAGGAAGCTGTCCGCACAGCCCTCAAGGGCCATCATATCTGTATTCATGTAGCCTCACCCCCTCACCACTTCCCTGCTGAAAAGTTCAAGCGGATCAATATCGAGGGCACTCAGAATGTGATCGATGCCTGTCTGAGTGAAAACGTCGGCCGCCTCGTCTACACCTCCTCCGCCAGTGTCCTTCAGGATGGTTCCCCCCTTGAAAACGCTGACGAAACCTTCCCTATCCCAAAGACCTTCATTGAGACTTATGCAGAGACAAAGGCCATTGCTGAGGGTATGATCCTCAGAGCCAATTGCGATCGATTGCTCACCTGTTCTCTTCGTCCCAGCGGTATCTTTGGACCAGGCGATACCCAGGGAACTCCAGGATTCTTGGACGTCATGAAGAAGGGTCAGCATGTCCTCCAGATCGGTGACAACTCTGGACTCTTTGACTGGACCTATGTTGAGAATGTCGCTTATTCACATGTTCTTGCTGCACAAAAACTTGTTCCTGGCTCTGGGGTTGCTGGACAGGTAACTTACATTCTTTTTTTTTTTTTTTTTTTTTTTTCAGCTGCTCCTAATTATTTTCATCTGATTTTTATATCCATCTCTTTTTTTTTTTTTTATTTTTTTTATAGGCATTCTTCATTACCAATGGAACTCCAACACCGTTCTGGAACCATCCACGTGCATTGATGGCTGAAAAGAATATTGTTGCTCCCTACGTGATTGTTATCAACTACCATGTCGCGCTTGTCATTGCTTTCTTGTCAGAAATGGCTAGCCTTATCAAGAAGATGCTGGGCAAGGAATCCAAAGAGGGCTTCACACGTGTCCGTGTCCGTTATATCTCCTTCAATCGCTATTTCAACATCAACAAGGCTAGGACCCTTCTGGTAATGCGCTGTTTTCTCATTCATTCGTAGTCGTACTTTTTGAACAAGGCAAAGGAGATGTGAAGAAATCTAATTTTATTTTTTATTTTTTTTATGCTACTATAATAGGGGTATGCGCCTGTAGTTGGATACAAGGAAGGAATCAAGAGGACAATGGCCCATTTCATCGAGCAGGAGGAATTAGAGGCAAAAAAGACAAAGTAAAGTAAAGTAAAATTAGATTAGCATCAACCGCAAAAGCACACCTAGAGACCTAGAGACCTAGAGACCTAGAGAATGAGCTGTAATTCCACTCTTCAAATAAACTACCGTATGAGCATCTTTTTTTTTTTTTTTTTTTTTTTTTGTTAAAAGAGTATGAGATTTGACATCTATGCGAATTATTCACAATGAAGAAGGAAACTCTTTGATGACGGCTTCCTACACCTCCGCAACATTCTTCCTCCGTCAATTACTGAGTGATGTCATAGAGCCTAACTGGAAAAGTTTTCGGTGAGCAAAGTTTTTTGGAGTTTATCATCTTCAACGTGCACGTAATGATCTTTTAAGCACCAGATGTTGCATTATTGGGTGACCAGCCTCTTCATTACAACGGCTCATCTCATCAGCCAGTCAGTTCATGGACTTAATAGAGTGACACGCCGAAAGAAGGAAAAAAAAAAAAAAAAAAAAAAAAGGTTTATTTACAACGAAAGAAAATCGAGTGCCCTTCAGTTCTTCTTGTACTCTGTCCACCAAGTCAATCAATGGTATCTCTTTTTTATTATTATTATTGTTTTCCATTTATTTATTTATCTACCTCAGCTTTCAATGAAAATTGTATCTTTTTTCTTTTAGTGATCCTCAACCTTCTTGAGCGCTGACATGTCAGTGCCTTCAAGCGAGTTTCCAATAAAAGTAAGTTGCTGGATCTTGGTCGTGTCTTCGTCTCCCAAGTTATCCTCAACAAACAGAATCACCTTATTGACACTCTGGAACTTCACGAAGCGAAGAGGAATCAATCCATTGCCCTCGTAATCCTTCTCAGTCAATTCGATCTTTTGTGTTTCCTCCACGCTCTCAACATCATCGAATCCCAATGTCACCCTGTTCACATACAACTTGATCGTCTTGGGGGCGTGAGCTAATATATAGATATATTTCACAATCTGTAAGCGCAAAATCTAGGAAAAAAAAAAAAAAAACTCCCCTTTACGAAACCTAACAAAGGTAATCTTTTTTTTTTTTTTTTTTTTTTTTTTGTATACTTACAGATATCCTTGGGAGTAATCTTAATCGAGTGCAACTTGACGGCCTAATTATATACGAGTTACAGGAGATAAGGTAAATAAACCAAGATAAAATGAATGATACAAGATTATTAACATGGTATTTTTATGCCCTGATGCTGTTGAGATCGTACAGATTGTCCAAGTCAGCGCCCGCGGCATTTTTTTTTTTTTTTTTTAAGTAGTATATACTTTACCTGATTGAAAGGAATTGAAATGATCAACTGCTCGTCCACATCACTTTCAAGGTACTTGTCATCAGCAGTCAATGCATTTCGGACATGATTAGCATTCTGTTGGTTTAAGCAATCGACCTGATTCAGAGTGATTTGATCTGAAATGTCAGTCTGTCCAGCCACCAATGATGATGATCCAGAGCTAGATCCAGATCCTTCAGCCCCACCTTCCTCAACTGGTCCCTGGTGCTGCTTGATCAGACTCTCAAGCTGAGCTGCGTTAGCGCCCTTGAATTCTGCAATCTTTTTGTTGGCCTTGAAGAATTGGAAAGTTGGCCTAAGAACATTCGGGAATGTCAATCATTTTTTTCAAATTATTTTAAATATCATATATATGTATCATATTACAAGATGAGAAAAGTGATAAATGATGTTGCGAAGATGCATGGTGATGGTATTTGAAATAAAGGCAATAAAAACTTACATGGCAGATACTCCAGCTTCCGCAGCAATTTCGCTTTGCTGATCCACATCAACCTATTAAAGCAAAAGCAAAAGCAAAAGCAAAAGCAAAAGCAAAAAGAAGGAAAAAAAAAAAAAAAAAAAAAAAAAAAAAAACGCACGTCAAAATCAGCTTCAACTTCAAGGGACACTTCTTCTATTAAAATCAAGGACTGAAATATGAATTATTTTTTGCTTTACCTGAAGGAAAATGACATGACGGTATTGGTTTGAAAGCTTCTCAAAGGTGGGCTTGATCATTCTGCATGGTCCACACCAAGTCTATTGGACCAACCGATACAGATACACAACGTAAAGAAACAAGAAGAAAAAAAAAAAAAAAAAAAAAAAAAAGAAAAAGAAAAAGAAAAGCCATTCATCAACATCAACACAAACCTCCTTTCCAATCACACAAATAAAAAAATTATATAAAAAAAAAAAAAAAAAAAAATCCAGATATTATGGGTCTATTAAACAAGTCCTTACAGCAGTAAAGTCGACAACAATCTACCAATGAAGCAACAAAATGAAGAATAAAAGACAATTAGCTTATTACGTTATAGTCAATACCTTTTTTTTTTTATTTTTATTTTTATTTTTTTTATAGAATAGCTACAGCTATTTCGATTAGACATACAAGCTTGCTGGGAAGAGCCTTGGAAATAGTATTTGTATAGTCCTCCTTGTTGGTGATTTCCTTGATTGGCATTGTGAATTGGATTTGTTGATGGATGGAGTTTGGGTTGGAGGATTGAAAAGGATTGAAAAGGATTTAAAAGGATTAAGGATTAAGGATTAAAAAGAAAAAGAAAAAGAAAGAATTGCGCAGAACTAACAGAGATAAGCCCAGAAATCAAGGACGTGACGCGAATTTATTCTTTTTCAATTCACCTGACATCAATAATCTCCCCCACTCCCCCCCTCTCCCATTAACAATCAACCAATCAACCAATTAACAATTAGCCAATTGTTTGTAGTTGACGCGATTTCCTTTAATGATTGCAAATAACACGTCTCTCTCCAGCTTGGATCTTTTCACGCGAGAAAAAAAAAAAAAAAAAAAAAAAAAATTGACCAATGGTAACCCTTAAGTGAATGACGATAATGAATATGAATAATGATGATGCAAATTGAGAACCATTCTGGGTGATGACCCTGCATTGGATTTTGGATTTTGGATTTTGGATTTTTTTCTTTTGTTTTTTCCCGTGGCGGAACTTGCTTTTTGTCACCGTCACCTCACATTTCGTAAACATATTTTTGCATAAAATGCAACTAAAAAGGCATACACATTACCAAAGGACATCGTCAGTCATTCTATATAAATCTTTAAACGGTCTTCTTACATCTAATATAAATATATAATTAATCTTATTATTTGATTATTATTATTTTTTTTGTTTAATGACGAAAATTGTTCTGTTTAGGGTTTTTTTTAAAAAAAAAAGAGAGAGGAAAAACAATCATTATAAAACATAACGGTGGGAAGAGAAGCTATACATTAGGATATGAGGCAAAAGGAAAAAAAAAAAATATAGATAATAGTGCCTAATAATCCTTTTTGAGAAGAGGGAAGGGAATTTGATCATAACGGGGTTTTGACAAATTGTGAAAGATTATATCTTGTCTATATTGATACATTAACACATCGATCTTAAAACGCTACGGCCTCTGCCCCAGGACGGGTCGCATATCGTCCAACCTGGTCAGGCTATTGAAATTGAACGGTTTCAAACAAGAAGGTCCAAGACAAATCAGAAGATGGTAAATTACAGTTTAGTGATAATGCCCAATTAAAATAAAAAAAGAAACGCGTAAAGAGGAAAAGAGATTACAAACTTACCCCGTTGTATACGTTTTCTCGGTTATCGGCCAGGACAGGAATGGTCTTGAGTGTAGGCATGGGTGAATTCATATCCAGTTTGAGGCAAGCAGCCACCTCCATCATTTGGTTCTTGATCTTGTTAGGCTGTAATTCACAAGTTACAAAATAAAGTGTATGAGTTACATGCAAGTCAATAAATAAAGTAAATAGATCAATGATGCAAGTCTTTTTTAAAGAGCCTAGACTTTTTTTTTTTTTTTTTAGTGAAAATGGATAAATGGTTTCCGTCCTATTTGAATAGGGACTGCAAGTGATGAAGAGGGCGCCGGATATTGAGAATATCAAAATGGGATAGTGGGATCTTTTGGACCTTTCTTTGGTTTGAGTGACGGAGTAAAATTCAGGATAAATGGGAACTTTTTGCCTTTATAGTACTTACATCAATCTGCCCACTGCGAACCTCACCTGCACCGATATGGCCAGTATGCTACAGGACAAATAATGCAATCATGAAAGAAAAGAAAAGAAAGAAGAAGAAAAAAAAAAAAAAAAAAAAAAAAAAAAAAAAGATTAGGGATATAATAATTATTGACAAGCCATTGTGGCAAAGCGCTAGATAAATAAAGATCATAAAAAAGTCAAAAGGAAAGACTTACTCGGAAGTCTGAAGGAAGGCTGATCAAGTTCTTTGAAATGACCTTGCGTTGTCCCCCGCTCTTGGGATCCATCTTGAGCAACAACATGATCTTTGATGATTTTCCCTTGGCTGGTGCAGGCTTTGTAGGTCTTGTGTTATTGTTGTTCATCCGACTGTCCAAGGTGGCGAGAGTGTGTGATCGTGACTGATTATCTTGGTTTGAGGATGGGGAGTTGGGAAGAGGGGTATTGGGACCAATCCCTTGCCATTTAGGATCCTTTGGCTTTTGGGTCTTTGATTGTTTTGAGAAAAGTGAACCCATGATGGTTGAGTTTGTATAGCTATGAGGGGGTATTAGATTAGGTGGGTATGTTTATGAGACAGCAAAGTTGCTAGTAGTGTAAGATAGATGGTGTTGTTTTCTTTTAAAAGGAAAGAAAATAAGAAAAAAAAAAAAGCAAAATAAGAAACAGTAAAGGGCAAGGTGGTAGTAGAGAGTTAGCAAAAAAAAAAAAAAAAAAAAAAAAAAAGAAAGTCGAGGGTAATAAAAAAGCTAAAGAACAACAGTAGTGACAGTAATGTTCATCAAGAGAGCATACAATTCTTTTTGCTACTGCTTCTGTTGACTGTTGTGCTGCAAGGGTTTGTGGAGAGCAAGGGATGGCAGTAAAGCTGTTTGAAATACGTGTGCAAAATGACTCCTGTGAGTCGGGAAAACGTTGAAGCAAGGAAGGAGGAAAAAGGAGGAAGAGTGGAAAAGAGAAGGAGAAGATAATGACGATAGTCAGTATAAAAAAAAAGTGGCGAGTTGTTGAAAAAAAAGGGGAAGGAGGAAGATGAAGATGTAGAAAAGAAAGAAAGAAGAAAAGAGAGTAAAGTAAAAAAAGAAGAGAAGAAAGATAAAAAAGTTGCTTTTGCTTTTTTTTTTTTTTTAACCGACAACTGCAAAGATCGGTGCTTGTTCAAAAAGGCCCTTTTGTGTCTTTTTGTGTGCATACATGAGTGAATGTTGACAGCTTTTTTTATTTTGTTGCACAGTTTGTTTGTGTTTAGTCGGTCATTCAGTCATTCAGTCATTCAGTCAGTCAGTCAGTCAGTCAGTCAGTCAGTCCAACCTTGCCTGACAACGATCGTGCATCATCCTTCCCAATTGTCTACACTATTTTATAGTTGAAATGCATTCAAATGCAATACAATCGAATACATAACCATGTAATAATCAAAAAGAAGAAGAAACAGAGAAAGCAGGCACACCCGTCGCAAATAAATAAAAAAAAAAAAAAAAGGGGGTAATGGAGTTAGCATTGAGCTGACAGGATAGGTGATTATGACGATGCTCTTTTTTTAACAAAAAATAGGAGGCGATACTGTGATCATCAGTGCTTTCTTGTGCAATCTCTAGTCATGGACCAGATGACCCCATGGACAACCATAATTATGCACAAACAGTCGGACAAAGAACATACCCATGGCCACACAACCTGTTACATCCGATGGTCTGTTCTCTTTCCAAAGAGTCTTCTGTCTCTGCTGTGCATGTCTCCCTTTTCTCAAGGGCTGAACCATGATATGAACAAGTTCCTCAAAAAGCTTGTCTTGCACACCCAGTTCCTGTTAGTCACATGTGGCCAATATATATATATATACTTTCTTCTTTTCTTTAAGGGAAAAAAAAAAAAAAAAAAAGCCAAAACGCGTTTCTTTATTTTGTTGTTGTAATCCGTAACTCTGGCCTATTTTAGCCTTTTCTAATATTCTTTGGCTATTACACACATTCTTGGTCTTGGTACTGCTGCACGCAAAGTAAAGTAGAGAGAATTTGCAACAATGTTTGTGATCTCTGTATCAGGCATACTGAAATACAATAGAGGCTTTGGCTTGTATACATTATATAAAACACAGTAGAACGGAAAAGGGACACGATCCTAAAGTTTAGTCTTCACACGAGGACACCGCAAGGAGATGATGTGCCCTCGTTCTCTGGCCTATTGATAATGATTCACCTATTACAGTCCTTAAAGGAATCTAACGGCTTGTTCCGATCTTCAGGTCCTGGCTCCTGCAATTCTCCTCTGAAGCAAGTTGAGTCGATTCTTTATCGATTGAATAACTGCATACATGATGATACGCAGTGATGATGCGAAAAAAAAAAAAAAAAAAAAAAAAAATATTGCATAAGCTTTCTTTCAAAAAAGTTTGGATGATGTATGAATACATGGTACTAAAATTAAAATAGTAAGAAGCATTACATTTGTTTAAAATTTCACGGTCATCCTCTTCAATAGCCTCGCTGCGCCCATCTTCACCAGCGCCGTCAAGGATAGCATGGAGCATCCATATAGATGTCTGATAAGATTTCTCGCTCTCACCATAGTCGTCATTAAGAAGTTCTTTCATGGCCGCTGCTTTACTCTATTCACCACGACAAAAAAAAAAAAAACAAAAAAAACAAAAAAAACAAAAAAACAAAAAAAAAAGCAAATAAACAAAATAAATTATAATTAATTCAAAAAAAAAAAAAAAAAAAAAAAAAAAAAAAAAAAAAAAAACTGTACATGTCAGTACAGTTTAGAGAACAAGTTTATAGTATATTGTAATCAGTCAAGCAGGCAGGTAGATGGGTAGGTAAGACTACCAATAACCTACCAGTTCTAACGCCCGCTCATAAATAAGCTTCTCAATGACCACGCCGCTCTCCTCGCGATGATCAATTCCGGAACGAGCCTTGGCAGCCTCCGCCTTTTCGAGACACTCATTGAATCGATCTCGGATCCACTGAACCCCATTGTTGAGCCTTCGTGACGCTGGCTTAGATCCTGGACGCCTTTCTTCCCAGTAGCGTCGGGCAACGTCCATACCGGACTGCAATAATGCAAGGGCTCGAAGATACAAGAAAAAGGCTTCCTCTGCCAAAATGCTATCCGCTGTGGGGCTATTGTCCTCAGAAGGAGAATATTCTAGTTCATCTAACGGACGAATGCCTTCCATTTTCGAATCCGCAAACTGTGATACCACATACGCCTTGTGGGCAGTGTCCTCAACAGCCTGAAGCACAGATCCCTCCTCAGGAAACGACTCCTCATCAGTCCCACCCTTATTAGTGCTGTCCATGAACCCGATCAGCGACGTATTGCTCCTCCAAGAAGGCGGAGAGGAGGATGCGCCAAACAAGCGCATCGATGCCATCGAGATAGCTTTGGCCAGAGCAGACGTCCTGCCACTATCGCGCGGGCTACCTGATCTAGCGCTGTTGGGTGATGACATCGGCTGGATCTGGCCTAATGATGGGCGGTGCAGGAGCTGAGCCGATTTCGACTCTTCTGGTGAAGGCGTTATTGGGAGCGCGAATGGAGGCGTCGTTGCGAAATAACTGGTGTTTGAAGGCGGTGACTGAGATGAAGACGAGTATGGAAATGGTGGTGGCGGTGTCCTGTATTGTGTAGCCAGAGATGTGGGAATTGGTGGTGAGAGTGTATTTATTTGACCAGCCCCAGTCTTGGATCGTGTTGAGTTCGATGTAGGGGGTCCTGCCACCTCTGTCAGAGATTCAATTCATAAAACATAGTATGAGCATAATCTAGCACTGAATACTTTTTTTTAAAAAAAAAAATAAAAATAAAATAGTTCAAGAGATCAAGTTAAAATTCACACCTACCGTCTGCTAGAACGTTGAGCTCCACTGCTCGCTTCTCGACTACAACGTAATCCTTGTCCAGAAGCGCGTCATCGTCTGGTGTACTATATCGGCGTGGTCCATCTGGTACACCTACCAGGGTGCTACGTCGATAAGGTTGTGATAATGGATGGGCTGTTGCCGCTCTATTTGCGACCTCTGAGCCGATATCCATTGATTTCATACGGCGAGCGGATACATTGGTTGGTCCTGAGCTAGGTTGGGTTTGGTAGTCTGCAGGGAAGGACTGTATCTTGGGTGAAGATATTGGGAGTTGAAGTGGCGGTCGACTTTCTGGAAGGGCGGATGGTGATCCACTTTTCAAAGACCTTGACCGCGAATGTGATCGAAACTCTGTCGCCCTTTCAGATTGCTCTCTGCTTCCCGATGGGATAGTAATTGGCTTTTTGTCCCCTCTTTCCCTATGGCCTATATCCGGTGAATAACGAGACGGATCAAGAGTCATTGGTCGCCTACTCGAATCGGTGGATGCTGATTCAACTCTTGAATAGTCCTGAGCCGAAGAACTGCTTTGTGTAGATCTCGACCTATTACGGGCAGCTAGATTCGACACCGTAGGGTTCATGAAGAACTCTTCAAAGGAGATCCTCTCCACCGGATTGCGCTTCAATAGCTGTCGGATCAAGTCCTTGATATCCTCAGTTATTGGAGCCATCGATTGATTGTTCTGTTGTGAAGGAGATGATCCTGCTCTATTATCTGTCAAGGTTTCACCTGGAAACGTGATCACGTCCTGAGCTTTCTCTATTCTTTTAAGCAACTCAACATGGTTTTGTGCCCTGAATGGCGGCTTTCCTGTACACATTTCGTACAAGACTGTTCCCACACTCCATAGATCTGCCTTGGCATCATATTTTTCATAGCGGAGAATTTCTGGAGCCATATAAAGGGGTGAGCCACATAGTGTTTCAGCAAGACTAAGATGAGGTAACGAGCGTGCAAAGCCAAAATCTGCTACTTTCAATATAGGGAGCCCATATCCACTGCCTTCTTTGCTATTACTTGGAGGATGAAGGAGGAGATTCTAATAGAGTGCAAAAACAAGTCATGTCTTTAGTATCGCTATCCCATGGTCCATTCTACTTGTCCATATTACATCAAAACGCTGTATTCTGTACCTGAGGCTTCAGGTCTCGGTGAATAAGGTTTTTTGAACGGAGGAACTCCAGAGCAGAAGCTATAATGGGATGCACACAATTTTGTCAGTTTTGTGGTAAAAAATTTAACCCCTGTGACACAGATCCCTGTATGGTAAACAATGATGGTTTACTGACCCAGCTGCTTCAGGAAATGACGCACCACTACTTCATGTAGGCCACCGCCAGGTGGAGGAGGAAGCGAGGGTGGTCCATCACCTCTTCTTTTGATATACTGTGATAGATCACCTTGTGAGCAGTACTCCATGACAAGATGGATATGTGACTCCGTTTCCTAACCATGCAAGCCCACAGTGGATTTATTAAGGTTCAATCGTTGCATCCCCTTCATTATGCATAGATGACAGTAATGGCAAGACACAATTCATTCCTTACCTTGCAATCAACAAGAGCCACGATATGGTCATGACGAATGCCTTTCAGAATATTGATCTCGCTTGCCAGGTTCTCAAGCAGCTTCTTTGTCAGTTTGGAGCGGAGGACTGACTTGATAGCAACCAGCTCTTTCGTCACCTACATGAAGGAAGAAAAAATAAATAAATAAGCCCAGTAAAAAAGCAGAGTGTCAGTCAACAATAATGATCTTTTCCTTGGCAACTCTCTTGTCCACGAAGCTCTCTTTAATGTGGAACAAATTGGGTGTGCCCCATAAAAAAAAAAATGCTCATATCGTCCCCAGTGTAAGCGACTCACTCTATGATGGCCCTTGTAAACGGTGGCAAAAGACCCCCGACCAATTTCCTGCTCCACAATATAGTCGCCGACCTGTATTGTCTCTTGCATGGGCTTGGCAGATGCCATGGCGAGAATATGACAATGACTGAGGTCTTTTTGGCGAAAAAGGTCAAGTTGAGAAGGTGTGTCTTTATGCTCTTTTAATGAATGCTACAATCCAAAGGGTGTCAGCATTTATTGAGACTGGATTTGCTAAAAGACCAAAAAAAGAAAAGAAAAGAAAAAAAAGCGTGGCCCCCTATTCTTTTTTGACGCAGAGTGGGTATGGTGAATATGAACTTGTAGTAAAGTGCGAGTCTGCGAATAAATGATAAGAAAAAAAGAGAGACAAGGAGGGGGAGAGAAACAGAGGGAGACGGAGACGGAGACGGAGAGGGAGAGGGAGAGAGGAGAGTTGCTTTATGTTTTAAGGTATAGATAGATAGGACGAGATGTGGAATGACAAAGATGAAGGGAAAGATGAATAAGAGCTTCATGCATAGAATGAATGAAGCATTCTGCCGCAGACTCTTGTCTTTTTAGTGACTGCGCGTCGTATTCAAAGTTGAGAAGCTCTTTAAGAGTGTGTTCCCAAGTAAAATGCATCGCATCACGTGGAGTAGAGCGCAAGACCCAAAGTCTTATGACAAATAGACAAGAGTGCCCAAAATAAAATGTCTCTGAATCAGCCTCTGTTAGGAGGTAGTGGAAGAGATAAGCATTCCAACCCTGAGACGGAAGGTATATATATTCATGTCATCTTATTTATTCAACATTACGATTGATAGACAAAGAGATTAGAAATAGAAATATTGTCTAATCAGCTGACAATAGGTGAAGGCCATATCTTCATGCTTCTACGCGTGTTTGTAGTCTTCGTTAACCAGACTCGCTTTCATTCCAAATAAGAGATTGCATTATTCAAAATATTTTTCATCTAGCCTGAAAAAGAGAAAAAAAGAAACTTTACGCTCAGAAATACATGAAGCAATAAAGATCAGCCAATTGGCGGGCGCCTTCATTGGCGATCAAAAAAAGAAAAAAAAAAAAGTGTTGAAGTCTGCATTTGTTCGGCAACCTTGGGCAGCATTTAAACTCTCTAGATAAATACTCTAAAAAAAAAAAAAAAAAAAAAAAAAAAAAGACACACTCATATAGAAAGCGGATGCACCTTTTTATTTTTAATGCTTCTCTGCCTTTATTACCATGGATGGTGACGAAAATAAAGTTCATTAGAAGGATGTAGTGGCCATGACCTTCAGCAAATGAGGCGAAACAGGGTGTCCGTGGGTTTTCTACGCTTTCATTGGTGGCTGTTTAAAAAAAATTAAAAAAATAAATCCTATTTCTGTTACACTTATTTTTGGAACGGGTTCACTGGTGCAGAGGTTTAGGTCCAGAGCGGGGTTCCGTGGAAAAGAAATTCCTTCTCCATAGAATGATTACCTTACACTACGCAGTCGATGCCACTGGAGAGGGGGAGGAGAAAGTGTTGGATACTACTCACAATTATACTCATAATTCCCCTGTCCTGTCTAGTGAAGCGTAGGGGGGAAGCAGGAAGCATCAGATTTTCAGTGTTGTATTACGAATGCGTGGTGCTGCATCAGTGGGGAGTAAAATAAGGAGGGTTGGTCGCAGAAAATTCGTCCCGTCTGCAACCTCTATAGAAACCCTCCCCTATCCGAACAGGCCTCACCGCAAGAAAACCCCTGAGAGAAAAAGGAAAAAAAAGGGAAAAAAGTACGATTGACCCACAGGCGCCTTCTTACTCTCATTTATCTATATTGTAGCATATCTTTCAAACCCAAGCTCGTGTCATACTTCTTCCTTTCAACAAGGATGAACAGGAACCAAGGGCACACACTGTTTGATTTGGTCATCTCCTTGAAATATTTTAGAGAGTGATTCAAGGTGGCTGGTTGGTTAGTTTTGAAGGGGCATGCGTGTGAAGAACAAAAATGTTGGCAATTATTTTGAATACGCCCAATAATAATTGAATGAATTGCGCACTGTAGAAAAGCATATAAAAGGAAGGCCTAATCTCTGCTTCTCATCTGTTCTTTTTCCACTCCAATTCATTCCATCCTACCTCCAAACGTTCATTTCCTCATCTCAACCTTTTTCCTAGTAACTTCCCTTAATCTTTCTTCCTTTCCACAACAACACAACCACTCGATTTTTTTTTGTATACCCTCCGACATGTGTGGAATTTTTGCTTACCTCAACTACCTTACCGCTGTCGATCGCCAGACCATTGCCGATATCCTGGTAAATGGTCTCAAGCGTCTCGAGTACCGTGGATACGACTCTGCTGGTAGGTTTCTAATACGTTTATCCATACTGTTTCTAATTGACGTATGTCTTTGTTATGCCTCTATGTGGTTGTAAGCTAATCACCAATATCCTTGATGATACTCAGGTCTTGCTATTGATGGTGATGGTGAGAAGGAGGTTTTGATCTACAAGGAGGTCGGAAAGGTTGCTGCCCTCCAAAAGCTCGTTGAGGAACAGAAATCGATCAACTGGGAAAAGACCTTTACTTCTCACTGCGGTATGGCCCATACCCGCTGGGCCACTCACGGTCAGCCTTCACCTATCAACTCCCACCCTCACCGCTCGGATCCCAAGAACGAATTCACTGTCGTCCACAACGGTATCATTACCAACTACCGCGAGCTCAAGCTTGTCCTCGAGAAGAAGGGTTATACCTTTGAGAGTGAGACCGATACCGAGGCCATTGCCAAGTTGGCCAAGTACATCTGGGACTCTCAGAAGGGCAACAAGCAGTTGACCTTCACTGATCTCGTCAAGGGTGTTGTCAAGGAGTTGGTAAGTTGTTGGTAAAAAAAAAAAAAAAAAAAAAAAAAGGATGCAGAATTAATGTTAAGATGAAGATATCAATGTCCGCGTCAGCATGTTGCAATTGAAAACAAAATGCATTCTTGATTAATCATATCTCGTTAACACTCTCTATTTTTATAGGAGGGAGCTTTCGCCATGATCTTCAAGAGTGTACACTTCCCCAATGAGGTTGTTGCCACTCGCCGTGGATCTCCTCTTCTGATTGGTGTCAAGACCCCTAAGAAGCTCAAGGTCGACTTTGTCGATGTAGAGTTTGGAGGAGTTGCCGAGGAACGCGAACGTAAGTGCAATTACCGAGATTTTTTACTACCAACCATCTGTGGGAAATTCAGTGTGTTTACATTAAATGAAAGAGCCCATGCTAAAATTGGTTAATGTGTGATGTCGTTTGAAAAATGATAGTTCCAGGCGAGGTCGAAGCAGCCCCTTCCACCTTGAACACTCTTGAGGTGCCTCAGCTTCGTCGCAGCGAGTCCCGTGCTTTCTTGAGCGAGGACGGTATGCCTCAGCAGATTGAGTACTTCTTGGCCTCAGATCCCTCTGCTGTTGTCGAACACACCAAGACCGTCCTCTACCTTCTCGACGACGATATCGCCAACATCCGTGAGGGCGAGCTCCGCATTCACCGTCTCCGCCGTGATGATGGCATCTCTTCAATCCGTTCCATCCAGACCTTGGAGATCGAATTGGCCGAGATCATGAAGGGCTCCTTCGACCACTTCATGCAGAAGGAGATCTACGAACAGCCCGACTCTGTCGTCAACACCATGCGTGGCCGTGTCAACTTTGATACCCACAAGATCACTCTTGGAGGCCTCAAGTCATATCTTCCCACCATCCGCCGCTGCCGCCGCATTGTATTCATTGCTTGTGGAACCAGCTACCACAGTGCTTTGGCTGTATGTTACTGATACTCATGCTCTTAATGACAGCTTGTCTGGATATTGGTTGTTGATATCATGTATCTATCTTTTGTATTGACAATGAGCTGCTTTGTGTTCTATGACTCTTTCTCTAGACTCGCGCCATCTTTGAGGAACTGACCGAGATTCCCGTCTCGACCGAGTTGGCAAGCGACTTTTTGGATCGCAAGACTCCCATCTTCCGTGACGATGTTTGCGTTTTCATCTCTCAGTCTGGTGAGACTGCTGACACCATTTTGGCCATGAGATACTGCTTGGAGCGCGGAGCTCTCTGCGTTGGTGTCACCAACACTGTCGGAAGCTCAATCTCCCGTGAGTCCCACTGTGGTGTCCACATTAACGCTGGTCCCGAAATCGGTGTTGCATCCACCAAGGTATGTGCTGTGAATGTGATGGACCGCCGGATGCGATACCATTTTCTAGTTTTGTAATTGAGCTGTAACAGCAGCACTTTTTAGCCTTTTTACTCACCAACGCTTTCTTCCTTGTTGGTCCCTATTCTTTTTCCATTACTTGTAGGCCTATACCTCCCAATACATTGCCTTGGTCATGATTGCCATCCAGTTGTCTGAGGATCGTACATCGATGACAGCACGCCGCAATGAGATCATTGACGGTCTTCATGCCCTTCCAACACACATCAAGGAGGTTTTGGCTATTGATCAGGAGTTGCAGCGCCTTGCCAAGGATGTCTTGCACAAGGAGAAGAGCTTGTTGATCATGGGTCGTGGATTCCAGAACGCCACCTGCTTGGAGGGAGCATTGAAGATCAAGGAGGTGTCATACATGCACAGCGAGGGTATTCTGGCTGGTGAGCTCAAGCACGGACCCTTGGCTCTTGTGGATGAGAACATGCCAGTAATCTTGATCATGACACGTGACTCTTTGTACCCCAAGGTCCGCTCGGCATTGGAGCAGGTTGCAGCCAGAAAGGGTCAGCCCATCATTATTTGCAACAAGGGCGACGACGCAATCAGCGCCGACTTTAAGACGATCCGTGTTCCTCAGACAGTGGACTGCCTCCAAGGTCTGTTGACGATCATCCCTCTCCAACTCCTCTCGTACCACCTCGCTTGCCTTGCTGGAGTTGATGTTGATTTCCCCCGTAACTTGGCCAAGTCCGTCACCGTCGAGTAAATCTGAATCACGCTTCTCGTAGTAGTAATATCACTCATGTCTTTATAGACTTTTGTACAAATATCCTCCAAAACATTAAAGAAATTTGACCAACAATCACGTTGATACCCTTTTTTGCTTTGATAACGAGATGGAGCTTTAAATCAAATTGACTATTAAAAAGATGTATCTATAGAAATCAATGTTCTGATACTTGGCATCAATGAATTAATTTATCATAACCTGGGCCAGCCAGGACAATACATTTAAACATATGCAAAGTTGGTTTGCAGTCTGCCCTCAAGAAGCGGGCCAAAATGGCCTGCTTGTTAATGGAATTTGTTGAGTCTATTTGATTCAGTCAAATAAACAAAAAAGATTTCACAAAGATCATGTTTTTCATTTACAGAGGTTTATGAAGTCCTTCAGGCCAAGACATTGACAAGGCAAGTGTCAACTACATTTGGCAATTCTCTTGAATTAATCTCTAGAGAGTTTTGTGTATTAGTCAGCGATACTTTGACTCGTAACTATTTAAGATGTAGATGTGAATCGAAGCCTATTACTATCCTTGTTCCAATAAACCCTAAAGAACCATATGGAAAACTCAATGAACGGTGGAATGAACCCAGTCAATAATGAAGAGGGCTCGGGGGGAGGGCTTCTCTTGCTGCGTGACATGGTGAATAATAACCCTTTTACAGCTGCGTACGGCTCAAAGACGGACACCTAGGATCGGATCGCAAATAACCTCAAGATTCATGATCAGGAGGCTGCTAGACGAAATGAAGCGCCAATGTTTGAAGGAGTCACTGCAAAAACTTGCGAGGAAAGATGGGTTGTTTTATTTCAGAAACATAAGGACCGCGTATCGCAAATGTACTCTCTTCCACTCCTTGTTTTCATTATATCCGGCATACGAAATGCGACAATAGTACGTAAAAGCGCATGTTGATCAAAATGAAATTGTTAAAGCTGCTAAAGTCAAAGCTTAAGTTGAGTAAAAAAAAAAAAAAAAAGAGTGGATTCTCTATTGCCAGGTCCTGAACATCGTTTTCCTCTTCTTCCTCTTCCTCTCTCTCTCTTCGTCCCCCGCTCTTTCTTCATCTTCTTCCATACCAACTTCAGGGGCATCTTCAAGATCTACTTTTTCACGAGCGATAAGCTCTTCTATTAGCAATGCAAAACTCAAGACCCAGACAAAACTGAAATAAGTACAATAAGGTAAGTGATAAAAGTATAAGTGAATAAGTGGAATAAATGGAATAAGGGAATGAAAGAACAATAGGATTTACAAACTCTCTTAGCAAGCGGGCCAAAATGGCCCGCTTCTTGAGGGCAACTATACATTAAAATTTGTTCAACGCGTCAATCCTTCTCGGGAAATATATTATTAACATAAATTGTTGAAACATTATGTTGTCCGAGTACAAAAATAAAAAGTTTGCATTACTTCTTCTTTGCTTCGTACTCCATGCATTATCTTGTCACTGTTTTTTTTTTCTTAAAAAAAAAAAAAAAAAAAGACCTAGGACAGCCCTGTCGCCAGAAGGTTTACAGGCACGAATATTATTATGCTTGACCATTGGTCAGTCAGGGCGACCATAGCATAGATCCATCATCTTTCAGGCCCGCCTCTACAACGGTTAACCGTGAGAGTAGCTAATGAATCGATTGGTTGACTAAATTCCTATGACGAGGAAATAGGCACATAAAGACTTCCACTGGTCAACTGCTTGGCGAATAAGACCGATATCCGTTCTCATGTTGCCGATTCAATGGGTATGGTTACATCATTATCAGATTTGTTTGATACTTCTATCGCCATGCTCCCTTCGGAATGCTCATATATTACTGCAATTTTCCCATTTTCAACTTGAATGATGTATACAGGCACAACAGATCGGCAGAATAGAAAAGGCGTACAGTATGTCTGTAAGTCTGCAATGAAGCTTCTTCATAGATACATTTTACTGTATATTTTGAATGCCGTTAATCTTTTGCATGTACCAGTAGATACCAGTAGCTGAATGTTGGTGAATAGACCCTAGGCCCTTCATCCTTTCGCTGAAGCTATTATTATTATTATTATTATTACTGTTATTGGATTTATGTGGTACATGTATATTGGTTCTTTTAAAATCTGAAAACCGGTGTTTGGAAACAAGTTTTTTTAGTCCCTCCAAACTTTAATAAAGGCAATCATTACATATTGCACGCGGTTAATACATTCGCTCAAAGAAGACATCATGAATAGCATAAGAAATATCCAAAAAGACGACCCATGTGCCATAATGGAAACCGGGAAATAGATTTTTTTCCTTTTTAAAAAAAAAATGGGTAACGCGTCAAATCTTACTAAAGGACAGGGAAGAAACCGCCCAACGAAACGCTCGAAATGTATCCACGCGTGCCATTGACTTCCAACTTTACCCACGTGTGAACATTTACACACAATGCGCATTCGGGTTAAAGTCCAAATCCCCTTCTTTGTCATCATCTTTTATTTACAATAAACAAAACGAGCCTTCCCTTTCACATCTACACCATTAAAGGATGACCAAAAGGCTATAAAAGCCTTAATGAAGTCCCTTTCTTTCTTTCTTTCTTTTTTTTTTTTTTCTTTTTCTTTTTTATTGCCCTCTTCACCACTTGAATATATTGGTTCTCTAAACCTGGTCTTCTTCCCCGATCACGCTAGATTTATTATTGTCGTCCACAGGTTTCTTCACTGATGAAAATTGCTACTGGCTTCCTGTCTTTTGCAGCAGCCGCTATCCTCCCCTCCTTGAGCATGGCTATCACCACATTCAGCGTGTTATCCAACAATGTATACTTCCTAAACGAGCTTATTAGCCCTGATTGGGGACAGCGTAAGGATGTGAGCTTCACCTCAACACGCAAACTATATGCCAGTAACTCTCGTACCGAAACATAACTTTTCTTTTTTTTTTTTTTTTTTTTTTTTTCAATTAGAAACTAGGGCCAAGTTGATTGCAGAGTCAGACTACATTAAAGGCCATGATGTTATCGTGCTTCAAGAATGCTTTTCTAAACGAGCTTGCGACATTCTCCGTGAGGGCCTGCGTTCTCAATGTAATTTTTTTTTTTTTTTTTTTTTTTTTTTCTTAAAAAAAATTAAGTACGAGCGTCCATCATAACACATGGCGTTAATTGGACTGCGTTTAGATCCCTACCAAACCCCAACATTAGGAGTATCCAAGGAAGGGTGGGACTCGACTTCAGGATATTATCACTGGTCTGTTCCTCTGAATGGTGGTGTGGTCATCATGAGCAAATGGCCTATCACACAGAAGCACCAATACGTCTTCAAGAATGGTTGTGCAAGTGAATGGTAACGGTTTTTTTTATTTTTTTTTTATCATCTTAACTAATACTCTAACGACCATGTCGCTATAAGCCTTACTCACCACAGGTTGCGTTCCAAAAAAAAAAAAAAAAAAAAAAAAAAAAACAACAACGTATGATTTTTTTTATTTTTTTATAATAGGTTTCAAAATAAAGGATTCGCCTATGCTGTGTTGAACTACCAGGGCAAGAACGTCCATGTCTTTGGCACGCACATGCAGAGTGACGATTCCGCTTGTCTGCCTGGTCAACCAGCCCGTTACCGTGGTCAAGCATTGGACGCCTGGCGCTCTTATATCGATTCACTCAACATCCCTGCAAACGAGTTGGTGATCATGGCGGGTGATTTCAACATCAAGCGCGACACAGAGGAGTTCAGCTCGATGCTCAAGCGGTTAAATGCGACTCAGCCCACGGTTTATGATGGCCATCCTTGGACTTGGGACACTCAAACGAATGAAATTGCGCGGTACAACTATCCAGATTTGATTCCAGAGTACCTTGATTTTGTTGTGACAGACAAGGAACACTTGGCTGTCAAATCCTCGGTCCAGACAACACTGAAGGTTCAGTCACCAGAGTACCATATCAAGGGAGCGGCCTATCACGAGTATAGTGACCATTACCCTGTCAAAACCGTTATCGAGGCTGATCTGTAAAAAAAAAAGACTCCCTTGCGTGCCATTACATAGTTTTTAAACATCACATAGAATACATTAAGCCTTCATCATAAGGCACCATCACTTTTTTGTTGTCTTGTGCAAGTCAAGGAAATAAATAAATATAAAAACCTCATGATGTTTACGCGTCTGGTTTGCATATGCTTATACTTTGCATGTTTAGTGTTTGTAATGGTAACTAAGGTACTCTACTTTTTTTAAACTTCTCTCTCTTTTTTTTTTTATGCATGCTGATAATTATTAACATGCTTCAAAAGATGGATAGTATTCATGCTATGGATTGGCCATAGATTGCTATGGTTTTTACACTTTTGAAATTAATTCCTCATACAAGTAATTCTACAGCTTTTTTCAGTGTCTGTAACAAGATCTCTACCCAATAGAAATCCAGGAAGCGTTTTGTGAGGATGGCAAAGTAAGTAGAGGAAGATCCAAGTGAGCATCCTCGTGGTTGCTAGAGCTTAGGACAAAGCTTGCGGAGAATTCTTTCCTTTTCCTTTTTTCCTTTTTTTTAAAGTTCTTTCTGAGGGATCGTGGCGTCGCTGTGACCGACTCGTTGCATTTGTATTAGATCTCGTTGATCTCTCATTTCACTCATTCTTTGTCTAATTCTAAATTGCAGAGGAAAAAAAAAAAAAAAAAAAACTAAATAAAATGATAAAGACACTTTCTCAAGGATATCAACTACTCAAAACAACAAGGGCTGCAAAGAGATGTAGTATATGCAGTGGCGACAGCAGCGGCAACAGTAGAGCGTTTGGAATCTTTAGCACGATAAACATGTCTGTAAAAGAGAATCGCTCGTCTACGATCGTCTCTAGTCGGGACCGGACGACGAAAGCAAAATCCGGGATTGACACAGATCTGAGGACTGTGGTCCAGGAGGTGGCCATCCCAGGAAAATACCAGATGTATTTCAAACCAGATAAGCGAGCAACTCGAAAGGCGGTAATTTTTTTTTTTTCTGCCATTTATTAGTTGAAAATGGATATGGCTCAAGGGTGTCAACTGATTGAGAGCTGCTGTTCTAAAATAACTAGGAAGGAGACATCCAAGTAGGCCGATCAAGATCACCAAAGAAGATTAATGCAGCAAAGTGGAAGAATGCGCTTGATCTTACACAGGACATGCCAGGTGCCCAGCAGCCATCAAATGACTCAAATTCTAAAAATCCTCAGAAGACACGAGGCTTTGAGAATGTAGGCTGGCGGGCACTTGAGCAGGTTTATGCGTGTGATGCGCTGCCACATCCTCTATTTCATCGTGATCATTTGGAAATAACCAAGGTAGATGATCGAGAATATCCATGCAAATACTAAATATATGTTTATATATATAAATGTCCATTATGAAAACTCATCTTGTGCTCTGTTAATTAATTTAACAAGATCAAGTTATTGCCAGACCGAAAAACTTTTCAACTCTGGTATAGACCTAAAGCAGATAACCGAGTGTCAGCGGTATGTTTCTGAGACCTGGGTTACTGAAAATGTTAATTCGAATGACCTGTTTCCTCAACGATTGGTCGCGCTTCATGATCTGGATTATATAGGATGATATTGCCGAAGCTGTAGCTCAATACTCTGGAACCTTTACGGCAATGCTGGCAAGACGCGCGCGTACATCGGGATCCTCCAGACTGACGTTCCACCTGGTCCGACAAAGTGATCTAGTCGCGAGTTTGGATGAAGCGTGGGCCAAGATTGAGCAGGAAATAGCGGAGCAAGAGAAAAGCGAGTTGGAGATGACTTTGCAGAACAGGAGTATAAAAGAATTGAAATAAAGGAATGAAAATAAAAATAAAAATAAAAACAAAAGCAAAACAAATGCTTGAAAGGTGACAAAAGTATATAACAATCGTGTCTTTTGAAAAAGAGTCTCAGATGTGTGTGAATCCATTACTTTGGTTCCAAGAGCCCCAAGCGTCCAAAGCGTGATATGGTGCGAAAACGAATGAGGATTTGAAACAAACTCACTCACCAGAGTGAGTTTGTGTCGAAGGGAAGGCTCTCTTAACTTGTTCTGTCAATACGCCCCAAGTCCATAAAAGAAAAAAAAAACTTGGAGCCTTAGACGCCTTTGCTAGAATCCATCTCTGTGAATTTTATCCCTTTCACAATGGTGGTTTCCATTAGGGTCTACAGCTCAAGAACCGTTCATATTGAAAGGTATAAATATACCCTGGAATTTTTTTTTTTTAAGAAAGGGGATATACATTTGGTTCCTTGAAGTGAAGTTTATCTGTCCCCCTTTTGTCATCGTTGTCATTGTAACCATTGTAAACAATCATTGCCGGCACAATCACGCCAAAAAAACATTAACCACTCAGAAGAAAGAAAACAAGGGCACATGCTCAGCTCGTTCCTTCGAGCTTTGAACATCTGTCACATTCATGTATTACATTTGACTGACGGTACTGCAACCGTCTCATGAACGAACACAACACCCCGGGGACAGCCAGGACGAGAACAAGGAGAGGATATATATATACGACCTTGTCCTTGAACAAGTAACATTGCTTTATTTTTATTTCTCTGATAGTCTGCGTATTGATTACCCCCTTGATGCTCTCTGCTTTTCTTTTTCTTTTCTTTTTTTTGCTTACATAGCAAAGTCGTTAATTGTTGAGTATAGACATGTGCACATGTGCATGAAAGATTAGAGCAACTAGGCTAGCTTAAACCAAGCAGACTGGGTAAGGATGATGTCCAAGTTTTAGTTCATTTTCCCATCACATTGAGGGACAGTAGAGTTGATTCGAGAAATACATGATGTAGTCGATGTAGAGATGTGTTAGTGTATGTGTTGTGTAGGATGATAGGATGAGGGATATAAATATTGTCCAACAGAGGTAATTGAGTGTATAATTGTCCAGAAGGGACAGGACTAAATTCTGGCATCAAGACAAGGTTGATCACACACATTCAGGCATTGCATTGGAACATGTCACATACCGCAATCCTCTCTCCCCTTTCACCATTTTGGGGAAACAACAAAAAACAAGGCGATGAAGAGTGAACACATGGCCATGGGATCACCCTTTTTTTTTCTTTTTTTTTTTTTTGTCATCTGTTTTTGTTTTTTTTTTCTTTCTTGTTTGATGTTCGGGATACTTCATCGTAATCAGGCCTGGTCTTGTAATTCATTTTTCTCTTTGACTTTCTTTCTTTCTCTCTCTCTCTCCTTTTTCTCCAGAGGTGGGTGCATTTTCCCGTTTGGTTGCACATTTTCCTTCTTCTTTCCTTCTTTTCTTCCTTCCTCCTTCTCCTCCTCCAAAAAAAAAAAAAGCTGCACATCGAATTGTTTCTTCTTTTTCATTCTTTTCTCTCTCTTTCTCTTTCCCCCACGTTTTTTTTTTTTTTATATTTTTATTGTTTTTGTATTATTTTCATTCGTCTGCATCATTTCATAATCGTTCATTTCACTTCTTGCCACCACAACATCATTCATATCATTCATATCATTCTCTGTTATAAACATTGATTCTGTCCTTTTCTTTCCCCAGCTTTGGTCATCCATTACACGCATCTTCATGCTGTATCTGATCAGCCCATCCTTCGTCTTTTAAACATAAACAAGCATTTCCAGGGTGACAAAAAAATAACAACAACCTTCTAATCAACTTGTGTATGTTGACTGATTGTTTAAAGTATTATTTATTTTATTTTTTTTATCCTCCTCTTTGCACTTTGTGAACCCATTGTGCCATCATCACATCCGATATCAACCCAGCTTCAGTTTTTATTTCTTTTGGGTTATGCCATTACTCTGCTTTGTTCCATATTCCTCATGTTCTCTCAATGTTTGTTGATGTCTTTTTGTTTTGCTTCAGCAAAAAAACTCGACGCGCCTGATTTGCTCCTCAATCATCCTTCTATTTCTACTTTTCTCTCTCTTTCTCTTTCCCCGTTTCCTCTTTCCCTCTTTCCCTCTTTCCTCCCTCTTTCCTTCGTCGCTCCTTTTTCTTACAGTCTCTTCATTTTCAATTGTTCATTGTTCCATCAACGTTTAGGCCTCTTTTCTTCAAATAACCTGGACATCTTATCTCAGAACCAGTTCGGTTATCTCATTCAAGATCAGCTGTGGTGAGTAGGACGCGACTACAATCGTGAAAAAATAAAAATAAAAAATAAAAAATAAAAAAGAGAATTGATTGATATGACCGCCTATCAACCCTCCACCAATCATCATTCTCAAAGTTGTCTTGGATACTATCGCTCTATCCTAATCCCAATACAAATAAACAGTTGTCTGTAGTCAACAGGACCTGAAAGAACCAGAAGAAAGCTTTTTTACTTTAAAAAAAAAAAAAAATTATACCTCTTTCTAACCTTTGGTTAAACGATTGTGTGGGCACGGTTGTTCGCGCCATGGCACCCATGCAGAATGTCAAAGTGGCTTTAGGGATTCGTCTTGTTGATCGTAACACTGGACTCGATTGTTACATTTCTTACACTCAAGCACCAGCGACACTTTCCATCCAAAGACTTTCACAGACTATAACCCTTACACCATCCAGGTCTCCCCCAATCCAACCATCATGACATATCTTCAACAACAGCAGCAACAACCGCCCCCACTACCCCCTTTTGCTCTTCCTTCACAGCAATTCTCGCAGCATCAGCTACACCAGCAGCGAATGTATCAGCACAAACAACAGCTGCATCATCAGAGCCAACACCAAAACCGTTTTCAACAACTACAACAGAACCAACAGCAACGAGTCAAGCGCATGGATGCAGTCTATCCTCATGTTAGGCAGGAATCAGCGGCAAAAGTTGCAGAATACTCTCTTGTCCATCATCTGAATTATCCAGCCGCCATGAAAGCAACAGTGTCCTCCCTTCAAAGTTCAAAAGACCAAACAAGGGAGGAGCTCACAACTGCAATGCAGAGTCACATGGAGAACCAACCAAAGCTCAGCCAAAACTTACCTCCAGAGTCCATTCAACCTTCTATCCAATCAAACACACATCATGCGGCTTCAGGCAAGGACGTTGAGGAGAGTGACAACGAAGACTATTATTATGATGATGGTGAGGATGATGGTGAGGATGATAGTGAGTTCAGCGATGATGAGGACGTAGATGAGGATGAGTATGGAGATCACGATAACGTGGCTCATCATAATAACAATAGTAATCACAAAAAGCCCGAGCATCCTATCAGGCAGATGAATCCTGACACAATAACAACGGATCGAAACATTAGCAACGGTAGTGCTCAAATGGTACAACAAGAATTGACTCGACAAATGACTATGGCTGCTGGCGCATGGAAAAAGAATGGCATTGATGAAGCAAAGCATTCTTTGCCCTCCAAAAGCAGCAAAGGCATCAATCACCTCAATAGGAGTCCACCTTCAACTCGTAATAATGAGGCATCTATTAAAGGAGCCTCTATCGGAACTTCTGCAGCAACACCAGGCCTTGGAACTGAAAGAAACAACGAGAGTCGTTTGCCTCACCTATCGAAAGCACAGATGATGCCCTATGTTGGTAATGAGGATGAAGATGAAGATGAAGACGAAGATCAGGACGAGGACGAAGACGATGATGGTTATGATGATGAAGATTCAGAGGACTATGATCCCGAAGAGGATGAGGACTATTCATATTCTGAAGATGAAGGCGATGAAGAAGACGAGGAAGACGAAGATGGGCCGCCTACGGCATATCAATATAGCACACGGGACGGTCCAAGAGCGACAACAGGCATTAAATCCCGCACTGCACAGACTGGACATTATTCTCGTGCTCCATACAACCATTATCGACCCCCAAGGCTAGATGAAAATTACCTTAAAAAGCGGGCTATTACCAAACATGTTGTACGTCGGTCAAGCTTGACCGCATTGTTAGGCGAAGCAACTCAGTCAGAGTCAGATCTTGGGGATCGGACCATCCACCCTTCAATGTCATTGCTTGGACAACATCACCGACAGAGTGGTCACAACAACCGGCGTCCTGCCCTTTCAGACGTCTGGATACAACATGATCATGATCAAATGATCATGCCTTCGTCAGGCGCTGCAAATATGGGTTCAACCGTCACTGCGGACAACCGCAGAGATAGGCAGATTCAGTTGGTTACCAGTCCATTGGTAAATGAGCATCGCAGATCTATGATGGACCGCGCCACCACCATCACTTCTGGGGCTCTTTCGTCAAATACAACGTTACAAGATCCTCATCGACCCAGGCGAACGGATTCTGGAGTGGAGGTCAAGCTCTCTCCACAGGAACATCGCGGATCTGGTGGCATTGATAGCGGCTCTGACGATCGGCAATCGCGGCAGCTCCAAGATAAGGCCATGACCGATCCATCGTCTCTTTCCTCGACTGGCCATTCATCCGTTATTGTATCAAGTTCTACTTCATCTTTTGTGGATGCGTCTGCTTGCCAGTCAAGGATAAAGCTTGAGGACAACAGCCTAGGTAGGGAATCCCCTAGCCCAGGCTCATCTACAGGAACTCATGTAAACCCAACAGGATCATCCAGCTCTGCGAGCGGATCAAACGCTCTTCAATGCACAAAGCCCCTCAAATCATCCATTAGCTGTCACACTTTCCCTCGTGCTGTTGGGAAAAAGCATGTCTCCTGGCATCACTCACTCTTCCCAACAGAACATGTACTGCGTGTCAAACCAAGCCTACCAAGCCTATCAAGTGTTGCTGTTGAGTCTGCAAATGCCATTTTATCTCAGCTTCCAAGCATCCCTGTGATGACTAGAGATAGAGTTGAGGGCTTCCATCAATCTATTAGGAGTCTACGGACGTTATCGAGGATTGAGATTACAAAGATGAGCTACAAACAGCAAGGACGACAAGAGCTTACGTCTTCTGTGCCAATATCTAAATCTGCTTATGATTCGCTTCCATGGTGGAATCTATCAAGATGGTTCAGAGGTTCCGTTACTATTGATAAAAGACATTGGAAGGTAAGCAAATCATGACAGGTTATCATCCATCAATATTATCTGAATAGGCCTTTATGACTGCCTGATTCTGTATTAACATAATGCTCATCTAAACATGTTGTAGCCCGATAGCTCGCGTGAGTCATGCGCTTATTGTTTTGCTCCCTTCCACCGCCTCACTAACCCTCGTCATCACTGCCGTAAGTGTGGGGATTTGTTTTGTGGCAAATGCGCAAGTGCCGAGATTCTTATGGATGCCAAGAACTGTGTCTATGTACAGCAGTCGCAGCTCGCACGCTGGTCACGAAGAGTAGATCTCCAGCGACATAGTCTTTGGATCGACACTCTGCCACAACTACACCCTGTCCGAACCGCAGCTGAGTCTGCACTAATAGCAGGGTCAGATGGCCATGGCTCCATTGGACATGCGAACGGTCTCAGCGGTGGGGCGGGAACGCTCGGCAGTATAAACATGGGTCACCGTATCAACGGAAGCGGTAGTGGTAATGGCCACAGAAGCCCCTGGCAATTGGCACCCGGCTCTACCAAAAAATCTCGTCTTAGCATTTTCGGTCTTTTCGGCAATGGAGTGCATGGATCCGCAGCAGGCAACACTGCTTCTGACTCTAGAAGGGGGAGCATGGATATCCCAAATACTGAGGGTCATTATGCCAATCCTATGACAGTCACATTTGCCACAGGTAGACGATCCAGTTCATCATCCATTCTCAGAAGCGCCACTGGTACTTCTAGTCATTTGTTAATGACGGGTGCAGCACTGGGATCCAATGAGGGTGCATTACCAACGATCGCTATGTCGCGTAGAATGAGCTCTGGTGGTGTGGGAGAGGTTTGCCTAGCTAGAATTTGTGTAGGATGTGAACGAGAGTTGCTCAAACCTGTTCCGAGATGCAATTCAATTGCAAAGTACTATGGATCTGTCAAACCAAGAGGAGGCTATCAACCGCCCATCCATGGCTATTCGAGTCTTGGCCCTCACGCGGGACGCCAGCATGTTGGCCCTCAACTAAAAGCTCCGTATCTAGTTGAGGACGATATCGATCCGACGGTGACCGGACGCCATGAATACCTTGCCCACGGTGTTCGCCGACACTCTCCTCTCCGAAAGTCAAGTCATATGGCAGATATAACTGCTCATTGTGACAATGACTCAAGGATGACACCTCACGATCGTCCCAGCGGTAACCCTGCATATTTCAACCAAGGTGGAAGAGCCCATCAGAGCCAGGTTCATGGTCAAGGATGTGGTTATGGTCCATGTGCGAACGGTGGATGGGTTTCACAGGGAAACGAAATAGGGCCACACGGAGAGACGAGATACCATCAGAACATTCTTACCTTTCAGGAGCAACAACTCCATTATACCCAACAGGCAGTAGGCCCGTTCTGTCGTGAAATGTGCTGACCTTCAATACTTCAATCTTTATGTTATCATCGCTCGCTACATGTTCCGAGTTCCAAATAAAAAGCATTCACAAACCTTCCTTTGTCCAAGGCACCAGAATAGAAGTTTTTATTAGATTTTTTGGTTTTAGTAAAAAAAAAAAAAAAAAAAAAAAAAAAGTGTTTTTGATTAGGCTACCCTTAAGGAAGTAGTCCGGAATTCAGCGCCACAGCTGTTAAGAAAGTCTTCATGTCTAGAATAGTTCTCTCTTTCTTTTTCAATCAATTTATCAAGAAAAATGTAAATATCACGTGATGTTATCCGGATGTGGTGCGAGCAGAGTACAGCTATCCATCGATGGTGACCAAAGGATTCGGGATTGACGATGGCGTGTGAGACGATCCATCCATCATCAATAACGACATCAGTGGTTACTTCGCTTGCAGCTTTCATACCAGGGGAAAAGAATGAAAGATGAAGAGATTGATTTGATCTGCTTGAGACATGTCATCTAACAACGCTTTGCTTCTCCTTCCCAATAGCAAATGGCTGACGCAGCAACGGCCGATACTCGTGGTGAGTGAAACGACATCAAGCTTTCGGGATCAGTTTAGTTTGCTTGATTACTTCTTTAAAAAATAATAATAATAATAGTAGAGCAGATCAGACGACCAGCTTACACAGACATACGGGACGGAGGAGTGACAACAATCAATTGATAAATACGGGATTGATGATCAATAATAGAGTGAAGGACACAAAGAAGTATTAAAGGAGGATAGATATTGATATCGACATTTAATTTTTCAGGAATATGCTCTCGAACACTGCATAATTCCCAATATTGCGAGTTTAGTTCAAGTTTGTGACGCAACAAAGCTGTGTTTATGAAAGGAACATGACCTGGCGATTTCAAACAATTATACAAACATGAGAGTTTTCATTATATGAATGGAAGAGTCACAGAGATGAGAGACATAAGTCATTGCTGCAGAAGACTTTAAGACTGGAGTGGCTGTAGATTGCGTCTTTCAATATATCATACATATAACGAATAACAACACTATCAACATGACTTGCAACGTTACAGGAAATACTCGGCTCTAGCACTAAAAAAAAAAAAAAAAAAAAAGGTGTACAGCATCGGAGAGGAAATAAGACAGGAAGAAGTTCACTATGAAATACCATAAGATAGTCTTCTAAAAAAAATACTGTTTTCGTTCCTTTTCTTTCTCATGTTCTCCATTTTGTGCAGGACGTGGTGGTTTTGGACGTGGTCGTGGACGTGGTGGTGACCGCGGTCGTGGACGTGGACGTGGACGTGGAGGCAAGGATGAGAAGGAGACCTGGACCCCCGTCACCAAGCTTGGACGTCTTGTCAAGGACCGCAAGATCCAGTCGATCGAACAGATCTACTTGTTCTCGCTCCCCATCAAGGAGTACCAGATTGTCGACTACTTCTTGCCCTCGCTCAAGGATGAGGTCATGAAGATTATGCCTGTCCAGAAGCAGACCCGTGCCGGTCAGCGTACCCGCTTCAAGGCCTTCGTTGTCATTGGAGACTCTAACGGCCACGTCGGTTTGGGAGTCAAGTGCTCGAAGGAAGTTGCCACTGCCATTCGTGGCGCCATCATCTTGGCCAAGCTCTCGGTGATCCCTGTCCGTCGCGGTTACTGGGGTTCGATCTTGAACGAGCCTCACACTGTTCCCTGCAAGGTTACTGGCAAGTGCGGTTCTGCCGTCACCCGCTTGGTTCCTGCTCCCCGTGGTACCGGTATTGTCGCCGCCCCCGTCCCCAAGAAGCTTCTCCAGCTCGCTGGTGTCACCGACTGCTACACCCAGGCTTTCGGCTCCACCCGCACCTTGGGCAACTTTGTCAAGGCTACGTTTGCCGCTATTGGTAACACCTACAGCTACTTGACCCCCGATCTTTGGACCGAGACCAAGTTCACCATGTCTCCTTACCAGCAGTACACTGACTTCCTTGCCAAGCCTCAGGAGAAGCGTCGCGCTTAAACGCACCTAAACGTGCCTTTCTTTTTTTTTTTTTTTATTCCTTGAGACAAAAGTTATTGATTGTTTTTAAAAAAAGATTTTATTAAAGCAATCAAGCAGCTTTTTTTTTATATACAAAAAAAAAAAGAAAAGGGAAATTAAACGAGCTTGATCTTGTTGCAAATATGATTACTTTTGTTGGATTCACTGTAAAGTTGGATTTAGAGGTAAAAGCTCCAATAGTATAGTATTAGATCAACAATGTTTTGAAGCAAGCCCTCAATGCATTGATTCCAAGTTTCCGTGTAAAATGGTAGCACAATGTTTCTACTACATATCGGGATTCAAGCCGATCACATTTCATGCTTTTCTCTGTAAGATCCACCCAGATCGTAAACCGAGCAATTGGTCTGAGCCGCTTTTCTCTTTCGATAAAGAAAGAATATATCTCTCTCTCTCTCTCTAATTTTCTTTTTTCTTTTCGTTTTATCCTATACATCGCACTGACGCACTCTTCTCTCTATCCATCTACTCATTCCTTCATTCATCTGTTTCGGTCTCATTCGCTGACTCTTCCATTTCGCTTCATTCCACTTCAAGCTACTTTTGTCTTCATCTCACCTATGGCACCCAAGGAACACGGCCAAAGCACAACCAACGTGCGCAAAGGGTAGACAGGAATTACTTTTTTAGCAATAAGCAACATTCTCATTCTACTATTACATTCTAGGCTCTTGACTTCTAATATTTTCAATATGTTATCGATCGATTCCTCATTAGCTATCAGCTGGACTCGAGTAAGTTGGATCCGTACCTTACAAAGTCAATCTCTGGTTTTGCTGCCCCCGTCAAGGTCTCACAATTCAAACTGGGTCAAAGCAATCCCACCTACCTTTTGACTGACGCAAAGTAAGGAATAGTCATCATTTCATTTTAAAGGATTGATGTCTGATATTCGACGCAATGCCAAACAGAGCTCCTACTGAAAAAAAAACTCCTTTAAAAAATTAAAATACAGTAATACACGTTATGTCCTCCGCAAGAAGCCAGCTGGTACTCTTTTGTCCTCCACTGCCCATGCAGTCGAGCGAGAGTATAGGATCTTGAAGGCTCTAGGCGAAAAATCGGACGTCCCCGTACCTAAAGTCTACACTCTCTGTGAAGACTCGTCCATCATTGGAACGCCTTTCTATGTAAGATCTATGATCAGAAACAAGATCGTAGTTAAGTTCACGATCAAGCTGCTATGTACGCCGTCTTAAGCTTACTTTGCCTTTCTCATTTTGTTTCATCTCACTCAGGTTATGGAGTTCTTGCAGGGTCGCATCTTTTCAGATGTGACATTGAAAAAGCTTCCTTTTGAGGAACGACGTCTATGGTAAATCTTCATACAAGAAGGATATTACTGCCTATTATCATCATTTATCATCATGTTAGTCATACGTATTAACATGCTGATCATTTAATTTATAGCTGGATCTCCGCGATCGACACTCTCGCAAAGTTGCATAAAGTTGATTATGTTGCAGTGGGTCTTGAGGGCTATGGCAAACCCAGCGGTTTCTATCCTCGCCAGATTGCGTCACTTTCAAAGGTTTCAGCGGCTCAAGCAGCAGTAAAAGACGCCGATGGTAAAGAAGTTGGTCCAATCCCTGGCATGGAGGAATTGGCTGCATGGTTCAAGAAGTATGAAGTCAAGGATTCAACCTCGATCGTACATGGAGATTATAAGGTAGATTTTATTACCAGCGTTGGCAGCTCGCTTTTTTTTTTTTTTTTTTTTTTTTTTTTTCTCGTGATCCTCAGACTAATTCTCATCTCACATCAATCACATATAGATGGACAACTTGGTTTTCCACCCAACAGAGCCTCGTGTCATTGGAATCCTTGACTGGGAACTGTCGACAATTGGTCATCCTTTCTCTGACCTAGCCAATCTTGTCAACCCATACTATGTGCCAGCAATGGATGGCAACCCCATAGGTGGTCTAAAGGGCATCCCAGAGAAAGACTTGCCTATCCCACCAGTCGATGTCCTGTTAGAACGGTACTGCCAGCAAACCTCCAGACCCTTCCCAATTGAGAATTGGATGTTCTGCATCGCATTTTCATTCTTCAGAGTAAGTTCTGGCGTGATTATATCCCGAATATGCACGCGTCCATTAATGCTGATGAATTGCACTTTGAAGCTCTTCCTCAATTGTTACTAACCTGACTTTTAAATATGTGGATCAGTTGGCGGTGATCTTACACGGCATCAAAGCTCGTGTCGCGCGTGGCCAAGCAAGCTCTGCAGAGGCAATGGTCTATGCTGCCCTAGTGGATTCAGTTGCGGAACTTGCTATGGATATCGCACATGAAGAAGAAGCAAAAAATAGTCCCAAATCCAAGCTCTAATGAACAGGACATTTATGCTATGTAAAAAAATAAAAATAAAAAAATAAAATAAGAACATTTGAAATACATTTGTACACATCAAATATCCGAATTACAATGATGATTTTATTCTCTTAAGATTGAATCGTTGCATTACTGTTAAAATGCACTCGATTGAGTGATAGCCATAGAGCAATGTGTCTCTATAAAGATACAGTTGTTATTGCTAACTAGATCGCTGTTTGCACTACAATCATTTGAGAGTCTAGGAGCACCATTTCCTGATTGTGGTGGGAGGAAGTTTATACGGACTGCAAATAATTTAATATCAGAGAAGGAGGATAATCACGCCGGAAACAGCTACTTCAATGAAGCAATAACCATGGGAATGAAAAAAAAAAAAAAAAAAAAAAAAAAATCTATGGCAATACATTTGGATAAACCAACGCTAACATGTAACGTTTGATCTCAGAACGTATCATTGCTTAAAACACACCGTTGCAAAATGTCAGCCAAGGCGTTAGCTTGGGGGGCACCTGATGAGGAGTGTATTTTTATAGTACAATTCACTGTAAGCACGAGTGGATAAGCTAAAATGGTGCCAGCCTTGTTACTTCTTTAAAATTCATGTCCGTGAAGGTTCAAGTCTGATCATACGCCAAAAGGACAGCAGCATGTGTTGTGCTGTGAAACCATTCTTGTTACGCGCTCTAGATCATTTCATAGTGGTCGTAACTCAAAAAAAAAAAAGAAAAGAAAAGAAAACGAGCAGTAGCGACAGCAGTAAGAGAAGTCATGGTGATTCTACGCGCATCGTATAAAAGGACACTATCCTTTTTTTTTCTTCGGTATCGCCTTTGCTCTTCAGGTCTTTCCAGCTTCGCGAACACAGCAACATCTATCCCAAGGCTTTTTTTTTTTTTTTTTTTTGCTTCATCTTTATTATCTTTATTATTTTGCAAAAAAATAAAAAAAAATAAAAAAAAAAATGGCAACAGTAAGAACATACTATGATCCCTCTATTGAATATACGTTGATGAGGGGAGACTCTGGACATCGCTTCCGGAAAATCGTAAAGATTTCAGGCGTCCTTTCGATTTTTATGGTGATCTCAGTTCTGATCGCGTTACTTTTTTATGGCGCCAAACCCACCAGTTCATCCTCTGATAAGGACTTTGAATGGATTCGTCAACGACTGGGTACCAAGACTCCTTACCCTCATGAGGATAGGCCCGAGGGCCCATTAAAGGATACACCTAAAGGATATGAACTCGTTCAACTTCATTTGGTACTTTTTTTTATTTTTGGTTATAATGAGCTATGAATTTATTCTTCGTGCTATCACGATAATTACAAACGCAAAATAACGTTCCCTCGATATTCGTTGATTCCTCATAAACCAGATCAATAGACATGGTAATTTATTCCAATTCAATGGCGTTACAATGATCAGATACTTGAAAAAACTATTCATGATGAAATAACATTTTTTTTTTTTGTTGCCAGGAACGAGATACCCAGACCCCGATGACTACGTTAGTTTTAAGGATTTGTGGGACAAACTCAGTGACACAACTGTACCAGGCTTCGAATGGATCAAAACTTGGGTAAGAGAAAAACACGAAGTCAGATATGTTGTCTTATCACAACTAATCTTAAACTAAGATATATACTCTTTTTTTTTTTTTTTTTTTTTCTTTCTTTCTACAGTCAATAGAGAAATTTTATCCCGCTGCAAAAAGTAATCTTCTCGCTTCCTCCGGTGATGCTGACCTCTACGAGATTGGTCGTCGCTTCTCGAGACGTTATAAAGACTTCTTGGACAGGTACCCTTACGATCCCTACAACTTTGAATTCCGAAGTTCTGTCAAGCCGAGGAGCAGCCAGTCGGCCTATGCTTTCGCGCTCGCTCTCTTTGAAGACCGGCCACCCGGTGGCGATAACGGCGACGATGCTGATGACGATGACAAAGGCCATCATCGTTCTACTAAAGAGAAGCGGCTTACTTTGCCTCCTTCCCAGCCTATCGCTATTTATACTGTGCCAGCGGTATGTCGTCTTCTACTTGCTTAAGCTGGGTATCAAGACTGACATATAGAGGTATCTCCAATGCCCCTGTACTGAATAGTCCTTTTTTTTTTTTTTTTTTTTTTTTTAATATAACAAATACTAGGGAATTGATCAACAAATGAAACTCAAGTCCTCTTGTCCAAAATGGTTAGACGAGGTCAGTGGGCAGGATATTGTTTACAAGCAAAAGAGACTGTATGAAAGCAAGTTTGCCCCCCAATTGGCCAAGAGTCTCAGTGCTACTTTTGGTATCAATATCAGCGCCGAGGATGCCTCGACGATCTACAGGCTGTGTGGGTTTGAAGTTTCGATTTACGATGAGGCATCGACCTGGTGCCAGATGCTGCTTCCTCTCGGTACTGATAAGACCAGCAAGGAGGGCTCTCATGCCGGTGATGAGGAGCGGTACATCAACTTTTTGAACTTTGAAATCGCAACTGATTTGGAAAAGTATTATATCAACGGCCCTGGTGTGCCTTTCAATCGTGAGATGGGATGTAAGCTGGGCTCATCACTTGTTCAGACAATTGACTTGGTTCTTTCCGATTCCACTGATAAACCTCGGCTTCCTGAAGATGATGAAGGCGGAGCAAATATCCCCCATCATGGGCACTTCAAGTTTGGTCATTCCGAGACGATCATATTCTTTTCAACTTTCTTGGTAAGGGGAGGTTTTTTTTTTTTCTTGTTCTCAACGCTCCAGTCATGTGTATAATAACTATATATGATAGCAGTAAGATCTTTATTATATATATATATATATATGTTTTTCCTTCTTCTTCTTCACCAGAACCTCTACAACCAAAGCGGCGCCATTTTGACCGGCAATTTGACTGCTGAGCAATATGAGAAGCGTGAGTTCCGCTCTAGCCTGATTTCGCCCTTCTCTGCCAATATGGCATTCGAGGTGTACAAACCCAAGACTATGCAGTCCAAGACTGGTTCTCCTCATGGGCTGGTTCGTTTACTCGTGAATGAGAAGCCTCACCTGATTCCTGGCTGTGGTTCGTCCATGTTCTGTGATTGGTCTTTGTTCAAGGACATCTTGATTCAACGTGGCACTGGATGTGACTTTGAAGCTTGCTGTAGCACATCCAAATCAACCTTCACGGTTGCTTCTAATGTGACATGTCCTTCGACTACCCCTATTGTCACTTGAAAAAAACGAAAGTTGGATTTCGGCAGATCCCTTTGTATGTATACATACAGTTATATGTGTATAATACATGTACGCTTCCCGGAAAAAATACAGCTTATGGCTTATGCAGTAAATTTATTTATATATATTTATTTGCATTTATTACTTTACACAAATAAATATTAAAATTGATTTCTCTCCTTTTTCCTGGGTGTCCATTAAACTTTTTTTTTACCAGTGCTCATTATTCTTTGTCTATTTGTGTAAATGGATACAGGTAGAGTGCATGGATATATAAATGTACTAAAATGTATATATCTACATGGGTAAACAAAAATGGATAAAAATGCTCATGTCCTTGCATGGTGAACACTAAAAAAAGGAACTGGAAACTAAAAAAGAGGGTAACAAGATCGAGACGGTGGGAGGCAACTAAGTTCATTCGAGACCATCGGCAACAGATAAGCAGTGAAATGAAAGCTCCAGACTCCCCCAACTTACAGACTAGTGCCCATATGTTTATGAGGAATTTTTTTTTTTTTTTTAAAAAAAAAAAAAAAAAAAAAAAAAAAAAAAAATCTAATAAGCATATCTTCATGGATGTGATGATTGGGGTTACAGAAAGCGAAAAAAGAGGATATGTAGCGCACCCGTTACTACTGCTATTTCTTTTTCCAATTTACAGAGAAAAAAATTAGACATAAACACCTGATAGTATTTGGGAAGCTGACATGCTTACTGTCTTCATTGATTATAACATCCAGAAAACATTTTCAGTAATTTTGCACAATATCTTTTTTCTTTTATGTGAAGGATATTATTTTTGGATAAGTAAGGATTACGGAATTATTAAACGGGATATACTAATACAATGAAGGTTGCCTAATTTAAAGCATGTAAACGGCCGACAAAAGGACACCAGCAGCACCAAGAACGATAGATGCCTTGTTTCCGTTTGCGCTGCTGGGCAGGGTAGAAGGCGAGCTACCGGCAGGAGCGGATGTGCGTGCGGGAGTGCCAGCAGGGGCAGTGGTGGGAGCACCAGTGGGGACACCAGCGGGGGCAGTAGTGGGAGCACCAGTAGGAACACCAGTAGGGGCGCCAGTGGGAGCACCGGACACTGTAGTGGATTTCGGAATTACAGGGGATGGAGTGAGAGCCAAGCAGCAATCACCAGCAGTGACGGAGACACAGATGGGTTGGCCTTCATCGAGGTTCGCGCAGTCGTCCCTAAGCTTCTCGTTCCATTTCTGAAGGTCCTGGAAGGTGACTCCATGTGCTTTAGCGAATGCAAGACAAGTTCCGGCATCAGCTGAAAACGGTTTTTGAACATTAAGACGGTTAGACAGAGAGGTCATTTTCACTTAAATAGATTGGTCGATATTGTACACACAGCGAACATGACATACGTGGGACGATGATAGACTTAGTGCAGTTCTTGACTGGAATGGGAACAACAGCCATGGCCTGGGAGGCAGCAAGGGCAAGGACAGCGAGAGAGAGAGAGAACTTCATGATGTATTGTATGAGTTTGAGAAGGGTGTGTTCGCGACGAAGAGATGTGTAGGTGGAAAGTGCTAAGAGATTTTTTTGTCAAAAAAAAATGAGAAAAAAAGTGGAATGGATTGAGGATTGCAGGAAGAGGAGTAAGGATAAAGAAGGGAAAAAAGAAGAGAATGAGAAGGTCGAACTGGACGTTTTATAGCAGGAAAAAAGAATCCAGAAAAAGAATCAGTGTATAAATATACATATTTGTGTGCATTTGAAAGTAGGCTCTGGGTGAATTTCTTAGCGCGTGGACAAGGTCAGGTACCAATAAGCCAAATTAAGCGATGGCCATTGGACAGGCAGCCCTCATTTGGCAAGCATCGGATGTCTTTTATTTATATAATATCATTGTGGGTCTTGTGTAACCCCTGCACCAATATTCTTTTGCTCACATCGCGTTTGAATCTCGCCAAAAAGTCATAAACTGGATATATTTTTCAGGCTTTTAAATTGAATAGAATACTTCCACTTTTAGACGCAGGAAAAATACGTACAAACTCAAAATTTTAATTTTTACGAGAGCGTTTTCGATTGATAAGAGGCTCGTCCTCAGACTCGCTATCCTCTATCACATTAAACATGCTTCCAGCATCTAGCGTAAGATCCACTATCTCAGGGCCTAGGGTAACAGCTTCAGCTCGCTCTTGATTTAGTACTCTAATGAGTTCTGCATCCCACTCACTATTGTCGACTTTGAAAGTGTCACTAAGGTCCACAATAGGCTCGTTTTCATCAAAAACCTCTTGATAAACCTCTTCGACTATTTCTTCCTGTGCATGACTCCTCTCGTTATAGTATCTCATGCCAATTTTCACAGACTTCTTCCATACAGAGTAAAAGACTTTACACGGAATCTGGGAAAACAAGCTTAGTAGCCTTTTTTTCAGCAAGATGGATGTCATTGTCACCATTGCTCTCGAGGCAATTATGTTTTTCACAACTGCCCAGATCTTCTCAATAGGTTGTAGCTCGCAATGGTAGGGTGGAGTCTTGAGGATTTCATGTCCACCATTCTCCTGGGCTATTTTACTGATAGAGAAATACGACTCATCAGGAAGAGCGTTAACCAATTCCATAAGCTCGTTTTTGTTCAGTGCTTTTCCATTTTCCCTTGTTGGAATAACAATCTCCTTGCCCGTGAGCCACTCTTTGATAGTTTTCACAGTGTCGCTCTTGGTTGGTTTCCTGTTTTTCTTGTGAAAGTGATATGAAGCGCCATCAAGATGGATTTTACAAGGGCCAAGTCCCATCTTATTGAGATTCTCACAAAGTCGCTTAAAGATACTATCGAACAAACTAGCGTTGAAGTTTCCATGATAATCGTGATCTGTTGCCACGACCCCTGCATTCCTGATCTCCTCAGGTACGTCATCCCACAGTTCAGCCTCCTGCTCTTGGCCTTTTTTTGATTGAGGCTTTGGTCCCTTTGATGGCCAAACATACACGCTATCATTAACGAATTTGCCTTCAACCTTTTTAGCAGCTTCATCATAATATACAATGAAGGCTGCAAATATAACCATGATTGGTTTCCTTCCTGCATCGTTAATGACATCACCGCCACTTTGCACCCAACGTCTTGCTGCAGCATGGTCAATGTGGCAGTAAGACTCGTCCAAGAAGACCTCTGGAGTCCTAGGCACCCAACTGCCGTCTACTAGTTTTAAATTCTTAAGACGGCGCTTCAGGTAAGTAGCTCGGAAGGCAATATTCTCCTTGGAGTCGTGCAAAAAGTTCTGTCGGATCCCTTTGCCCCAATACAGTCCCATTTTACGGAGGTCGCGAGTGATTGATCTTGCTGATCTGTCGATTTCAAAGTCTTCTTTCAGTTGGTTTGCAATTAAACCCGCAGAATTAGGAGTCCCGCTCTTGTTTGATTCAACTATGATATTCAGCACCTTCGAGTTTAAATCCTTGTCCGCTTCTTTTTTAGGGCGTCCAGTTCTTCCTCGCCCTGTCATTTCGACGATGCCTGTTTGTGCATATTTAATTGCTGCCACACAAGTGTTTCTCCCTACACCCATCAGAATCGAAAGGTCCATTGCTCTGTTGTCTGTCTTCTTAAACCAGTCTTGGACTGCTGGTGGCGCATTCATTATAGCATTATATGTATGAGCTATTATCGCGTATTCGTCTTTAGTAACGGACGCTTTACTGCGTGTAAATGCCTTTTTTCTCTCTCCAGTTTGTTTGTCTGACAAGAATGGATTTAAATCGAGGGTATTGGGACGCTCACCGAATTGCTCTAATGAGGTAGAACTCCTTGGCTCGTTTCTGGGAGGAGTAATCCATTGATATTCGGTAGGAGACCTAATAGGGGAGAGATCGGCTTCAGTGGGCAGTTGTGGCGATCTTCGAGGCGGAGTGAAGGGTGTGCCTGAAATCATTTGGTCGATATTTCCTTCGCTATACCAACCACCAAGATCGTTGTATGAGAGTAGGTTATTGATATCAAAAGGGAAAGACATTTTACTATCTGAAGATTGCGAATAAAGTAGGTTGACAATGAGGATGAGATCGAGAATGAGATTGAGAATGATGTTGCCCATTTCTCGCAAATTCTAATATTTCTAATTAAAAACGAAGATTGAATTGGTTTGGTGGTCATGCATCTAATTCATTCCTTCTATTCAAAAAATATATGCATTTTTGTCTTCGTACGTAAATTTTTATTTTTCAAATTTTTAATTCAAATTGAGTATTGTAAAATATATCCAGTTTATGACTTTTTGGCGAGGACTCTAGTATTCATTTGGAGATCAACTCCAGCCGGACTAGTAAACCAGGAAGTAATAATGGTCCTCGACTTTTTTAAGGCGCATCTTTGATAATCTAGCTTAGGTACTCTCTAATATTATCAAAAATAAAAATGGCCATCTTACTCTTCTTTTTTCTTTTTTAATAATCACCCCCCTGTTTCCCGTGGTCTTCTCTTCTTTATAATTTGACAAGTGTGACAGATAAGCAACTGAAGCAACGAAAGCCTCAAAAAGCAATACCTTTGACGTTTACTCAATCCTCCATACAAAATCACTTTAGAACCTTAATTACAGAATGTCAAATTCACTTTCTGATCCTGATGAGCTATTTTTTTTTTCAGCCCTAAAAAAATTGTTGCTCTGGTAATCTTGGAAAATAATTTGAGTTAGACGAATAACAATGGTTCAGTTTCATTTTGGCTTTTGGTTTACATTTTCTATCGTATTCATTTATCAGAGAATGAACAAAATGGAACTCCCAGAATCATTATTTGAGAGCACAGAGCATTTTTTTATTTTTTGGAGCATGATGATAGAGAGGTTCAACTATGGACATTAACGCCCAGCGCTCCGTATCAACCGCCCTTCTCTCATTTCCTTTAATTGTATGCATCGTAGTTTATTGAAAAGAACATGTCGGATTGAAGATTAAGGCTTGCTGGTAATTAGGTGGTGACATCTAATGATGAAGGGTATGGTTTGTTGGTTATAATTTAAACGGTGGGGAAGCGATGATAGACTTTGAAATGCTTTAGGACAGTTTCTGTTGAAATATATGAACCAACAGGGCTCTCTACCCTTCAAAAGTCCTAGTTCATCATGCATTACCATCCCCTTTTTCCCGCACATGCGATAGCGATGATGCTTAAAGCATGTAAACAGCCGAGAGCAAGACACCAGCAGCTGCCAGAATCATAGAGCCCTTGGAGCTAGCAGCACTGCTTGGCGCGCCGGCGGTGGTGGTAGCAGATGCAGGTGGGGTTGTCACAGTCCTGGGAGCACCGGTGGTGGTGGTAGTGACGACGGGAGCCCCGGTTGGTTGGACAGGGAGGCCTGTGGTAGAGACGCCACCAGTGGGAACACCAGTGGGAACACCAGTGGGAACACTTGTAGGAGCAGTAGGAACACCAGTTGCAGGGCTGGTGGCTACTGGAATTTCAGGAGATGGAGTAAGTTGCAAACAGCAGTCGCCCTTAGTGACAGAGACACAGATGGGATGGTTTACATCGAGGTTTTCGCAATCATCCCTAAGCTTCTCATTCCATTTAAGGAGATCGTCGAAGGTGACACCATGGCGTTTAGCGAATTCAATGCAACCATCTTTGTCGTTTTCTATCAAAGGTGGATTATAAAAATGTTGTAAGAATCTCTTAACTATATTCATACTCATCATTGTAGCTCTGCTGAGAAGTATAAGTAGAAAACATACCTGTGACGATAACAGATTTGGTGCACTCCTTGATTGGCTTGGGAACGACAGCCATGGCCTGGGAGGCAGCAAGGGCAAGCACAACGGCAGAGAAAGTGAACTTCATGATGTTAGATGGAACGTAAAGGAGTAAGTTTGAAAGGGAGCGAGGGATAGAGGTGTTGTTGTTGCTGAGGGTCTTGAAGGAAGGGGAGGGTGAGATCTGAAGTAAAAAAAAAAAAAAAAAATTGATGTGCCACTCCATTTTATATGACTTGCAAATCCGCGCCTCGGGGCTGTTGAAAAGTGTAAAATGTTTATTCCTTCATCGTTCGTCATCTGGTTGTTTTGGTTGGTTATTGACAGTTACCGAGAAATCAACCATATCTTTACAGCATGGTGACCGCAGAGCCCTACTGTTTAAGATTACAGAGGACAATCTTTTTTGCATGAACACAAGCTAACTACAATCATATATATATATATATATATCCCTTGGTCCCTCTTTAGCTCAACATTCTGTGATTTTGCTTAGTGCATTTCATGTGCTCATGCCTAGAATCTGTAAACTTACCGAAATTTAACAAATTGCTCTCCTCAACTTCATTTTGTCTGACAGCCCTGAACAGACTCTCCATTTGGGTGGTTACACTGCATTTTTGAAATGAACTTGACTAATATCTAAAAATACATCTATGATTAGCAAAGGGCCAATCAGTCCAAGGAATGTGTGATAGGATTCAAGAAAGCTGGGAAAAGACAGAAAATAGATTTCCGTTCTTCACAGTTATTCTTAAGTTCATATCTGGACAAAGATAGGTCTATTAAACATGCTTTTTCTTCTTTTTTCCAGAAACTTCCCCTTGTTCTGTTGAGCCTTTCAGCAAGATTTCTTCCACGAGAGCCTCACATGTTCTCCACCAATGCTTCATTTTTGAGCACTAAAAGCAGCGTCGCATGGTTATCCGAAAGTCCATTCTCATTTCTGTGCTACAACGCTGGACAAGAAGAGCGCAACAGGGACTCTAATGTTCTCATTCGTCTCACAAGGCTAACAAGGATTACTTTAAGTTTTTTTTTTTTTTTTTTTTTTTTTTTCATTTATTACGAGATTTTATATTCTATTAAATGGATTATGTGTTGTACAATTATGAATGAAATGATCCGCATTGAAACAGAAAAAAAGGAGAGAAGCTTAGAATCCAAGAGTGTCGTTCACAAGAACAACCTGAATACGATTGGGGTTAAAGGGGTTAGCCTTGCGGATTACTTCATAGTTGACAATGGCAGAAGCAGGAACACCGTAAGCATCCCGGGCACGTGCACTCTCCGCAGCAAGCGCAAATTCATTAGTACGCTTCCAAGCCTCATCCTCATCTTTGACAATCTTGTTGGTTCCAACAACAACAATCACGTTGGCGGCTCCAAAGGCAACGCCACCGACTTTGGAGCCAGAAAGGTCAGCATGAGCCAATTTGCCATCCTCAGTAACGGCGCTCATTGAAGTCAAATAGTAATCGACAGTTGTACCGATGGTACGGCGAAGCTCAGCCTGCTTGGCCATGTCTTTCTCGGCAAGAATCTGGGCATGAACATTGCTCCATCCACTGTAGTATTAAATAACATATTAGAAAATGTATTAGCATGACATACGTCGACGTTAAAGGATGACCAAGGATTTGAATTTGCAACTACAAAACAAAAGCTTACGTTTCGCCTTTAAGGTAGGTAATGAATCCAATCTCCTCAAGAGTAGTTGAATGAGCATTGTTGACGCTGGCCCCAGCGGGGATCAGGCCTTTGAGAGTCTCGAATGCTTCTCCACAGCTGTTGACGAGGTGGACTTTGAAGCCATTAGCCTCAAGGGCAGCTTTAGCAGCATCCACGCACTCAGCGTTAGCAGGTTTAGTGTAGTGATGATCAGCGAGAGCAGCTAACTGAGCGTCAGACTTTACAAGCGCTGCAAAAGTGTGGTTGACATGAGTGTTCTCAGGATGAGATAGAGCGCGCGGGGTCTGAGCAGTAGTAGAAGCAACGACGGTAGCAATTGGGGCAGTGACGGCAGTCGTGACAGCAGCTGAAGTTGGAGCGATAGCTTTCTTTGTAGAACTCTTTTTTGTGTCTGGCTTGAAAGCGTTCTTGATCTTTTTGATAAGGGAAGGCATGATAGAGATTGTACGAGTTGTGCTAATGAAAGGATAGTAATAGGCTATAGTAACAATGACAGTTGATGTTGCAGTCGAGTAGATTGAATGAAATGTATCCGAAGTTGGTAATTTTCGTTTGGCTGTTGAGGGATCGCGGCAACTTTTATAGTTTTTGCTTTTTGCATTGACTTAAAGTTCGCATGGATTTCTCATCTTCGATTTGAAATCAATAATACAACTGGATGTGGCTTGAAACCCTGATTTTCAATCCTACAAGCTGAGACTGAATAGCTTATGCTTAATTGTCAAACTGTTGCTGGACTATTTATATAATATCGTTGGATTATTTTATTTCAATTCATTCGGACCTGACTTACTTAATTTACAGCCTGATCGGCCCCGATCTACAACATTACACCTTAATTTAAGTTGAAAAGTGGCTTAATTCGCTTGTATTCTATTTATTAATCCAGTAGATGAACCATATCAAACGCATGCAACCTCACAGGCAACCTACCTGAGACGTGGACACTTTATTGGATCAAAGCATTAGACATGTACCCAGCACTGTCCTATATTGATTCAAAATGGACTTCGAAGGTAGATATTGGTGGTCTCTATGCTTTGAAAATCAAAGAGCATCTGCAAAATATGCTGGTTCGAGAAAGTTATATTTGGGTGGTCATCATTAATAATCACCAACAAGGTTCCAAGAGTTTATTCTGAAGACTTTTAATCCAAACCCTCAGCTGTGCCAAACAGTCAAACAGCCACTGAAACGTTGAAAACATATAAAAACAATAACTTGCTAACTACTATCCAAGAATAATGAATATTGCTTCGTCCCAAAGAGAACCCCAAGTGAATTGGACTCAATTGGAGAAAACAAGGGTATGTGATGTTGCATTGCCATATTACACATCGATGCTTGTACAGTGTTGGTGCTATTTCGGAATGGATTTATTTTTTTTTTATTTTTATTTTTTACTGAAGGAAGATAAAGACATTACGACATTACATTGCGCAAATACTCCTCGTCAAGGATAGCCTTGCTTCTTTGCGACTTATGGCCCTCACTTCTGCTCTACTGAGACCAGACTCCTTCACATCATTTACTTCTCTCTCACTGTCGTTCCCATTCCACTCAAGGAATTCATCAAAATTTTTGATCCAGGTCACAAACAGCCACGATGATTTGTAAGCACAGGCATCATTAGCATGCTTATACAACCTTGTTTACTTTATTTGAATTATTATTCACACTACCATGAATGGTACACCTCCCAATACCTTCTCGCGTAGAACTCGAAGTCGCGTACTGTACATGTACAGGGGTCTTCGCTAAATATGGTAAATATATTTGCAGAATGGTGTAATTTGGATAATCAAAAGACACTATTTTATTCAGTTACAGGTTCCACTGATGGGCAAAACGGAACATCCAAAGTATCCTTGCTCAAGATATCTGAAGAGTTTAGACTAGTGCAGCAGCCCTCAAAATCACATCCCGAGCCGGCCTGCTGAAGGATTTTCTTGAATGTCGACCACTCGCAAAAGTATCCTGATCCACAACCAGGAATGATCATAGGCTCTTCATTTACAAGTAATCGAATCAAACCTCTCGGAGTCTCTGCCTCTGTCATGAAATGAGCCTGAACTGAGTCTTTGTCATAAACAAGGCGTCGCTTTCTGCGCACCTCTCCGTCATTAGGTCGAAACACCTCAAACGCCATGTTGGAAGCAAACTGCGAGAGCTTACTTGACCTGAATTCCCTCTTTGCATATTCTTCTGGGGTCATGTCTCCTCGCAAAGGGATCTTCTTTTGATCGTACAAGCCCTAGTGCCAAAAGTAAGCGTTAGCATCTTGACTTGAAATGAATTGTAGTAAAAGGAATAAAAAGAAGCGCCATTAGTAGACTCAGCCAATAAAAAGAAAAGCAACATACCAGGAAGCTAGAAAAGAAAAAAATGGTTTCCGAATGACCAAACTTGAAGACCCCTCGAAATAGACCCAACCTTTCATCATCATTATCGCCCCCTTGCTTGCCACTGTAAGGATGGCCCGCTTCCTGACCTAGAGCTGCCTCAATCGAATTGAAAAGTGTCGTCCCGAGGATGCAGCCTAGATGTCTATTGAACGGTATGCCTGGACCAAAGGTATAGTAATCTTCTAAATCTTTGACAATCTCCATATTCAGGAAGCTTAATTTGGGACCATAGGCTTTGCTAGCTGATGACTCAACATTGACAGCCTTCCTCAAGAGTTGACACCAGGTTTGGTCGTTGTTATAAGACGCTACTTCGAACGCGCACATGTCATAGATTGTCATCACATCTTTTGTCGTGACGTTACTTTGCTTAGACCCGTTCCGTGAAGTTAATAATGTCGACATCTGTTCTGCAAGTTTTGGTAAAAATTTTGCTTGAAAGGTCTGTACCTCGCGCAAGACACTTGGCCCATATCTGACACTCTTGAGCCATCTAGGGCATGCATACTTGACAGCAAGCTCCCTATCGAGGCCCTAAAGACGACAAGCATATTCGATAGTTATACAACTTATTCATTATATGTATATCGGTCACTGGACAAGGATGCAAGACTGAGGATTCGGTGTCTGGACCTACGATTGGAGTGGTAAACATGTCGATAGGTTGAGTCGGAGGGTAGTCCTCCACTCCTGGGTCGTTCACCAGACGTCCCTCAAGAAGGCCGACAGAAAAGGCATATGCTGATTGGCTGCATCGCGACTTGGCGGAACTCTGGAATTGAAATGTTTTGGCATCGTAGGGATATCGGTCAAGGAATTCCTTGTACCTGACTGCGAAACGCCGCCCGATCCGATACAAGTCTGAATCACCTTTTGGCGATAAAAGGTTCCCTTTGGCGACAGGATACAGTGTCTCGCTTGGCTTCGATAGTTATACCGCGAATAAGAATAAATTAGGTACTTTCATAAAATAACCAAGGAGGTTTGTACAGGCTTTAGTTAGAAGCAGTCATGCTACTTACCCAGTTCCGTAGCCACTCAAAGCCAGGAACATCAAGCAATCTTAGTCTTTCGGTCATTTTTTGGAATGAAATTGCATTGGATGAGCTTGGGTACCTCGTTCCTAGCGATCAAAGTGATTGTTAAGATGTACACATGATCTTTTTTAAAATATTTCGACTGAATTGGAAAGATGCCTCGCCTCATGAACCGTACCATGTCGACATATCTAGATAAAGGTGACACGGTGGAAACTGTCAATCATTGATCTCAGGGTTAAAGTTGAAAGGGCAATCTATTGTATGAGCAAAAGAAAAAATGAGTAGCCATACCAAATGTAACTGGGTGAGTTCATAACCTTCAGGAGTATCATTCAACGGTCCTATTGGTCGATCTTCATGTGGGTATGGCGATTTTGTGCCCAAATGTCGGCGAAGCCAATTTAAGGAAAGTGATGAATCATCTCCGTAGTTGATATGAGGATGACCGTCTACACTTTTCTGCATCACCGTCTCAAACTCTGTGGACTTCGGACCTGTTAGAGGAATGGTCCAGCGGTTTGTAGATTTGGACGCCGAGAATGTAGACATATTGCTGGGATCTTCAAGATGATGGAGCTCTCCTATCCTTTTAGAAGATCTCCATTCATGTGATCGTGAAGCCAAACTTGACACCGACAAAAGCTCAAAGACAAAAAATGAGGACAGAGTAAGGAGAGTAAAGCATGTGCATAGAGGCCGCAGGAAACTTTGTGCCACCATTTTCGTTCGGGACTATGGCTAGCAAGATGTGCGCAAAAAAAAAAAAAAAAAAAAAAAAGAGAAAAAAGAATCAGGAATAAAAGAAGGAAGAAAGGAAGGAAGGAAGGAGAGAATGAGGGAATGAGGGAATAAGGGAATGGAGAATGAAGGAATGAAAAAAAAAAAAAAAAAAAAAAAAAAAATTAACAAGTGAGCGAAATATTAAACGGACAAAGGTCAGGGTTTGCAAGCATAAACCGTTGCGGTATTGCGGCTGCTTTTGCATGAACAAACTGTCTTTGTGTTTAGACCACCTTTTGTCTGTCAAAGACATGTTCCCTGATACTGCTCTGCCAGACGAGGAATATCAGGGGATGTTGCCTAATAAGCAACACACCAATGGAAATTAAGGACATCCCAATGCTCAATGCGAAACAAAGTATGATTGACAACGTGGATAGATAGCATCCCTTTTGTATTTGTTTAGAGAAGCAGGAAAAAGTTTGCAAATCAGACAATATAATCAGAATGAAATGAAGCTTTTCTATCTAGTTTAAACGCGCTCTCGATCAAAGCTCCAGTATACCCTCAGGAATAGCAAGAGGACTTTTACATCAAGTCGGACACGCGATTTACGACAAAAAAATATCTAAACAAATCACCCAAGAATATAGTCGTATTTTGTTCCGAGCACCCAGCCGCATGGAAGGTTATTAAACACAATCATCTCGTAAATGTAGCTCATAATGTCTATACCTCAGATGGCTCTCATCCTGGCGGTTATTCCACATCAGGTATAAAACTATCCAACAGAGGAGTTGAAGGCGCAAATGGCGTACCATAAACTGCTGGCTTTTCAGTTGAAGAGATGTCAACTCAATTCAGAGACATATAAGGAGTCTGGGGCAACGTATGGCCGAAAATGTCAAAGCCAAGCTGAATTATGTTTTCCTCAGGAATGGTGCTCTCCTGCAAGTTTCGTGATTGTTTTCGCTCCATCATATCTATCATTGAGGAGACAATCGAAACGAATGATAGCCTAACTGAAATAGCTCCATTACTAAACGAATGTGTCGATTACATTTCTAAGGATACGGACCCATCAAATGGAAGCATAGATTGAACTTCCTGTCGCTATTGGAGGCGTAAACAAAGCTATTCAAGGAATGAAAATGACGTTACTTATGGCTTCATCAGGGACGGGTCGTTGTTGTGCCTAGTTGTTTGGGTGAGGGCTGACTCTTGCGATAGGGACACAGCTGGTCATCGTTATTATTGTAGTTCATTAACTCCATATTATATCCTTGAATGCCACTGTAACATTAGTTCTGAAGTGAAGTTTTTGGTGAATATAAAAGGAAATTAAGATATGATGGAGATGCAGCAAGTGAACTGCAAGGAGAGAGGGCAAAAATCCGTGCCTATTGTTTTGAAAACATCGAAGGGATGCCTCAGATTAGATGAACCAAGAGAAAACCACTGGCGTTCACAAGGAGTAGAACATGCAAAAAGGTCGTCTGAGAAGTGCCGATGATTGTTAGAAGAAAAAAAAAAAAACAATTTTCTTTCTAGTGGGGTATGCTTCTTTCAGCTTTTCTCTCTTTCCTTAACATTTCACTCTTCTTTACTCTCTTTCACCTGCATCAAACTCTTTTCAGTATTCTGCTTTAAAAAATTCGTCCACCATTCAACCATTCAAAAGTAAACACCGTCAGATCAGCAGTAAGTCCTTGTTTAAATACACATCCTCGTAAGTTCTCCTTGACAGCAGAAGTAGCCAACGAGTATAAGGTATTTTTTATTTTCCTCTCACTCATCAACATGTAATTCCTTGCGACTCTTAGTTACACATCAGTTAGACATTTAATCAAAAGTAGCACAACCAAGAGACCTACATTAGTAGTTTCATCCCCGTAAGTAGACGTAGCGACATAAAGTATCAAGAAGTCGTATTGAAGAATGTAGCGAAAATATGAGCATACAGCTAAGACTCACCTACAGATAGTTGCAGCCACTGGGATCCAAGGAATAGGAAGGCGCTGCTGATACATACAACATCGACAGGATTCAGTTGGACGTCCTTTCCATCTATTTCGTACATCACTGCGACGATGGAGCCGCTCCAATTCGCAACATTTCGGCTGGAGAACGCCCAGGTTCCGCATCCTTCTCTGCAGAACATGCGGAATGGTCTTGCAGGGACTCTATCGAGGCTCCTTGACCGGAAGGTGCGCCGCTTCTTCAATCGAGCCGCCACATCGCATTTCGATGGTCCTGCTGCTGTCCGAAAGACTAGGGCCCATAATACAAGAACCACGGCATCCACGCGTAACCAAAATGAAGCATTAGAGGCTATAAATCAGATCGCAAGTCACGTAGCTATTTATTATGCTATGCGTGTCCCCAGAGCTCTTGTCAAAAACATCATTAGATACAACAAGCCAGCTATCGCAAAGTGGCGGTCAACAGTGTTTTTGGGTACAACCCTCAAGGCCCTATTTGCCACAGGTCTAAGGGATATGGGCTGGAATGTATGCGAATGCCAAGGCGAAACAGATCTATGTAGCTCCCACCAGTTAAGGGTCACCGCTGCCACGGCTGACTCTGACTTTCTTTCCCACTCTAGCGACATCACCCTTCGACCTGACCTCGATGACAGGCTGTCCTTCCGTGAATATAAGTTCACGTCGATTTTAACTAAGCTCAACTTCTCTGGACCCATGTGTAGAGTGTTTGTCGCCGTGTCCAATGCTGACAACATGAGCTACGTAAGGGGCTGCGAGTTTGCATCGAGCATGAATGTCTTCAAGAATTTAGACCAAACCTCCCATATCACCCAGCAATATTTCTTAACAAAATACAACAATCAGATTAAGGACGATGGGCGCTTCCCTGCAAGTATGATGCGGCTGCGTCCGAGCCACCTTAAATACTCGATGGATTTATTCTTCCGTCATATGAAGCAGCAACAACGACAATCGCAATCGCAATCGCAAAATGGGGACTCTATTCAAGCCATTGTCGATGGGGTCTTCAAGAGCTTAGTACATACAATAAACCCCTTTTTTTGGCAGAATAGGAATGTCAGGTGCCAGATAGCATCCCCTACCAACCTCTCTGCACCGTTACCTGCATCATCTCCACTATTTATCACCTTATCTGGCTTTGCGGGCAAAGCATATTCACCCAAGCAAATGGCGTCGAACTACAGCTACAAAATCACCGCTTATAACAAACCCTTTAGCCTTGAACATGAAGCTGCTGTAAATGAGGCAGAGCAGCCAGCTAAACTCCTCAGCAAAAAGAAAAAGACACGCAAAGTCGGAATTAGATACAACTCTTCATTTAGAGAGGCACGCGCTGGTTCTTCAAGAACCACCAGGACTAGCAGGCCAAAATTGAACAAACTTACCACTGTCCTTGACTATGCACCTGCAGTGAAGTCCGTCACCATGAACTGTGAAATACTCTCTATACGTCTGAAGCGAAGCCATGAATCAGATTTAAGCGCAATGACTCTAATGAATGCTCCATTGATCCTTCAGCAATGCAAAGACCTGCATAGTACTATATTAAAAGCGACTCAAGAATTGATCCGTATCGCAACAGAGACGGCACGATGTGTTCAAACTATTTGCCTGTACATCGCCCAATTTTTCAGAACTTTTCCAGATATGACTCCCGCGCACATCAGAAGAAGAGGACCATTTATATCAATTCATTATAACACCCTCTTCAAGATTCCACCACAAAACACATACTCATGGCATGGTAATCTCCAGCAAGCACAGGATACGAATGCACAACAAGGAAGGCCTCGACAAAGTACACTGGCAGTTATCTTCTTTAGATGGACTGTCCAACACGACAAAACTACATTGACTCGAAAACCATCTAAAGCAGTCCTACGGTTGAAAAATACACTCAGAACATCTCTAGCTCATTTTTTCGAGCAAGCCGGGATCCGACTTGAGGATCAAATCCAGATGTACTACCTGAATGCCGCAGACTTAATGCAACAACTATGTCGATACAATCGAGCTTGGTATGTTGATCAAGAAAGATGCGCAGTTAATATAATCGATACCAAGAAGAGCACCTTGAACATCCACGACCAAGTGTCTTTGTTTTGGATCCTAAGCTCAAACACCTTACAAGTGCGCTTTATACCAGGATCATCCTTTACTGATTCTTTCTTTATCATCAAACTTCAACCCATCGATGTTTTGTACACGCGACAAGGCATCACTGATATTTTGAAGCCCTTCAAGAGTTATTTTGGTGAAACTGCCACGGACACCAGGAATTATATAAGTGACCATTCTGAAGAGTTGATGTATCACTTATACTTCAACGATCAGCTCATGTATGATAAGCACACGTCGGCAATGACAAATGAACTAAGACTGCCTGCACTAAATGGATACTCATTCTTGCAGCTCGACCAAGGACTTAAAAACCAATGCAAGTGATTTGTCGAGAATTTGGAGTCGGATCCAAGGGATAATGATTTCATGAAGGCACTGAAGATTCCCTAAGAGAACAAGCCCAACCCCCCGACGATTACAAACAGATTCTTGACAATGGTGACACTACCAACTGGTAGTCATATTTTTAGCTGTAATAAACAAAACCATGGCATGGTGTATGCATTTGAATAATTACAATGCTACAATATTACAACCACCTTTTCTTTCATCAATCCGTAACAGAAAAACCACTTGGTCCCACTTAAAAATATCAGATTTATTTCAGCGATAGGAAAAAAAATAGTATAAAAAAGAAAAAGTATATGCCAGTGCAATTGACGATTTTTTCTTCAATTCAAAAATAGTGAGAAAGGGATGATCGACAAGGCACGTTTAGGCGCGACGCTTCTCCTGAGGCTTGGCAAGGAAGTCAGTGTACTGCTGGTAGGGAGACATGGTGAACTTGGTCTCGGTCCAAAGATCGGGGGTCAAGTAGCTGTAGGTGTTACCAATAGCGGCAAACGTAGCCTTGACAAAGTTGCCCAAGGTGCGGGTGGAGCCGAAAGCCTGGGTGTAGCAGTCGGTGACACCAGCGAGCTGGAGAAGCTTCTTGGGGACGGGGGCGGCGACAATACCGGTACCACGGGGAGCAGGAACCAAGCGGGTGACGGCAGAACCGCACTTGCCAGTAACCTTGCAGGGAACAGTGTGAGGCTCGTTCAAGATCGAACCCCAGTAACCGCGACGGACAGGGATCACCGAGAGCTTGGCCAAGATGATGGCGCCACGAATGGCAGTGGCAACTTCCTTCGAGCACTTGACTCCCAAACCGACGTGGCCGTTAGAGTCTCCAATGACAACGAAGGCCTTGAAGCGGGTACGCTGACCGGCACGGGTCTGCTTCTGGACAGGCATAATCTTCATGACCTCATCCTTGAGCGAGGGCAAGAAGTAGTCGACAATCTGGTACTCCTTGATGGGGAGCGAGAACAAGTAGATCTGTTCGATCGACTGGATCTTGCGGTCCTTGACAAGACGTCCAAGCTTGGTGACGGGGGTCCAGGTCTCCTTCTCATCCTTGCCTCCACGTCCACGTCCACGGCCACGACCGCGGTCACCACCACGTCCACGACCACGTCCAAAACCACCACGTCCTGGAGAGAAAGCAAGAGAAAGTAACATGGAATAGATAGCGATTTAGTATTTAATATTAACAAAAAAAAAAAAAAAAAATAAAAATAAAAAGGCAAAGTGATCGCTTGAAGTCAAGACAAAAGCCAATTGCTTCCGGTTTGTTTCCTCCGTTGTCAGTAAAAGCGATTCATCATTATGCTTCTAATTGGTCGTAGATGTTCCAGTAAGATTGCACGATGCAGATTGTATTCATTGCACTGAATATTTTTCTAGTGATAGGATCGTATTAATTCTTCCGTGGACCTTCCATATCCAGTGTCTTTGAGTCGTTTATTTGGTCAGGAGTTCAAACAGGTCACAAGGCCTATCTTTCTCATCAAGGTCATATGAAAATGAATCATGATGTACTTTATCGCAAGCGTCATATTCGATGAACCATCAGTAAATCCTGACAGCCGCCACTTTTCTTCGTTGTCGTCTAAACAATGCTCAATCATGAAATCCACACCAATGGTGATGACGATTTTATCTGATGTCATGTATGGATTTATCTGTATAATCTGGGTTTCAGTGACTCAGAGTTACTGAATGATGAGCCCCTCTTCCCGAACATATTAAAACATTTTGCTGTTTTCAAATATACGCACCACGTTGAGTATCGGCCGTTGCTGCGTCAGCCATTTTCTAAAAAGTCAGTTAGAAGGCGATGAAAGATGATGTTAGAGTCGACTGCTAGCCTGTTTCTGATTATAGTAAAGTTGTCCAATCCTGCTCATCTGGTGCCAGAGTAGCCTCTTGATGAGGCAGTTGTCGACTAGGTCTATAGTAGTCTATGTATGACTAAAATGGAGATGTTTTCTCAATGATTGATAGCGTTGGATGTCTTAACACTGCAATTGATGGCTGGATGGGTGTGTATGTTTGCATAGGATACATCCGTTTTTGAAAGTAGAGCAGTCCAGAACCAGCAAGTGTTGCACTTCCACATACAAATTTCTGTTTGTTAATCGAAAGAGGGAGATCTTCTGGTACAAAGCATACAATAATTATAACACTAAACATTGGATATGTAGTCACATGATTCAACTAAATTTCCCAGAGTTTATTCGAATGGGATTGTCAAGCACTCGAATTAATTATGAAGAAAAAACTAGATATACAAAAGACGGAGAAAATAATGCTAGGAGGATTTAACTTGGTTTAGGAAAGTAGAAGGAAAATATGGAAGGATAGGAAGGTAGGTGGATATATTGCAGGTATTTGCTCTTCTACCCACGATCCATATTCAATCCTTTTTGCTCCTTTGAGTATCAACCCTAATTTACTCGACGGTGACGGACTTGGCCAAGTTACGGGGGAAATCAACATCAACTCCAGCAAGGCAAGCGAGGTGGTACGAGAGGAGTTGGAGAGGGATGATCGTCAACAGACCTTGGAGGCAGTCCACTGTCTGAGGAACACGGATCGTCTTAAAGTCGGCGCTGATTGCGTCGTCGCCCTTGTTGCAAATAATGATGGGCTGACCCTTTCTGGCTGCAACCTGCTCCAATGCCGAGCGGACCTTGGGGTACAAAGAGTCGCGTGTCATGATCAAGATTACTGGCATGTTCTCATCCACAAGAGCCAAGGGTCCGTGCTTGAGCTCACCAGCCAGAATACCCTCGCTGTGCATGTATGACACCTCCTTGATCTTCAATGCTCCCTCCAAGCAGGTGGCGTTCTGGAATCCACGACCCATGATCAACAAGCTCTTCTCCTTGTGCAAGACATCCTTGGCAAGGCGCTGCAACTCCTGATCAATAGCCAAAACCTCCTTGATGTGTGTTGGAAGGGCATGAAGACCGTCAATGATCTCATTGCGGCGTGCTGTCATCGATGTACGATCCTCAGACAACTGGATGGCAATCATGACCAAGGCAATGTATTGGGAGGTATAGGCCTACAAGTAATGGAAAAAGAATAGGGACCAACAAGGAAGAAAGCATTGGTGAGTAAAAAGGCTAAAAAGTGCTGCTGTTGCAGCTCAATTACAAAACTAGAAAATGGTATCGCATCCGGCGGTCCATCACATTCACAGCACATACCTTGGTGGATGCAACACCGATTTCGGGACCAGCGTTAATGTGGACACCACAGTGGGACTCACGGGAGATTGAGCTTCCGACAGTGTTGGTGACACCAACGCAGAGAGCTCCGCGCTCCAAGCAGTATCTCATGGCCAAAATGGTGTCAGCAGTCTCACCAGACTGAGAGATGAAAACGCAAACATCGTCACGGAAGATGGGAGTCTTGCGATCCAAAAAGTCGCTTGCCAACTCGGTCGAAACGGGGATCTCGGTCAGTTCCTCAAAGATGGCGCGGGTCTAGAGAAAGAGTCATAGAACACAAAGCAGCTCATTGTCAATACAAAAGATAGATACATGATATCAACAACCAATATCCAGACAAGCTGTCATTAAGAGCATGAGTATCAGTAACATACAGCCAAAGCACTGTGGTAGCTGGTTCCACAAGCAATGAATACAATGCGGCGGCAGCGGCGGATGGTGGGAAGATATGACTTGAGACCTCCAAGAGTGATCTTGTGGGTATCAAAGTTGACACGGCCACGCATGGTGTTGACGACAGAGTCGGGCTGTTCGTAGATCTCCTTCTGCATGAAGTGGTCGAAGGAGCCCTTCATGATCTCGGCCAATTCGATCTCCAAGGTCTGGATGGAACGGATTGAAGAGATGCCATCATCACGGCGGAGACGGTGAATGCGGAGCTCGCCCTCACGGATGTTGGCGATATCGTCGTCGAGAAGGTAGAGGACGGTCTTGGTGTGTTCGACAACAGCAGAGGGATCTGAGGCCAAGAAGTACTCAATCTGCTGAGGCATACCGTCCTCGCTCAAGAAAGCACGGGACTCGCTGCGACGAAGCTGAGGCACCTCAAGAGTGTTCAAGCTCTCTGTTTTACCCTCAACACTTGGGACTGAAAAAAGGGCTATATTTAGCATCTTTTTTTTTTTTTATTTTTTTTTTTAACCCTCTTCCGTATACGAAAGTAAAATATTGTTTCTCAATAACTTACTCTCTTCGGCAATTCCACCAAACTCTACATCGACAAAGTCGACCTTGAGCTTCTTAGGGGTCTTGACACCAATCAGAAGAGGAGATCCACGGCGAGTGGCAACAACCTCATTGGGGAAGTGTACACTCTTGAAGATCATGGCGAAAGCTCCCTCCTATAAAAATAGAGAGTGTTGACGAGATATGATTAATCAAGAATGCATTTTGTTTTCAATTGCAACATGCTGACGCGGACATTGATATCTTCATCTTAACATTAATTCTGCATCCTTTTTTTTTTTTTTTTTTTACCAACAACTTACCAACTCCTTGACAACACCCTTGACGAGATCAGTGAAGGTCAACTGCTTGTTGCCCTTCTGAGAGTCCCAGATGTACTTGGCCAACTTGGCAATGGCCTCGGTATCGGTCTCGCTCTCAAAGGTATAACCCTTCTTCTCGAGGACAAGCTTGAGCTCGCGGTAGTTGGTAATGATACCGTTGTGGACGACAGTGAATTCGTTCTTGGTATCTGAACGGTGAGGGTGGGAGTTGATAGGTGAAGGCTGACCGTGAGTGGCCCAGCGGGTATGAGCCATACCACAGTGAGAAGTGAAAGTCTTTTCCCAATTGATCGATTTCTGTTCCTCAATGAGCTTCTGGAGGGCAGCAACCTTTCCGACCTGCTTGTAGATCAAAACCTCCTTCTCACCATCGCCATCAATGGCAAGACCTAAAAGAGGATTTACAGGAGATGTGGGAGTTAGTTTTCAAAAGCCGTGCAGAAACAAATGTATAGTTCGTTCAGCACCAAGGAATCCCTCGCCTGGAACGTCTTCAAGGCCCAACTTGATTTAACAACGTCACAAACAAAAAATGGGCCTCTGACAGCAAAATGCGCCGAAAATTCTCAATAATCGGTTGTGTTCCAGAATGCCAGCGCTAAGATCCTACTTGATTTACCAGGCCTGATAGGACAAATAAGCAAAGACAAATATGAGGCTTACCAGCAGAGTCATATCCACGGTACTCGAGACGCTTGAGACCATTAGTAAGAATATCGGCAATAGTTTGACGGTCGACTTCGGTCAGATAGTTGAGATAAGCAAAAATTCCGCACATATTGTTCTCTAGAAATTTGGAGGGTTATTGAGAGAATGAAGAAATGGAATAGAATGAAATGAGGTTTTGAGAGATGGTGATTGTCTGAAGATAGGAGTTATTAGCGAGGGCAAGAGTTGGTAGAAAGGGAAAAGAACAGATGAGCAAATGGAATGAGGCCGCCTTTTATGCATTTTTTTTTGCACACGGAGCACTCTCTATTATAATCTCAACTATATTCAGTTACAAGTCCCAATTTGTATTTCATTCTTCACTCAAACCTTGTCCCTGCCTACTTTATTGTTTGTAGTTGGCATGAATCTTGCCTCACGTTTCATTATCGGGTCGTTTTTCCAACAACACTCGCCGTACTCTCTTTGCATAGAGCGTATTCCTGTATATTAAATATTGCTTTCAGCCTACGCTCTCTACCCAACGTTGTTGCTTCATCATTCACTGCCTACTCCTACTCTACAGCCATTTTATCGCTGTTGACCTTACGCACATGTAATGACCAGCAAAGCAAGTTTTCTCTACTTGTTTCATTATCCTATCCTTATTGGACGCCATTATTGAAATTGACTAATTTCCTCCAATATACATTTTCAAACAATGTATGTCAGGTTTAATATTGTGTATACTTCTCGGTAGATCTGGTCTTATACATCACAAACCCGCTACGAATGATTATGATAGACTATTGGTGTATCTCCCATGCAAGTAAAGGTGAGAAACGATAAACACTGCCAGGCAAAAAGGCGCATGTACCCAGCCCAAATTTTTCCTCAGAAACAGAACACACACAATTGAACTTCCTCCATTGTTCCTAAAATCCAAAAATAAATAAACTTTACGCAACCCGTAAAAACTGCCCACGGACAACGCAAAAAATGATGTGCTCATTTTTTCATGTTCATGTGTAAACTATTTGAAGATATTGTGTATATTTATTATTGATCAGACAATCCTCTAAAATTAAAAAGTTCAACAAGTGTCTTGAGAAGGGTGTATGCAGCACAATACACAGCGTTCATTTAACCTTGCACAGATTCATGTGTAAGTTTCCACCACTGCACTAAGTGCCGATCTGTGGGCCATTCTGTGTTGCTTCAGGTACAGGCATACTTTTGCTGTCATTGAGAAGTGATCGTACGTGCGAGTCGATTCGTGATGCTTGCTTACTGCATTTAGGATTTATAAAAATAGCAATCCTTTATTTTCTTGTTATTCTTTGTTTCTGCTCTTCTTATCTTTTTTTTTTTATGGCACCGCACCTCTTATCGTTCACGCCAACTAGATTTTATGTGTCCTATTTTCTGCCTTGCTCACCGTGATTTTCTTTGTTCCTCTTCTCATCTCATTTCCTCTTTCTGCTATCTATCCTAATGTCCTATCACTTCATTTCATTACTCTTAGTTATTCCAACAATTAAACCCCGAAAGCAACTGAAAGAATTATTCTTGGTTGCATATATATCTCGTCTTTCCTTTATCCTTCGGCGTACATCAGCCTCTGAGCATGTCGCTTGTCTAATCTGTCTTTGACATGAGAGTAAGAATGTAAAAAACACGTTTGTCGATAAGCATCATTCTAGTTAAATTAAAGCTCATGACGCGATAGGCGTGGTTTGTAATGTAAAGCACAAGCAGTGCCACCACGCCACGATCTAGTCGCATTTCGAACGAATTATCACACGACCTACACAGATATTTTTGGACGCTAAGAATAATAAATGTCTATTTTTAATCATTTATGGTCTTATGGATAAAGGCGCGCGTATGGGGCGTGCTCTGGACTGGTACTCCACGGTCAGCATTAAGAAATATATTCAGACATACAAATGAAAAACAAAAGATCCTATTATTGTTCTTATTAACAAATACTCAATGACCTTGAAAGCGCATCATCAGCCAATATTTAGAATACTAAATGTCATGTCAGAGTTAGTGAAGACAAAAAGTATTTAAAGGATTAAAAGTGCTGAACTGTACTTGTGTCTTTACACTTTAACTGTACGCACGTGTCCGATAACGAAACTATGAGTTCAGCTATCATTGACAGCTTTTATTAATATGTGAGTGCGATGCGTGTTCACGATACGGTGGGGATGTAAGCAAGGAACGGAAATTAAGACAACCCAAGGCTACCTCCCACCTAATGAATGGTGCGATAAATGCCCGCGATGATCCAACAAAGTATGGCACCAGATAGAATCGGAATCTGGCTCTAGGACAACACTTTTCTTAATAAAAATCATGAGTGCTATTCATTCAGAATGTGCAAATATCCTTGGCATTAGCAACCAACCAAAAATGCCCATAGTGACGAAAACATCGATAGACCAAAGAGACAGATGATCGATTTTTTGTAAGATGTGAAATGGCTGAGCCACAATCGGAGAACTCATTTAAAGCAAGGATGTTGGAAACTGTGAAAATAAAGGCAAAGATGATGATCTGAGTAATGCCTTTTGACGTGGATGCATGGCAGTGCTCTAGTTGCATCATTCCATACTGTCTGTAATGTCCACTTTTTACATAAACTGACAAATGTGCTGATTTAGAAACACGCCTAGCGCGCAGCTAAGCTTGTCTAGTCACTTTTGTTTTACATCCTTTTTCCGCCATCAACCCAACCCCTTACGACCCATTACAATAGTCATCTACACCCCTGCACCGAGCTACTAGGGCATCTGCTCTAATCTCATTACTGATTTCGACATTTTCCATCTTGAGCTCAGTACTTTTCATCGACTGGTCATGGAATCGACATCGTCTTCGGGTAGATCGCCAAACTATGTGGTCGATATCGAAAAAGGTCTTCCTTTGTCACTCAATGACCCATACGGTTCTTCTCAGGGTTCACCTGAGCACCACTCATCTCCAAAGGCTGTTGGTTCCTCATCATCTGCAGCCTTTGCTGTCGCACCTCTTGCTAGTCTGAAGAGGCTGTTTGAACGCAACCCCTCTGCTGTGGTCAGTGGGCGCTATACAATCAATTTTCGCCAGCTCCTTATCCTCTTGTGTATTCTCATAAGTTTGACTCTGCTGTGGTTCTTCAGCGATTCAGGTGCTGCTGAAGTCGGTCTCGACAAAGCTCGACAGCGACTCAACCCCCCTGATAGAACAGCTCTAGAAGATCAGGTCGAGAAGGAGCAACACATCCCTCAGCAACCTGTGCATGTCGACCCTTACAATGAAAGATATGATCGCGTTCGTGGAAAAGGAACAAGGACCAGTTTGAAGAAGATTCAATTCGCGTTTGGGCCTGAATCGCAGCAGGATCGCGTAGAGCGCGAGGGACGCTTGAAGGCAGTAAGAGATGGGTTCGAACATGCGTGGTCCGGCTATAAAAAGCATGCATGGGGTCACGATGAAGTTCGCCCAGTATCAGGAGGGTACAGGAATCAGTTCAATGGCTGGGGGGCCACAATGATTGACAGTTTAGATACGCTTGTGATCATGGGCTTCAATAAGGAGTTTGATGAGGCGTTGGAATGGGTTAAAACCTCATTCAACATGAGGAAAGACACCACTGCTCAGCTTCAATTCTTCGAAACCATCATTCGCTACCTTGGAGGATTGTTGAGTGCCTATGATCTCACAGGCGAGAAGGTGCTGTTGGACAAGGCAGAGGAACTTGGTAATTACATGTTGAACGCATTCCAAGGCAGGATTATGCCTGATGGTAGGGTTGCAGTCGCAGAATCTGCCAACCGCAATTCGCCTAACAGCTTTGTGCTGGCTGAGGTTGGCACAATTCAGCTCGAGTTCTCCCGCTTGTCCATGCTTACCAAGAACCCCATTTATGATCAAAAGGTAATAGAGCGCAAGGGCTCATGAAAATTACTACCTACACCCATCAAAAAGATATCATTGTGTCGAGACTAATGTCACAACCCGCCCTGGTTTTTATAATATCCATAGGCCCAGAAAATCTTTGAGGCTTTAGGATCAGCCACCTCTGACTTACCAGGCTTGCTCCCTTCCTATGTGCAAGATGGAATGGGCCGACACTACAGCAATTACCGAGCGACCGTCGGTGGTATGGTTGACAGCTATTATGAGGTAAAGATTGCCACATGCGGCATCTACCGAAAATTTTTTATCAATGGCCATTTTCCTAACTATATTGGCTTGGATGCGCAATGGTTTATAGTACCTCCTAAAGGAATGGATCTTGTTGGATGGCAAGCCCACTCAATACAAGGAAACATGTAAGCTTTTTTATTTTTATTTTTATTTTTAAATCGGTAAATAACTGTCTAAGTTAAACTCCATGCTCCTATTGAAATATCTAATAGTTGAAAAGTCGGTTAACTCTATGCATAAGTATATGGTGATGACACCCGACAATGGATCGAAAGAATATGCTATTCTCGGTGCTGTCAGTTCGGGCACAAAGGACGTTGATGCCGACATGGAGCACTTGGTAAAGAGTTTTGGTGTTGATACAAAGCTTGCTTGAAGTATATAACATCTCTTTATGTGTTTATTCTGTATCTAATCAATATTAACCAATTTTATTGCTGTTTGACACAGGCTTGCTTTATAGCTGGATCGCTCGCGATGAGTTCCAAGTACTATGATCGACCAGATGACATGATCCTGGCGAAGCAGGTTGCAGAGGGTTGCTATCTCGGATATCATCATTCTGTGACAGGTATCGGCCCCGAGGCAATGAAGTTTCATAAGGGTAGAGAAAGCAAGACCTTTGTGGCAAATCCCCAAACATTCTATGCTCGTGAGATCAGCCGCAGTGAGTATATTCTTAGACCTGGTAAGCTAATTTGTATTTGTTTAGCAATGGGTAATGTGTATTTTTCAGGCCTCGCAATTAGAATTTACATAAAACCCCTATTTATTTACTTGTAGAAACTTTGGAGAGTCTTTGGATCTTGTACCGTCTCACGGGTGAGAAGAAGTATCAGGATCAAGCTTGGGAGATCTTCCAGGTACGGCTTACTGAATCTTGATTTTCCTTTTGACAGCCATCACGAAACTTATTAACCTTGTACATATCATCTAATGGTCTCATATTAGTCATTGGAAAAGAGTTGCCGCACAAACATTGCTTATTCTGGTCTCAAGGATGTCAACCGACCAGGTTCACACGATGACAAGATGGAAAGGTAAGAAAGAACCTGCGATCTTTTTTTGTTGTTGCTGTTGTTGTCGTGTGAATACTTGTCTTAAACTCCTCTCACTTGTTTCTCAAAATACAATTATCGATAGTTTCTTCTTGGCCGAAACTATGAAGTACCTTTACTTGATGTTTTCTACACCGGACGTCATTTCACTTGATAACTTTGTACTTAACACAGAAGCTCATCCTTTTCGCAGGACTTAAGGATATCTCTCTTCTTTTTTATGTCACCTCAGTATTGAAATTATTCTTTATCTTTTGTAGCTCTGTATCTCTCTTGCAATGCTTCAGTCAATGATCAATAAATGCAGGATTCTGTTTCCATTAATTGATCCTTCTCTTTGCAGAATTGCCAGTCTTTGATTTATTGCTGTTGACGTACATTAATATGCAAAAAAAGGCTCTTAGGCCATCTCGACGTCCTGCTGCACTTGTGAGTCTTTTTCCTCTTCTTCCTCCTCTTCTTCTTCACCATCATCGGCGGATAATTTTTGCTTCTTCGATTTCTTGCTGCTGCTAGTCGAGTCCTGATCTTTCAGATAACTTGGAAGCTTACCCTCCTTCAATGCCCTCTCTAGTTTTGTAATTTCCTCCAATGTCGTTGCTTTTGCAAGAGCAGCCTTAATCTTATCCTGATCCTCTTTACTTAATGTTAACGTTGGGACGTTTGATTTTAATGGTAGGGGGATGCCTTCGCCAGGCTCGAAGGTTGATGATTTCGTCGCCGCAATTGACTCTGCTAGTGCGGTTGGACCAGCTTTGCCCTCAAATAATTTTTTCGCCTCGTCTCTTTCCTAATAATGGCAATAATAATAAAAATAATGCATTTTACATATCGATCAGTCTTGTTGACCAAGCTTCAAGAATAAATACCCCTTTTGATTTGGGATAATACTTTACCTTTTTCTTTACTTTCTCAAAGTCAAGCACTCTGATACTTGGTATCTTCCAAATGACCCATTCACGATAATACTTTTTCTTTACCACAGGATTGTCAAGAAGAGAAAGAACCTCAAGTGATTTACATCCTGCAAGTCCGTCTAGATCTGAGAGTTCAGTAATAGCGTTATTCGTGAGGACTACTATGGTAAGATTGGGTAAGTATTGACTCAAATTGGAGTCAATCTTGCTGATTCTGTTGTTGCTAAGCAAAAGACATTTTAGACGCGGAAGCGATGGAAAATTGCTAAGTTGTCGAATGTCGTTATCTGTCAAATCCAGCGAATCGTTCAAGTCCTTATTTATTGAACATAAAGTTGTTAATAGAAACATTCAGACCTCAACAACGTGACTCGACCATAAAAGATACCCTTGTATTTAAACTTTGTCTGAACAAATATCTACCTTTGTCACTCCAAGGTTCTCAATAGCAGGGATTTTGTGGCCTGGAGAGGGATGAAAAGAAAGCCAGTGAATGGTTAATGTTATGGAAAAATATTGTATTTTTTTTTCTGATAATGAGGATCCATGAGGTCATGTAGGAGTAATATTGTAAAGCTCCCCCAATAGCTTTATTAGCATTTTTCCTATTGGCACTCTCACATATTGTTTCTTCGACCAGCAGCATATATTGAGATCATGTGAATACACAAGTACATACTTCGCAAATCGAGCTCTCTGTCCTGAAGAGGATTCAAATAACATGGTGCACGCGTGATGAGCTCCGGTGTCAACTTCATCTTGATTGCTTTAACGTCCTTATGTCAAAAGGTGGGCTTAAAAACCAAAGGGTAGAAGGTTGAAGCGATCTGATCCTGAATGCTGATGCTAGCCTATAAAACCACTGTTAACCATACAGCACGTGATAGAAGATCACGTGCCGTAATATCTGTACTTAGAGATTTATAATCCATCGTATCATCAGAGGTGGGATGGCCGAGTTGGTCTAAGGCGCCGCACTCAAGTTGCGGTCTCGAGAGAGGCGTGGGTTCAAATCCCACTTCCACCAAGTATTTTGCGCTTGCTTTTGCATGCAGTCTTAGATACCATTACCAGAAGGATTAATCTATTTGGCAGCCCAGTTGCCAAATAACATTCATTATTTACTTGGCAGCCTACCCAGCGTTATTTGGCCTCTAACTTATTTTTTTTTTCATTCCTAGGAACCGTATATGTATATAACGCTCATACTTCAAATTAATAAAGCTCCCGTCTTCTACGTCATAGTTATGTGTAGTGACATTGTCTTGTCTCATTTAGAAAACTAATGACTTTTTTTTTCAAGTAGGTCGCTCATACAGTTTTGGAGGTGCCATTTGGAGATCAATGCCTATGAGAGGTTTTCGCTCGGAGCAAACGCGTCTCACCTGCTACCTAGACGTCTTCAATAAATCATTCCCTAACCGTGTACATTGAAGGCTGTTTTGTGAAGATGTCATCGCCGCTACCCTTAGTACCTCCGGCGGCATTAGCTGTGCAAGGCAATGTATCCACAGAACGCTGCTTGTTTTACCAAAAAAAAAAAAAAAAAAAAAAAAAAGTAATGTATTTGGCAGCCCAGCTGCCACCCAAGAGTGCGAAGTTAAGTAGCAGCCCCCAGAAGTAGGCTGCCAAATAGAGGCAAAAATTACTATATTTGGTATGGGCTGCCAAATATCACTTTCCTTTCCAGAAAGCCTTTCAAGTAAAAATCCACCTTTAATTGGCGGGCTTTCTCTCAATAAAAATGTCAATAGGGAGAAGGCATTAGGATCACGTAAATACATTGATGTGTCTCTAAGTCACGATCAAAAAGGTATATTGACCTACAACAGTGAGTCTTTTTTTTGTTGGATGTCAACAAGTTCAACAGGAACTCCTGTGCTTCTCATCAACATAGGATTATCCTCAGTGAAGGTCTCAATAGACGGCACATTGTAAGCCGTTGTTCTTCCTTCGAACACTAGGTACTTACTATATGCTGCCATATCCAACGTACAAAAGAGAGCGCCAGATATAACAGTCTGTTCAGTGTTAATCGAAACTGCACCAAAAAATTGCGACAGGTTGACTTTAAGTACGGATGGTTCCAGTTAGAGTGAGCGACAAATGGAGCTTGCTTCGATTTAAAATAATTCTTAAAAGAATCTACGGAGTTTCAATTGTATTATACGTATGCTTTAAAATAAGCTTTATCTGTAATTCTTATTACATCGTTCCAAGGAATAAATAAATTGTCCAAAGGTAAGTTAAAAGCTCGCTGAAAAGGGTCGAGAAATTTATCCAAACATTTGCAAATTATGTCCAGGTGGCCATGTGGAATAAGCCATGGAGTTTTGTGGGACATGGTGTTGGATATTTGTGATAGTTGGTTCGGTTTCCACTTTTGGAAAAATAGATAACTTTTAGGATAATTATGTTAGCTTAAATCCAGAGACCCTTTCAAGACCGAATGGTATCGCTGTGGAGGTGGAAGCGTATGCTATTTTTTTTAAAAGTTGCCCAATAGACAACAAAAAAAATGCAATATGGCGTTCGATGGTACAATACACAAAAGATGAGAATTTTGCCGTCGAATGCTAATCTGGCTTAAGGATCGGCGTGAGATCCAAACAAAATAGCATTCGATCCAAAAAAAATAGCATTCGATAATCATTCGATGGCACAGTTCTCATTTTTTTGCGTATTGTGCCATCGAATGCCGTATTGCATTTTTTTTGGTCACATCTTTTTCTACTGGGCAACTTTAAATAAAATAGCAAAGCCAAAACAGGACTGACTACAAATGGTAATTTGCACGGACCCAGAGTGTTATTTTATGAACATGTCGATATCCTTAATGCTATAGGTAAAGTCATTCATTTCAAACCCAATTGGGCTTGCACCGTCCGGAACCGCTAGCAGGCGCCGAAGCACAACTTATCCAGGCGGTCTTTACGCTTTCTAACGAATCTAGTAGTTGTAGCTGTGTGATGAGTGCAACAAGGCATAGTATGTGATAATCTAGACAACCATTTCAAAATTAGCTTTGCAAACCTTGATAAAGTAATGGAACGCACTATAGACATGCTCAAAGCTCATTAAGTCTTCAGAAAATATGTATTTTTCAATTTTGAAGAGACTCTGCTAGGCCGCGAAAATAGCAATTATCGGATATTCTAAACTCATTCTCTCAAGAAGCACTGCATAAAGTGTTGAAAAATGGGGTCCATATCATAGCAATAGTCTAGGCGAGTGATCCCTGCTTTGGTTAATTTCTGCTTCTCAATAACCCATACGGTCATCAATAATAGGATGGTTTTACTTTTTCTACACTTGTAATAGTTCATACAGGTATTACTCTACGGATCCTAAATAGATTCTTTTAAAAAATTATTTTAAATCGAAGATAAGAAGCCCCACTTCTTGCTCACTTTAACAAGGGCTATTCATGCTTAGTCTATATTAACACTGGGTGGACTTTTATATCTAGAGCCCTCTTTTGTACTTTGAATACAGCAGTGTGTAATAAGCACCTGGTGCTCGAAGGAAGAAACAACAGTTTACAGTGCACCGTCCATTGACATCTTTACTAAGGATAATTCTGAGTTGATGAAAAGCACAAGAGCTCCTATTGAATTTGTTGACATCCAACGAAAAGAGGTTCACCCACTGTAAGTCAATATAGCTCTTCGGTCGTGACATCCAGCTACGATCCAGTAGCAGTAATGGTTAGAAGCACATCGACGTATTTATACGATCACAATGCTTCCTGTTTATTGGCAGTTTTTATTTTGAGAAGGCCCTACCAAATAAAGCAGATTTTACTTGAAAGGCTGAAATAAAACTCCAAGCCAAACAAATATTCACACGGGCCATGCGAATAAGGCGTGTACAGGTCCATGCGAACTCATTTTCTGAATATGTGAACATCTCATATGGCCTTCGACCTTCGGTCCCCCAATATAGTTGCAGAATAATCGGATGAAATCAATTCTTATTATTGAATAGATTCCTTTGCCTTCGATCCTTCTAATTGTACATTTCTAAATTAAAGAGAAGTGGTTGAATATCTTAACTGGCTACGCTCCATTCATCTTATTGGAAAAACTGTAAAATCTATCAGACATCTATGCAGGAGGTTTTCCTTAACTTTTGGACAAGTTAAAGGTCCCTCTTTTTTTGTTTGTATTAATTAGATAAGTTAATTCTTATTTTTATACAACCATGAAGCCTTTGGATAAGACTATAGGCATTAGATATTAGTTTATGATGAGATGAAAATTGAAATGTGATTATGCTTAAAGGATTATTGATAACTAGATGTTGGTATATGGTAGTAGGAAGAGGTAGTGTGTGGATTAGATGGGGTGGATGGCGGTACGGCAAAGTACATTTCCTTCGGTAGGCCATCGGAATGTTGGAAGTTCGTTGGACTAGTATGTGGGTTCTTTGAAAGGTTCTGTGCTCCATAAGCTCCTAGTTGTGGACGGCCCACCACTCTTGATGCGCTTGGTGGATGTTTCTCGATCAGCGTATTAGGCGAACGTGCCCTGGATGAGGGTGGGGGAGGATAATAAGGGGACTTTCCATCATCGCTCACGGAAAAGGAGCTATTATGATGAGGCCTATCTTGGAAATCGTTCGTTGACCGGAGTGAGTTGAAACTAGGAGGTGGGGGTGGGTAAGCTTGGTTCTGTAGCCGAGACATTGAATAGCCGTCTGGTGAATCTGATCGCTTGTTGTAGTCACCCTTGCTGTTTGTTGTCACGTTGTCTGAGCCATCATCGGAACCTGCTTTTTGCGCCAAAGAGTTTCCATCATCCGCCGAGCGTCTACGACGTGCGCGATACCAAAACAGGCCTCCAACAACGACCACAACGACTAAAACGCCAATGACTGCTCCTAATATAATAGGGATGCGCGAGCCTCCTTCTGTTTTTCCTTCATTAGTGGCCTTATTGTCGTTAGGTGATGTACTATTGCCAGCTGTACTTGATGGCTGGAGTGAAGAAGTAGCCGTGGTACGTTGCGTGGTAGTGGTTTTTGAAGGAGGTGGAGCAACATAGCGAGAGACCCAGGTGTTTGTCTTCAGGTTGAAAATGACCGGATTCATGGGGGCAAATGAATCATTCGTTGCAGTAATTTGTACCCCACCCCATGCAATAAACTGTCCATTTGAAACAGCACAGGCTGCGCCACTGCGTCTATTGGCTTCTATAATACTGGGGCCGCTTGTCCAGGTCATAGTTGCGACATCCAGTATATGAATATCACTCAATGTATTGCTAAACTCTCTTGAATATCCACCAAAGTAAACCATTTTTGCCCCATCATTAAAGGATAAGAGACAAGCAGAGCTTCGTCGAGATGGTATTTGTCCTTTTTGTACTTCGGTATTCCATCCCTTCGATGGAATGTAGCTTTGTAGGTTACCATCTGTATCCAACAGAAGGAGCATATTTCCTGTTCTGCTCCATGCAGCGGAATAGAATGGATTTATACTGTAGGTAGGGTCCATAGGTACGCGTTCGAATGAACTGGTGGCAAGATTCACCTGAAGCATACTGTTTATGTTGCTACTCTCGATATACCCTCCGGGAACATAAATAAGACCCGTGATTGGGTCAGTTACAGCGGAAAGTCCCCAACTACCGACGAGACGATTATAGGCATTGCCAATGTTGCCGTCGCTGAACATAGGACTCCATTTCTGTGTGCCAAAATTCAAGGTGTACCCGGTGCCTCCGGACACGATAAACCAACTCTGTCCATCGGATGAAATGGCACTTGGTGTCTCTGCGTTGATAGGTCCATTTGGTAGACTTGGGACCAGTGCGTACCGAGGCGTAGTTGCATTCCACGAAGCTGAAAGGTCGATCATAAATGATTGTTTTGCCGAAGCTAGATTGATACCGGTTGGATCCCTGGAGCCTCCAAGAATATACAATCCTTTACCATCGATATATGCACTAAAGCCTTGATAAACAGGATATGGTTGAAATGGTTGAGCATAGACATGTAGAATAGATGGAATAAAGGAAAAGAATAGAAGCAGATATGAAAGAGTAAGACACACCCTGCAAGGGAGAGTCATCATGTCGATGTTGAAGTTTTTTTTTTTTTTTTTTTTTTTTTTTAAAAAAAAAAAAAAAAAGAGAGAGAAAGAGAGAGAAAGGGGAAAGGATAGAGGGAAGAGAAAGGAAGGAGAGATGAGTGAGTAGCGAGATTGGAGTAAAAGTGGTGAGAGTGGAAGAAAAAGAGTAGAGTAGGAGAAAGAGGGTAAAGAGAAAGCAGGGGATTGTCTGTGTTAAACAAGTAAAAGTGGAAAGAACCAAGCCCTTGTTTTTTTTTTTGAAACTAAGCACAGCAGAGGATGGGAAATCGCCGAGAGAGCAGAGAGCCTGTCCTGATTCTCATGAGTAGAGCCAATCTGTTGTTGTTTACACATGCCACTGACCCCCTGTTTCAAACACAGTGCACAAAATCTATTAGAATTAGATTAGTCTAGTCTAGACAGAAACCTATCCCGCCACCCAATTCTTTATGCATGTCAGGAACGACCAAAAGAATGACAGAGTAAAAAAATAAGCTCTTTTTTCAAAATACTTGTACCTCTTACGATCAGGCTCAACTGGCAATGACATAAAAGGTGCGAGCCGACATGTGGAGACCATCAAAAACATCTTTGACAGAATCAATACCATTATCCCTTTTGTCGAGGATACAGAATTGATGTTTCCGATCCTATGTATATGATACTATATAGATATATGAATGAATTCGATTGACAAATTTAAAAAATTTATTGTATTTATTCACATTGCCTTGGTCCAAAAATTTAATAACCGCCTCGTCCTTGACCCACACCTCCAGCACGCCCGTTTATAATTCGATCTCCAGACGAGCCAAGAGCACTATGATTCGCCATGCTGGCACCGAGAACACCATCATTGGCAGGATTGTAGGTGAAACCCTTGAACTGTAGTTGGACAGTCTCGCTCAAGAAGGATGACTCCACAACTGAATCCATAGGCTCCTCGCTCGTGAACTCTTCGTCAAAATTGGATGTATCAATCGCTGATGAGACTGAGGGCTTGAAAGGTGGTTGTATTTTTTTAGCCATCAACAGAGGGAAAGAAATGGGCTTGAAGAACGGATGTGATTTGATTGCGCTTGAACCATTGTTACCCAGACGTTGATTGGGATCTCTTGTCAAGAGTGCAGACAAGAGCGCACGTGCGTCTGGAGCGACCTCATCTGGGAAGCGGAGCTCATCTTGTAGAATCTTTCTGTACATCTCATGAATGTTTTCGTCGTAGAATGGGGGAAGTCCGGTCAACATCTCGTAGAGAAGAACACCAAGGGTCCACCAATCTACTGTCTTGGTATATCCCTGACCGAGAAGAAGCTCTGGCGCGAGATACTCAGGTGTGCCACAGAACGTGTTAGTAGTCTCAGTTTCAGTCATGCCAAGCTTGCAGAGACCAAAGTCACACAGAGCAATATGGCCAGTGTAATCCAGCAAGATATTTTCTGGCTTGAGATCTCTGTAGACAACATTGAATCCATGCAGGCACTCGAGTGCGCACATCAGTTCTGCAGCATAAAATCGAGACCGCTCTTCACTGAATCGGCCCTCACGTTGCAGATGATGGAACAGTTCTCCGCCGTTGACAAATGCAAGAACAAGATACAGTTTCTCCGGCGACTGGAAAGAAAATTTAAGAGGGACAATGAAAGGGTTGTTGATCTGAGCCAAGACTGTTCGTTCTGCCAACGTGTGGTTGACTTCACTGCGTGAGATGATATGTGCCTTGCGGATAATCTTCATGGCATAGATACGGGATGTATCGCGCTTCCGTACTTGCATGACCTGTAGTTGGTATATACAACATCCATGACAAACATTGGTGTTAGTAGGATGATTTACAAAAAAAAAAATTCCGTCATTGATAGTTTATGGATGAAATACTTTACCTTGCCAAAACTGCCTTTTCCGATGACCTTCAGCAAATCGAATGCATCTATTGTCAATGGCGTGTTTGCCTGGAATTATAATAATAAAGTTGAAATTATTATAGAGATCTCAAAATTGTGATTTAGAACCAAAACACGCTTAATCAAATAATGTATCACTTACACTTCTTTTGAAGGCCACTTGCACACGCACTTTGCCTGTACCTCCTTGAAGAGTGAACCACTCATCTTGCATCTGTTCGTCCCAACGGGGTTCAAGCTTGACATTTCCTAAAAATACATCCTCACTATCGTTCTCCGTGATGTTGCCAGTCTTATCCAAAGCTGCCATTGCCTTGGGACTAGGAATGCGAATATAGAGCGACAACTGGATGTCCGAAACTCTTGAGACATCACTATTGTGACACGGTATTGAGGATTATAGATAGTAGGTAAGCTTAAGGGTATTTGAATGAATAAAAAAAAGTATATGATAACAGTAGCGATATTATCATAAAATTGTCTGGCTTCGACTTACAAATGAGCTCTGTATTGCCAGACAGGGTTAGCCAATTCGCCACCCAATGCGTCAATCAGAACTTCGTTCTTGTCGAATTCCAGCACAGCATATGGCAGCCACCACTTGCGTTGGAGTGATTCTCTGTTACTGGCTGTGGCGACAGGTTGTTGCTTTGGAACGAATGGTTGGCTATTAGAACCAGGAGGCAGCGTCAAGCCTCGTGCTTCAACAACTCGGATGACTAAGAACCCATTTTTGGATGCGCCTCCTTCGGCCTTCGCGCTAGAGGAGCCATTCTGTTGCGACTGTCCTGAAATTGATGGCAAGTGACCAGACCCAGGTGGGGTGATTGAGTGCGTTGAGGAAGTGGAAGCTGTCTGAGAGTGGCCGTTCGATTTTGGTGGGGACGTTGCCGAGGCAGAGGATGCTGTGGGCGAGGGGCTTATCTGTAGCGACGAGTTGAAAGTGGCGGACAAGGCAGCTTCCTTTTCTTTTTCCTTTTCTCTCTCCTTCTCCTTCTCCTTCTCCTTATGTTCTACAGATGAGGCAAAAAAAAAAAAAAAAAGGTACAGTGCACAATACAAAAAGGAGGGGTAACCTTTTAGTCAACTTTTTTCTAACAGTCCATTTTCTCAATATATGGGTGTTTCCTCGAGATGATCAGCCCTGCAAAACTCAGTGTTGTGGTGGCCATTATCATTCATACGAAAGGTAAAACTGGTTTTTCTTCTCTTTTTGTTTCTACACTTTCTTCTTTCTCTCACTCCAGCTCTAAGTATTATTCTTATTGTTATTATTGTTTCATTGCTGCTTACTCTTGGAATGCAACCAGGACATGATGAACGCTCGACGGGACTGGAGTGACTAATGAGATAGCAACAAAAAAAGAGGAAAAAAGAGGTTTGAGGGTTATTAATCCAGTTAATCACATCGATAATTGCCTTTTTCTAATTCTCTTATGGATCGCTGAAAGCAAAAAATAATAATATAAAAGATAGGCAAAAGATAAGAAGCGACAAATGTTGTTGCTTGTCTTTTTCATCTAAAACCAATGAGTATTTCTTTGCTTACGTTGAAAGTTGACGATTAGTTCTCTTGTGAGATATATAAAATAAAATAAATAGAGCGAAATGATCCTTATGGATGGAGAGAGCAAGTGCCGAAGGATGCCCTAGGTATTAGGGCAAAATTGTGATAGAAAATGAGTAAAGAGCGTGAGGAGGAAGGACGGAAGAATATAAATAAGAGCGGAGAGAGAAAGAGAGAAAAGAGATGAAGAAAAGGAAGAGATGAAAAATAAGAATAAAAGGGGGGAAAGGGAGATTATGTGCAATGGTTGGAACAAGATGAACTTTTTTTCAGAGGAATGGATGGATGGGACAAGAGAAAAGAAGGGGTTGGTTGGTATGAAGGAGGGTTGGCAGGGGATGTGTGTGAGAAAGAACAACAGTCGGATTGAGCTTAGCAGAGCCATGCTGACTGCACTGAACAAACTGCATGGATGTGGGAGTTTCAAACAGTACAGACAAATGATTGGACAGGCACCCCACCCCTATTTCCACCCCCTGATCCATAGCCATTGCACGCCTCCCGCACCAGAAAAAAACCATAAAATAGTGCCTCTCCCTTGCTTCTTTTGCCCTGTTTTTCGTGTAATATTATTCTTTGCTCACATTGACTCCTTCTGCCTCTTTCCTTCAAAGAAGCCTTCATCTTGTATTGATCACTCTGTATTGCTTACTCTTTCTCTAGCTTTATTCTCTCAATCATCCCAAGCCATGTCACTCGGCAGAAACAAGTTAAAGAAATAAAAATTCTCGTGCGTTCTTCTTTCTTCCTTGGCTCTTATATATCTTCAACCCGAGCAGGTTTTGCTAAACCTGTCACTTATCGTAATGTATAATGTCCACAATGAATGTCCTGGAGGTAATGAGCAGCCTTAACGGAAGATAATGAATTCAGCTTTTGCCTGGCAAGTTTCAAGGCTGTGATACTGATGAATGACTTTCCCTTGTTCTTAATTTTCTCGCCCGTCTTTATACTGGCGTTCGTCTTTTCCTTTGGGTATCATAGTTAACCGGACTCGGACACTATCGCTCTTTACCAACTGTTCTTAAGGCATCGGCGGCGAGGTATCACAATTTAATTACGATTGCCCCTATTTACTGTCACACGTACGCTTTGATGGTAGCAAGCCATTGTACCCACTGTGGCGCCTGATGTCTAGATTACTGGAAGATCGTTTAATGTGGGTGCTCAAATGTGCGACTTAATTTGCCTTGCAGGAACATGATTTTTTTTTTTTTTTTTTTTTTTTTTTTGGATTCAATATCCAATGCCAATGTCACGGAGTTGTGAGATTTGGCAGACGCTGGCGCAATGAGGATATTGATTTGCTCAGAGGATTGGCCAGAAGAGAGATTGTTGTAGTCTTCAGTAGGCAGTTCCTTTCAGCCGTGCTGACATGAATCCTGATTGGGACCCTCAATCCAAACATCCTATACCAGATACCCACGATGCTTTGTGGAGGAGCAACAACGCACCCACCTTCAAGGCAAATGATAAATCGTACCTTCATATTTGTAGATACGCTCTGTGGATGATATGTTTACTATTAAATACATCCATTCACTTAGTCATCCATTTATAGTTGTCTTCTAATGTGAATCAAGTGTCCCGATGGTAATGTCGCTGAGATTGTCAAGGAGGGTTTTGGTATAAGTTGCCTCAAGCCATCCATGTATCGTCATCGCGATTGATGTTGACATCATGTATTGCAAGTACTATACAGTACGCTGTAGCTAAACTTATCTGCATTGGAGATCTTTGAGCACTCAGAATGTGGACCCAGACTGTCTGTGCCAAATAAATTATCCCAGCGCCCATGTGTTAACATGGAAGTTGGCTCTGAAAAAAAAGCATGGTTGCATCAATTCGTACCTGAAACAACCCGAGAGGTACTAGCGTCTGCTGCTGTGCTGAAAGTTGAATTGAGCTTTCCAATCAACCCGCCTCCTTACCCAGATAATCTGTTTACACTTGCTGCTTGTAATTTTTATGAGCATGTTGAGTGTTGAAACAGAGAAGGGACAGTATGTGGAATGTGGTCCGCTTTTCCTGGTTCGCAGAAGCTTTCTTCCTCCTTTCTCTTTACCCTCATCTTCACCCCCAAACTTCCCTTTTTGCTGCCTTCACCTCCATCACCTGTGCTACTTGCACTTCATCTGCCTCCTTCCTCTTCTGGTCACCATGATAATACACAGCCATAGCTTCGCCACATATTTCTCTCTCATCGTTTCTCATGTCCTTGTCTTGTTCTTGCTTGTGGCCCTAATGCCTTTCGTCCAAGCTCAGTCCTTTGATCCCATCGTTACTTATTCACCAGCCAGCATGTTCATAGAAGGGAAGGGATTATATATCTCTGGCGGAGCTCCACAGCCAGAGACAGCTACTAGTCAAGCGTTCATGATTGACCTTTCAGTTTCTTGGAACGCAAGCAGCCCTGTATACAGACCATTGGCGGATGGCCCATATGGCCTTTCAATACCAAGTGCTCTCTCTGCCGACGGAGAGAATTGGTTTTTGTTAGTGAACAGTACAGGTCATGTCTACAACATGCGAACAGGATCTTGGGACACCATTTTTGCCAGCGTCCGTATCGGTACTGAATTAGCTTTTGGAATAGCTGCAGTTACAGATCCTAACACGGGTATTATTTACATACCAAACGGACATGAGGAGGTACATCCATTCAAACAATGGTCCATGTTGACAGTGGATGTAAAGGCCAAAAAGTTTGATAATGTTCCTATGATGCAAGGACTGAATAGGACGGGGTTATATGCAGTAGCATGGAGCAATGTACGAGGAGAGTTCATTCTCACTGGAGGGTTTGCTCCTGGAATATTCGCCTACAGCCCAAAAAACGGGTGGAGCGCCCTGAATGTGAGTGGAAGCATTCCGTCTCACCGCCACAGTCAATGTCTTGTACCAGCATATGGAGGAAAAAAGCTTATTATGTTTGGAGGCCACTCGTCGGCGATGGGCTTGACTTTAAACGATCTGCACATTCTGGACGTCGCAAGTTTGACCTGGACCGCTGCTCCTAGTATAGACGCGCTGAATAGGAGACAAGAATCAGCATGTGCTGTTTCAGGAGACTATTTAATTGTATGGGGCGGTAGGAACACAGGGACCGTAGAAGACTTTATGGCCTCAAAAACGCCACTCATCTTCAATATGAAAACAAACAAATGGACGTCCACCTATATTGCGCCGCGCTCATCGACCACTACTACAAGCAGTGCAACTACAACTGGGACGTCGCCACCATCCAATTCGCCTACTGAAACAGTTGGTTCTTCTGGCGGCAGCTCTGTCCCCGTTATTGCAGGTGCTGTTGCTGGTGTGCTTGTTGTCTTGATCGCCTTCCTGGGGATTCTCTGGTACCGCAGGCGTGCAGCTGCGTCTAAAAATCAGGATAGTTACACATCAACGGTGGGAAAGCCTCCAGGGGATTCGGGCGAAGCCATTTCGAAGGAACCTATTGATACATGTTCAAGATCGTCAATGAGCAATCGTATGGCAGATCCACTTAGCAGAAACAAGAGTAGCAATAACAGTACTGCATACCCGTCACCGCCTCCTGTCCAAAATGTTAATAGTACTTATTTCAGTGGTGAATACGCCAATTCTAACAAATCATCACCTCGTAATCCAAGTGCCATTGTCGATGAAAGGATGCATTCCTATCAGAGTAATACCAAAATGCGACGACCTCCCCAAATGGGCGCCTATGGCGCAAGCCGTCTCTCTCAACACCCACATACAGATCCCATAGGTCGTTTTGAACAAGACAAGCAGCCACCAGTCCAAATGAATTATTATGTTGCGCCACCACCTGTCCCCTCCAACCCACAGGTCACCACTGCATACCATATTCCAACATCCAATTTTCAATAGTAATTTTAATAACTTTATTATTCAGTTTACTAGTCTAATAATTATAATATTCATAAAAATAGCATTCATCTCATCTCACCAAATAGACTATTCAAATTTTGTAAAGGAGATTCTCATGTCATGTTGGAAAAAAATGCCTGCGAAATAGGTCTATATCAGATGCTGCAGCCCGCAGGGTTTACCACCTCTCCATCGGCGGATGTAGCATAAGCAATGAAACAGAAACACATCTCCCTGTCCCTAACGCAAGGTCGGGAGAAACCGAGGCAAAAAAGATCTGTTCGCAGACACAAAAACGCAAAAAAACACAAGCATGACCCAAAAGATATGCATGGTGAGAAACAGGGTATTGAGCGGGAGTAAGAAAAAAGGGGCCATTGCGGGCCATTGCTCAATTATTGGCCCGATCTTCCGAAAAGGTGTCTTCAGGGTTGTTGCTCTTGTTTTATTGTTTAAATATGCGGGTTTTACCAACGTAATCCCTTCTTTCTTTCTTGTCCATACCATCCCCATTCTCATCTCTTCTTTTTCTTCTTCCTTGCCTTGCTGGTCATATTCCGCTTCCTTCTCCTTTTTTGTAATCACAGCCAGCCATGCATTCTCGCTCAATATATTGCGGCTGTGCATTTCTCTTGCTCTCTAGTGTTTCCATCCACGCTCAACAACAAACGTTCCAGCCAGATGTCAAAATCGGATCACTCAATGCATTTGTAGATGGACGGGCCATGTATGTCTTGGGGGGAGAGTCCGGTACAGCACCGGGCCAAGCAAATTCACAGGCCTTTTCTATCGATCTTTCGGTTTCCTGGCCCACTAATGCTCCTGTGTTCACAAAATTGCCTGACGGACCTTCTATTAAAGGCGGTTTCCATCATGGAGCCAGCGCAATTTCATCGGATGGTCGTACCTGGTTCGTTGCCTCTTCCTCATCTTCTGGTGGCAATACGGGCTACTTTTACAATTTCCGGACGGAAGAATGGAGCGAGATATCGAACAAGCAGATTTCATTTGAAGGTGACAAGGCTATCAGCTTTGTTTTGGGCTCAGGAGCTGCGACAGACCCATCGAGCGGTATGATCTATGTTCCTAATGGTCTAGTCGATCCTACGGGTCAGCGGTCGATGCTACAGATTGAGGAAGACAATGTGGATAGACCAATCAACAGTGTTGAAATGCCAGATGCATTGCAGACCACGATCGGCGCTGGAGCTAGTACTAGCATGATGAGCTCTACTTTTGTTGCATGGAGCGCGGCGCGGGAGAGTATGATCTACTTGGACATGTCGACGATAAGTACTGCTAGGGCGTTTGCATACAACCCTGAAAAAGGATGGAGCCAGCTTGAGATGCATGGGTCAATTCCTCATTCTCGATCAGATGCATGTTTTGTTGCTGCGCAGGGTGGATCAAAGCTGGTGCTGTTTGGGGGATTTGACTCGAGTCTACAGTCCAGTCTTAATGATATCCATATCCTGGACACTACCACGATGACTTGGACGAGCGGTGGCAACTCAATGGATAATGGCCGCATGGGTGCAGCCTGTGCAGCCTCTGGGGATTACTTCATTGCATGGGGTGGGCAAAGTCGTTTGTCTGGCAATAATGTCCTAGCTGGTACTGGCACGAGTACGAACACTATCATGGTATATGATATGAAAACTCAGTTATGGACATCCGAATACGTTGCGCCCAGCCCTGTGCGTTCAAAAAAATCAACTGGATATATCCTTGCAGTTATAGGCACAGTGCTCGGCTCATTGTCTGTTGTGTTGGCCATTGGCGCATGTATATTACACCGTGCTCGAAAGATGAGGATCCAGGCAAGCAAGGATGCTTCCATGGATGGTGACGATGATTACGCGTTGGGCAAGTACATTTACGTGCAGCCAGGAGCACGGAATGGCTCTCAGGTGACCTTACAGGAGCCACCTACGTATGCAGCAGCAGCACTACCTCAACCTTTGCCTCCAGCTTACCAGGCATAAAAAAAAAACACATTCGCATTTAATATCATTTAATACCACTTCCTTTTCTAATTTGTAATATATCATAGTTTGGTTACGTGAATAAAAAAAACATAATAATAGCAATTTGTTCTTTACAAACTTAATGGATGGTTTGTAAAATAAGAGTACTGTAAACAAGTCTGACTTACCCTTTGTCCCTTTTTTTTGTACAGCACTGTCAATGTGGTTCCTTCACAGTACAATTGAGAAGATAGTCTGAGACGCAAACACTGTTGGTCGGCTGCAGAATGCAATGTTTCCCCATTGGCTGGCCTTGTGACGGGACAGGGGAGACAGAAAGGGAGTCCTGTAAGCGAATGAGAGACAGAGGAGTGAGCGGGTCATTTGTCTCATCTTTCCTTCTCTCTCTTTCTCTCTCTCTCTCTCTCTCTTTTCATCAACACCTCGTCTTCCTTCCCGTCATCTGCCTCATACATATTCGTCCGTTCATTTATCTATTCACTCGTCCGCTATTCGTTCATCCATTTTCTCCATTACTTTTAATTAAAGCGATTCTTTACATCCATAGAAGCGCCTCACTTCATCGCTTCTCTCTCTTCACTTATACACATATTGTCTTTACTTTTCACTCTAGCCTCTCAGGACTTTATTCGTCTTTGTGCAGAAAAGAACAAAAGTCTATCTCTTCATTAATCAAAAAATAAAAGTCTGAATTGTCATGGCCTGGGCCACTGCAACTTTTGACAATGTTCTCGACGACCTCTCGAGGTAACAAAACTTGCTACTATCAGGAATATCTAATAATTAGCCTAAGAGCTGTGTATTCAACTCTAAACATCCTAATGTGTCTCCTGTCTCTTCATTGTGTATAGTCGGTTCATTATCAATGTTCCAGACGAAGAATTAGCCTCAGTAGAACGCATCTGTTTTCAAATCGAGCAAGCACATTGGTTTTATGAAGACTTTGTACGGGAGCAGAACCCTTCTTTACCAAGTTTCAATCTCAAGAACTTTTCAGCCAAATTCTTTCAGCATTGTCCATTGTTACATGAATGGTCCAATGAGCACGAGACCGCATTCGCCAATTTCATGGAGTACAAGATCAGGGTACCCGTCTGTGGCGCCATTATTCTGAACGAGGCAATGGATAAGGTATTTTTTTTTTTTTTTTTTTTTTTTTGAATGAATTAAAGGGTAGACACAAGGATAAGCTTATTATTAGAATGCTTTTCTTACTTCACTTTTGTCATTTTTTTCTCTATTACTTAGTGTATATTGGTCAAGGGATGGACTGCTCGGTCAGGATGGGGCTTTCCAAAAGGCAAGATCAACAAAGACGAGCTTGATAGCTCTTGTGCAGTTCGAGAGGTGATTTTTTTTTTTTTTTTTTTTTTTTTGCTAATAATGTTTTCTATGCATTCAAGTACTGATGTCTGATGTCTTTTATTATCATATTTCTGAATATTTAGGTTTGGGAGGAGACTGGGTTTGACCTGACAGACAAGATTAATGACAATGATTATGTGGAGCAAACCATCAAAGATCAAAGGATCCGCTTGTATATTGTCAAAGGAGTTCCTGAAAGCACCGTCTTTGAGCCTCAGACCAGGAAGGAGATCAGTGTACGCTGTTTTCTAGATTCTTCCTCTCCTCTACATTTAGCAAATGCAATGTGCTAACAGGACAACAGAGTGGAAGTGCCTGACCGTGATCATGAGGAATTTATTTTTCTTTTCTCTTTTCACCTTCATTGCAATAGAAAATCGAATGGCACTCTATTGCTGACCTACCAACATCTAAACCGAAACCAGTCGAGAAAGGAACACAGTCAGGAAAGGAGAGTGGGACTGAAAGGGCCAGTGGGGCCAAGAGCGCTAGCAGATACTACATGGTGACGCCTTTTGTTCAGTAAGTCTATTTTCCATCCTATATTTTTGTCTTTACCCAGACCTATTATGTGTCGGAATAAAAGTCAAAGCTTGGAAGCGAGATATTCATAACCTGACGCCTTATTTTTTTTTTCCTTTGCTTTTTTTAAAACATCTAGCAAACTCAAGATTTGGATTAACCAACAACGGAGGAATTCAAAACGCAATAATGGGTATAGGGGCCAGAATCCCCAGGGTACGTCACAGCAGCAACATACCCATGTCTCTGAAAATCATGCCACAAGCATATCTCGTCATCAGCAACATCAGCACAGCCCTCATCAAGCAGCAGGTGCAGCAGCAAGTGCAGCACCAGTGGTTACCCCTACAGAGGCGCGCTTGGATTCGGACATTTTGAAGAGCATGCTGGGCATAGGAAAGAGTCCATCATCGTCTACACCATCGCATGATCAGAGCCAAAATCAGAACCAAAACCAACAGCATCCACAGTATCAGTATCAGCACCCTGTGCACCACAACGGCCCTGTTCAGGACCACAGAAACAGCAGTGATTCTTTGAAGGCTCTTTTAGGCATTCAAAGCCCTGTTAATAATCCAAATATGTTTCTGCGCGACGGAATGGCCATGGGATCTCCTACGATCCAGTCAACATCCACAACACACCCAATGCGTCCACTATCAACCCCATCGATGTCATCTTCTTCTGTGCCGTATCAGAATGGAAGCGACGCATTGAAGGCCATGCTCGGAATCCCCTCTCAGCCCAATAGTCCACTGTTACGCTTTGCAGCCGGCGACGCCCCTTCACCAGTAGCGCCGCAACACACAGGCGCCATCCCTAATGGTCATTATCATGGCCTGCAACAGCAGCAACAAAGACCAGATTTCTCGCCACGGATGCATTATCAACCTGCAGTAACAGGTTCACCTACATTCTCGCGCAATAGCCCCGTGGACCTTTTGGCGCTTTTGAAAAATGGAACAGGGGCTGTTGGGAGTGGGGGAGGAGGAGGAGGAGAGGGAGGAGGAGCAGGAACTGAAGGTTCGAACGGTGGGTATCACGCATTCAATCAGAGCAATGGCAATGGTCAGAATCATGGCCATGACTTTAACGGTTATAAAGCTAATTCAAACGGCGGCAGTCATAACCCCCACAGCAACAACAACAGCAGCGGTGTGAGCATGGGTGATCATGGTGTCCCTGCTGCAGTCAAAGCCCCCAAGACCACGAGCATGCAGAACTTTAGTTTTGACGTGGATGCCATGTTTTAAAAGAAAACCGAACAGAAGAGGCAGACCTCATCCTTTTATTTGTCGTTCCTGGTTTGTGTCAACGTCATTTAAAACTTGGGACTTGATGATGGGGAGCTTATCCTCTTCATTTACACTATGGGATTGTATGGATTGTATCCTACATGGAGCATTTGAGGAGGAGAAAAGAAGAAGGATAAACATGAAAAAGTAAGTAACTACAGATAAAAAAAAAAAAAAGTAAAAATGAATAAAGTAAAAAACAGGGCCTGTCTTCTTTCAAGGACGCCATTGTTTTGTTGCCATAAGCATCAAAAAGCAATAAGCAAAACAAAAACAAAAAAAGAAAAAAGAAATAAGAGGACATTTCATTTCAACAAAAAAACAAGGGTAGCGTTTGTCTTTTTTTAAGTGTAAGAAAAAAAAGTTAGATAATTATATCATTCTACATTGTGAAGTGGATGGATTTCTTTTTGTTATTGTTAATCAAAGGACGATTGACAGCAAAGCTGTTTGTATCCAGTGAATTTGGCTTGGGCTCTCAAGCAAGAGCATGAAGAAGCAGAGGAGTGACACCATCAATAGTCCCGAGAGGCCATAGGACTCTGTAAAGGACCAAGCCTCTCCTTCGTCCCAAGTATCGCTTCTGCTATGACTGGAGTGTAACCTGTTACTGTTACTGATAATGTCTCTTCGATCAGCGCTCTTTACGTTGCGCAGAATGGACGTTCCCGGGCACCGTTGGTTCATCAAGGCTTGATGGTACGAGTCCAAGGCCGAGGAGGTGGTCTCGTTTTGAGAAATGGCTCCAATCCGGCGACGCGCATTTTTGATTTTACCAGACCAAGATGACTTCGCAGTATTACCAACGATGAAGTTATAATCATATAGTTGATCGTTGAGTACATGATTGTTGTGGTGCTGACGATATTGAGAATGGTTGGAAGTGGGTATTGCTGATATAAGAGGGTTTTGAAGGATATAATATTGTACGTCCTCTTTTGCGTCGACAGAATGCGTAGTGGCCATATGTCGATACCTTTGTTTGTGTTTATTCCTTTGCAATGTGTGATTCCTCCTTTGCTCTTGTTCTCCTCCTTCTTCTTCTTCTTCTTCTTTTTCTTCTCCTTCTCCTTCTTCCTCCTCTTCAAGACTTTCGCATTCATTATCACTATCGATCTCTGGATCCCCATCGTCTTCAGAGGCCTGAATCGGATGATGATGAGAAGCATTAAGCCCTCCTCTTGTTATACTTGCGGTTGAGGCTGTCCTTGCTTTCATTGAGCTGATGCGTCCACCAAGCTCCAGCTCCTCGAACCGTTTTGTCGAGTATAGATCGGTTTTTAGTGGCGACAAAGGAATCAAGTTGTTGGAAGAGCTTTTTTTTAAAGAGAGTGATTTTGATAACGACTGTCTCCAGGAATTGGAGAGTCCTATCATTGACTTTGCCTTTAATACCCATCCTTCTAGGCCCTCAATAGGCTCGCATGGCGCTGAGAAAGGCTGCTGTTGCTGTTGCTGTTGCTGTTGCTGTTGCTGTTGCTGTTGCTGTTCTTGCTGTTGCAGCTGTTGTAGCCGTGAGATGGTAAAGGCTCTTTGTCTCAATTTCTCTCTATCAAGTGCTTGCTGTTCCTTTTCAGATCGGATCGTCATCACATGGAGACCCAATTTGGAAGGCACCTTTGGCCTTGCACTCAATCCTTTTCTGGCCTCTGACCCGAGCCCAGTCGGCTTGGGTTGCGCCCCTGTGGATGGTCCAGGTGCTCGAGGCATCTCTGCGCGTAGGCGACCGTATTGTGTCACTTCAGCTTGAGTCATAATCATCTTCATCAAGACATATCTGCGAATTGGTTGATGTGAATGTAGGTGGTACGCTGCATGGACATAAAGCCTTGCTAGATCTTTGGAAGAAATGGTCGACAATAGTTGATTAGCCAAGGCGGAGCCAGGCATGAGTGAATGAATAGAATCGTACTGTCGATAACGACGAGGTTGAGATTGAGGCATATGTGACGATGTTTGCAAAGGCTGACATTCCGTATCTGCTGTTGTAGGTGCAGCCACAGCAGGAGCGCCAAGCGATGGTGATGGAGACAACTCAGGAGATAGCGGTGACAAGGTCTTTTGCTTTGTGTTTAAGCTGGCAAGATTATCACAGCGAGTGAGCCAAGGTACTGAAGCTGTGTCATTCTCTGCTCTATTAGACGTTTCTATAACTGCCATAGTGTCCAGCGTAGGTGTTGTAGGAGACACATTATTGCTCCGTGGTGAGACTTGATAAATTACGTCATGACGAGTAAAGGGTTGCGAAGATTCCAACGTATTACTGGGAGCAACGATTTCTGGGGTTAGTGGTGGAGGTGATGGCAATGGTGAAGGTAAGGACTTATTAGGGTACGTAGACGTATTAGTTCCTAGTCCAGGCTCCGGGGAAGTTAGAGATGTACTCAAGGGTGAAAGAAGCCATGGTGGCTGTGAATGAAGGGAGAGAGAGTGCTCTAAGTTTGGTGTATCGGACGAGAACGGAGTTGATGCAAATATTGTAGCAGACACTGGTGAAGGCTCTGGTTGTGGTTGTGAGTGGTGATGATGATGATGGACATAGAGGTGAATAGCAAGACTTGAAGGAGATTCTGGAGACATGGCTGAGTGTGCTGGCGATGGTAATTGTTGTGGCTGTGTATGTATTGTGATTATGTCCTTTCTGTCATATACCGATGGATGCTGCTGCTGGGGCGGCTGAGATAAAGACGCGTCTTCTGGGATTAAGATCGGTGGAGGCAATAAATGCTGTCTTGTGAGCTTTGATGTGATGCCTCTTGATGGAGGCTCTGCACCAAGAGATTCCTTCAGATACATATGGTCTCGTGGAATAGGCGCTGTTGGACTGGTTACAGTTGTAGACGGTTGCTTTTGTTCAATCATGGGGTCATGCAGTGGATGAAACATGGCTTCGAGGTGATTCATATCGGTGCGTGGACAGTGAGGATAATGGCGGTCGTTGTCACTGCCGTCATACTGCTGGTGATAATTGGAATCGTGACGGCGATGAAACGTACTGACGTTAGCGTTGGTAGTGTTGTGACCAAAAGAAGGAAGGGGCGACAGAGGCGAATATCGTTGTGATGAACGGCGATACTCTTGATGTTGGGTAGGCTGTTGCTGACCATCCACCTGTTGTTGCTGGGAATGATGTTTTTGAGATTGATATTCTGGTGCACAATTCTCGTCTGTACTGTAGCGGTATTGTTGATGCACGGGCAGGTTAGCATGACGATGATGATGATGATGATACTTTTGGTTCTGTCGCGAGTACGGCCGCGGTAGCAAGTATTGGTGCTTGTTTAATAGATGAGTTCCTCGTAAACTCTTTCCTAAATGTGTATAGTGCCTCTTATAATCAGGAGTCCTGACCATCTTGACCTCAGAGTCTGTTTGCAGAGCATTGTCCTCTCGTTCGTGTCTTTGATTTCTTTGTTGGCCATTAGTGTGCACTAGGTCTTGGTATTGTTGGTTCGCTTCTGTGTTCTTTTTGTTTTCGGTGCTGGTAATATCACTGTTACTATTGTTGCTGCGGATGTTACCAAGGTAGTTTTGAGCGAAGACGCATCGTGGGATAGGATGATTGACGGACTGCATTGTCTTTCACTATTTCTTTTTTATTATTATTTGTTTTCGTACTGGAGACGTCCTACTCTAGATTAAAAGAGGCTGAAGTATCAGATATCACAGTTGATTAGAGTTCATATGAAAAAAGAAACAAAGATAATAAAAGATATCAAGCAATACCTCAATGACTACTGATGTGTGTAGAGGCGTAGAGGAGCCAAGTAATAGTAGATATTGCGTTAGATGCTAAGGGATTGTGGATACAGATGATTGATTTGTTCGACCTCAAGGAGGTACAAGAAATAAAAGTGAGGGTATATAAAATAAAAAAAAAAAAAAAAAAAAGATATGAACGTTAAAAGTCAAAGGCAAGAATCAGGCTACAGATGAGGGATAGGAACGGTACAGGGGTCAGAGAGCTCTGAGGGCCGGAAATCAGAAGAAAAGGGGCAATAAAGAAAGGAAGGAGGAGGAAGCAAAGGAGCAATGAATTGGAGAAGTAAGAGCTGAGTAAGTGAGTTACAGTCTTGAACCTCAGACTATTCCAGCTTGTGTTTTGCTGTGCTGTTGAAGATAGGATAACGAAAAGAGCGGGGAAAGGAAAAGCAATAAAAAGGAAAGAGAAGGAAGGGAAGAAGAGGAAGAATAGAAAGCAGGTTTGTGGAAATAAAGATTGAAGAGGAGGAGGTCAGTCAACAATTGCAATAGAAAATCAACGCGACGTTAGACTACTGCAGGCAAAGATTTAAATTATAGACAAAGCAAAATGCATTCTTACTTTTTTAATTTTTTTTATCAGCTTCAGTCGTGTCTGAGATAATCCCAAAAAAATTAAATGCATTCGCAAAGTGGTGGCGGGGCATCAAGAGAACAATGATCTTCTATATGAACCAGGGTAGTCGTGTACCGGGCTAGTAATAAAAAAAAAAAAAAAAAAAAAGCAGCGAGAGGATCATGACTTGGATACTGTTGGATAGCGATAGCGCAGGTGCAGGTTCTCCCCTCTCGGCCTCGATTCCAATATCATCGTTCCATACTTCTTTGTATCCATTGGGCGATAGAGACTTGCAGCAGATTACTAAATTAAAACCTGGAATCTGGGATATTGGCTGCAATCGAAACCGCTTCTTTCCTTGTTCACCAAACCTGGTTTCCTTGGTTTCCTTGATTTTGTCCTTTGGGTCCTTTCCTATCAAAATTCCTTTCTATTCCTTAAGCTAAACTTATAGGGACACGCACACAATCTTCTATAACCGTCTTTAGAGTCACTTTTAAAACTGCTTTTATACAACGTGTGCAGGTAAAAACATGAATGGAATAAGCAAAGCTTATATGGGGGGTTTTTTTTATTTATTTTAAACGAGATAAGAGGAGTATCAGGTCAAAAGCAGCTTTTACTTTATTAACTGACATATACTTTAACTTTGTCATCACTGCTCTGACTATTAGGTTTATGAATGTGAGGTGATGGATGATGTAGATCTGGAGAGAGTGAATATGGTTGCTGATAGGCCGGTAATGGTGATGGCACTGTGCCAGGATGGTGTGGTAACGGCATTGATGCGGAGTACTGCTGAGGCATCGGATACTGCTGAGGGGTTGGATACTGCTGATGTTGCCCAGGCATTGAAGGAGGTATAGTGACCTGGGAGTGATGATGAAGATATGTATGCTGTTGATGATCTACAGGAGACATGAGGTGCTGCGGTAACGGTAAAGTATGTTGAGCAGGTGTTGGCATTGGGGTTGGCCACGGAAGCAACGGTGCAGATTGATGGTGGCTCAGTGGAGATGAGTATGGTATTGATACTGGTAGTGGCTGCGGCATTGATGGGATAGGCGGCGATTCCGCTGGGGATTCCCCCACTGCTGGGACTGTAAACTGTTTTGGGCGAGTGACACGCGTGATTTTATGCTTTGGCGGAGGCAGTGGGGGAGCTGTTGAATGGGGCGTTGCAGGCAGAGGCCTGAATTGTGCAGCCGAAGTAGTCTTGTATGGTGGCTGGGCTGGACGTTCGCCTTGCGGGCCCTGAGGTCGCGTATGGGGAGCTGGGACTGTGCTGGCACGCGGTGGGGGGATGTTGTGTGGATTAGGTGGGTATATTGGCGATGAAGAATACTCTCCAGAAACAGCAGGGTGTGGTTGAAAATGAAGAGTCGGATCAGGATATGAAATGGATGGGTGATTGTAATGCGGAGCTGCAGTAATGTGGCTATAATGTGCAGCGCTGATATAAGTCGAGGAGTCTTCATATATTGTTGGGGCTGGTCCTATACTGCTATGGTTCTCAATGATTGCATGAGCTGTCTGGACCCTCTGAGGAGGTTGTGAAGGGGATGTTGATCCTGCGGAAGCAGATGTGTCAACTGATGCCAGACGCTCTTGTGATCCTGTGGGGACACCGTTAGCTAAAAGTGGAGGGAAGTAAGTCGTTTCTGATTCCTGGAAAGGAGATGTCAATGGAGTTGGTGGTAAAGGACGATCCAGAGTCTGGGTAGGGACAGAGGGGACGGGTGACAGATATGTACTTCCGCTCGAGCTACTTATTGTCGATTCCGAGAGATCGGCCGCAGGAGCTATAGGCAGAGGACGAGGGGGTAGCTTCAGAGTTGTGTTCTTCAGCTCCTGAGCTACTTCCAAAGCTTCTGTTAGCACATGATCAATCGCTTCATGCCTAAGAATTTTTGCAAGATCGAGTGCTATTTTAAGTCATGATTTACGATTGAATCGCAGTATGTCAGTCCGCTGATTTTTTTTTTTTTTTTTTTTTTTAAGGAGCATCTTCATTACTAACAGTACTATTTTTTCTAGCAATATCAGACCTGACTCTCCATTCTTATTCCTGGCGAAGAGCTCGCTGTCGCTGGTAATTGGATGTGTTCGAAACCATGTGAGCAAGTGTCGAACAATCTCTCTTACTAATGTTCTCTGGCCCTGAATGACAGCTAAATGTAACATATCGTGTCCTTCCTTTGTTGCTCTTCGTATAATGTCCAGACTCTCTGTTGAGATTTGATCATGTTCATTGCAGAGCATGTATAAAACACCTAGTGCCAAGTGCTCTGACCGTGTTACATTGGGAGGCTGCTCCAACTTCAGCAAAGTCAACGTCTTTTGTCTGGACTACATCATAGCGTTGTATTAATTGAGAATTTGTCAGTAAGAATGACGACGTGTAGCATATGTTGTAGGTATAGAAGGCCTAAGTATAAAATGTCTTACTGTTTTATTTGCCTCCAAGTCCAATGTACTCGTAAGGTTTGTCAGGATCAATTGACGATGGAGTTCAATGATATTATGCAGCAGCTCAGTTTCGGAATCTAGATTTATGAATATCCAAACATGAGCAACCGGGGAAAAAAAAATACACAGAGGCTCGGCTGCGCTTTGCCACCGAAAAGAGAGCAAAGTAATACAAACCACACAGCTTGTGTACTGCGTATTCGGATCCTATTTTAAACAGTCTTCATGTTGGCGGCGATGCCATGTTTGATTATTTCTATTTCCTTACCTTCAACAGCAGTCATCTCAAATGTAGTGTCCATATCCTCTTCGCCTTTTGCACCAGCACAGATTAACGAGACAGACAGATTCAACTCCTTGCATGGATGTATGCCCTTGTTCATTGCTAACCAGTCAAGAAGATTAGGCGACGTAAATTCCATCTCTGTGTTTTTGTGGATCCGAGGAGTGATCACCTTTGACTTGACGCTGTCACCCAGCTGTGGACACTCAAAGACAACTTCTATACCCTCTGGAAATTATAGTTGTTGACACCCAACATAAAGAAAAAAATAGAGGGTAAATAGGTGATGAGAATGGTTCCTAAACTTCACGCCTGCACAAGAGCAAAAAAAAAAAAATAAAAAGTAAAGGAGAGTTCATCCAACCTCTAAAGTTGACACCGGTTAATATGATATGACTTCCACCTCTAGCAGGTATCAGACGCTGAGAGATTTCGCCTAATAGCAACGGAAAATGGCCCTGGTCAGCCCATGCATCTCTGGGATGTTGAGCTGTGGTACTCAATTGTTGATCATGATTATCTAGGGCTGTATTGGTGTGATGATGCATCAATTGAGGGTTGCCGGGCGCATTTTGCTTATGTTGCTGTTTGTAATAATATTAAGATTGTCCAGTAAGAAGAGTGAACAGTTTAAATCAATAGGTCAACTTGGTTTCTCAAAGGATTTGGTTGTTGTACTCTTACTGAGTCAAGTGAAGGATCTCCTGGAGTATCGAGTGTGAGATGCATGGTATTGTGTACGAGAGAATTGGTGTCTTGTGAATCTGACATGTGAAATGCAAGTTGCATTCAGCAAGCAGACAAAAAAGTGATTGAGATGGAAGAAGAGAGGAAAGGGAGCTGAATAGAGATGAGAGAGAGTGAGGAGCAAACTTTGGGAAATATAATGCAATGCCCTGCTCACAGATTGTTGTCTATTATCAGCAAAGGCGATCAAATTAACCCAAAAATTCAGATTGAATGCAGGCATGTGGAACCAAAAAAAAGTCCAGGCTCTTTTTTTTTATTGCATTGCCATGGCCATGGATCGATGACTACGCGATCTGATGTAGTGCGGGTACTCTAACCTTTAGTTTCCGGAACGACAATGGCGCATCAGGGACATTCGATATAGTCTTTCATTGCAATAGCTTATCATTAATAGAGTCTGTATTTAGAAATAAATGTTGACCATGGTTTTTGCTGCTTTGGTCCTAGTTGGCTTCAACAGCTTACAGAGCAGTTAAGACCCAGAATCTGGATTGGGATATGACTAACGAAAAAGGAAAGTGCCACCGTTGAACAGGTGGCTTTTCCCTTGACTATTATCCAATCAACATACGAGATCAAGATTCGCTCGTTCGCTTTTTTTTCCCACTTCTCCTACCTGTTGCTTCTCTTTTTGATGAGGATGTGTCGCATTTATTTCACTTGACACTTTGACTTCCCTATTTAATATTTGGACCTTGTTTTTCTTTTTTTTTTTTTTTCCCTCTCTTCTTTTCTCTCTTCAACACACACTCTTCTCTTATTTTCCTTGTTTCAAATATCATCCGCTATGACCTTCGCTACCCCCACTAACTTGGTTCCTGCTCAGGAGAACGGCTCTTCTGCTGTTGACAACACCTCCGAGGTGCCTGAAGTCGCTTCCTTCCACGTCAAGGCTGGTCTTGCTCAAATGCTCAAGGTAAGGGCATTATAGATTAAGACTATTACTGTTATCATCGTTATCATTCATTTTGGAAGAAATCAATCAAGTCAAAGGAAGGAAAAAAAAAAAAAAAAAAGATGCACCAGTCAACATCAGTGCACAAAAGCAGAAAAAAAAAAAAAAAAAATCAAAACAAATCAAAACAAAGAACTTGGAAATAATGTTGTTCATTCGACTGATCAACTCATTTTATAATGTCTCTTCATTGCTACTCATGCATTAGGGAGGTGTGATCATGGATGTCATTAACGTCGAGCAGGCTCTTATTGCCGAGGCTGCTGGCGCCTGCGCTGTCATGGCCTTGGAGCGTGTCCCTGCTGATATTCGCAAGAACGGTATGTATACATACTTTCGATTTGATTTTGAGGGGACTTTGTTCTGACCTGAGCCACTATTCTGGGAAAAAAACAAATAAAAAAGCTTTACCATGTTGACTCATGGTATCACCTACTAGGATGATACACACCACACACAATATGCAGCTCTGGCGGAACTCTAATGAGATTAAAGAAACTCTTTACGCCCTACTTTTCCACGCTTTTGACTCATCAATCTTTTTTATCCACTGTTTGAATATCGTCGGATCTTTATAGGCGGTGTTGCCCGTATGTCTGATCCTCGCATGATCCGTGAGATCATTGACGCTGTCTCCATCCCTGTCATGGCCAAGGTCCGAATTGGACACTTTGTTGAGGCTCAGGTATGTAGTACATAACGACGCAGCACAGAAAGAGAGAGTAGATGATTGTTGTGATCCTTCAATTTCAATAGATCAAGTGGATACTCAATGTCCTTGTTTTTCTTATACTTCCACTTCCCAAACAGATTATCGAGTCCCTTGGAGTTGACTACATTGATGAATCAGAGGTTTTGACCCCTGCCGACGAATCCAACCATATCAACAAGCATGACTTCAAGGTTCCCTTTGTCTGCGGTGCCAAGAACCTTGGTGAGGCTCTTCGCCGCATCAATGAGGGTGCTGGTATGATCCGCACCAAGGGTGAGGCTGGCACTGGTAATGTTGTTGAGGCTGTCCGCCACTGCCGTACCGTCAAGGCTGAGATCCGCAAGGCCCAGTTGATGGATGATGCTGAGCTTTTCACCTATGCCAAGGAGATCCAAGCTCCCTATCACTTGCTTAAGGAGACTGCCAAGTTGGGTCGTTTGCCTGTTGTCAACTTTGCTGCTGGTGGTGTTGCCACCCCCGCTGATGCTGCCTTGATGATGCAGCTTGGATGCGACGGTGTCTTTGTTGGATCTGGTATCTTCAAGTCAGGTGACCCAGCCAAGCGTGCTCGTGCTATTGTTCAGGCTGTTACTCACTACAAAGACCCCAAGGTCCTTGCTGAGGTCTCTGAGGATTTGGGTGAGGCCATGGTTGGCATCAACATTTCAGACATCCCTGAGGACCAGCTTTACGCCAAGCGTGGCTGGTAAAAAAACAACAACCGAACCTTTTAGGCCTCCACTGTTAAAAGTTGTATTCTTTACATTTTTCCTACCCCCTTCCATTGCGATATGTAAATTCTTGTTTTTTATTTATTTTTTTAGACATCCATTAAAAAATTGTATTCGTATCAATTTGATTTATCATTACAATGTTTCTTCTGCAATGTCTGCTATTGATTGTGGACAGTTTCAGCTTTTCAAAGATTGTCGATATTGTACATGTGCATGAAGTTTATAGGATGAGTCAGAGAACATGTTTTGTGCAGATTGAAATGGTGCGCAAGCTTTACTCATCCGTGACATCGTGAACCCAAGTGCGACTCACGGGGATGCGAAGGGCCATCTTATTGTATGAAAGCTTTCTCCAGAACGAATCTTTACTGTTTTTCTTTTGGACCAGCACAACTTGATCGCCCAATTTCAGTTCCGGGTCAACGACAGTCTCCAACTCGTCTGCAGCCTTATTCACAATTCCAGCTAGTTGCAAATATTTCTTTCCCCATTTTTGGTTTAACAATTTTGCGCCATGATCTTGAACCTCGATCAAAAGGTGGTCGTGGTCTTGACTAATGAGCATGTTATTGATTGCAAATGTCGAAACATTCTTATAGTTGCCCCTTGGGGTAGAGATTGAAGGTAATGATGTTGAAGTTGATAGCGACGAGGTCTTGTCATTATCGTTGTCAATGTCGTTATTATTATTCCAATACACATCATTATCCTGTACAAAAGTCCCAATGTTGCCACTTTCTTCCGTATCACCCCATTTGTGATGATCACTTGGCTTGTCTGAGTGAAAGAGACCCAAACGAATGCTGACTCTATCAAGTTGTCTCTCATTCTCGGGGAAGACCCAGTGGAACCACTCTTGGTTGGGTCTTGCCCTTTGGATCTCCCATTCAGAACCCAGCAGATCCAATGCAGGTGTAGAGCTATAGATCCCTGATGCTGCTTGTTTCTGAGCACGTTTCAAAATTTTGTCCAAATCCCTGTTGGCCAACATAGCGGGCATTGCATAGGTTATCGACGAAATCGTTCCCCCGAGGAAGAGGATGGGCAAGAGAATGAAAAGGATTCCGCCTGTTAATAATAATAACGCCCCACCATAGACGCCTCCAATAACGACGGGAATAAAGAGGACGGTGGCAAAGGGCGCTCCGAACATCAATATGACCGGTACAGCCACGACCACAGCAGAAATGATCATCACTTTGAACATAAACCGAATGGGTCTCCTTGGTGGCCTCGGAGGCCTCGGCATATTGTAGTTGTTGTAGTTGTTGTAGTTGTTGTAGTTGTTGTAGTTGTTATATGATGATCTCTGTCGAATCTGTTGTTTTAGTCCATGGTGTTGTTGTCGAAATGTTAGCAGCGAACGGCGACAAGATAAAAATATGTGTGTAGGAGGTATTGTTGTTACGAATTGGCGAGGTTTGGTCCACTGTATGAGGCCTCTCTTAGCCGTTACATGGCGTGGGAAAAAGCTTTGACATGTTTCGAACAAGTTGGTAGGCCTTCTGATAGATGATAACAGTAATAGCGATGATGATGGTGGTAGTGGTAACAATGCTGGTGTTGTAAAGCAGCTATAGCACTGGTTTAAAAGAGGTGGTTTTGTAGCACTATGTCTGATAGCTGGTCCTCCTTCTGTTACTGCTCCCATTCCTATCCCTACGCAAGAAAACGTATGATTATTTCTATAGATTAATCTATTCCGGATAGATGTTTGGCCAATAGGTGTGCATAAGACGCTGTTTTTTGGACGGATAGTCCTGAGAATCCTTGTTAGGCTGCTATCGCCAAATGGCATGGTTATGCACTGCAGACGCTGTTGAAGATACGGAGTTCTTTACGGAGAGCTTTTTTTTTTTTTTTTTTTTTTTTTTTTTTTTTGTTTTGGTCGAAGTAAGGCAGGTTAAAAAAAAGAGTAGAAAGTAGAAGGTGCGGAAAAGAGTGATGCCGGATGTGGCTTGTGGGTATACACAAATTACGATAGAAGTTTGTCTGCCCAATTGCCCAATGGGAGTAATGCTTGTTAAGGCGTTGGAAAAACGCAACGCGCGTGATAATAGATCTCAACAGTCCAGATTCCCATCATCATTGAGGCCTCGTGTAAGATATACAGCTCTTTGATCCTTTCCTCCAATGCTCATCCTGCATGACAAATCCAATCAAATGTTCTAGTGTAGAGTAAGGAGTAGGGTGCATTGACAAAAAAGAAAAGAAGGGAGGAAGGGGGGGATGAGGACTAAATTAGATGCCGCTCCAGAGCAGATGCGCCCCTCATTTTGGACTAACATCTCTTTTTTATTATCCATTGCCACTCAGCCCAGGAACAAACCACAGCATGCACTAACGCTCAGAAAGTTCTCGCTCAATTACAGTATCATCGAAATTATTCATTGTCGTGTATCCCTTATTTTTTTATTTTTTTATTTTTTCATCTTGCCTTTTTTTTTTTTTTTTTTTTCTTCATTCTTCTCCCTTCACAACATGTTCTCTCCTTTTTTTTTATTTCTTAAAATAACAAGAGGTTCCGGTTACTTGGCTGGATTTACTTCTTTATAGCTCCAAACTCCAGACTATTAAAATTTGAGGCGTATAGCTTTTTTTTATATCCTATTGGTTGTTCCTTCGATATGCCCTACATACCTTTGGACTTCAGGGTTTTATTTTTTCTCTTGCCAATTTAATTTAAGTTGATTCGTTTATTTTTTTAATGCCATACTACTTTATGCCTTTTCTTCTTCTTCTTCTTCTTCTTCATCATCTTCTTTTGCAACACTTCTTTTAATAGTATCGTAGAGGTTCCCTCAGCATCATATGCCTTTTTAAAGAAATATATCTCAAATTGGCCTTTTCCGGTTATGATTCTAAAGCGTTCGAGACTTGCAGAAAGTTAGAGCGACTTTCAACGGCTGAGCAACAACAACGTGGATAACAGAGCACAAAAAAAAAAAAAGAAAGAAAGAAAGAAAAAAGAAAAGAAAAGAAGGTAAGGAGATCATCTTTTATTTATGTATTCTACGGCAATGGGATGGTAGATAGTGTATAAGAGAAGGAAGCTAAATGAAGGGATTGACAAGGGAAGAGGTCGCTTGCTTTGTTTGTTGAGCAAAAGGTCCTTCTCTCCATACCTCAGTCGTCCCTGCTAGCCATGTGCTCCTTGGGGATCGAGGGATAAAATAGTTATTTCGAGGAGAGTCGATCTTTCTCCTCCTTCAATGATATGATCGCAATTCCTTAAGAACTACAGCCCCTCTTCCATCCATGTCGTCCATGTTCTTTTTTTTTTTTATTTTTTTATTTTTTTTTATTTTATTATTTTTTTTATATTGCCCATGCATACAACATGGCTCCTTCTCCTTTTTTTTTTTTTTTTTTTTTTTTTTCTGAAGGAATCTGACTATCCTGTTTGTGGCACTTTCATTTGCATAACCATTATTATGTAAAAGAAGGGGCACCAGAAAAAAAGAACATCATCTAGGCATCTAGACTTATTACGTTGCCCCTTCCCTTCCTTCGCTCTGTTTCCCAATATCTACTCACGTTTCACTACTACAAAGAGTCCATGTTGCTCTTAAACAATAACGTGATTTCAGTAACCAGCAACATAAATTCTACATTTGCCAATCCTCCTTTGAATACGTAAACATTCTATGGGTACAGTTGCGAGTACGAGAGTATAAGAGAGAGAGAGAGAGTAATGTGGCTCGGAAAAAAGAAAAAGAGAAAGAAGAGGATACCAAAGAGACAGCCCCATTCCGCATGATTGACGACCTTGGAATGGAGAATGGATAAATAGAGTATTACATACAAAAAAGGCGTTATTTTTAGGTTGCAGCAATGATATAAAACTCCATTTGTGCGCGTAAAAGGCCGGGCTGAAGGAATACGATCGAGTGGTATGCTTAGGGAAAAGACATGGTCGCGAGCATATGCAACTGTATTTTAGTGATTGGTTCTTAGCCCCGTTTCGTAATGGATAAGACGAAGCGGTCAATGCTAAAGGATAAAAAAAAAAAAAGACAATAAGCACATATAAAAAAAAAGGAAAAGGAAAGAGGAAAAAAAAAAAAAAAAAAAAAAAAGAAATCTCATCTCATCCCATAATGGTGTTGCTTGTGATCATTTTATTACAACGCAATTAGTTCTTCCCTTTTGTTCACGGAAAGCATTACTGCTTCTCAACTGGAGCTCTCCATAGTGTCCATAGTTTTGCCAGGTTTCTTTTAAAGAAGCGGATTATATTTCATCTGTTCAATTGCCGATGCAAGTAACCTATCATCCCATGTCTTAACCACCATCTTCCATCTCTTACCCGTGCGCAAGTGTTATTGCGAAGCAAAAGCTATTCATTTCTATCCAGATTTTTTTTTTGATTGAGTCCATCTTCTGGCTCCCTATTGATTGATTGTGTATGCACCCTTGTTTTGTTCTCATGTTTTTTTATTGATTGTTTGTTTTTTTATTTTGAGCCTTTCTCTTTTTTCCTCTATCCTCAATCCATTTAGTTGCTCCCGTTCCTCCTTATTTTGATTGTTTCTAGCTGTCTTTATTCGACGTAAAGGATCATTATAGTGTCAATGTGTTATGCATCTATATCAATAGTGAGTATTATATCCTTGCGGGGTCGTTTTTTTTTTTTTTTTTTTTTTTTTGCTGCTGACACAACAAACAAGAGCAACAATAATAAAAAAAACCACAAAAAAAAAAAAAAAAAAAAAAAGAAAAAAAAGAAAAAGTAAAGCATGTCTCTTTGTACTCTTTTCTTACTAACATATCCTTCTCTTCGTCTCTTTCTATTCTCCTTCTGTTCTTTCCCTTTCTTCCTCTCCTCTCTATCTTTTTTATTCATGTACTCTGATGTGACTTTAATTCCACCGTCTTGATTGTTTTTGTCTATTTCTACTTCTAATTCTCTTCTTTATGATTGTAATGCCACAAACCTTTTTTTTTTTTTGCTTCGGCGCTTGTTTACTATAACTGCCTTTCTTATTACTTATTAGCTTGGAAAATACCCTAGAACAAATACATCCAACTCATAATATCACTCATTTGATCTGCAAAAAAAAAAAAAAAAAAAAAAAAAAAACGTTTGTTACACATACAAAACGCCAACTCGAACACGGACCAACTCTCACTTCTCAAACCCTAATTTATATTTTGTATTTTATATTTTATATCCTGTCTCCTATACATACGCCATGAAGTTCCTTTGGACACAGACATGCACACAAATGCGGACAAAGGCACAGACTCTACAAAAGAGGCATTCCACCACTATCGCTACTTGCCTCATGGTAGCCTCATTCTTAGCCGGCAGCCTTCATTGTTGTGCATCCGCACAGTCAACTTATACCCCTTCCGACTCTTGGCATACCTCGACAACTCACCCAACCGCGTCTTTGTCACACCAGGGAAATCGTCTCACAGACCGGAGAATTAACAATGCTCTTCAGGTACCAACAGCAGCAGAGACACGTTTGAATCAGTATCATCAACAACATCAACATCGACATCGACATCACCGACTACACCGACAACAACAAAAAGCTCCTACTTCCACTTCAACCGATTCTTCCTCTCACTCTTTAATGACAGCTCATGATGATAATGATAAGCACCTTTTAACGATAATGAAACATTCAAAACCACCCCTCCCAGAACGAATATTACGACTACAGAAACGTCAAACACATAGTACTCCCGTACACATGAAGCATTTACCTTCTCCCTCTTCTCCCTCTTCGTCTCTGCCGCCATCGTCTCCATTGCCCTCACTATTACCAACATCTAGTCCGTCTGCACCTCAACCTTTGATCGCCATCCTTCCATTACCATCACAGGGTTCTTCATCAGGGCCTGACCCATCTTCTACGGCATCACAGCCTCAGAAACCAATCTCATTGATATCTTCTCAAAATGGGGCGAATGCGTCGCAGATTAATTTTCCTTATACCCCTGCCACAGGAGCCAGGAACGAGTTGACACTGACACCTAATGTGACATCGGTAGAAGGATTAGTCGAAATTCGAATCGGAGTCATCCTACCGTACTCCTTGCCCAGCAACCTTACACAGCAGTTAACTTATAGGTGGGAATGCCAAGGATATATATATATATATATATATAAAAAGGAGAAAAAGTGATTTAATGAGGAATGTTGAATAGGCAGGAAAATACAGATCCTACTGCTTAAAAAAAAGACGTTAAACGCGTCATTGCCTTTTAAGATGGGGTTTCCTGCGGCAGTATTAATAGATATAATTTCCTAATTTGAGATGTCTATCCTTTTTTATTTTATTTTATTTTATTTTATTTTATTTCTTCTTTACTGCTTCAAACTCAATAGTGGGACATCAGCCATCCGACTGGCTGCAAGTGAGATCAATGCGAATCAGTTAATCCCTGGTGCTTATGTGACACTTGTTCTCAAGGACTCGTTCAATGGACGTGATCCCGAGAACTCGGGGGCTTCTCAGGCCATCTTTTCGACTGTATCGTTGCTTCAGGCCAATGGAGGTGTTTCAGCCGTGATTGGTGATGTAAGCAGCGCGCTTTCGATGCAATCAGCTCTCTTGACAAGTCGGTTGTCAATCCCACAGTGCTCCTATTCTGCAGGGTCCAGTAGGTGTCTTTATTTGTTTTATATTTTATTTCGTTTCCCTATTTTTATATTTTATTATTATTATAATAATTACTAACATCGAGTGTCATTGGGTATATCTAGCACAACTTTCAAACAAGGATGATTATGATTATTTCTTTCGGACTATCCCTACAGAGCTGATGTTTGGCAAGGTGATGATTGATTTTGTTGCCAGTCGTGGGTGGAAAACAATTGCAGTGTTATATACTGGAGATTCTCTTGGTGTTGGAAGTAAGGATAGTTTAGCTGATGTTGGTGTCTTTTATTCCGAGTCAACATTTGACACTTTTTTTTTTTTTTTTTTTTTTTGACTTACGCATTCTTTCTTTCTTTCTTTCTTTTTTTTTTTTTTTTTTTCCTCTCTCTCTCTTTCTTGTTCTAAAGTAATGGACAATATTGTATTACAGGCAGCTCAGAAAAATATCACTGTTGGGTTCAAGCAAGCATTCTGGGAGTCGGGTACGTCCTTGGATATTGATGCTACATTAAATTCTGTCAAGGAGTCTGGGCAACGGATTATCCTAGTGGCAGCAGTGAACGAGCCCCAGATCCGATTGATGATTGAAGCTGTGTAGGCAATTTTTTTTTTTTCTGTAACCATTCTATCATGGCGACCCTTCTATTCCAAGTCATTTAAGCCTTGCTACTTTTCATGCACTAATTTTTATTTTATTTTTATTTTTATTTTTATTTTTATATTTGAACAGCAACAAAGGCCTGGTGTCAAAAAATTATGTCTGGCTTACGATCAATCAAATTGCAGAACCAATGTTGGAGGAGAATTCAGGATTGAAGCCATCGGATCTGAATGGGTTGTTTATGTTTGATAATCTGCTAAAGTTAAATGGCTATGAACCCTACGAGAGGTTCTTAGACAAGTGGGCAGCTCTTGACCCGTCGCAGTAAGGAACCAAAGAAAAAAAAAAAAAAAAAAAAGGAAAAAAATCATCTTAACAGCTCTTCTTTTTTCTTGCAATTATTCTAATTGGGGAAAAAATTACTTCAAAATGTAAACTAGATATCCTTATGCTGGTCAACGGGATATTTCTAGCAATGAGCCGTAAGTCTTGTTGCTTATCCTTTTTTATTTTTTTTTTTCCTTCTTCTTTATTATTGTTGAAAGTTTGGAGGCTTACTTTTTATTTTATTTTATTTTATTTTATTTTATTTTATTTCCTTTGCGTGCCATACTTGCTTAAAGTCAAGCTTATTCATGCATGATGGTCATAGCGAGCGCGTTCGCAAAAGTAACCAAAGGCAACACGACAGCATTGCAGGCGTTGGCTGCAGGAAGGAAAGGATATCATTTGAAACCATTGGAGATGAACACCAATTATACAGGACCTGGTGGGCCCATGGTCTTTGATGTAAATGGCGACATGGTTTATGCGTAAGTCATGGCAAAAAAAAAAAAAAAAAAAAAAAAAAAAGAAAGCTCTAGCATCATTTATAGCCACAATCCCTCGGCTAATACTTTTTTTTTTTTTTTTTTTTTTTTTTTTTTTGCTTATGGGGTTTATTGGGGACTCGAAAAAGGAACTTCATCCTATACAACTTTCAAAATGGGAAGGTAGTGCCGATCGGAACATCGTATTCTGGTGTTTTCAATTTGACGTCGCCACCCATGTTCTTTGATGGGTCACACAAGACACCTGCAGATTTAGCGCCACTTCTTGTCTTGAATCCCAAATTTGGGTCACCGATCGGGATTGTCATCATCGCAGTGGCTGGAGTGAGTATCCTGTTTTCGCTTTTGACCATGCTCATTGTAGTTGTTCATAGGAATGCACAAGTTATCAAAGCATCTAGGTAAAGAGGGAAAAAAAAAAAAAAAAAAAAAAAAAGGTCTTTATATATTTATTTCTTTTATAGAGCTCTGCAATATTTGCGCTTACTAATTTAGACGTGATCACATCTTTATCCTATCTGGGACTTTAGTCCTCTGTTCTGCTGTTTAGAACTATGTGGGTTTATTATACTGTATGTTGCCACGATCATTGGTTTGGACATCCCAACAGAGTTTTTGTGCATGGCGCGGCCCCTTGCATTGAATTTGGGGCTTGTGTTGGTGGTGAGTAACATTGTGGCGAAGAACTTTCGGATTTACAGGATCTTTCATAATATCTATGTGACCAAACGCGTCATCAAGGATTCACATCTGCTCAAGATCGTCGGCACTATTATGATGGGCAACTTGGTAAATTAAAATTGACTTTTCTTTTTATTTTTTTATTTTCTTTTTATTTTTTTGTTTGCTAAGTTTTATTTATTTATTTATTTAATTTTTTAATACACGTCCAATGTGTTAATTTAATAGATTATTATCATTTCTTGGTTCATAAAGTCACCACCAACGCTGGAGCAGATCGCCATGCCAGATTTCACCTCGTATTGGTCATGCGATAATACGAGTGGGGGGAGTGTTCCATTCTTTGTCCTTTTGTTTGTGTATAACGGTGTATTACTTTTGATCGCGACTTACTTGGCTTATATGAACCGGAATGTTGCAACCAACTATAACGAATGTCGACAAATTGCGTTTGTCGTGTAGTAAGTAAAGCCCTTTTCATTTTTTTTTTTTTTAAGCAATGCTAAAAAAACAAAACAAAGCAAAGAAATAAGGAAAAAAAGTAATGTTTTGAAATACTTATTGACAACTTTTGTATCTTTTATTTTTTATTTTTTATTATTTTGAACAGCAATATTCTGTTGTCTGGATGCTTAGCTTTGCCTACAGTGTTTTTACCACGATCACAATTCCTGATAAAGTTCTTTCTGTCGACAGGGGTATTCCTGTTTGGCACTACATTTTCACTCTTATTCTTGTTTCTGCCCAAGCTCTGGGAATTGTATTCACAAATCGAGCGAACGCAGCAACAGCAAAGGCAAAACAACTGTAGCTCGGCTGTCCATGGAGAGCGATCCACTCATATGGGGCTAGGTCCAGGCTTGAGTCCGGGTTCAGTTTTAGAGTCAAGGAGTGCTGAGAATTTTATCTATAACATGGCATCTACATGGATGAATAGTTCCAGCAACATTGGAGTCCTCGGTCCTAGTGCTTCGAGCGACATGATGCTTGGTAGTACAGGTGCAGGAGGAGGAGACCATTCGAGCTATGGGAATGGAAACGGAGCAAGGAGTAGCACATATTTATCCTACGGACGAAAGGGCAGTGCAGCAAGCTTGGAAGACTATAAGGGAGGAGGAGGAGAAGATGATGGTAATACGCTCAAGGAGATGCATATGGGATATATGGGTGTCAAGTTTCAGAGCCGGTTCTGGCCCCTATCCTTCATATCCAATTGGCGGATGGGGCGCATTGTTCTATATCCCACCGGGCGATACTTTACATGCTTTGAATTGGTAAGCTCTTTTTTCTTTCTTTCTTTCTTTCTTTTTTTTTTTTTTTTTTTTTTGAAATTATGTATTTCATATATAGCAAAGATATGAACCCATTCGATGGCTAACATTTCATTTTTCTTTTTCTTTTTCTGTTCACAATGTAGGGAAAGCCAGAGACTGGCAGGACGTATACCTATACTTCAGTTTGTATCCACTCCAGGGAACCAGGTGAATATATATTGGTGGTGATGGGAACTCGTCGCTACGATTTTTTGCTTCAAGTTCGAGATGAAGAAAGGTTGATGTATTGGTACAATCTGTTTGACAGCTACCCGAGACCACGTCAGGGCAGCAATGGGAATATCAACACGATTGCGTACTCTAGTTCGCATGACATGAGAAGTATTATGCTCCCGCTTGGGGATCTATCGATGGCTAATCTGGCTGCTGCTGCTAATGCAGCCACTGCCAACGCTGCAACAGAAAGTGGCAATGCTAGTGGCATTGCTAGTGGTAATGCTACCGCGGCTGTTGTTGAGTCACAATAACCATTTGAACTGTTTAGTTAGGAACAGACACCGAAGCAGGTTCTTCGTAGAAATGGTGGTGGCAGCGATAGCAGCAATTGCAGCAGCGGCAGCAGGCAGTACCAGTAGACTAGAAACTATCATTGAAGAGCATTTCTTTTTGCATTCGCCCTCACACGTTTATCACAGTAGCAGAGGGTCAAAAGATCTAAAGAATGTAGATTGATAGATTGATCATTAAAAGGAGGAAAAAAGGGTTTGGCGCGCAGTTGATCTGAGAGCTTTAAATTGACGCGTGTATGGGAAGAGATGGGTTACATTTATATTTTTTTTCATAGATTGAATGTTTATCAGCCTGATTCAGCCCTATTGAGCTTAGACCAATCAAAACGGGCAATTGTCACAATTGTATTTCCGAAAGGGTGGCTTGCCAGTCCAACTAATGGACGGGCATATGAATGAGGGTAAAAAGGCAGTTAAAGGCTTGTTGGAGACACAGCAGGGTTGAGTGTAGATTTGTGATTTGGATCAACTGACTCAAAGAGAGAACTGACAAATCCATTTTCATTTTTTCCACATTGTTTGTTCGGGCATCAAGATAAACTCGAATCTTTTTTCTTCAACAAAGGACTCTTTAGCTGCGGATAGCATACAACTCCTCCCCTTTTACTCTCTTTTTTATCTTTCTCTCTTGTCTGTCTCCCATAAAAGCTTCTTTTCTTTCTCTTTCCCATTACACATTTCTCACTTTTCCATTTTCCATTCTATTCCATTCCATTCCATTCCATTCCATTCCATTCCATTCAATCATATACCAAATGGCTCCAGTCGCAACTCCCGCACTCGTCACTCAGGGACAGAAGGTTTTGCTCGTCGGCACTGCCTCTGCCTCTGCTGCTGACCTCACCGACGCACGCAACGCTATCGTCGCTTCTGTTGGAACTCAAGGATCCGTTACCTTTGAACAGCTCGACCGACTTGCTTCCAGTAAGTTGCTTTTTCTTTCTTGTTCTATACTTGCTTATTCTTTTCTAATGTGTATCCATTCACTGCATTGCATAATTACTCTTGCTTGAGGAAAAAGTCAATAGGATCTAAAAACTAACTTTTTTTATTTATTTCTTTTTTACTTTTTTTTAAAAGTTGCTCTTCCTGCTTCGACTTATAATACGATTGTTACGGGCGCGGTGGCTCCATCGGCCTATCAGCACTCGGATGCAGTGCTTGCGGCTTTAGCAAAGACGCTTTTGCCAGGAGGAGGATTGGCATTGACTGAGCCTGTATTATCATCATCAGCATCAACAACAGTGCAGCAACCGGCGCTCAATCAAGCTTTGGCACGCTCTGCGGGGGATCTTGTGTCTGCACTCAAGATCTCTGGATTTGTTGAAATCACGACTGTGAACCAGCGCAAGGCTACTTTGGAGGAGATTCAAGCTTTGCTCCAGGCCTGGAACGTTCAGGCAGATGCCTCTGCCCTGGAAGGCCAGATCGAGTTTGTTGAGGTAAATAATCATAATGAAATGATACAAAATACAGAGCGTTGGGTCTTTTTTTTTTTTTTTTTTTTGTTATTGTTATAAGAGATGTTTACAGATTGTATAATAATATGAAATACAAAAAAGAAACTTTTGTGGAAAAAAAAAAAAAAAAAAATTCAAGAGCAGCTGATTACAAAAAAGTTCGGATCTCGTTTTCTTTTTCTGGGTTTGACTAATTATCGCAATGCTGTATGTGTATACTGATACCATCTGTTTTTGTCTATTTTTTTCCGATCTTTCTTTTTTGTATTTTGTGTTTGGTCCATTGTATCATTTTATCATTTTACGTTTTTTTTTTGCATTACAGATTTCCGCCAAAAAGCCCGCCTATGAGCTCGGTGCTACTGCTGCATTGCCCTGGGCTAAAAAGCGTGCTACCAATGCCAGCCCTGTTGCCAAACCAAAGCCTGCTCCCAAAGTCAACAAGGCTGCTGTCTGGACCATCTCTGCCAATGATGACGAGGATGCAGAGCTTGAGGATGAGGATGCGTTGTTGGACGAATCGGATCTGATCAAGCCAACGATGGAACAACTCGCTGCCCCTGAATGTGGACCCAACAGTGTAAAGAAAAAGAAGTGCAAGAACTGTACCTGTGGTATGGAGTCAGAGGGTGAGGATGCTGTTGAGACAAAGACAACTTTGTCTTCAGGACCTGTGCCTGATGATGCGATTGTGGCCTCAAAGAGCAACCGATGGAAGGAATCTGCCATTACTGAAGTTGTTCCTAAGGCCCTGCAACCCAAGTCATCATGTGGTAACTGTTATCTTGGAGATGCATTCCGTTGCGGATCATGTCCCTATCTTGGTATGCCTGCATTCCAACCAGGAGAAAAGGTTCAACTGGGTGGAAGCATGCTCAAGGATGACATTGACTTTTAAATACTTTTTCTTCTTTTTATTCCGTTTTGGCATCTCCTTTGTCTCTCCTACCTCCTGTCTATCCCCTCTATCCCTTGAGAGTTTGTAGTCGCATATTTGTTATATAATTCACTTTTTTTTTTTTTTTTTTCTTTTAACCACTCTTCACTTGTACGAATAACAAAAAAAAAAAACATTCATGTATGTGTAATATCATGTTATTTACTTATTTATTTATTTTATCCGCGTGATTATTTTTTTTTTCTTTAAACAAATAAAATAAAGTAAAAATTAAAAAATTAAATATTAAAAATAAAATATGTTTTACATTTTAATGGTTTGACAGACTGTTATTTATTTATTGGGGAATATTGGATCATTGCCAGATCAATCAAAGCCGAAATATCCAATGACGGATTTAAAGTGTAAAAAGGATTGTTACACATTCACTTTTCTGCCCACGGGGGAAGGAAAAAAAGACTTTTGCATGGTTTACATGGTTTACATGGTTTACATGGTTAACATGTCCTTTGTTTTTTTTTTTTTTTTTTTTCCCCTTTGTCCTCTGTCCTTTGTGCTTTGTGCTTTGTGCATTAGCCATAGCCCTTTTGCCCAAAACACCATTTGTTTCATTCAATACGACTTTTGGGGAACAGGTCAGTCACAATAGTATTTTCCCAACAACTACATGTACAAACAACCCCTCCACAAGCCAACAAAGCATGATGTATCTGTTTATAAAAGGATATAGGGACAGAGAGTGGGGCTACAATATGCTGTGGTCATGGTTTATTCATATACATGAACATGAACATGAACATGAATGGATGAAACATGTGTTTAGCAACATGCAGCATGTATATACATACACCATGCTTTCTATGAACTGTTCCCTGGGCATAATAAAAAACGACAATGTAGTGCGGCAGCAAGGCTCTCTGGGAACAGTGATTGGATGGTAAGATGGAACCCAGTCTTGAATTTTTTTTTTATTGTTGCGCAATGCGGCAGACTTGCATGCACCGACCTGTTTTTGGTGAGAAGAAGAGAAACGAAAGGAGTGTGTGTGTCCGAGGACGATTGATTTGAGACAACCTCAGCTTGATTTGCTTTTTCTTTCTTGGTTTGTTTGTCTCGAACCTCCACATTCCCCTCCCTCTCCACATTCATCCCCCTTGTTCACATTCATTTCAACACTAACAGATCCTTTTTTACATTCCACTGCATTGTTTCCCAAGGAAAGGTTTTTTTTTTTTTTTTTTTTTTTTTACATTTCATTCTGACTAGACATAAACAATGGCTAGTCCATTCTCTCATACACAACCACCATCTTCTTCAAGGTGGATGTCTGTGGGACCTCATTGGTATTCTGTCAAACAAACGAGGTCTAGTTCCGGTGTCTCTAGTCCAACAACTTCTTCTAGCACTACTACAACAACAACTACAACAACAACAGCTGCTCCAGTCCTTGGTACATTAGCAACGATGCAACAGGGTGTGCATTCATCTTTTCTGAATGCAATCTCTCGACCCGACTTGAACACACATGAAAACCTTAAAAAAAATGCTCTCAACCAGCCCAAGGTTGCGGTCCCATCTTGTTCCTGTCCATCCTATGCTGCATCCTCGTTGGTTCCTTCCATCTTTGGTCAGGCGGGCTATCCCAATGGGACCCATGACCAGCGATGTCCTGTTCTGTCTTTACAGAAGCAACAGCTACCGTCTCAACAACAGCAACAGCAACAACAACAACAACAACAACAACAAGAGCAGCATCTACATCAACACTTTACTCATCAAGGAACACCGCCCTATTTGCTCTCTGAACAGGAACGACAACAGCAGCTTTTTATGCAGCAACAAGATTTGATGCAACGGCTTCATATCATGCCTGGGAGCCCGATTCGACCATGGTACCCGACCTTTGGACCAGCTCAAACCACCTCGTGTAGTAACAACAAGATCTTGCTTCACAGCCCTCGTTCCTATAATAATAGCAATAATAGCAATAACAACAACAACAACAACAACAACAACAGTAATAATAATAAGCAACCTGTAGGACCTCATTGGAAATCAGTCCACTCAAACGCGTCCTCTTCTAGTTCACCTACACCTACACCTACACCTACGGCCACATCTACACCCACGCCTATGCCCACACCTACATCATCACCTTCTCCATGTTTCCCACAGTCTCCTTCACTTTTACACTCTATAAGCAATCCTTTTGAAGCCAAGGAGGATCATCCAAATCATCATCTTCATCCTTTCCAGCAACAGCAGGAGTATCAATATCCTGATCAAAAAACAGCATTCACTTCGTCCTCAACCCTGACTCTGACCTCCTTAAGTTGTGATACAACCACACTAAGTCCACCTCCATCACCATCAGCCTCATCGCTGATTTCATCGTCTTCGAGCGTTGTCTCATCTATAGGACCCATGAACCTCTTGATATCATCATCGTCATCGTCATCAAATCGGACCGAGTCTGATCAAGATATGATGGAGGTGAGAGGACCATTTACACCAACGAGCCCGCAGGATGTTCAGAAGGTTCTTTCTAATACGAGTAGTAATCCATGGAGTTCAAGTAGTCCTACAGAATCCAATAGTCGCCATCATCATCAGCAATTTCAGAAAATGGCTTTTTCAGGTGGAGATGCTGTTGGGGAATCCTCTTTTAGCCGGAATATGAAACGCAAGGCCACATGGCAAGACGAGGATGTGTCAACTGATCCTGTGATGTCTCTTCCACCACAGTTTGTATCAGACGTATCAGCAAATGCGAGCTTTGAAACAGGCGTTGAAATATCTACCCTGCCGACCCATCAGTACGTTTCACTTGAGTCTGATGGACATTGTAATAACCAGCAGAATGTACATGTGCTTCAGAGATCTCACTTCGATATGGACATGACACCTGTGATGGATCAAGATCAAGGTCAATCGACCGTGCATGCAATGTCGGGTATGGGATCATCATTGACAGGGAGTGCTCATGAGCAAATGATGTCGATGAGCATGGATGTCAGTACTTTTGATAGTGTAGATCAGGATGATCTTGAGGCAGAAGAAAGAGAAAAGGAAAAGGAAAAGGAAAAGGAAAAGGAAAAGGAAAAAGAAAAAGAAAAAGAAGCGGTAGACGAGGCAGGTGTGCTTGCGAAGCGTACGAAGCTACGGTTTGAATTGAGTGCGATTCGGGATGCAGAGCTTGCGGAGATTGAGACGAGACGACATGAGACTGGACAGGTTGCTCTGGATATCTTTCAACAGTGTTTCTATAACGCAGCAGCGGCATCGCGGTAGAAGACTGATCTGTGTTTACAAAGTTATTTTATTTCTTATATTTATCTATTTTATATAATTTATTTATTTATTTATTTTATATCTTAACTTATTTATTTTAACTCTTGTCTTATAATTGTAACACTAAAGGAAAAAGAAAAAGAAAAGAAAAAGTTCATTGTTACCCTGTAATAAAAACAAAAAGAAAAAGAAAAAGAAAAATCTCTTTTAGTAATAGGGAGTATTCACCCAATATAATATGATATACACATTGGTTTGCGATGTGATGTGATATGATGCTGTTACATGCATGTTATGTTGTACGTTACATATATAGAGTGTTAGTGTTGCAACGTTATGTAAAGTCGTGAGACTGATTAAGTTATGTTGGAATGTTTAACAAAAAAAAAGACGCGTTTCTTTTTCTTGTTGGTTCGTGTCGTGTCGTGTCGTGTCCTGAAATTTTATTTTCCAAACAATAAACAAACAATAACACAAAGCAGTCCCTCTTACTTACTTTGTTTAAAAAACGCGTTTTAATTTATTTTTTTTTTATCTTGGATAGCCACTCTTTCCCTTTCCCTTTCCCTTTCCTTTCCTTTTTCTCTTTCTCTTTCTCTTTCTCTTTCTCTTTCTCTATCTCTTTGGTCTTTGTGTCCCTTTGTTCACTCTGTTGTTTCTTGCTGTACTGTGTCAGTGACCTGGAATACCCTTTCTTTCTTTCTTTCTCTCATTTCTTATTCCCATATCTTCAATTCTCATTTTATTTCTTCTTCTTTTTCAACAGTCATGTTTGTGTTTAAACGAGGTATGGCTACAGCTACTTTGACTGTAGTATAACCTGCCTGCGCTTTTTTTTTTTTTTTTTTTTTTTTTTTCCTTTTGGCATGACCATTGATACCATGTCAAACTTTGTTTCCAAAAGAAAAGAAAAGAAAAAGAAAAAAAAGAAAAAGGTTTACTAATGAACACTTTTTATTCTTCATGATGCCATGTTTACTCTCTCCATTCATTGAAAACGCACAACACAGATGGTAATAAAAAAAAGTTTTGTTTTGTTCTTTCAGTTCAATTCAATTCAATTCATTTTCATCGTGTCATGACTAATTGAACCCATTATTTTGCATTGGTTGCATCCAATCTAATTCATTAATGGAACAGGCCGCAAAGAGCGTGTTGCATTTGACAAGATTACGGCTAGAATCGTCAAGCTTTGTTATGGCCTCGACATGAACTTTGTGGACCCTGTCCAGGTTACTCAAAAGGTATATCAAGGAAACACTCCCAGTGAGCACACACCACGCAAAAGACGAAAAAAAAAAAAAAAAAAAAAAAAAAAAAACAGACAAGGCAGATTGCTATAGAGGTTGTTTACAGAGTCGTGTGTGTTGTGTGTTGTGTGTTTGAGGGAAACAAAAAGAATAAAGTGTTTGACAAAATGAGAGAAGAGAAAGAGAGGTGTGAAGTGGCTTTGTTTTATCACTGTTTCACTGATTTTTTTTATTATAAATCGCCACCAACTTTTTCATAGGTCATCTCAGGTGTCTATCAAGGTGTCAGCACTGTTGAACTCGACAACCTCGCTGCGGAAACGGTATGTGGCGCCTCTTTGTTTGGACTGACTGCGCAGTGCAATCATGCAATCATGCAATCATGCAATTGTTTTTGTGCAATTGCTGATCCCATTTTACTTTTTTCTTTTTTTGCCATAAAAATGTTCACACAAACACAACATTATTAGGCAGCTTACATGACCACAAAGCATCCCGATTATGCCATCCTTGCTGCTCGTATCGCTGTTTCCAATCTTCATAAAGAGACCAAGAAGGTTTTCTCTCAGGTGGTCGAAGATCTCTACAAGTATATTAACCCCAAGACTGGCAAGAATGCCTCCATGATCTCCGAGACAACCTATAACAATGTTATGAAGAATGCAGAACGCCTCAACTCGGCAATCATCTACGATCGTGACTTCAATTACAATTACTTTGGATTCAAAACCCTTGAGCGCTCTTACCTTCTCCGGATCAATGGCAAGGTTGCGGAGAGACCTCAGCATATGTTGATGCGTGTCTCGGTCGGGATCCATGGAGATAATGTGGACAAGGCTATTGAGACCTACAATTACATGTCTGAAAAATACTTCACCCATGCTTCGCCCACGCTCTTCAATGCTGGAACACCTCGCCCTCAGATGTCATCTTGTTTCTTGTTGACGATGAAGGATGATTCGATCGAGGGTATCTATGATACCCTCAAGACCTGTGCCATGATCTCGAAAACCGCTGGAGGCATTGGTCTTAATATTCACAACATTCGTGCGTCGGGTTCATACATTGCTGGAACGAACGGATATTCCAATGGGTTGATTCCTATGCTTCGTGTCTACAACAATACGGCTCGTTATGTTGATCAGGGCGGCAACAAGCGTCCTGGTGCCTTTGCCATGTATCTCGAACCCTGGCATGCCGATGTCTTTGAATTCCTGGATCTTCGCAAGAACACTGGAAAGGAGGAGACCCGTGCTCGTGATTTGTTCTATGCTCTCTGGATCCCTGATCTGTTCATGAGACGTATCGAGGAAAACGCTGACTGGAGTCTGTTCTGTCCTGCGGAGGCACCTGGACTTCAAGATGTGTGGGGCGAAGAATTCGAGGAACTCTATCATCGATATGAGCGTGAGGGTCGTGCCCGCAAGACCATCAAGGCCCAGAAACTCTGGTATGCTATTCTGGAGGCCCAGACCGAGACCGGTACGCCTTACATGCTTTACAAGGATGCTTGCAACCGTAAATCGAATCAACAGAACCTTGGAACGATCAAGTGCAGTAATTTGTGTACAGAGATTGTTGAATACAGCAGTCCAGACGAAGTAGCGGTCTGTAACTTGGCCAGTATTGCGCTGCCGACTTTTATCAATAATCAGACGTATGACTTCAAGATGCTTCACCAGGTCACCAAGGTCGTGACCCGCAACTTGAACAAGATTATTGATCAGAACTACTATCCTGTTCCAGAGGCAGAGCGGTCCAACAAGCGTCATCGTCCTGTGGGTGTGGGTGTCCAGGGTCTAGCGGATGCATTCATCAAGATGCGCATGCCCTTTGACTCACCCGAGGCACGTCAGTTGAACAAGCAGATTTTCGAGACCATCTATCATGCGGCTTTGGAATCATCCTGTGAGATGGCTCAGGAGGAGGGTACTTATGAGACCTATGAGGGCTCACCCGTTTCGAAGGGAATCTTGCAACCGGACATGTGGGGGGTAACGCCCTCCGATCTCTGGGACTGGGATACGCTCCGGGCCAGTATCAAGCAGCATGGAGTGCGCAACTCACTCTTGGTGGCACCGATGCCTACGGCTTCGACCTCACAGATCCTGGGTTTCAATGAATGTTTCGAGCCCTATACCTCTAATATCTACACACGTCGAGTGCTTGCGGGAGAGTTCCAGATTGTGAATCCGTGGATGTTGAAGGACTTGGTGGAGATGGGACTGTGGAACGATCAACTGAAGAACCGGATCATTGCAGAGAACGGATCGATTCAGAGGATCCCGAGTATTCCGGATGATTTGAAGGCGCTGTACAAGACCACGTGGGAGATTTCACAAAAGGTGGTAATTGATATGGCAGCGGACCGGGGGGCATTTATTGATCAATCTCAATCGATGAATATCCATATGGCGGATGTGAATTATGGAAAGTTGACGTCGATGGCGTTTTATGGATGGAAGCGGGGGTTGAAGACGGGGATGTATTATCTTCGAACACGACCGGCTGTGGACGCGATCAAGTTTACGGTGGATCAGTTGTCGATTAATAAGGAGACGGAGCGGGAGGCGAACGAGGCTGCGATGGTATGCTCGATTGACAATAAGGAAGCGTGCATGAGCTGCAGTGGATAGACAATTTTTTTATTATTGTTATTATATACTATTGCTATTACCATTTTGCTTAGAAGAGAAGAGAAGAGAAGAGAAGAGAAGAGAGATAGTGCTGATGTATTCAGCTTGTTACATTCAAGGAAAAGAAAAAAAAGAAACAAAAAAATAAGAAAAAATAATGTTATTTATTTTACTGTATTTTATACATGTCTATACTTTGACTTTACAAGTCTATGTCGACTTTGTACGCGAGACATGATGATATTATATTTCTGGTGTATAATAGGCCAAGTGGGAGAGGAAAAGAAAAAAAAAAGAAAAAGAATGAGCATTATGCGAGATGCCATAATGGATATGCTTTTTACTTTTTGAGCGTCTTTCTTTCTTTTTTTTTTTTAAAAAAAAAAGTCGATCAACCTTGCCTATGCATATATACATGCATGTGTTACCGAATATCTTTTTTTTTTTTTTTTTTTTTTTTTTCGTGCTAGCTCGCATAAGCAAGTTTAGTTTTTTTTTGTCCCGCGCGGACCTTTAATGTAGCATGTTTGTCTTTTTTTTTTTCTACTGGTTTTAATCGCTTTCTTTCATTTTCTAAGACTGTCTCGTCAGGTTAAGATAATAAAGCTGAGAGAAAGAAAAGAAAAGAAGAAAAAGGGAAAAAAAGCAAATTAGCGAGTATGAGAAGTATGAAAAGTTTGAGAAGTATGAGAAGGAGTATGGATATCAGTATTTCTCATGTTTATTAGTTTCGCATTGGGTAAGGAAATAGAAAAAATAGGAGATCTTGAACATTGCGCATGCGGCATTCAGACCTATCATACCATCTATGCATCTATACATGTCTGTATATATATATATATAAATACATTTATTTATTTATTTGTCCTTTCCTACCAACTGTTGCTGTATATCTGTTATACAGTAATATTTATTTACTTTGTATAATTAGCATATATAGATAATAAATTTCTTTGATGAGAAAGAGAGAGCAAAGGGATTGAAGTCAAAAGAATATTTTTTTATATAATCTTGGTTAAGAAACCTAGGGCTTAAAGGACTCAAGAAAGATGCGGAAAAGAAAGAGAATAAGAAAGAGAAAGAGAGAGGGCAAATACAGACAAATGATGTTTTATGTAAGGGAAAGGAAAAAGCATAGCAGTTGCAATGTTGCATGTGTGATCAACGTGGGTAAGAATCAGGGGAGGTCAATAAGGGCGTACAAGCACTGCTGTGTAAAAAAGGAGAGTGGCGGGCTAAATTTGAAAAAAACTAGGGTATCATTCGAAATTACATGCTTTTTTTTCTTTTGTTTTTTATTTCTCCTTTGCGTTTGGGTTGTGTGTGTTACGGTGTATATTTGAATAAAGATTGATACCACCCATGGTATATATGTACTTCATAAATGAAGATGACATTAACATGACACGAGTAAAGTTGCAATCGATTGTGTTGTGCGCCCTTTTTTGCCCTAGTCATTTTTTTTGTTCTCGAGTTGCTTTCAATCCAAGTATGCATGTACTGTACAATGTAGATATATAAATAATAGACAAGACCATGGCAACATGGCAAATGTTTCAACAGTAATACATGTGCTTTTTAACTGACCTCCTTTATTTCTTTTTTACGTTTCTTTTTTTTTTTTTTTTTTTTTTTCTAACCCCCCCTTGCTTGACCATGACTAATAAGGAAGGGTGAGCAATTAGAACGAAAAGAAGTAGCGTGGAGCAAGGGTTGGAGAAGAATGCCGTTTTTTTTTTTTTTTTTGTTTTTGTTTTTGTTTTGTGCAGACTAAAAAAGACAAACGAGTAATACATTATAATAAAATATATATACATTTGAATGAGTAGAGAGAGGAGAGGTAGGAGAGAGATACATAGTGAATGAAAGAGAAAGAGGAGAAAAGAGGAAAGAGAAAAGAGAGAAGAACAATGTTGACATGACAACCACAAATGATCGAAATTGATTGATTGATTTGACACATTTATATTTTAATAACTATGAACTCTAAATAAACCGCCCAATCAGCGGACTCTGACCAGCACTAAAAAAAAAAAGAAAAATTCAATTCAATTCAATTCAATTCAATGCGATTCAATTTTACTTTTTATACTTTCAGGCACCATTTTCTCTTCTCTGCTCTGTCTCTCTTTTTCCCTCACACCTCTTTTTCCCTCACACCTCTTTTGACCTCACACCTTCTCTTCATCTCCATCATTGTTTATGCATCAGTGCATTGCATTCAATTCGTGCATACCCTTACTTCTTCCCATCACTCGTCATTGCCCCATTGATTGATTGGTTTGATTGATTTGATTGATTCATTCATTCATTCATTCATTCTCGCACACACTTTCACATCCATATACCTTTCTAATCTAATCCTTACAGCCCTCTCTTTCTCTCTCCCTACATCTCTCTCGCTCACTGACACCCATCCTTTCCCCTTTCCCCCTCCCCCTCATTCTAATTCTCCTGCTCTCCAGCATCACTTCCATTCCCTTTTCTTCTCTCCATCACTCAAACTCGCCCCACCCTCCCTCACCATCCTTTCGACATAATCATCTAGACGCTCCCTCCAAGAGAACTGAGAACTGCAGTCTCTTCATAGTGTGCTCCATCCTCTCGATCCTCACAGGATGGCAACACCCGTAGGGATGCACTCTCCCTCATCTTCCTCCTCATCCCCATCCTCATCTTCACATAGGCCATGCACCCATATACCCCATCATTCAAGGACACGGTCAAAGACATACGCACACCATAGAAAACCCTCCTTCTCTTCCTCAATAATGTCCAATTCCCTCTCCTCGTCCCTACTCCTATTCCTCTCAATTGCTCTCTTTTTCTCCTCCTTCTCCTTCGCCGCACCACCTGTAACGAAACCTACTAAAGCAACTACAGTAGCACCAACAACCACGACAGCGGCAGAAACAGCGACAGCATCATTAATAGCAGCACCTTCACCCTCACCAGGCCCATTGTTTCTTCTCCCTCGACATGGTCACACCGGAACACTCATTCAACACACAATCTACTTCGTTGGCGGGCTTGGCTCTGATGGAAAGCCGTTGAAATCCATTACTGCCTACAATCTCAGGGATCTTACCTCAACTGAGATCCCAACGACTTTATCTGTCTACAACCATACTGCTACACCCAACAGAACAGCAGAAGCTGACCATTCTGGACTTGATAAGGTCCGGATTGGAATCAGCTTTGGGCTTTCTGCTCCTAATACCCCCTCCGAGGCTTTGCTCTGGCTCTACCCAACCACAGGTGAATACATCTCTGAAGGAGACAGCAATCTTCCAGCACCGGCCGGCGGTACTGGAACGGTCTCTGGAAAGACCCTCACCGGTCGTGTTGGACATACCCTTGTGGAGCTTGAATCCAAACTGAGAGTCTTTGGAGGACATCGGGTACCCTCTGGAAACGGCATCTCTGGAGCACCCGACACGCCCGCCTATGACATCTCTTCCCAAACTTGGTCCAACCTCACCAAGGGCTTGGCTCGCTATGGTCATGCCTCTGCCTCAGTAGGAGACGACAACATTGTATCTTGTTTTGGTATCAGCATCGCTGCTCTACAGCCGCCTCCACAGACGATGACTGTGCTCGATACAGCCGAGTGTGTCTATTTCTCTGTAACCGCTGCAGCCTATAGACCCGCCAGCCTGGTCTGGAGGGATACATCTGATACTATCAGCGGTGGTCGAATCGGGCACACTCTCGTCCCAGATGTTGCTCATCCCGGTATTCTGTACATGTTTGGAGGATCCAACACAGGAAGGACTCAATATTTCTCTGATGTCTATCGATTGGATGCATCCAAACTACCAAACATTGCCATCTCCAAAGTTTTGCAACCCATCACAGAGGGATCTCTGCCACCTTCAAATGGCGATGGTGACAACACTACCAACCCTACCATCCCCAACAGCGGCATCCGGAGTGTTGTTCCTGAAGCGCGTTCACAACATGCTGCTGTCGCTGTAGGATCCGAGATCGGATTTATGGTCATTCACGGAGGCGTGACGACCAATAACGCGATGGCTAGTGGCGACCACCCATATTTCTTCAACATGGATACACAGAGGTGGGTCGATCCTGATACGTTCAATCATCAGTATTTGCAACAGAAGTCCCATTCGGTCGACAACGTTAGTGTGGCAGTGATCCTTGTGGGGATCTTGGCATTCGTTTGTCTCCTCGGTGGTCTTGTTGTGCTGTATATCTGGAAGGGTAACCGGGATGATGAGCGCGAGCGAAAGGAAAGAGAGGAAGCCGATGCAGCAGCGCTCGCAGCAGCAGAGGCCGAAGGGATGGATTCACCCGCCTTTTCGATTTTGGAGGATTATTACTTGCCAGAGAGGAATGGCAGCGGAGCCTCAGAAAGGAAGGGACACCCAGTCTATCCAATGAGGGCAGCAAGTCGACATGAACAGCATTCCATGGTTAATGGCCCCTTCAAAAGCACGACTCCTTTGCTTCAGGACGATGACGATGATAGCATCAAGAAGGCAAAGAAGAAGAATAATAGCAACAACAAGAGTCAACAACAACAACAACAACAACAACAACAACAACAACAGCAGACAGAGACGTATCAATCCAACCAATCAAAACCATGGGCAAGCAATCGTGAGCCTCAATCACCTGGAGGAACAACACTGACGGAGAATGAAAGTATAAACGGCTACATTTCGTCCTCATCATCCTCAACGCCTTCAAGACAGGGACGGGACAGAGCCAACACACCCAATACGAATGATACGACAACAACAGCAACAGTAGCAGAAGCAGCTGGAGTTATAACAACAACGACAACAGTGTCAAATGGAAATACATTAAATCCAGGAGGAGGAGGTATTTCAGGTGGACCATTGGCTCGTGGTTCGTACTACAATACGAGGGATTTATATGTGGATGGGGATGATGATGATGAGTCGACGATAATGTCTTCGATGGCGTCTGAACCGACGATGTCTCCATGGGCTGGACCCGGAAGAGGCGTGCCCCTGGATCTGGTACCACCGAACCCACAATTCAGTCGAGGAGCGATCCCACAGGCACATCGACAGTTGGTAGGAAGTATTTCGTCCCCTTCCCCCTATTATCCACACCATCAGAGGAACGACAGCAATGGCACATGGGATCCTAGTTCTCCAGGGGGTTCACTCTCCAGTCGAGATGATTTAGAACATCACCGACGATCTGTCAATTCCATGCAGTAAGTGACTTTTCTTTCTTTCTTTCTTTCTTTCTTTCTTTTGTTTATTTATTTATTTATTTTTTGTTGTTGTTGTTGTTGCAAGAATGAGAATGAAAGCGATATTGATTTTTTTTTTTCCTGCACTTTCTGTATGAATAATGAATAGATGGGTATCGTTTGATCCATTAGAGTTCGCTGGTAGACCGGAATCAATGTAAGTTTTTTCTTTTTTTCTTTTTTGATCATAAAAAGGGAAAATGAATCATGCAAAATCAGACTAATAATCTAATTTTATTTTTATTTTTATTTTTACTTTTTAGAATCCATGACCCTCTTGCGCAACGTTCACTCACTGTGCGAAATGCATCGATGTATGGTGGCAACTACGACCGTAATAGCATGCTCATGCAATACACAGTGACCAATGGTAGCAATCCCCGAATGTCGATGTATGGCGGTAGCAGCGTCTCGGACAGCAATACTGAGGATTCGGGATCGTGGTATTCAGGCCCATCTGCCGGTAATGGCGCTGGAGGAAGACGTGTTTCAGCAGCCTTGGCGGCTCGACAGCAGAGACGATCTATGCGATACAGTCAAGACAGTCAGGCATCTTTGTCATCTTCGGGTAGAGGATTAACAGAAGGGATAACAGCAACAGCAACAACAGCTTCAGGAGATGATCCTCTCATGACAAGAGCTTTGCCAATGATTACGACACCTCCAAAGATCACTCGACCTACTTCAATTAAAATGATGCCTCCACGATTGGGTAACGGAGCCAATGGAGCACTTTGGGAGGAAGATGAGGAGGGTAATGGAGAAGGAGGAGGAGGCCTTGGACTTGATTTCTCATCTTTTAGTGTTTCGAATGAGATCAATCTGAGTCGACTGTCGACCAATAATCCTAGCCGGACAAGCTTTAGTAATCCAGCAGCAGCGTATCAACCTAGACGGGGATCTAAACTATCATCGAGTCTGACAGTGAATGAAGTGACGAATGAGGAGACAAATCCGACAAGTACAGCGCTCTCGACCTCCACATTATCCTTATCGTCCTCACCCTCCAGAGCCAGTACATCGATGACCAGTGTGATTTTGAGGATGCCACCGCCTCCTAAACATATTCATGGTCAAACCGGTAGCGATGCTGACATTGACAACATTAACATTGGCATTGACTTTGACTTTGATAATATTGACACTACTACCAACAACAACAACAACAACAGCAGCAATTATGGTGATAGAAATGCCAATGATAACGGTAATGGTATTAACATGAGACCACCCAAGCCAGTATCATCAGCATTAAGGACTAGCATTTTAGAGCTAGGTAAAGAGATGCCAGGGTTTTTGAATTATGGCAATAATTAAAGAAGAAGAAGAAGAAGAAGAAGAAGAAAACTTGTAACAACACTATTTTATTTATTACTATCATTCCCCACACGCATTTTTAATTAATACTAAAATAATAAAAAAATAAAATAAAATGATAGGCATCATGATAAATATACAGAGTTATAAACAACCTAGCAATCATATAGAAAACACACCCAATTTCAATATTGTGGCTATTAGCTGCTAAACACGCCCTGTGTAACTTTGCGACACCAGAGGGTGACATTGGCGGCATCAACGCAGTATCGATGCAGTAGTATCGGTGGTTACGATCAGCGCAAGTCTTCGAAGGGTACATAGCATAAACAGGGCAGTGTTTATTAACTATCACTTGGACCGTAGAACGGGCAAATTTGCCCATTTAGCTTTCATCAACTCATGGGCAGGCCAGATCCAGTTCCTACAAGAAGAAAACAGCCGGCTATTGGGCTCTTGCCACCCATATGAGGTCACAGTTATGGTGCGTAGGAGCAACGCTGGTGTCCCGGTCTCTCGGTTTGCATGCCAAGGATGCAAACAAAAAAGATCAATCAACAAAATCAATCAACCAGCTGTAGCCAAGCAAAAATCAATCAGATAATCCATTTATCAAGCCATGTCATCACGATGCCACCACAGTTATCTTTAAATAGCCTCCACCCCTCTGCTCATTTCGCAGCTTTCGCCTACACTAAAGATAAAGAAGTACCTACCTCTATTATTCCCCTCCTTCTTGATTTCTTTTTCGCTAGAGGTATGTCGCCGAATCAGCCTCCATATTGGTCTAAAAAATGTTTGAAAAAAAAAAAAAAAAAAAAAAAAAAAAAAAAAACGATTGATTGCAGGCTCGCATTACTAGGATATGGTGCTGTTGACGTTCACAAATAGCTTGCCAGCGCACGTTACCACCATACCAACCGCACCAGCTCCTTGGGATATGGTGTCGAAAATACTGGTGGGAAGTGCCTTGCGCATATGGTGTCTCAAATGCGACCCAAGAAGTTTAAACCTATCACGGCGGCAGCGAGGACTGTGAGGGGTTCCCGCGTTAGCCCCGCTCGAGAAAACAATATTGGGAAGAGCAACTCTCCCTTCACACCCTCACAAATTTGCAAGTGAAAGGATCATAGTTTTCATATGCTCGAGCAATACCATTCTTCAGCCCATCAAGGGACATGCCACAATATGGAATTGGGCGTGTTCTCTATGTGACTGCTGGGTATGCTTAAAACTAACAGTCTTGCACACACCACACACCTAAATCACTTTTTTTCCCACGATCACATTGGCCATAATCATCACACCATTGACTTTATTATTATCATCACTACCAACATCCTTTGCCTCTTTCATTGATCATTTGATTTGTGTGAGGACACTGAATTACACTCTCGATTGCCTGTAATCACTACAAATCTCATCACATAAATCATTTGAATCTCTTTCTCTTCTCTCGCTCTCTGTTTCTTTTGCTCTTTGTTTCTCTCGCACTCTTTCTCTCGCTCTCTCTTTCTCTACTATCTCTTTCTCTCGTACTACTCTATCAAAGGTAATAGAGAGCATTGTGTCTATGATTATCAATAGGGGTTTCGGGATCGTTGCCCTTCATTAAAGATTGTCAGTAAATGTGAGTTGTCTATTTGTGTAGTTGTTCCTTCATACTGCTTGCCACAAGTAGTATGTCCAAGAATGTGCTATTGTAGTTTACTGGCATGGCCATTTTAGATGTATGTAGTCAAAGGCGGGGGGCTTGGATGTGCGTAGTCTAATGTCACAAACGAATCAGTGGTTTCAAAGTGGCATTTCCATTATTCATTATCATTAACCATTACATTTCACCTTTTAGATCACAAATGCCACCTTTGAATCAGAACTACACTCGTTTGTTCTATATAATACACAACGCTTGGCTGACTATCTCCTGATGAATGATGGCTCCTTTGAACCTGCAGCAAACAATATCAAGGAGTTTAATAATATCCAGCCAGTTCATCTTGACAATTGGATTGCAGAGAATATACTTCGATATAAGCAAGGATGGGGCAATATTGAGAGGAAGATCCTAAATTAAAAACCATGGATACCTCACATAAGAAACATGTAGCAGCAAAAATTCACCACGCTATGACCTCTCTTTGGATGATCTATAGCAATCACAACAACACATTGCCTGGCAATATGAGTGAACACTTGGATAGTAATAGCATTTGGCGTATATTCCTTGATATGATTAGTTTCAAGAATTAAGAGTTGGTTCTGTCCCTTGGAGAAACAATGTCAAATGTATTGTCTATTAGGAGGAACAACGATGGAGGAATAGGGAACTGGAAGAAACGTGGACATAAGAAATGATGAACCCTTCAAATGTTTCAAGGCGAAACTGGGGATTGGCGCTGTTGAAACTGGAAAATAAGATGGAGGTTCAGGAACCAAAGCCCTAGCAGATGGAAGAAAGCTCTACAAAACATTGAAGGATATGTTTGACCTCATCTGGACAAAATGTGCCAGAAATGGCATTGCAGGCAAACTTGCTGTCTATGGTTTACTTTTATCTGGTTACTGCATTGGATTTGCATGTTTTGGAAAGTTTGACAAAGGTCCATTCTACAAACTCTCCCAAAATCTTGGAATCAGGATTCAATTGTCACAATACTCATCATTGTGACTGAGATACTCATACTTGAACAACGTCTCCGACACACAATGCAGTTGATTGATAAATATTCTTATCCTGACCCACAAGAACTGTTCTCTCGTTTATCTGGCTTCTCTCTTATTACTTCAGATCAAGCTAAGTTTTCTCCTCTAAAAACTCTTACAACGCCACTGCCATCAAGATCGTGCTCACCAAATCCATCAAAGCAAACTAAGTTAACCTACGGTCTCTGCAACAGTTAAAAAAAAAAATACAGGCTATAAAATACAACATGATATGAATCAAAACTATGAAATTTAGGATGATATTGCTCTTTTGCTCTTGGCAACAAAATGGTTGTCTTCATTAATAAATGATCTATTTACTTTTTTTTATCAAACGATTCTTTTGGTTGCAGATCTATGGGGACTCGGTGGGACTGCTCTTGAAATCGGAAATGCGCGTCGCGTTTGGATGTGTGTGTAACAAAAAATTGAAGAGGTATTAATACATTCACGTCCATGGTTTCTTTTTTTTTTTTTTTTTTTTTTCTTTTTTTCTTGTTGTAAACTTGTCTGCTCGTCTCAGTACTCAGCATTCATTCAGCAGAAAACTATTCAATTCGACCTTTTCCTCATCAAGATTAAAAAAAAAGCTCATTAGCATCAATCAAATTAAAAAAGGGCTTTTTCCTTATTTCTTAACTTTTTTTTTTTACAAACATCAAGGACAAGGACGTGGAAAACAAAAAGACGTGGCAATTATCATAACTTTTATAAGGAACGATGCACATCATCAAACCCGAATGGGTATGCCATCATGGTACGAGAAAGGGGCTCTAATGGCGTTTGCATCAATTCCATTTCAAAAGCAACAACACCAGCAACAACAACAACAACAACTGGTGCCACTAACTCATTCACATTGTCACTGCCAAACACGATCGCATGCATGCACTCACATATATACACCCGTTTTATTTTATTTTTTTTTTTCGAAATGAACTGAATTAGATGAAAAGGGAAAGAAGGCGCCCATCTATTCTTTACATGTACATCCAGATGGGACACGGCTGGCCACTGGAGCTCAAGGTAAAGAAAAATAAAAAAAATAAAAATAAAAATAATAACAATATTAATAAAATTAAAATGAAAAATAAAAATGAAGAGTAAAAAATTATGACTACTTTTTCTTATTATTATTATTTTCGCCACTGACACTCTTTTCTCTCCTTTTCCTTTTCCTTTGAACTAATATGGTGAAATGAATAGATGCCAAAGTAAAAATATGGAGTCTGGCGCCAATTATCGATGCAAATCAGGATCAGGATCCAGAGGCATGGAAACATCTTTGTACAATGTCACTACACAATGGTAAAAAAAAAAAAAAAAAAAAAAAAATTGTTTCTTTCAACTGTGGTTAACAATGGGCAGCAGCAGCGTGAATATATTAATAGAAATGGAGGTGCATCTCCATATCATACTATCAAGCTCATGCCTCTCCTCAAGAATCATGGGGGGCCATCATGGTCAAAACAATAACCGTTCTTTCTTACTCTCCTTTCTTTCTGTTTTATTGCTTTTCAAAGGCGCTGTACTTTGTGTAAAATGGTCAAACGGAGAAGGTACATATCTTGCAACAGGGTCCGATGATATGATTGTGATGATCTGGCAGTTGGACAGGTATATACATATATAATATATTTTCTTTTTCTTCGATAGTAATGATTGACGCTCTCAAAGTATACTAAAAGAATGGCATTTTGGACTTTTTTTTTTTTTTTTTTTAATTTCATAAACTATAGATCTTCAGATGCATGGGGTGGCACATCCTTTGGGAACTCTGATGGACCTAATGTGGAGAATTGGCGTGCAGTAAAACGACTTTCTGGACATGAATCAGGTACAGAGGATAATCATTATGGCGTTGTAATGCCTTTTCATCAGCTGAACTCTTGAAGGCGCTAACCCTACAATTATGCCACTTTTTATTTTATTCCTTCCCGGTATTGTATGATAGATGTCACTGATGTTGCATGGTCACCCGAGAATTCATATTTGGCATCAGCAGGACTGGACTCGAAAATTATCATTTGGGATGGAAGGACATTTGGTAAAATGACCTTTTTTTTTTGTTCGACTAAAGGAAAAAAAAAAAAAAAAAAAAAAAAAAAAAAGTCAACATTTCGGATAATATGGTTACAGTATACAATCGAATGAAGGCTCATAAAAAGCATTATGTATCCATGTATCGTAGACCGCATCATATTACTAGACCAGCATCAAGGATTTGTAAAAGGTCTCACTTGGGATCCTGTCGGGAAATACATGGCATCACAGGTATCATTCGTGGACGATTCACTCTTCTGTTCTATTAAAAAAAAGAAAAAGAAAAATTATTAGAATGACTGACACATTTTTTTTACTCCTTCATCATAACAAATCGTAGTCTGATGACAAGACAGTCAAAATATGGAGAATAACGGACTGGGAAGTGGAGGTCGAGATCACAGAGCCATTCTTACAGTCTTCAGGGACAACTTTTTTTAGGCGTCTGAGGTAAATGGTCATGGTGTAAAAGCTTTTGTTTTTTATTTCCCCTTTTGTTTCCTCTTTCCGCCACAGTTGGCTAATCGCATACAGATCTGCTACTCATATATAGTTGGTCTCCTGATGGCGGCCAAATCGCTACAGCAAATGCATTCAACGGATCAATACCAGTGGCAGCAGTTATTTCTAGAGACACCTGGAAAGCCGATATTTCGCTCGTTGGTCATAGTGCGCCTATCGAGGTGGTCGCATTCAATCCTTTGCTTTTCAAATACACTGACAGCACCGGAAACTCTGGATTCACATCCATTTGTGCAGTAGGGAGTCAAGATCGAGGACTCTCTGTATGGAGAACTCATGAGCCTAGACCGTTCGTAGGCATTAAAGAGTTATTTGATCACAGCTTTTTGGATTTCAGTTGGGCACCGGATGGACAATCTCTTTTTACGTGCTCTTATGATGGGACGATCGCAGTCTTACTTTTTCAATCCGAAAACCTAGGGGAGGCTGTACCGGCAGAGGAGCGGCATCGATTACTAGCAAAATATGGTTATGAGAGACGTGGAGAGATCATGGCAGAGACACCGGTTCAACTGGCAATGGAGGAACAGCTGAAAGAAAGTTCTGCAAAGTCAAGGATGGATGAACTAATGCAGCATGAATCCTCCATGGAAGGAGTCACTTCAACGTTTGCTACACCCTCAGATCCGAGTGTCTTTGCGAATGCAGCAGCAGCAGCAGCAATAGCGGCGACCAATGGAACATCTTCAACACCTTCGTCATCTTCAACTACATCTTCATCATCATCTATGCCTTCACGGCCAATACAAACACATATTGTGGCAAGCGAACAAACCGTTACATTGACGAGCGATGGAAAGAAACGGATTAAACCTTTGTTTTTGGGGAATGGCATGGGGACTGTGCCAGTGACCAGACCTCAGCCCCCGCCAGTCAGCCACGCAGCTGTAAGTCATATTTTTGTGTTACTGCTGTTTAATATAAAAATCATGATTTTTTTTTTTAATTTTTAATTTTTTTTTGTATTCGTTTTTATTTTTTCTCACGTTATATTTATGTGAATCCTTACACGCTAAATAGGGATCAAACATCAACAGCATGAATCATGTGGAGCGCGGAGAGCCCTCGATGGCAATACCTGATGGAGGAATTCCTTCTGTTGTCGTTGGAATGAAGCGTAAGGAGATTAATGGTGGATCCTCTACCGGAGGACCTTCGAAAAAGGGGCCAGAGACGGTAAAAGGCAAGGGTGGATCAGGCAAGGTGGAGGAAGAAGTTGTCACAAGGATACCGATTGCTTCACCATTGCTTTCGGTTTCAAAGGTACGGCTAGGGGTCCCTAAAGTCCGATCTCATATCACCAGGAACAGGGCAGGTCTGGAGTGTCACAATAGTCTTTCAGGAGATCATCCATCCAAAGTCATCTACAGTCAGAAAGGGGCAGTGATATGGGTCGATTACCTGCCATCTTCAGTGTTGCTTATGACTGGAAATTCACGCTTTAGTGCAGTTGCGTGTGAAGACGCTGGGGTCTATGTGTACTCTCCAGCTGGACGGAGGTAAATGGATAAAAGGTTTTACAAATTTCTAGCATTGCTTATTCCATTTTTCTTTTTCGAGTTTGACTTAATTAACATATTGTCTACTACATGTGTAAAAAAAAAAAAAAAAAAAAAAAAAAAAAATCGGTTCATCAAATAGGCTAATGCCCTGCCTAATCTTGGAGTCGGCCGCAACACTGATGGAATGTGATGGCGAATATCTGATGGTCCTTACATCATGTGGACTTGTTCATTCATGGTACATATATGGAGGATTTCCTATATTATCATGAATGTCGTCAAACGATATGAACAAATGTTGTCTGTTTTTTTGGTTGCACTGACCGATTTTTTTTATTTCTTTTTTCTTTACTTTATCTGATATGACGTTTGTTATTGTTATTATTATTATTATTATTATTATTATTATTTTATTATTATTATTTTTCGTTAGGAATGTTATTCAACAGAGAGCCGTTCTATCCTCCATCTCCATTTCACCGATCCTACAATTGACCGCTCATGCTGCAGATTCTCCATCAAGTTCAGTCTCTATCAGCTCAGCAACAGTGCGTCAGAATGGTTTGCCTTTGCTTACAACGTCCTCAGGTCAAGGTTATACGTATCATGAGATGATGAGAACTTGGGTGAAGGTTGTTGATCCTTGGTTTGCCATATCATCCTTCTTTGGAACGGATCCAATGTTGGGTGGTCGTGACTCCTTTGGAGATATCGCAGCGCCTTCTGTCTCTCAAAAGAAAGGCATCCTCTCACAACTCCAGGCTGCAGCCACGGGTGGACGTCTCGAGAAGGATGTGGCGTTTGCACAGGAGCTCTTGAATGTCGAAGATTCGGTACAAGGCGTCGTCACCTTGACACATCTCGAGGTACAGAACTACACATATATATGGGGCTATTAATACGACTACGAGGACATTTAATACATTGATCATTGATCATTGATCAGATTGGGTTGGATTGTAACTGATTTTTAATTTCATTTTTGGAATCGAACACCTTTAGAATCAAATGGCAGCGGCACAAGTCCTAGGGTCATCTACTGAGTACAAACAATGGTTGCGATGTTATGTCCAAAGACTTGCAGATGAGAGCTCGGTAGCACGTGTGGAAGAGCTCTGTAAATTCCTTTTGGGACCCGTGTACCAAGGGTAAGTAAGAGAAGTGAGGAGTAGCTTGAAGTGGTTCAAAGTAGATTGGATAAGTATTAACGGTAAAATTTACTATTATTATTATTATTATTATTGTTTTTATTTTTATCATTTTTATGGATGATCATACATATTTTTTTAAGAGGTGACAAGTCAGGATGGCAACCGACTATCCTAGGATTCCAGAAACATGAGTTGCTACGAGAGTTACTTCCTGTGCTAAGCTCGAATAGGTCTTTGCAACGGATTGTAAAGGAGTATCTGTCGGGGCTAGAGATGGTGGCGAAGGCAAAGCAAAGTGCCACAGCAGCACCAGACACGTCCAAAGCCTCAAGCTAGAATTAAAAAAAAAAAAAAAAAAAAAAAAATCAATTCGAGTTAGACAAGACTCTTAATAAACCATTAAGAGAAAATCGTGCGCTTGGCCTTTTTTTTTCTCTGTCTTCCTTCCTTCCTCCTCCTCTCAAGAAGAGCTATAAGATGGTTCAGCAAGCCTCACACACCTATGCTTTGCTAATGCTTGTTTATTACTGCCAGTAATAAGAGATTCTCACATAATAAATTGACTTGATTTCGAGCAATCTATTATCCAATTCAATTAGGAAGAATATGATTTGCATAAAATTAATCCGTTAGAGAAAGGCGACAATTGACTTTTTTTTTTGGGGGGGGGGGGGGTTGAAAACGGATCATCGCCTTCTGGGTATATCAACAATGTCATGTATTTGTTCAAAAGACGCAAGCATTCCTCCGACTCTATCCTCTGTTTTTAATGGTATGCCGTTTATTGATTTCCTCAGTTGTGAGGACTACATGTAATGACATGTGCAAATCTACATTTGTCACACATGCTGTATTTGAACTGGTAGTCTTTGATCGATCCACTTGGTGCTGTTGCGGCAGTCAATGGTAACTCTTCTCTCAAAACCACTGTTTGTGGAACTGTCTCTACTTGGTCTTGGTGAGGTACCATAAATAATGTTGCTGTATTCTGTTTAGAAGCCTCATTAATGACCAATGGAATAGGTTGCTCGCTTATAGCCCCTCGTTGCTCCAGAAACTTTCTGTTGACATCACTCAATCCAGTTACATCTTGAATACGCATATTGCGAACTTTAAGAGCTGCATGTATGGTGCTCGACTTCAGCCGATACTGTTATTGGTCGTTCTCCTGCACAATCTGCCACATCCGAATAGAACCATCTGCACATCCTGTGACTAGAAAGTAGCCTTCTTCATAGTTACTCCATACAAATGTTTCAACAGCTCCACCTTCAGGTAAGATTTCAACCAAACAATGGCCTGTCTCTGGATCCCACACTCGCACGGTGTTATCATAACTGCTTGAGGCAAGGTATTTTCCATCAGGCGAATAAGATACCTCACTGATAATACCGGTATGCCCTTCAAGCGTACGTAGGACTGCTCCCAATTCCAAATCAATCACTCTAATTCCCGTCAATGAGGTTCTATAAGCCATTCGTCGATTACATAGTGAAAATTCTGCTTTTCCTACACTGTATCCATCCTGCGCTATGTAACAGCGTTCACCTGTTTCTGCATTCAGTACTTGGAGGCAATTGGAGTGTTGGTGGTAGATCACAATCTTTCGACTATCAGGCGTGTATTCGATAATATTGATGTATTCGTTAGACTTTACTGAATATTGAAGGCTCCATGAACGAACTGTCCAGACTCTAAGAATATCATATAAGCCACACGAAGCGAGCTGGCGACCATCGGGTGAGAATGCCACATATATATAAGACTCGTTGCTGCTCTGTAGAGTGTATCGGCTGTATCATTTTGCTCATGTAAAAGTTGTAAATTCTTTTTTTCTTTTTATCCATTGTTCTCTCAATGACATGCTGCTTAATGATTTCTTTAGTCGTGAGATCTGCGTGAAAATGACATGGGCTAATCTTTGTTATTCGAGGAGGGTATATGCAGCATGTGTTTGCCTGCAACTTTAAAGCCAAGCGCGTCCAGTGAACCAATGATAAGCCGCTATTCTCGTAGTAAGCTCAATCTGCCTCGGTTCAATCTCGGGTTCTTGGATTTAAAATTCTCAAGCTTTATTTCACGTCTTTTACATCAATAGCCATCAGAACAACCGGTTCTTCCTCTTCCCCTTCCTCTTAATCTTCCTCTTAATCTTCATCATAATCTTCTTCCTCATCCTCATCGTATAAATAGTATCGAAATGAGTAACACACCACTTCATAGTTCTAGCCGTATCTCATCTGGACCATTCACGCGTGATCCACTCGACATTGTGCCAAAGCTCAAACAATCTGTGATCAGTGGTCAATTGAAAAAGTAACCTCTTCAAGTGGCATTATCATTATCACAAGCACAAAAGCGCTTCATCAAAAAACCAGATCAACGGGCCTCATTTAATCATATCCATTTAGCAAAGAGACCAGGACTGCAAACGTGTACAACTATTACGTCCCCACCCCACTGCGCCCCCATGGCGCTACAGACTAATATAAATAGTCATGATCAGCGTAACAACTTACGGTAGACTCCATGAAATAAATATCGTCCATACCTAGACTTACTCTGCTTGTTACTATTTACAAGAGCAAAAAAGCTCTTAATGAGTGAATAGATGCAGTAAAGCTATGACGAGCAGAAGTAGGGCCACCAGAGTCCCTCAAAGGTCGTTTCTGGTGATAAAATAGACATGTTGCTTAATGGTCCCGTTTAATGTCAGCTTTCAGTGCTCCTGGATGAGATTTCATCCTTGGATCAGGATTGGGTTCTCGCTTTCTTCTTTATCCTCCCTTGAATAGAGCGAACAATTTTTTGCCCCTTCTTCGGTGGATTAAAGATTGAATTGAATGTAGCACAGATGTCAGAATCTTATATCTTTTCACCTTGAGGACGTAATGATAACGATGTGAAGCCTTTGGGTTTTGTCGTATACTAAGCAAGAGCTTACCCAAAATATGAAACGATAAAACCAAAACCACGGCATTGCTATGCATTTCCTACTCATTGGTTTATGAAACGTCATTCTTCTTGTCCTCCCTTTGCTCTTTACGCGCTTTTAACAGTAAGAAAAAAAAAAAAAAAAAAAAAAAAAAAAAGATCGACCTCAAGGTTCTTATTTTCTAGTATCTCGGACTGGTCACACATGATTTTTATTATTATTTGTTCATGTCCCAAGGACATATCCTGTTTTCCATTGAAGACAGGAAAAAGTATTGCAATACCATCGACTTGTTGGCAAAGTCATTTACTTCCTTTACCTTTCCCTTCGGCAGTTATATATTATTATTCGACCGATCTATTTTTTTTGGCCCTCTAAGCTTCTGCAGTATCATCATGAGTAAAGTCAGTTCACCCAACTCAGACCAAGAGGAGACTCTTACAAATAGTGATTCTAGTTTTGTTCAAGAGAAGACAGACGAAAGCTCGCCTAGCCTAGCCTACGAATCCGCGATACAGGACAATAAACTTGATCTGGATAAGGATGAGCGTTACGATACCCCATACCATAGTCGTCCTGTGTCTGTCGATACGTCGTCGACAGTTGAAGGTGAAGAAGATGGGGCTGTAATGGAGTCTGGATTCCGAGGCTATCTTATTGTCCTTGGATGTTTCTTGGTAAGAGACTTGACATGTTTTTTTTTTTTATAACGAAAAAACGATATCATTTTCCGTTTGTGGAGAAGCGCGTTTGATCCAGCAATACATGTTTGTCGCTGGTTAAAAACAAAGATTCGCTGAACATATACGTCCCAGACATGAAACTTTACAAGGGCTCTTTGCAGATCCGGTATTGATGGAATAACCTGTTGATCAGAGAACTTCTTTTTCCTAAATATTTCTTTGTATACGAACTACATCCCTCTCTGGGGTTAATCTATTAGTCTAACTCGCTTCTTCCTCATTCCTGCTGACGATAATAATACGGGTAACTTAGACCCTTATGACTGCAATCGGCTACGCCCTCATGTATGGCATTTTTCAGTCTCATTACACAGACATTTATGCCGCACAAGGTGCAGCCGCCTCTAGTGTCTCCATTGTCGGATCCCTGGCTGTTGGTTTCCAGTTTGGTTTCTGCATTATCGCCGGCCCCGTAATGAATCGCTTTGGTTACAAGGTCGTCCTCTGGTCTGGTAGCATCATCGGCTCACTGGGCTTGCTGCTTGCGTCATGGGGCACTAAACTTTGGCATCTATATCTTACCCAGGGCGTCATGTTCGGCATTGGCGTCTCACTTCTTAACCTCGCTGCGACTGCTATCCCTCCTCTGTGGTTCGAGAAGCGTCGTTCGCTCGCTATGGCCTTATCTACGGTTTTGTAATGCCTGCATTGATCAATACTGTAGGGCTTTATTGGGCCCTTCGCATGTTTGCAATCTTTCATTTTGTCTGCACAGCATTCGCTTCGATTGTGATGCGAGCACCTCGTCAGCTCTCAGGCCCACCGATTGAAGTCCGCAAGGATGCGATCAATCTTCAAATCCTCAAAAATCCACGCTTCATACTCTTGTTCATAAGCACTGCTTTTTTCGGATTTGGATACATGATTCCATTCACTTATATCCCCTCCTACGCTAAGGATATTGTTAGCCTTGACCCAAATATCCAAGGTGCTCATTTAATATCTATAATGTCAGCCGCCAACGCTGTGGGTCTTATCACAGTAGGGTTCGCCGCTGATTACATAGGAGCCATCCGAGTGACCGCATTTATATTTGTGGCAGCTGGAGCATCTTGTTTCGTTTGGATGTTTTCGCATTCGTACGGTGCCCTTCTTGGGTTTTCTATCCTGTACGGCCTCTTCTCGGGTGGGTTCTTCATTTTGGTGGCGTCAATTATAGCTAACATCATAGGTTTGGCTAATTTGGGATCTGGCTTGACAATTATCTTTCTGTTCAATACGCCCGGCAACTTGGTTACTCTTCCTATTGCTGGCAAGATGGTGGAGTCCGCTGGTGGCTACAGGACGATGATTGGGTACAACGCAGCCATGTACTTCAGTGCGGCCCTATTTCTGTGCATCCTAATGCTTTATAATCATCACACCAGTAGGGTTAATGCTGCTTGACCAAAATAAAAAAGATTCCTTACTTATCCTAACCCTCAAGCTTACAACAAAAAAAAAAAAAAAAAAAAAAAAAATAGTATGTAGTAAAACCATCTCAATACCGCGTTCAACGCCATAATTGGACGCGAATTTTTTTTTTTTAGACATAAGCTCCTTTCACATGGAATATGCATGTATATGCGCTTCTTACCAAAAGTCACCCGTTTGAGGTTTATGATTCACAGGGACTACATGCATATTACTACATTTGGAGGATCAAAGGTTTGTAGTATGTCAACACAAGAGGGAATGTTGAAGAGCCTCTGTATGAAGACAGAGCAATAGGCCTTGCGGGCCGAAAAAGCAACTATAATCATCACGCTCAATACAGAATGGTTATTACTTCCTCGTGTATGTAATATTCTTATCGGCATTTACTATTTAATGGCTCCCTTAGTTGTGAGGTCTGCATGAAATAACGTCCAAAACTACATTTGTCGCACATGCTGTATTTGAACTGATAGTCTTTGATCGATCTACAAGGTGCTGTTGCTGCTGTCAATGGTATCCTTTCTCTCAAAAGTACTACCTCCGAAGCTGTCTCTGCTTGGTCTTGATGAGGATTCGCTTGACTTGAAGAGACATTGAACTTGGGTGTCATGGATTGTTGCTACAGTCTGTTTAGACGCCTCATACACGGCTAATGAAAGAGACTGCTCGCTTATAGCTCCTCGTTGCTCCAGGAGCTTCCTGTTGACTTCACTCAATCCAACCACATCTTGAATACGCATATTACAAGCATTAAGAGCTGTTTGTATGGTACTCCATTTCAGCTGATGCTGATATTGGTCGTTCTCCTGCATAATCTACCACATCCGAATAGAACCATCTGCACATCCTGTGACCAGAAAGTAGCCTTCTTCATAGCTATTCCATACAAACGTTTCAACAGCTCCACCTTCTGGCAAGATTTCAACCAAATAATGGCCTGTCTCTGGATCCCACACTCGCACGGTGCTATCACAACTGCTTGAGGCAAGGTATTTTCCATCAGACGAATAAGATACCTCAGTGATAGTACCGGTATGCCCTTTAAGTGTATGTAGGACTAGTAGGAAGTAGACAAAGGCGATATACAAGCTGATGGATATCATTCAGATGAGCTCCAGGTCTTGGTAAGGTGTGCTTGATGGCCATTGGAGGGTCATTGTGATTGAATATATCCTTTGAAATAGTTACAATGGTATGTGCTGGTACTGTTTTAACTGTTCTATCCGACTTGTCGTTACTGATTTCACTACTTCCTTGTCTGGCGTTTTTAATACTGCCGTTGTTATTGTTTTCTCGGATATATCCCCATTTCTCAGCTTTCTTCTCACGTCTTTGAGCGCCATTCGAATGACCCAGCTGTTCAAATAGACGAGCAAGCTCATGGTAGGCTGAGGTGATACTTTGGTGTAATACCATGTCTTCAATGGGGATTGAAGAGGCAGAGGAGTTTGAGGCGATGGACTTTTGCTTAGGCCTCTGAATCCGAGAAAGCACAGAGTCAGCATCGAGACAGAGCTCCAATTATGTCGTTATCGTCGTCTATGGTGCGAGCGCCCTCGATGTAGAGCCTGAAGAGCCTCAGGGCCTGTGCTGGCGAGAGTATGCTTCTTGGGGGAGTTTTTGTAGCGCCAAACATGGAGTATTGTTTCCCTTTTTCTTCTTTGGGCTGTATAGACTATTCATTCCCGAGGAAGCAGAGTGGTAATGGTTGTTAGCTGTGATATTTATGAGCGGATGGCGCTCTTATTGTTAGTTCGGAGTGGATATCAGTCTTTTTACACTTTTTGATTCGACTGAGCACTTGACTGTGACGTGTGGTGAAGAGAGTCAAGAACAGGAAGGAGAGATGCCATTTATTTATTTTGTTTCTTTCAGGAACTCCTTTCCATCTGTCTCTCTTCCTCTCTTCTTTGTCTTCATCCTCACTTCTTCAGTCCTCTTGTCAGACACATTCATTCGTATACATCTTTGTGGACACTTTATAGTCATTTAATCAACCATGTTGACCACTTCATTTCTGCAATTGCATACAGCAATGTATGAATGGAATAAAGAATGCCCACAGGATCTCAAGAGGGACCTTGACGTGTTCTTTGGTTCGAAAGAGTTCCTCGATAGACCCGATGTCTTTTACAAAGGTGTGCCATCTTGTCTTTTTACACTATTGAATAGTTGGAGTTTTGGTAATTTTTCTTTTCTCTTTCTTTCTTTACAAATAAATAACAAATATTTATATATATTTCATAGGCATGGAGGATTCCTCTCAAAAATGGGTTGCTTTGATTTCAATGACTGGCTTAGAAGAGACAAGGGCGATGTTATCAAGGGTATTGGAGTACGACTTTACACAACTGCATGAGGCACGGAATGGAACATTTTCAAAAATCTCTGCTGCGCCTCGAATGCCATTGGCGGCGGCGTATAATAAATTCCTCAAGGATCTTGTCAGGGACAACAAAGCGCTCAAGAGACAACACAAGATCACGGGCTGGACTCGAGAATTGGATCGAGCTACAGAGATGATTATGTTGGGGCCCAAAAATGATGCGACAACAACAACAACAACAACAGCAACAAGTCAAAGAGAGGATCCTACAAAAGTCAAGCCTCGACTTTTGACCCCATTAGAATATGCAGCAGCACAACATGGCATGTGGTTTATCTCGGTGGATATTGAATCATTTGAGTTTGATCACTCCAAGATCCTAGAGATTGGATGGTCGATTCATGACTCGAGGCTCAACAAAATGTTCGATAAACATTATGCGATTTCAGAATACCGTCATCTCAAGAATGGGAAATATGTAGCGGATCGACGAGATCGCTTCATATTTGGACAGACCATCTGGGCAAGTTTACAGGATGCGATCGCAGTCTTCCAAGAGGATTTGACAAAGGCCACCAAGAGGAATCCTGAGGGAGTCTTTGCGTTGATTGCTCATGACATGTCGAGCGATGAGGGTTATTTGCGGAAGATGGGCGTTATCTTCCCAGAGAAGATGGTGAAATTTGATACATTGCATTTGAATGGTGCTAGAGCCAAAGATGCAACCATGACTGGATTAGGCAGATTATTGGATGAATTGGACATTGAAAACTATTCTCTCCATAATGCAGGTAAAAGAAGAAAAAAAAAAAAAAAAAAAAAAAAAAAAAAGAGGGGTTCTTCTTTCATAACTTGCTCTTATTGTCCTTTCGATATAAACTCATTCTTCGTCTTCTTTCTTCCTTTAGGAAATGATGCCCATTATACAATGGAATTGTTCCTTTGGCTTGTCCGAAATCATGAGGCACAAAAGGTTGCTGCGGCCCAAGAGAATTTGCCAAATTAAATGATTAAAAAAAAAGCAGCGAAGGACATTGTACTTTATTCTTTTTTTTTTTTTTTCTTTTTTTTTTCTTCTTCTTCTTCTTTACTTTTCTTTTCATACTCTTTTATCTTTCTGCTATTCCTTCCTTTCTGTGTTTGTAAAAAAAGAAAAGAAAAGAATACTTGTATCTTTACCAATGTTACGAACAAGAAGCGAAAAATTGCATATACATTCATACAAAGCCGATACATCAAAAGTTTTCTATTACGAGAAATATGTAGTGAGTGAACTCAATAAAAAAAAATAAAAAAAAATGAAATTGCTTTATGCTTGTACATGCATATGCCATTCAAATCTCTGTTTTTTTTTATTTTTATTTTTATTTTTATTTTTATTTTTATTTTTATTTTTTGGAAGGGAAAGAGATGGATATTTGTTCAATGTTAAGTATTAAAAAAAAAAAAAAAAAAAAAAAAAAAAAGGCTAGACTCTGATACTTGTCTTTCCTGTGAGGTTTGGTAAGGAAGAAGGAGCCCCTGGGGAGACGACAGAACTGTAATCTCTGTTGGCTATTGCGTCCTTATCTCTTACCTCATTACCATCACTGCTATCACCATCACCGTCCTGTCACTGCTCATACCACCTCTCAACCTTACTCACAAGTTCTTCGATCCAGAACTGATGTTCATTATCAAATGAGCATCCCCAAGCACCTCCCAATCCCCTACGATCCGGATATGGACACTGAGACAGATTAACCCTCCTCTAGTGCAGATGTGATCGTGAATGGATGCCATTAAAAACATAAAGATATCTGGACAATTCAGAAAGACATATTGCCCAGCTTTAGCTCGGAAGTAGAAACATGAAAATATACCGCTATTACTATTGCTATGATTATTGTTAATGATTATTACTATAATTACTCTCGTCCAACGTGCAACCCGTTGAAGAAGAAAAAAAAAGAAAAAAAGTTCGCGTTTGGATTTGAACTTGGATCACTTTTTGATAGATAAAGTACAATCTTGGTAATAGGGCTTTTCCTTGTTGGATATCGGGTCCAGATCTCTCGCGTTCGCTCCAAGAGTTAGGCCACCAAGGAACTCAAGGTGGATTTGTAGGGACTAGGAGAGGATTTGCAATAGGTGTAAGTCTCTGCATGAAAGAAGCAGAATGCACCGGGATACACCGATCGTATATCGCTAATGAGATATAAAAGATTAGAGTCTGGAAAAGACACCAAAAGAATAATAATAATAATAAAAAATCCGATGTCCTAATGTTATACCACATTCATAAAAAAAAGATAAATAAAAGAAATGCTTCATTTCTATCTTTATTTTTTTTATTTTTGCGCCTATAAACCCACTCAGCAGCTTCTTGATATTAAGATTTTTATGTTTGGTTTGATGAAAATAGGATCTTAGGCTCCTCTTCGTTACTCCTTTCCCCGTCATAAAACCCTCTGTTGCCAGCCAGCTATTTTAAGAGATGTTTACCATGAAGCTACAAAATCAAGTATGAGGTCTGATCTGCTTCCTTGAATTAACTACTTGGACTAAAGCTTTAGCTTTGAGCAAATATGTAATATCGGACATTGAATTCCTATACGCGTTCTATTTTTTTTTTTTTTCTTTTGTGGCAAAATATGTAGCCAAGACACGCGACGTGACGCGATACGACATGCATAAATGTAGCAATTTTTTTTATTGTTTAATGGCTGTATAAATATTGTGCAGTGAGGCAATGTAATATACAATATAGAATGAGATCTTGAACAAAGAAAGAAGTAAGGGACTTGAATTAAAATAAAATAAAAATAATAAAATAAAAAAGATAATAGAAAAAAAAGCTTCTAAAAAATAAAAATTATATATTTTACAATTTCTACATGGTAGTACTTCGCTGCAATATTTCACGCTCGGATGCCATGGACGATACGGGACTACTATTCCCACCAGCGGTACTACTATCATCATCACCACTACTACGTCCACCCTTCCCAGATCGCCTTCGGCGGTTCGACCGTGCTAGACGAGCCTTCACAGAATCGATCAACTGTTCACGCTGTTCTCCAAATCTCCAAACTTTGAGCAATGACCCGATTTCCTGGATTCGACTAATGGATGCAGCTGCTATAGCAATCGATTTTGGTGTAACAGCATTGCTGCTGCTGCCACCGCTACTGCCACCACCTCCATTGCTGAGATTAACATTGATACTTTTCTTTTGAGGACTATTCGACAAAGATAACACAGTGCTCGCGCTATTACTGATGACGCTGTCCCGCCTATGGCGTGAGAGAAAAGTCGAGGCAGATGAGCAAGTTGACTCGAAGGAGGAACGTGTTGTTGCCATGTCGCTTTCACTATACTGACTCTGACTCTGACCATGCGGATGAGCTGCCGAATTGAGTGCGCTCAACATCTCTTCAATCAACTGAAGAGCATCATCAAGAACATATGCCTCACTCATCACTAGACTTATCTCTAGCAGCACTGCCACAATTGGTCGCATTCCCAATCGGATGGCTTGGAAAAGTACATGCTGATTCTTGGGATGGGCTGGTGGGTATGGATCATCATACTCCAGAGTGGTTTCCAATTGAACGCCACAGTCCACAACTAGCCATCGTATCAACTCTGCTAGTTTCTTGAGGGTTTCTTCCTTGGCTTCCTCTTCGGATGTCAAAATTATATTTCCTGAATTCATCAACTCTGGTTGGGTAGAAGATAAAGATTCGTTATTGTCAACAACAGTGCTATTTCTGGTCAGGTTTTGTCCATTGGATGAGCTGCCTGAAGATAAGGTAGAGATTGTAGACATTCTTCGATTGTGGCCTCCAAATTGCCCAAGCATGGCTAGTCCTGAGCTAGCTGCAGCAGGTAATCCATTACGGTTGGCTGTAGATGATGATGGCGTGTTCTCGAATGTTGTCAAGTCCACGGCTGCTAGTCGATCAATGCTCTTACTCTTGAGTAAGATTTGGATCACGCCTTCATGTCGTTTCGTTAGTGCGTTCACATCCGCTCCAGCATCGACCAATATCTTGAGTGCTGCTGCAGGGTCCTGGTTATAGTGCGCTACAAAATGCAGAGCCGTCCACTGATTGTTATCCCGCGCATTCACATCGATTCCGCGGGTCAAGAGCAGCATCATGGCATCCAAATGGGGTTTCTCGCTCGCACTTAACAAGTGAAGAGCTGTCCACATGACTGGTCCCTTTGCATCTAGATCAGCTCCAGAGTCCAATAGTAGGCGCATGGATTCCAAAGGTGATGACTTTGCTCTTTCGGCCAAATAATGTAGCGGTGTTTGACGGGCAGAGCTGACTGCATTCGGGTTAGCTCCTCGATCTAGTAAGAACTGGAGCACAGCAGGTGGTGGTGGGTTAGGTCGCGAGCAGAGATGATGGAGGATTGTCTGTTTCGTCTTTTGATCGAATGCATTGATTTCTGCGCCACGGTTGATCAAGAGCTCCAGAGCTGGGATACTAGGGACCTGCTGTGGGTTCTCTATATCAGTCACAGCAGCAATTAATGGTGTATGGTCCGTGAGAGGGTCTCGCTGATTGACAGAGATACCTTGAGAGAGTAATGAGTTGATGCTCTTGGTGTCACCCTTGGCTGCTGCTTCCCAGATATGGAGTGCTTTACGTTTTGGCGATGCTGGAGGTGAATTGAGAGACATGTCGAGTGCTTTGCGAAGGATTGATGTGCGTTTCTTAATTTGATTAGGTGACTTTGGTGTCAGTGGCTCAATCAGTGATCTTGAACTATAACCATTGTTTTCAAGGGTCGGCGTACTAGACTCTAAATAGAGAGATAAAAAAAAAAAAAAAAAAAAAAAAAGACAGACAGACCAGATCAGACCAGATCAGATCAGAGCACTTAAAAATATATAACTTTAGTTGCATATTTGTGAGCTCAAGGGAAATTGTTCTACCCTACCTGCAATGACAGAGGGTGTGGTGACGACTGAGATCAGTGAGATGGGCTTTTTGGCATTCAACTGAATACCGGTCGTTCCTTTGCTAATAGGCTCACGCACATGTAGATCAAAGGATGTGTTGGCCATTTCTTTCAGTTGTGATCGAATAACTAACAAACCGGGCCGTTGAGCAGGATCACGCGAGCATATCTTTCGGATAAGTGACTCTAATGCTGCAGGTAGTGCTAATGTTCCTTGTGATGTTGAGAGGGTCGGGATTGGTGAAGATCTTCCTGAGGCTGCTGCTGCTCTCTCGCGAAACTGAAGAGAATTCTCTGTTGAGGCAGAGGATGAGGTCAGGAATTGACTAGCGAGGGATCGATGGCCGGTCAGGATCTCTAGCATGATGACACCAAAAGAATAAATATCGGATGCAGTTGTACATGGGTTCAATTCTGGATTGGCCCGTCGCTCTGGAGCGGTGTAGATGAGACCCTTTTCATAAACACCTCCTGAATGGATCCATCTAGTTCCGGATTTAGGAGAGGTGACTGGTAATGATGCAGAACTTGGGTCTGTAACGGGCTCTGGTCCGCGTGTGGAACGCGAGATTTGGCCGAAATCTGTAAGGACAGCGATAGGGCCAGTAGGGCCCTTTTCGACTAGGACGTTGTCGCTATGCAAGTTCATGTGCAAGAGCCCGCGCTCATGCAGATGCAGCAATCCGCTAGCAACCCCTCGAATCAGGCGAACCTTATCCATCCAGTCTAACGCTTTTCCCTGAGGAGATTTTAGATATTCGTGCAGCGTTCCATGAGCCGCGGGTTTAGTCACGATCCAATCCCGCGCAGCAACGCGTTGTGGGGAGGCAGGAGTAGTAGTGTTTGAAGAAAGAGAGAGGGTGGAGATGGTGTTTGTCACTAGGCCAAAAGAACTTGTTCTTCTGGACCAACTACCGTGGTTATTTCTACTATTGGTTTCGTTCCTGGGTGAATTGAGGGTGGATGAGGAGGCAGAGGGATGTTCGCGTGCAGCGCCGATGAAGACAACAAGGTTAGGTGCCTGAGGTACATCGCGCAATTTGCTAAAGGCATGCAACAGGTCGCGAAAGTCTGCAGCATGGCGACAACACTTTAGGACAACGGGTTTGTATTCTGGATCGTCTGATGAGGCGTTGGCAGGTGGGGTGGATGTGGATGTGGATGACAGGGTGGTGTGGACAGATGCAGTGGAGGTCTGCGCAGGTGTGATCAGGGTGCCTCCATAAACCTCTGAATACTCTGTAGCCTTTATGAGTGGATGTTTTATTATCTATGGAAAGATCAGGGCCAAGGACAGGAGAAAGCATGAGGCCATAAGACTGATTAGTTTTTCTGTAGTAGCTAAAGCAAGCCTGTGTATAAGAGAGAGAAAGAGAGAGAGTGTGGTGTATTTGTGTCAAACTTGATCATGTCCTGCAGGACAAGAATAAAAAGAAGAGCCGACAGAATGGACACAGCCCAGAGCGAGAATGATTCGGACGCGGTAAAAGGTACAGATGTGCATGGAGGAGAAGATATGTTTTCGCTGACAAAAGAGTTGGTCGCTGCTTACATTGTTAAAGTCGATAGTAGGGACCATAGTCATGGTGGAGTGTGAAGCAGTAAAAAATTGAAACAATGGATGACAATAACTAGACTAGGCTTAAAAAAGTAGTGGAGAGAATGAAGACTGAAAGAGAGAGAGAGAGAGAGAGAGAGAGAGAGAGAGAGAGAGAGAGAGAGAGAGAGAGAGAGAAAGAAAAGTAAAAAAAGAAGAAGTGATGGCGTAGAGGAAGGAAGGGAATGAGAGCGAGTAGAGGAATGGAGAGGAATGAAGAGGGATGAAGAGGAATGAAAGAGGAGAAGAGGAAAAGAAGAATTTTATTTTTCCCATGTCTATTTTCCAATTCACCTTGTTCTTTGTTCTGTTAACCTGACGATGGTATTTGGTATTTGGTATTTGAGATATGGTATTTTAAATAGCAGATGGCATATGGTGCATGGGCATATGGAGTTATAATGTGGTCATCATCCAAAGCAACTCCTTTTGTCAATAGCGTAGCGTTGCATTACCCGGTGTTTGTAATGGTTATGTTGCTTCTGTTGCTTCTGTTGCTTCTGTTTTCTAGTTCAATGTCGTACACACCCATTTCATTACATTCAACAAAACTGTTTTTCCCTCAGAGACGGTTGTGTCTGTGTCTGTGCCTTTTTCTACTTTTGGACTGCACAGTCACTTTGTTCTTCTCTTTTTCCCTAGCCCAGCTCACTTTGCACGTTCCATTGTTTTTACTTTACTTCTTACCTTTTACTTTTACCTTTGCTTTGTTCTTGTTCTTGTTCTTGTAGTCATGGCTGCCAAAGATAGCACAAAGAGCACTCTCTACATCGGTAATAACAATAACAATAACACAATCTCGCATTTCATAACTGACTTGACTGCACTCGACCTACAAAATTAATTAGTAATGTGGAAATAAAAAAAAAACCACTCCCACCAAAGCACACCAAAGCACACCAATGCAATTCAAACCGAACAAGAAAAAGCAACCACAACTGACCAATCTACTTTAACTTTTATTCGCTTTCCTTCGTCTACCTGGTCTACTCTGCAGGTGGTTTGGATGAGCAAGTGACTCCACAGATTCTGCATTCTGCATTTATTCCTTTTGGTGAGATCACTCACATTGAAATCCCTCCTGATCCCACTTCAAGTAAGTACTTTCCATAATAAAAAAAAATACGCGTTTTTTATTTTTATTTTTATTTTTATTTTATTTTTATTTTTATTTTTTTTATTTTTATTAACCTTTGTTGTTGCTGCTGCTTTATTTCTTATCCTTATCATAGCGGCCCCCCATCGTGGATTCGGATTCGTCGAGTTTGATTTGCCTGCGGACGCAAAGGCTGCTCAGGATAATATGCATCTGTCAGAGTTATTCGGAAGAACTATCAAAGTTAATCTTGCCAAACCATTGAGAGGGACAGGAACAGGACCAGGTGGAATCGGTCGTGGACCTGAAAAAGCCATCTGGGCTGACGAGGATTGGTTAAAAAGAAATGTCCTTGGTGATGATCCAGTAGCAGATACCCAAGCACAGGACAGCTCATCATCATCAACCGTACCCACCGTAGGACCATCAACATCATAAAAATAAATAATAATACAAATGTTAATTATATCCATACAATAATATCGCAGAACTATTGGTACACAGCCACTGTGATACAGTCATAAGTTGTTACAGTTTATACAAGAAAAATATGTTGACATTTAAACAACGGATATTCATCTTCAACTCATATTGACCCTATCATGTCTTACCAAGCATCCCTTCAACCTCATTCTTTATTCTCAATCGTGTGGCTTTCTCCATGAGGTCTGCATGAAATGACATGTGCAAAACTACATTTGTCACATATGCTGTATTCGAATTGGTAGTCTTTGATCGATCCACTCGGTGCTGTTGCTGAAGTCAATGGTATCTCTCCCCTCAAAATCACTGTCTGTGAAGCTGTCTCTACTAGATCTTGGCAATAATTCGCTTGACTAGAGGAGGCACTGAGCTTGGGTGCCACGAATTGTCTCGCTACAATTTGTTTAGATGCCCCATGCATGACCAACGAAAGAGGTTGCTCGCTTATAGCTCCTCGTTGCTCCAGAAGCTTCCTGTTGGCTTCACTCAACCCAACTACACCTTGCATATGCATGTTGCGAGCATTAAGGGTCGTTTGCCTGGTACTCCATCTCAGGTGATACTGATATTGATCGCCCTCCTTCACAATCTGCCACATTCGAACGGAGGCATCCTTAGATCCTGTGACCAGAAAATAGCCTTCTTCAAAGGTATTCCATATAAGCGTAGCAACAAGTCCACCTTCAGATGGAATTACAATCAAATACTCGCCTGTCTCTGCATCCCACACCCGCACTGTCCTATCTTCACTGCTTGAGGCAATGTACTTTCCATCAGGCGAATAAGCTATCTCTGTGATCCTCTTGGTGTGCCCTTCAAGCGTATGCAATACTTCTCCCGTTTCCATATCAACCATATTAATTTGTCCATTGTCACACGCATTAGCCATCCGCTGACTAAATGGTGAAAATGATCCTATGCTTTTATAATCCCCAGGTATTGTATAACAAAGCTCACCCGTTTCTACGTTCCGTACTTGCAGTTCATAAGAGGCATAGCTGTGATAAACCACTATTTTTCGACCGTCAGGTGTGTATTTGATAGAATTACCAATTCTTTCTCCATCCTTTACTTCAAAACGAAGGCCACCCGAATGAACTGTCCAGACTCTAAGAGCGCCATCTTTATCATATGAAGCAAGGTGGTGACCATCAGGTGAGAATACCACACAGTTTACAAGGCTATTGTGGCCCTGTAGAATGCGAATGAACTCTCCTGTCTGTGCGTTCCATATAGTCACATCTCCATCGGAATGGCCACAGGCAATTCGATAGTCAGTAGGTGAGAAATCCAAGGTGTAAATCTTATCGTCTTGCCTGTTCTGTAGCTCCAAGGTATGAGCGACTTGGCCTGTTCGAGCATCCCAAAGGTAGACACGTGAAGAATGATGGCAAGAAGCAAGCAACTGACCATCAGGCGAATACTTGATATCGCGCGTGTATCCATCGAGGCTTTGTAAAACATGGATGGACTGTCCTGTCCTTGCATCCCATATACGCACTGTTTCATCACCACTGCGCGAAGCTATCTGCTGTCCATCCGATGAGCTCCTAACACCAGCGATCGACGCTGAATGGCCACGCGAATCATGGTTAGATTGCTGTAATCGAGTATCCCAAAGGCGTATTGTTTTATCTTTGCTGAAGGTTGCAAGCTGATGATTATTTGGCGAGTATGCCATACGAAATATAGTGCTAGAGTGGCCATAAAAGATATTCATGAGTTGTCCTGACCTCGTGTCCCAAAGCTGTACTGTGTTATCACGACTGCAAGTGGCTATCTGTTCTCCATTTGGTGAGTATTTTAGATCTATGATACGATCGGAACGCCCTTCAAGAGTATGGATGACTTTGGCTGCTTGCATATCCCATTGGTATGCCGTCCCCCAGGCGAATGAAGCAGCGAATTTCCCGCTAGGAGAATACTGAATGCCATGGACGCTACTCCTATGTTTCAACTCGTACTTTTTCTGACCGGATCCAACATCCCATACATGCAAGTAAAAACTAAGGAAATAGCGAGATATAATTTCCTGCCCATTAGGTGAATATATAATTTGTTCAATTCCATTTCTATGGTCCATCCGCATCAGCTGCTGCCCTGATATTGCATCCCACAACCTTACTGTCTCGTCATGACTGCCGCTTGCAATCCGGAGTCCATCAGGAGAGTATGCCACACTGCTCACATCGTCTGTATGACCTTCTAGGCTGTATTTGAGCACCCCTGCTTGGGTATCCCACACTCGCACTGACCTATCCCTACTTGCTGAAGCAAGATGATTCCCGCTTGGCGAGTACACTGCACAGTTTATTCGACCTGTATGACCCTCCAATAGGTGAACCAATGCTCCTGAGGTTGCATTCCAAATTGAAACTGTAGTTTGGGAAGAATCCCAGGTGGCGATATATCGACTGTCTGGCGAGCATATGAACCTCGTGTCAATCCCAATGCCTTTCAGAGCCGAAAGTATCCCCCATGTTGATGTATCATAGATAGTAATTGAATTTTTATATGAGTCATCTTCGATAACAGCAGCGAGTGTCTTGCCATCAGGCGAGTATGACCCTCCCAATACCTCGCCCCCAATTTCGAGAAGCGGCCATTCTCCAAACTGTACACCTGCCATCTTTGCTCCGCTTAGGTCTGCTTCACGAAGCCAACAATTCTGTAAGTTGACCTTCCTCAGATCTGCTCCTTGTAGCTGAGCATACTCAAATATGCCATGGCTGAGATCTGCTCCTGGGATATGGATTCCTCGCAAGTCTGCTCCGATAAATGATTCGCCTGCTTGGACCAAGATTGTCATCGCATTGGCTGCTGCTATCCGCCACTTGTTATTGCTCTTCGAGAGCTCCACATATGTATACAGCTGTTGTTGAAATATCGGCTCGAGACGGACACGGTCCTCTAAGAATTGAAGGATAGATAGTTCACCCACAAAGCTTCTCCATACTAATGGTGACGTCTCATCAATCTCCACTACTTCCACTTCCCGCTCGTCCTCCTTGATGTCCAGGGCTTCGAAACTAAACACTGAACTGACGCTCTGCCGACGAGAAGTTTCTGTTGACGTCTTTGTTACTTTATCGATCGCGGAAACACTCATTGCTCTCTTCGGCTCAAAGATCGCTCGTACCAAACTGTACTCTAGGAGTGACCGATGGATAAACCGGTGCTGGTTGCCTGTACGAGTAAGTGGTGAAGCCTCGCGTAGAAGCTTCTTTCCATTCTCTTTGCTGAAGTACGCTTCTTTCCATGTACTCTTGTCCTTCGATGGTGAGTAGTCCACTACTGGGTTGCCATCTTGATGTCTGTAGATTGCTATGGCTAGCTCGGTGAGATATCTGATCCCATTCTCTGCAAACCCTTCATCTAATAGCTTGTGAAACACCCTTCTGTCTTCCAGTGCTAATGTATCGCTTAGTCGCTTCTTGCCTCGCTCGAGCCACTGCTCAACGAACTGATCATACAGTGTGACGCGTTTGATCTTGGTGTTGGAGCCTCCTTGATCTGGATCTACTATTCGTGGGAGTACTTCTAGTGACATCGATAGAATAAATGGGTTCTTCACAAGGTCTTGTAGGCTAGGGATCTCTCTGAGCGCACGTCGGTAGTCCTCCGCGCGCCACAGTGGATCCATGGCATCGACATATTGTTCAATATAGTCATCGATCTGAGTCTCAGAGAATGGCATGAGCACAGCCTCTTCAAACAATCCATCATCTGCTTGGTGATTGCGGTCCATAGGTTGGAAGCGATCTTGATAGTCCAATCCAAGGTACTCACTACGACAACTGATCACCATCTGAGCCATCCACTCTCCAGGCTTATTCAGTTGATTGGTGACATACAGGTTGCTAGTCTGTAGACTCTCATCATATCCATCACAGATCAGGATGAATGGCCGACTCTTCTTCAGCTCCTTGATCTGTGAGTCTGTGAAATCGTAGTCCCGCAGTTGCTTTGCAACCAGACCCTTCTCTGGCTTGTCGATGGCTGGGAGATTGATAAATAGTGGGATCCGACCATGTCTATTTTGATATGTCTCCCAGAGTGTGCGCTCTAGAGTGCGATTGAATGTGGACTTGCCTGCTCCTGAATCTCCTTGGACAAGTAGCACTTTCCGGCCGCTATCCAGGAACTCTTTCACCTTGTCCACCAGCAAGAACAGCTTGTCATCGCTTACTTGAGAACTTGCTTTGGCATATTGTGGGATATAGAATTCTTGATTATTTCCAACCTCCATCCGCCGTCTCTTTAGTTGCCGTATACTGTCCTCAACACCGGGTCTATTTTGTGCACGGTCAAGCAAATGTGAAGATGTAAGTGGAGGATGTGTGATGATGAAGGGATGCTGAGCCATTGGTCCTTGAACACAATTCCTATATAGCTCTTGTTTCTTGAGGTCTCCATATTTCTCTAGATCATCCAAGAGAGTGCCTGTAGCTGGAAAGAGAAGGATAAGGATATATGTATCGAGTGAGTAGGTAGATAAATCACATGTACTGAGCACTGCCGACATCCAAACATATCCACAGAAAAAGAGAGAAAATATGCACCTTGTAGACCATCCGGTGATAATGAGGATAGCTCTCTAAGGATACTTATGATCCACTGCTTGATATGTGTATGGTCACTCCACTCCTGATCATTCTTGTAGATCTCTCCTAGGAGCGTGATGGCATCCCGTCGAGTATCCATACTCCATTGTGTACCAGCTGCAATCTGTCCCAGCCTCTGGCATAGCCCCCATTGGAACGCTGCATCTTTTCGACAGGGTGCTTCACACACAAGAGCCTTGAACTGAGTGAGTTTGCCTGTCTGGAGTAGTGCATCAGCTCCACGCAATGCTGGATACCATGCTGACTTGTGACTAAAGCTGAGTCCTTCTTCCATGCACTGTTTGAATGTTGTTCCACTCTCGTATAGTGATGTTACACTGGTATATCCTTTCAGACTCATATCAATGGTACCTGTCACA